TTCCTTTCTTATCTTCTACTTACCTTATTGGTGCCGACAAGTAGCATATCTTATACAATATTTTGTTCAAAGATTCTCAAACAATATCAGAATCCATATCCACTCTCAGAAAAAAGTGTTGTTTGTCGCATAGTTGGGTCGACTAATTTAACCACTGTTCCATTATCTCGTTCTTGTACTTTTCTAATTTCGTTTATGTACGTACATTACTAGTACCAAATTTGACCAATTATATGATGCAAGGAAGAGCAGAACCTGCACAAACACGTTTATAATGTATAAAGCAAAATAAGTGCATCCTGAAAAAAGTTAAAAATCAAAACCAATAGTCAAGTTAATGACATTACTACTCCCTTTCAATTTTTTTTTCCATTCAAAATACAATTTATTATTTAAATACTGAATAATTAATTACGATTTTAATGTTATATATAATCATCTCTTGTTTGTTTGTTTATTTTATCCCTTTACATACATATTTTTAAAATTAAAGAAAACCATAGAAATTGTGAGAAAATATTTCATTCAAAATACAGTCAAATAGCACCCACTTACCGTCATATAATTGAATCTAGACCGATCACAACCAGAGTTAATGTTGAGTTTGAGCAATATTTTGAACATTATTGACTAAGATTGACTAGACAACAAACTAAAAAGGGTTTCTTGGCAATACCCTTCTATATTATTCATCAAGTACACTGTTGTTAAAACTCAATAATTTGTAAACTGTAATAGATATTTAAGTTTTAATTTTTTTTTTTATCAACCTTTAGACTTTGTCTAAAACTTAATTTTCAGGAAGAAAATTAAAGAATATAAAAGTTTTTAAAATAATTATCTCTTTTTAAATATTTTAGATAAAAAGAATAATTTATAAACTCTTCAAAATAAAATGTTATATTTTTAAGTTTTTTTTAATTTTAACAATTTTATATTAATAATTATTCTTTTGTTTTTCTTTCCATTTAAACACTTTTATTTTTTCTTTCTGTCCACTCTCAAAAAGCTTTAGTTGTTTAATTTAAAATTTAGGTAATCAAAATTTGTTAGGCTCAAGTATATTTCAGTTTATAAGATACGCATTTTTTTTATCTTAATCTAAAATTTCAATAATATATGTTATATGTGCACTTTAAAATAAATATAGTTAATTATATTTTTAATTTATATATTTAATTTTAATTATTTATATTTAATTTTTGTGATATTTTAATTGTTAAAAAATACTATAAAATAAATAATTTTTTATAAGTTAAAAATAATTTACACTCTTCCATTTTTTATTTTTAAAAAATTATCATTTAATTTCTTTAAAAATTGAAAAGATAATATTTTTAATTTATAAAACAAAATAATTATTTATTTTTATACTAATTTTTTTATATAAAGACTTTCTTTTAAAATTTACCTAAATATGTCTAAGTCTTTTATTTTACATTTCATCTATTTGTATTTTTTTATCAATTTATGTAAATTAAAGTTATATAATATATTTTGTAATATTGTGATGAGATAATTAATACAAATTTGACTGGAATAATTTTAAATTGTGAGTACTAAATATCAATAAAAAAATTAAAAATAAAATCACGTATAAATTATAAAGTAAAAAATAAAAGCATAATTAAACTAGATAAATGTGAAATATGTTAATGCAAGTGATCATCAATAAAACAAAAGGGTTTGGCATGGTAGATGGGGAGTCCTTGCATCTATGATTTACTATTTTGAAAATAGGCATTGATACAAAGTGCATGGAGTAAGATCTAACAAGAGTTTGAGAGTGAGGGGACCAATAGTTTGACAAAAAGTAGCTTTCTTCTTTATTCTTTGTATTCAAATCTTTCCTTTTATGGTATGGTATATGATAATCGGTGGCTCGTAATGCACAAATATGAGCAAGAAAATCGTGATGATTATGATAAAACTTTTTCAGTATCTGATCTGTTAGTTTAAAATTAAATAATTGATATTAATGCAGTATTATGTATAAATATATATATATATATTTAAAAAAAATGTAAAATTAAGGGATTTATAAAATTATTTCATTGTTGATACACGAATTTTAGATATTGAAATTGAAAATTAATTTAAATCCAGATATAAATCTTACTATGAACTTCTATAAAAAAAACGCATCTCTAATTGTGTTACATGGATATAAATATATAGTGTGTGAAAATATTAAATATATTTTATTAAATAATGAAATTTATTTAAAAGGATCGAGACAATGTTTTTTGTTTAGTGTGAACTAAATTTTCACAAGTCATAGGATGGTTAGTACTATAAATGCCATTTTTTTAACAATTTAAATTTGTATATTAAGGTATTTTTTTTAACTATTCAGCATAACATATTTATATTTTTATTATTTAAAAATATAAATATGTGTTTAATAATTAAATGTGATAATATAAAAAAAAATAAAAAAATTAACACTTATTTTTAATACACACATGTTATGTAACACAAATTATTCTACAACAGAAATCACTTATTTATAGTTGATCTATTTAATTATTTAATTTACTTTTTAATTATTTTATTTTATAAAACATTAAAATTAAATATTAACCAAAAAGGCAGAAAGTAATATTTCTCACCTAGAATTATTTATTTTATATTAACAAATGAAAGTTGGATTTCAACTATTTTATTGTATGAAGTATTAAAATTAAATGAAACAAATAGTACATTGTATATATAACTTTATATATTTTTAAAAAAAATTAAAAGTCAAGCATGAGATTTGTTATTTTTTTAAAAATTATTATAAAAGTATATAAGGGATGCCACACTCTGTTTACATGAAAAATTTAAAAATCATACCAATCATATAAAATTACAATAATTTCATATTATTACAATAAAAATATCAAATTAAAATCAACAAAAATTAGTCTAAGTGACAAAAGATTTGTTATTCTTTAAATAAAATTTTAGATTCAAGTTTTTGTATATGTAAATTTTTTTTAATAATATCTTTTTTGCATATACAAATTTATATTAAATTAAATGGAAAACAAAAAAAAAGGCTGAATTAAATTTAAAATAGTATTTGAAATCATTTTAAAATAATAATAATTTTTTAAAACTTATTTTGATAAATTTTATACTTAAATTTATTTCATAAATTCTTTAATAAAATTTATTTTAGTGTACTTTGAATGAAATTTTTAAGAATTTTAAGATATGTTATAGTTAAAGAATAAAAATATATGTGAATTTTTAACATTTAATATTATTAATATACTTTATAATAATTTTTATTTTTTTATTTTTTTAATATAATAATCAACAAATATTTAAATTTACTTTTTTCGTGCATAAAAACTTTTTATCAATACATACGTCGGTATCGTGACTTTTGGCATTGCCTTCTTCGTCCTAGCTTTGTCGCATTTACTGATGCCATGCTAGACACCATGCACTTGTTTTATTCAAATTATTTAATTATTATTATTTTTATTTATTTGTTTAAAAAATAAAAATTACATAAACTAAATAATTTAACTATTTTATCAGAATTAATTCTTATTTTTTAATTTATTATTTATTATTAAAAAATTGATAATATATGTGATAAATGATGCAATATGATAGGAAAAGAGATTTTTTTAATTTTTTTTTGTAAAGACAGATGTTAAATGAACACATTAATATTGTTTGAATGTTTTCGCAGAAGAACTTTACAAGTTTCCGCGTCAATAACCTCAATTTAATTAAACTGATCCCTCCCTGTTCCATATTTACATTCGCATCATCCATCTTTCATGTACATGCAAGTTTAATTTGCATTTACAAATATTCATAGATAACTATTAAATTACTAAAAATCATAAAATACAAAAATAATAAAATAATGAAAGATATCAATAGAGAGTTTATTAGGCTGATTTTCATGCCTAATTTTGAAGCATAAAAGTTGATCTCACACCCAGAGAAAACCTCCCAAAACCAAACAAAGATCTAAAATGCTTTGAAAGCAAGAAGCAACTGTAGAACTATATATGATGAGATTTTAAAATACAAAAGAGAGTTGGATTAGTTTCTCTGTATATGTCCATGTTGGATTGGCGCAAAATACCTTCATAAGTTATCGTCTGAATGACAGAACGACGAGATAATTCGCATGAGCCTTTATTTTATAAAACTGGATTCAACTAAATTCTTTTATGATTAATTATTAACATAAAATACACCAAAAATGATATGAGATATTTTCTTTCCAATTCTGATAACCTGGGACCAATATAGCAAGAGAGAATAGTAGACTTAAACACACCAAGTCATGAAAAGAAATAAGAATATATATATATATATATATATATATATATTATGAGAAATTATTGTAGAAATAATATTGTTTAATCAATAAGGTTACTCATATATTCTATTTTTAAAGTAGAGAAAGTGAAAAAAAAATTATAATGATGTAATATGATAAAGAAAAAATAAAAAGGGGGAAAAAATCTTATACAGTTGTATGAATATAAATATGAGTATTCCATGGGATCATACAATGAGATTTAAAACTCTGGGGTATTAATTTATTCCACATATGAATATTTTTGGGGAGGATGATGGGGATTCATGGATGAAAGATGAAAGGCTTATAAGTGAGGAAGCTTTGAATTTGATGAGGAAGTAAGGAAATAGTTGAGATTGTTTGAGTTGGGTTCACAACAGTGATTATTAAATTATATATATAAAGGAAGTAGATAATGCAGAGCATGGCTAAGAGTTGAGAATGAGAGTGAAAGGCTTTGCAATAGAATAATAGGGGAAGGAAGCAACTTGCAGGCTCCTATTTAATCAAGGAAAGTCGAGAGTTCTCTCAAAGTCAGAAAACACTAAATAGGGCTGAGCCTTTCTGGACCCTAATGCCAAGTCGCCCATAATTCTTTTGTCCCATTCTCCCAACCCTGCAAAACATAAATTAGATTTAAAGCAAAGAAGAAACAAACAACTCCAAGAGAAGAGAAAGAGAGATGAAGATCCAATGTGATGTGTGTGAAAAAGTTGAGGCCACTGTGTTCTGTCCTGCAGATGAAGCAGCTCTTTGCCATAGCTGCGATCGTATCATTCACCACGCCAACAAGCTCGCAACCAAACACGCTCGCTTCTCTCTCCATTACCCCACCTCCAAAGACTTCCCTCTTTGTGATATATGTCAAGTACTTCTCTTTACTCTTTTACACCCATCATTTTTTTCTTTTTCTTTTTCTAAAAAAATGGTCTTTTTCTTTCACTTTCTATATAAAAAATAAAATAGGAGAGACGTGCATATCTATTTTGCCAAGAAGATAGAGCGTTACTATGCAGAGAATGTGACCTTCCTATACACAGAGCCAACGAACATACCCAAAAGCATAACAGGTTTCTTCTAACGGGTGTGAAGCTCTCTGGCACTTCTTTGGACCCTGCTTCTTCATCCAACAATTGCCCTGAAGCGAGAAACCCTTCATCTAAGATGAACAGACCCAGATCAGTTTCCAATGAAAATGCGAGTTCTTCTTGCAAGGTTGAAGACAACGTGGCTAGTGACACGGGTTCGGTTTCTACTAGCAGCATTTCTGAATACTTGATTGAAACAATACCTGGTTACTGTTTCGAAGACCTCCTTGATGCTTCATTTGCTCCTAATGGTTTCTGTAAGGTTTGCTTTATAGTATATATAATAAGAGAATGAGAGAGAGAGTAGAGACTAGAGAGACTCGTTTTTCTTCTAAGGTTGAATTTGACAAATTTGAATCGTGTTTGTTGTTGCAGAATTATTATGATAATCGTTCGGCGTTTCAGGACCAAGATCTTGAAGTTAGCACGTGTTTATTTCCGTTGGCAACGTGGGTACCCCAGGCTCAAGTTCAGTCACCTCAACTTAGCACTCCGAGTATTACCCAGATTGGAGTTAGGGAGATTCCAAGAGCCAACACTGTCAAATGGAGACATTATGGCTGTACAGTTCCTGAAACTAGTCAACAATTGATCAAAAGATCTAGAATTTCTCGATAATCAAACTATTTGTAAAAAAAAATCTGTTGGAAAATATCTTCCGTTTTTGTTTTTTGCGTTTCTTTTACAATTCGTGTGTTTCTTTTTTTGTTTTCAGCATTTCTTTACAATTTTTTTTTTCATTCTCTATTCCAATCCACTGTTTCGGCCCCTTAATGGGTCCATGTTTTCGTTAATATGAATTCATTGAATATCACAACTCAATATTATATTGAACTTTCTTAAACTGAAAGTCGGCCAAGATCTTTTTAGCATTTTATGATAAGACTTGTAGCTTTATGCATATAATAAAAAGGTTATTGATGTATCTTTAAAGCTGTACCGTTATTTTCATATGGCAATCAAAAATTCATAATTCACAGTCAATGCTAATAAACAAGCACAACCGACAGTTTTGTGTTGTTGTATTACGGCGTTCAGTGACTATGACGGATGGCAGGATTTTCAAGCTGCTGTGTTGGTTACCTTGGGGAGTTGAGATTAGACTGTTCCCTCATGGTTGAATTGTAGAATATGAATTATAAATGCGCAGGATGATTTCTTTATAATGCATTATACTCTTTAATTTCTTTTTTTCCTCTATCCCTCTTGTAATGTCTAAAATGAACATCTTAAATAAATAAATAAAATTTTCGTTGACGTGAGACTTGCAAATCATTTCAACATCATCCGTACTCATGTTGATCTATTTAGTTTTTGTTTTTGGTATATGTTGATTTCTAAAGTTCGAACACATCAACTTCAATTTCGGTTTAGAAATTTTCTTCCAAGGCCCATGTAAGTTTGACCCAACTTGGCGAGGAAGATGTCAGCAACACAAATGCCCTTGCTTTGCTTTTCTTCAAACTACACCAGAATCATGGTAATCTTCGAAAGCCGATGTATATTGTTTCACATTGATTTTAGTTACCAGATGATTGAACGTGTTAAAATAACATGTTCAGTTTAATTATGACGAAATAGTTATTTTATTAAAGCAAGCTATTGTTTCATCAGAACAAATTTACCTTGAAAAACAAGCAAGCACTTTTCCTAAGAAGGCAAAAATACTCCCCCTATTGAGGCTACCTTTTAATTTGAAGACTTACAGACATCAAACGTTAAACATAAGAACTAGGACTGGATTTGGATTAATATGCATACAAACTGAACCCCTGAAGTCATCTTCAATTGATCAAAACGGGAACTCAAAGCACCTGCGAAACGGTAGCTAATCCTTTCTAGATCAGCGTACTTTTTTTTATTAACAAAGTGCATCTAACGATGAACCAAAAAAAAAAAAGTGCATCAAACGAAGATTATTCGGTTTAAGATGCTCCTCAACCTTTTATCACAAATTAAATTGATAAATATAATTACGGAAATATCAATTTGATCGGCAAAGTAATGACTTTTTTGCATGTCATTTATTTGGTCCCGCATCTCATTAAATATTAATCTTTGAATTATCTAATGTATTAGTTTCATGTAATTACTAAATCAGCAATAAGAAATTTAGTTACATTTGACTAAATTATCAATTTTCTCCTCTAAATCACCGGAAAAAATTTAATAAAAACTTAACAATATTCGTATTACTTTTTAATGTAAGTATTAAATAAAAAAAGTATATACATTTATTATCTTAAAATATAGAAAATCATTTTATATTTTTATTTAATAATTAGGAAATTTTATAAGAATAAAAGATAAAAGGATTTCAAATGATTCCTATAGCAGTCTGGGTTGGAAGCTGGAACGAATGATAGGCTTCATACCGAAGTCAACTCAAGAACACGGGTTGAAGAACTCCAAAGCCATTTTAAAAGGCAACCCCCCTCTCCAAGGAGATCTTCTAACACCCATAGGGTAACTTGAATAACCGCAGAAAACAAAGCTAGAAATATCTTGACGTACTCCTCTGCGTACGTCTCTAATACCCTTCAAGATTCTAGACACGTCACTAACTTCATACTCATATATCTCCTTTTCCCAAAAAATCGACAATTTAAGTTGGTGAAAACTAGAGATCAATTTGGTGCGAGACATATGACATTTCTGATAAAACTAACTATATCCTATGTTCCAAGCCTGGCCCTGCCACCCCCAATAGATTAGACAAAAGGAAAGAAACTGTATGTATCGTATTATTAACATATTGGATATGAAATCATGTTTCAAGGGGAGCTGGGAGAATAAAAATGAGAAACCTCACCGATCATACACTCAGCAAAGGACATACAAAGGATGGGCAACAAAATTCTGCTGTATTACGTAAAACAACCATATATCGTGCGTATGTACTTAAGGAGTGTTGTTTTCACTCTTTCCCTCTTTACACAATCTTTCTCCGCACCCCTTTTGTCTCCCCCTATTATACAGTTCCCCTGGGGTAGGATTAAAGAAAGATGTTGATATACCTTTTAAACGGTTTTACATACAGGCAAACTAATAAAAGAATTGCACCCGTAATAGCATGGAATATATAACTCAATGGGATAGAGCCCTGCAAAAATTAAAAAACCGAAAAAGAAACGCGTGAATATTTGTACTGCATTTGAATATTGTTCATAAAAATATTGTAATAAGATAATGGCAGGACCTCTGTAAAAAGAGTTATGTAAAAGCAAAAAGCCTATCTGTAATATTTGTGCGGCATATTGGACACTCAGAACAAGCAAGGGAACAAGATTTACACACTGCAAGGTCAAACACGAGGCTGTAAGTATTCAGACAAACAATACTAAATCAATAGGAAAATAACCAAGAATTTTTAGGGTAAGAGATTCAGGCAAGTTCGGAAAAGACTTACAACAAAAATGTCGGCATGGAAGAAGAATTGCTGCAGTGGGAGACTCAAAACATACTTTACAAACATGGGAATTGGCGTCGCCATTGCCAAGATACTTGAGTTCTTTTTCCTTCATTTCTTGCATGCGTGCCTGAAATCATAAATGGCACCTCAAAAACTGAAATCATAAATCCGATTATTGATAGTCTCCATTCTCTCTTTTCCTTCTTCCCTACCTAAACCCTATAATTTCAAAACTAACAAAAGAAAATTAGATAAATTAGGACAAAAAAATATACAAATAACTGCAGTATGGTGTTACCTTGAGGCGAACAACCAAGGGCTCTTCTTTAGGAATTTCGTCGTCTGGTTTTGATACATCCAAAAGCTGCTCCTTGGAGACAATATTACTTTCAATGTCATTGGTTTTTTTATCATTTATTTGCTCTGCCCCATCATTTTTTTTATCAATGTTTGATTCTGGGACAGCACCGCCTTCTTTTTTTAACTTAGCAACAAGGACCCACATATTTGCTAAATCGTTCTCCAAGGCTTCTTCTCTTTTCTTGGCCTCTTCAGCCTTTTTCCTGTACTCCTCTTCCACAAATTCCTTCTCGGCTAATGCAGCCTCAAGAGCTGCCTCTCGTTGTTTCCGAGCTTGTAATTCCATTTTCAAATCATCAGCATCAAGACTCCATGACTCAAAATCATCTAGACCAGCTCCAGAAATTTCATTAGCACGACTAGAGATCCTCCCCTTCCTTCCAGATCTTGCATCAATGTACTTGCGGTTGACACCATTAACCGTTTGCACACCACTACGAGAGTTGGCCTGATCTCGTGCAGCCATCAATTCTTTTTCCATCTTTGCATTCTGCAATGAAAGTTTTGTCACTTCCCCAGCCAAATTTTTCAGTTCCACAGCAGCAGCAGACGCCAGTTCTTTGGCATAAGAAGCTTCTTCAGAGAGTTTCTGATTCTGCACTCGCAACCCACTATTCTCCTCTGACAAGTGAACTTGCTCAAGCTTCAGTTTTTCATTTTCAATTTCCTGAAAATAATAGAGGAGAGAAATGTCAGTTTAGTACACAATGCAACACTGAAGCCTCAAATATGACTTACTAATCCTAAAAAGTTATTTCATTAACAATCTATTGAGCAAAGGATGAGGAAGTATTTTGACAAGCAAGGAATACAAAATCAGGGTAGCAAAAGAAAGAGAAAACCAACAAAAACCAAATGATATTGAAAAGCATATAAACCATGCAAGTGTGTTACTTCAAAAGCAACAATTTCTCAGATACCTGGGATTGTATTTTCTTTTTCAGCCCATCAATGTGTTCTCCTGACGCACTCTGATCAGAAGAAACTAACAATGTCCCACTACTAACTGTTGCCAGTTGCTGCTCTAGCTGCTTCACCTTTTCTTGTAACTCTCTGTTTTCAGAACACTGTTGAAAAAAGAAAAATTGAAGAGGGAGACCGTCAAGATAGAAATTTTTACAGTTATAGGTTTTTCCATAATCTTTCACTTGAAGGAGGGAAAACAAAAAGAAAAGGATGACACAAGGATCCAAGTAAACTTGCTTAGCTTAAAAGTAAAAAAGAAAAGGTCAAAAAAGTTGAGCAAATAGTAGAAAAGGCAAGCACATACCTTATCATTTAGCTGTTCCTGAAGGACACGATTGTCTGCGGATTTTATCTACAAATATTTTAAAAACCCATTATTTTTATCAATGTTGATCATGGATTATGCTAATGCAAGAATCAAATACTTGGTGGGGGGGGGGGGAGTTTACAAAATTCTGATTTTTTGGAAACAAATTGAGAGCTAAAGAACACCCTAACAAAGCTAAAATACTACTCACCTCCAACTCAAAGGCCTTTTCATTACATTGAGTCATTAACCTTGTGACTGTCTGTCACAACAAAAACATAAAAAAAAGGTTTAAATGAACTTTATCAAAGCATCTACATAGATATAATGCAGCCTTCAAATATATATTATTAACTTCAATGCCAACACCACTACCTGTTGCATTTCCACTAGTGATGAATTAGCCATCGGAGATTCACCAGTCTCAATTAATCTTTGTTCTAGCATCCTCATTTGCTTCCTTTTTTCTTGGATCTCCCGTTCCAAGTTCTCAATCTGTAATTAAGAAAACACCTTCTAAGAATATATATCAGAAATACATAATTTTCCATTAAAAATGAAGACTGCGACTTTTGTCATAGTTTTTATTATTCACTTGAAGAAAAGCCACTTTAACGAATAAGGTTATAGGGCAAAATGTGAAGGCAATCAGAGTAAAGAACATCTCATTCAAGCCTAACATGGTGTATTACACAATATTGCGTGGCATCAATAAACACATCAAACAAACATAATTGACATTGAAGGAACTAAGAACATTTATCTGGAGAGCATCATTTTGACGTATATAAAAAGAATAGAAAGAGTTATTGATTGATATTTTTGCATTGCTTTTATACCAACACATTTCAATGCAAGATTGCTTGAAAACAAGGCAAGATACCTGACTTTTGGAGCCTTCAGGGTCATTTACAGATTGCTCCATCAAGCGCTTCAGAGTGCTGGTACTGAAAGCAATATCTCCAGCTAGCATTTTGACTTGTTCAACAAGAAGATCCTTTTGATCGGACGTTGTCATCCCACCCTATAATTCAATGAGCAGTCGTAAGTAACAATTTTAATAAAGTTTACAACCAACTACTTAAAGTCAGGAACTAAAATCAAATGCAACTGTGTCTTGGCACCATCCAAGAACATCCCGTTATTTAAAAACATCAAAGCAACACTATTACCATGGAACTATAATGTCTGTAGACGATAAAAACCAAAGGATCAGAAATGACAATTCTCATCATAGTTATTCGAATCCCATAGTTAGTTTTAATTACATGATTCAATAGAATTGGTAAAGTCAACAAATCATTATGAGATGATCAGAAACGGCATTCAATATTTTCTTTTTCTTTTTTCTTTTTGCTTTTCTTTCACCAATTCTCTTCAAAGAAATTGAGAAGTCAAATATGGTTAAATTGTTAAACTAAAAGGAACTGAAGGAGTGCTATTAAGTGCACCGTGTTTGATTATCCCATTGTTTTGTTCTAATTTTTCCAAAACATGGATTTTACAGTCACACCCACGCATCCAATTTGGTTATGCTATTTCTCTGTTTTATCAGAAACAAAGGCTTCACAAAATCATCAACTCACTCTGTGCATCATACCTTATTTGGCTATATATATCATATCATGATTTCTTTAATTTTGTTCTGACTTATGGCATATGGCTTATGATTTATTTATTTTTTTGTGAAACTTATAGTTATGTTATTTTCTCAATTCGTTTAAAAATGTTACATTTAGTACTATAAATCATTTAAATGTGTTTATATTCCAATTTACTTTTCGCAGTGTCTCTAAATCGTACAATTTGATGCAAATTACAATTCACGATTCAAAAATTGACATTTCACATTTTGAATCGTGATTTGATGACACCCCCCCCCCCCACTTCCCCACCCATACTATTCTTTTGGATCCACCGCCAGTTCATCACCTATAGGCATGTCATTTTATACATCGTCAATCCATCTTAGGCAACCCTAATAGTGAAAACGTTTTCCACCAAGGTTTTGCTCAGTTGTATAGGTCTACTCAATCACTCAGGGAACTGACATCAGCAATAGGCAAAGACCAACTGGACGTGTTGACCCTTGATATTTTTCAAGTAACTGAATGGGCAAATTGAAAAATCAGACTCTGGACTGATCCCATCCCATCCCAATGCCACTCCCCACATAACCTCTCTGAGAACTTTACCGAAAACATCAATTCAGATAAATCATATAAGATATTAAAAGATAAACAGACTATTATGGAGAGGGGATGAATTTACCGCTGTCAGTTTTGTTCTGCTGATCAGTTCACCAGCTTGTGTTGATTCAGTAACAGTACTGCTAGCTGGGGAGAGCTCTTCATTCCATCTACTTGATGATCTTTTATGTCTAACATCGGGAAACAAATCTGATGACGCTGCAGAAGCATCCTTCTCACTCTCATTTTCAATTAGACCACCATCACGAAGGGCATCAAATTTCTGAAAAGAAGATAAAGAATACACACATTTTACATACTGTTTAGTGTTGTGAACACTTCGTAGAAAAAAGTCACACAATGAAAGGTTCATTTGGATGAAAGATATCTTCCTGATTAATTACAATACATCTAAAAAAAGATAATTAAGCTGTCAAAACTCAACTCAACCTAAAAGTTTAAGTTTTTGAAAGGACATCCAGGAATAGTTCATGTGAAAGCCCCTCTGGGCTTCAAGGGTTTCCTCCTAGAAATGGTTAACTAAAACAGAGACTATAAAAATTTATTGTTTTAACTTTTAAGTACTCAATCAGTGATGGAAGAAATAAAACCACTATGGAAATTTGTCAAGCAAGGAGTTCAAAGTACAAGCATTTGCAGAACGGAAATTGAAAGAGATTGTAAAAGACAATGAACAATAATTAACTTAAGGATGAACTCACATCATCCTCGCCAACAGAGTGACTTCGTTGGTGGCTGGGAATATCAGTTAGATATCCAGGAATTGCATTCTTTGAGGAAACCAGAATTAGTTTGGTTAGCCTCTGGATCCTACTCAGAAGAGCAGCCTTGGCTTCCTCCTCTTCTTCCAATCTTGATTGCATTTTTACCTGACCTTCTTCCAACTAGTCACATAACAGTACAAATACAATAGACAAGCAAATATGGTTACACAATCACAGAAAGCCTATTTAACAATCAAATATGAAATGAATATCACAGGAAACTAAAAACCTTTTGCTTTAAGGTCAAAATTTCCTCATGATTGACACCAACTACCATCCCCTTCTTTAGTTGATCAAGTTCTAGTTTGAGGACTGAAATTTCTCTCTGATATTTCTTAATCAGAGATTTTTCATCAATAATCTGTTAAGAAATAACCCCAGCATCAGGAACCACTCATACTTATAGGCATGCAATTCTATATATAATTAATAGCTTCAGCTGACCTTATTACGTGATGCATATATTTCAACTCGTTTTGCCCTGCTGGCAAACTTCAAGGTATTATGAGTCTCCTCCATGTTACTGGATGCTGGAGTTACTGTGCATATAAGCTGAAATTTTCATGTTAAAACAGATGTTACTACAGTAGCTATGTACAGACAATCTAACATAATCCATGGCCATATATGGGACAAAGTGAAAGAAAAGAAACTAGAATAGCCACAGCCTTACTTAAGCAGCATATTCAAATAGAATAATAACTCAGCATTTGTACAGAATAAATGGGACAGGAAAATATAATTAAACCATTTAATCACAAAAATGCTGTAGAATCCAAACTCACAGAAACATGGCCATGGCCACTAAGAGAAGATTGCAGCAGGCGGGTTAGCTTTGAATCTCGATATGGAACATGAGATGCCTTCCCCTCGCTCAATTTTCCTATAACCTTCACAATAAAATGTTCAAGACATTAACTCAAGATCCCTCCCACAGCACTACTAGTATCCTATGCAGGACTGGCTCTTTAATTGTTGATCCAGCATAACAGATAATTGTTTCATCAACATTTAACAGAATTAACTCAGTCAATAAAATTATTTCTGATTGCTTGCTTACCAAAAAAGGTTGAAAATGCATTAATTTCAAGCAGTTATAACTGTATCTTATACAGAAATATTGTGTCATACAGCTAGTCATTTCAAGTGCAAGCAAAATATCATAATTTCTCCAAACACAAAAAATATAGAAACATTATAACACCTACAGTTCCAAGTGTCAGAAGACTTTTGTTGATGTAAGATCCTTCTTTTCTTCTTAACCCAGTTGTCTCAGTTTTTGAGCTCTCAGATCCAGCCAAATCAATCAAGTTCTGAAAGAAGAAAACAGGCAAAGAAAAGTTGAAAATAATAGTCCAATAAATATAAATATTGCAAGGTTTAAATATGTTCTTGGTCTTAACATTTTCACGAGATTTTGATCTTAGTCATTAAAAAAAAATAGTACTAGGCCCTAAACTTACTAAATTTAGCACTTTGGGTCCTTCTCACTAACATAGACATAGTGCAACAAAAACCAACACATAACAACCTCTTAGGTTTAGTCACATCATTACTACAGACGGAAAGTGTTGAACTCAGAAAAAAATAGGAACTAAAACAAAAAAAAAAATTCAAATAGAATTGAGGGACTCAAATCAAATTTTTTAGAAAATGCAGAAATCAAAAACATATTTTAGGCATATGAATATTTCTACAGAGCAATAAATATTCTTCACATACAAGTTGAGAGAAGATCACTCCATCATAATCATCACCATGAGCACTGCTTTCTATCATCTGCAAATGTATTGGATAGCAATAACAATAGAGTTTAATTAAAGAAAAAATAATAATAATGATAATAACAATAATAAACTGTATGCCTGATGAGGTCAGCGATAGGCAGCCAAAATACATTAACTAGTTATCGTTGAACATTTCAGTCATGCAATGTAATTGTCAATCAGCTTTAAACAAACATGCACAAAAGGTAAGTAGAGCAATCCACAGACCACACAACCATATTCATGCATGCATGTCACAAGTTAGCCATTTGAAAACCATAAACACTCAAGCATGATTTAGATACTATTTCTTTACACGACTGAAGCAAGAGTAGAAAGGTTGTTCAATAACAATGTTAACAATATCACATCAAACATATTTACCAGTGTAAATATTGTGTGACTCCGGCTGCTAAAGAGATTAAAATTGTTTGATCCAACATGACGATGCTCTGTCATAAAAAAATTATTAAAGAATGTTTCTCAACCAACCATTAGTCATGACTCATGAGTAATTTAAAAAGGAGGAAATATGTTACTATCGTTCTCAAAATGAGTACCTTCTCCAGCAGCAATAAAAGAAAGTGCATGTCCAGGAGATAAAACAACTTCTTCCTTAATACCCTCCACATAAGTTCCCTGGAAAACAGGCCAGCATAAATAATCAATTACATCCCCAATTAGACTCAAGAAAAACACATTGTCTCAAGTTCAAAATTGAAAGTAATTTCTAAATCATTGACATTTCTTTAATGAAAAATCTAACACAATCTCAAATTTGGATAAATAATTGCTTGTTTTTCAAAATCTCTCACACAAAACTAGCAAAAACATGCAATTATTTTTCCAAAACAAGCTTAATTAAATACCCACTAGATTGTAAGGGTAGAAAAAGAAGGGTGGAACAGAAAATAATGAGACTCAAAACATCAGAATGCACCAGGAACCAAATTATCATCAATGGTGACACCAAAGCAATTTTAGATTAAAGTTTTGCATAATACATACACTCCACATTTCAAGTCGACTAGAAACATCAGTACTCATGTATAAAAGCAAATCAAAAATGAAAAGAGTAAGAGACTAATCACTTATGGATAGAATAAAAATAGTGAAACATGAACTCTAATAAGAAAGAATATGGTAAGACAAGAAACCTGTGCATCTTCTCTAACTCGCAAATTTTGGCCAGTTGGATCAAGTAAGTCATTTATCACCTGATACCAAGCAGAAACAACCAAAATATTTAAGGCAGGACAAGAAGAGTTACTTTATAAGTATGACTTAAAGTATTAGACCTTGTTAATCTCAAAGATGACAGAACAAAAGAATGTTTTGTCATTTACCTCATTGTATATTTCTAGATATGACACTCGGAGTAAGAATTCTCTTCCTGGAGTCTGCAGTAAAAATACAATTAGACAATCCAAGCAAGAACTTGTAAAATAAATTTAAGATGGAATGATTATGTGATCATGTCAAGTTGAAGCAGCAACTATTAACTATAATTACCAATCAGAACTTGAGCTCATATATCCTTGTAAATAACAAAATGCAGCACAAAGATGGCTATGTACAAGAGAAAACAAGAGTGACACATACAATACAATCATAGAGAAACTACAAGAGATACAGCAACATCGTACTCAAAGCATAGAATTATACAAACAACAAAGCCATAATGCCTGATATGCAATTTAAATAAACAGAGTACTAAGCATGCAAAATCTCTTACATCTTGGATCATACTGAAAACATCCTTTATAGCCAGGGGTATGATACCAGGAGAATTTTGATCACCCTGCACATTTTTATTGGAAAGAAAATTAGAAAAACAATGGGAGAGATCACGTCTAAATAGAAAAATATACCAATTAGACAATGCAGTTCAAAGACAAGCAAGAAATGTGACAATAAAAAGTGGTAAAAAGAACCACAAATTTGCAAGCCAAAGCATGCTACAATAGCACCAACTTTAAAACTTATACAGTGGACCTACTAATAGGATTATTACACAAATGACTGCAACTTACAATAGTCAAAAGATAGCAAAACCGTATCACCATCCTTAGCAAGCCTCATATAAATTGCATATAAAGAGCAGCACCAGTCACCCAAGAAGATTTCTTATGATTGTTAACTTTGCAAATCAACACATTAGAGCATGGTAACAAAATTTCTTAGAGACCAATTTAAATTATAACTTCATATTTCTATAATTCTACAAGTAGAGGGGAGAGAAATTGACAGAACTAATGTAAGGTTATTTTAAATGGGTAGCAAGAATAAGTTATCAAAATTACATATAATGGAAGGAAATAAGAAGTTTCAACGATTGCATTTAAAATACATTTCCAGGAAAGCATGCATACTGTACAAGTCAAGTTTAAAATTGGCTGCTAGATGATGTTTCAACAAAGACTCTAATCTCAAATGAAATGTCCAGTTCAAGTCTGAGAACCCTTTTCCATATTTGCATTAGACTACAAAACTTCTCTACTTTCCTCACATGTATTCTTATATATATAAAGTCCCTTTTAGCTTAAACAATATCACAATTTCAGTTACACATCTTCAGCTCTGCCAGGAAGCCCTGACATTTTAGACTTTTAGTTTCCACCAGGAATGATCCTATTCCTACAAGTTGTTTCACGTGTTATTGATTGCCACACATAACTAATATAAATGCTTAATGGTAATTTACCAGATTGTGGTATACAAAATAATTAACTGACTATCCTCTACCATGTCCAGAAAACCATGTCAACAATAAGTGGATCAAAAACCTTTAAACACCACCAAAATATAAATATTCTGAGAAGTTAGCCTTAGCAACAGAAATATCAAACAGATGCTGGATTAATACAATCATCTATGTTCCTCATAAAAAAAGTATAAAAGTCAATGCTTACAAGAAGTAGCTGTCATATGGCATATGTGCTGCTGTGTTAAAAAAAAATAAAGCAACACAAACTCACTAACTTGTTGACGTAGACCTAATTTGACAACTAATCAACACTAAATAAAAAGAAACTGTGTAATCTAACTGGAATGACACACAAGTTACAAATTTACAATATGATGATTTATGAGAGGTGACACATGACAATTTAGTTTTCAGCACAAAACATCTATTGAAAACATTAAAAGAAATGAGTAAGTTAAAGAATGACACTTACATGCATAGTATGTGTCTTACCACTACTCGTCACACCATAGGCAAACACAGTTCCTGCCATGTTTAGAATAAAGTTATCTTCCATCCAAAATTCATTTAGCAATAAAGAACAAGAAGAAGTATATCTTCCAAAAACTGAATCCACTATCCCCTCTAACACCAAACCAGTACAAAAATAACTTGTTCAACCTAGTAATTCAAGTAGAGACAACAGACAAAATTAAAACATTTATCATCAATCCATTGAAGGACATGATAGTACCAAATTAAACAGCCACACCACATTGTCATTTAGTCTGGAATCCAGATATTAGCATTCATACCATTGATGCCCTCCATGGCAGCCTTCACTACAGGTTTGGCTGCTACTTCATACACTTCTTCAGAATTGGTATGTGGTCCAAATACTCTATCTGTCACAAATTAAATCAGAATTCTAAAATTAGAATCCATAGTTTTAACTCTGAAACCAAAATCAAGGTCAATTTTCCAGTAGAAGCTCAATTGACTAACAAGAGCAGAAAATCAATCAAACGAATTACATAACATCACACGAGGAGGACAATAAACAATACCAAATGCATAAGCAGTAGCTGGATTATACTCATTTCTGACAATCTTGTCACCATCCGCATACCACGCGATCTCATCCCCTCTCTGATACTCCCTTTCACTGCAACCGAACCATTCAGTGACACTCAATCTCAGATAACACAAATGCCAAAATTGAACGACACAATCCTACAGTGATTGGATCTGAAAGCGTAACCTCAGATCTAGGCATTACCTCAACGGCCTAAACCGAATCGTGACCGAAATGCTATCGCCAGACCTCGACGAATCCACAGGCTCCGCAATCAGCTCCTCCGTCCCGAACGCCACCGGGGAACGACCACCGTAACCGCGCGAACCTTGATACGTTGACTCGCTGCAACCGCGACTCGGAGTCATGGATCGGCCACCGGAGTTGAAAAACGACGACGTAGAGGAAGAGCAGGATCGGGGCATTAACCTTCCGCTCATGAAGGAAGAAGACGAAGAAGTGGATGAGTACGGAGTCGAGGATTTACGGTAAGAAAACGGTGAACTACTCCTTGCTCGCGAGGAAGAAGCCATTGAGTTCACTCACCGAGTTGGTGACTCAGTAGAAACCAGAAAAGCGAACTAATGCGCCAGCGAGGGAGAAGGAGGGAGGGGAAGAGAATGTGTCAGAACTCTCACATGGCTATGCAAACAAAAGAGAGCAAAATTTGGTTCTCTTCGCTTTTCATTTTCCTTCGTTGCCTCCACTTAATGCTTTAAGAAGATATTATTCTCTCAGACAAATAGAGGAATACACGCACGCACGCACCCACCCAGAGACACAGATTGTTTCGTCTTCTTCAGTTTATAAGAATTTGCAGTAAGGATGAATGGGGTGCGAGAGAAGGGAGAAAGGAGAAAGTCCCGAGTTTAAATTTAATTTCTTTTCTTATTTTACGATAAGGTGAGGACTTTAAAATAATCAATTTTATTTTACATATTAGAATATTAGATTTAATTTAATTTTACTGAGCGATAACGTGGCGAATGAAAAGAAGGGTTTAAATTGAATTAAACTGTTTGGAAGCACCCCGCGCATAAAAATAATCGTGTACGGACAAAAGGCTTTCAAAACTAAAATGTGAACTTGAGCGGGAATAACTGCGGCCGCCGATCACGAATATTCATTCAATTCAATACACCAATAATTTCAATAATAAGACAAAATTGCATTTCGAATATTTGTTAAGAATTACATATTTGATTCAGTTTATTCTAAAAATTGTTTTTTTATTTTTTAGATAATTTAAAAATAAATAATTATTTTAAAAATTAATATGTTATTAAATATGAATTAAAATATTTGGTGTATTTAGATAAATTTATACTTTCTTTTCTTAAGAGATTAATGCACTTTTTTGGTATATAATGTATTACACTTTAGTTCATTTTAATTCAAACAATTTTTTGTTAAGAATTTATCTCTTGCGTTAATTATTGACATGCTTTTTAATTTATTTTTAAAAGAATTACTCATTTTATAACTTACAAAACAAAATTAAAAATTTAAATGATATATAAAATATATAATGAAAGGTGGTAAATTTTCTTTTTACGCTCTAAAATTATTAATTACTCTAAAAGTTATGATAAAATTATCATTTAGAAACATATTCATATTTATTCAACTTTACTGAATATGTTACTCTCTCAAGAGAAAAGAATATATGCTATTAATAATGTCAGTAAAAGTTTTGAATTCTCGCGTTTGCATTCGTTTGGGCATTGTGGTAATTTAATATTACTTGAATTCCAAATTTCTTTTAATTTTCTTTTATTTGTCTTGCAGATTAAAAATATTTGCGGGAAATGGGTCGAATTTGGGTATTTTGGTAATTTGGTGGTTACCTGAAATGAATTGACGGGGAAAGTACAAAAAGATGTTCCGTTGGCTTTTTGGCAACTGATGTTACGTTTGTTTGCAAAACGGCGAAATGTTCAAACGCGAACGAAAGGGAGAGCGTTCCAACCACGTTGTCGAATTAAAGAAAGAACCAACAAAATTGTGTAACCGTGACGTGACGATAGCCAACGACAAAAGGAGCCTCATTCGAAAAATGTTATGTTGTGTATATTCATTTCTAGTCTGTGTTATTTTTTTCAAACCACATTTTTACTCTTTCTAATGGTACACGTAATGCAGCGTAACACAATTTTTTCTAAGTTTTAAAATTTTTAAAAATATTTTAAATAAAAACAAAGCTTATATTAACACACAAAATTTATATAATTACTCCCATTAAATCAACAATGCTACCCAAAATTACAAAATCGAATCACTAACAGTTATAAGTTTTGCGTTATATTGCTTCTTTATTTGAAGTATCTTTGACGTTAATTAAAATCAAATATTTTATTTGATAATTTTAAAGAAGCGTCCCTAAATATTATACATGATAATATAAAAATATTATTTTCATATCTTACATACTAAGAATGAATGGGTATTAAATATATAAAATAATAAAATGAATAACTAATTCAGTCTAAAATGCAAAAAGAAAAAAGAATGATACAATTGCATGAAAATCGATAACATATACTGAAATTAATTTAAACATATATCGGAGTTTGTTTTTATGATTGAGTTGGACTTCTGAAAAAATGATCTACAATGAATCAGAAATACCCTTACCAAAATTGACCGTTCTACACACCTTACTATGAGAGGTAGCAGTATCAATCGTATTGTTATTAACTTACAGTGTGGGGTGTGCTAGGTTATGTCACCGTCAGCAATTTGCAACAATGCTCGCGTGTGTCGCAGCCTATGTAAGAAACATAGCTCCAATCATTGGGTGCCTTTAGTGGGTATCGTTTCCGTTGTCCCAACACTGATGAAGCCCCTTTTTTTTTTCTACAAATACTTAAATATTTATTAAAAAAATGTAATTAATAAACTTGTTTTATTTTGTTTAATGCATTTAGAAAGCACTTGTAAAATAAAATGAACATAAAAATGAAAAAGGTAAGAGGGAAGAAGTGGACCCATTGGGGCTCCAATTCCAAATGTAAAGGGCCATGTTACCACCAATGAAGGCCGAGGCCATATTTCATGTTTGATATAGGTATTACTTTCTAGCGGTTGCTCACGTAAATGCGCATCGAATCAATGTGGTACGACGCTTTCCAAGACAACCAACCAAAAGCCAAAAATAGTAAAATACTTAGGATTTGATAGAGATGGATGGATCAAATTGAACTTCCTCGTGAATAAATATTTGCCCAGCATGTGAATCGATGAGGTAGTGTGGTGTGCGTTCATCTATGTCAATCGATAAATGGCATTGGATGCGGCTAATAAATTTCATTTTCTGTTTAGTTGTATGTGCATGCCCAGCACATATTGCTAGTGTAATATTTTGTCTATCCAAATTTTATATTATTTCTAACTAAACACTGTTGTAGATCTCTCGAATCAAAATTTTCACTGCCATATTGCAGATCTTACACATTACGTAAAGATAAAAGAACTCATAATTCATTCATTCACATGGCCACGACACATTGATGGTGAAAATGAGTTTTAAAAAAATCAAAGTCGTGGAATGTTGGATGAAGATATCGTTGGTATATAAAAAAAAACTACTGGGGAATAAATTGTTTAATTATACCGAGTAAAAATGAATTTAACACTGATAAATTTACGTAGAATAAGCTAATTAAGACAAGTGTGCTCAATTTAAAACTCGTTTATTTATTTCACCTTGTCATTAAATGTCAACTCATGTTACTGATCTGAGTAAATAGGTAAATCTAGATTTAAGTAAAATTATCTTAGTTACGTACCAAGTACCAACCCATTTAAATTTAACCTTATTGCCACTTGCGGTAAGTTAGGCATTCCCATTTTCACAAGTAAGGGTAAAAAAAATAGGTGGGTTGCGTGAATTTGACTTGTTTTCCTAATTTAGAACATGAGCCCATTTAGTTATTTAATAAAGGTTTTTTTAAGATCTAGCTTGATATTTTTCAAAAACTTGATATAGTCCAAACTTTATAAACAATTTGAAGTGTAGTAAATTAGTAATTAACAATGTCATATGCAGCAGGACAATGACTTTAAACTTTTAAATAAACTAATCAATATGTCATTTAAAAACACTATCATAATATACTATTGTTATTTAAATAATTTTGTTTGCATATTTTAAAAATTAAATAAATTACTGCATAAATTTGTTGTTTAAATTATTTAATAAGTTTAGCATCACTTAAACTTCATATACACTATGTTATGGGCCCAATGAGCAATCTAACGATTCTCTTTCCTTCAAAAGCAGTGGTGGCATATACATGGCACATACCCACAATGCTGCCATTGATGGAAACATTCAGTTGGAACATCGCGGTCATGTCTATATTACGGCTACGAAAGCCATTATTATAAACAGTACTTTGAGCAAGCGTATTCATTCTCACCGTACATTCTCCTAAAAGATGCAGTATAATGTTCCATAGATTTTGGGGATTTTCTAATGTTCCACAGTTATGAATTTATAGCGTAAAAAAGTTTCCTCTCCCCCTCCAAAAGATAAATCTGTCTTACTGAAAAGAGAACGGATTTGATGAATATATGCCATTCATGTTTCAAGTCAAACAGGATGCTAAAATTGTATGTGATTTCTTTATATATAAAAATTATTTTTGATTTTTATATTAACAAACTATGATGTGTGTGTCAACCAAAAATGTAATTCTGCCCAGTGGGCATTGCAAGATGAAGACGTGGAGTATTTAAAGAAATAAATGAAAAAGAAAAGGGATGATGTGGATTGCAAGTACTGAAAATTTATTAGCTTTTGCTTCCAATTAAAAGATTAAGTATCATAATCCAAATCCATCAATTTCTTGCACTGGTCTGAGCAGTGATGGTGATTCCTAAACTCAAAAACAAGGGGAAAAGCGTAAGATATAATTGTGGGGTCGTCTCAAAGGAAAACAAGCCTAAAAGATGGGTTTGTTTCAACTAACCAACCAACCGTGCATGCATTAGTAATAAAAAAACCTAACAGGATAGAAGAAAAAACAAGGACATCAAATTGAAGCATTAGAATTTCTTGCCAATTTCGTGTTGGATGATTATTATCATTTTATGGTGCCTATATCTGTATATGAAAGAGTACAAGCAAAGAATACAAAGGAAAATAATTAATTGATTTTCACTTTGAATCCATGTTGTGGGGGATAGTAGCTTTAAGGCACATGCACGAGGCAATCGTTTATATTTTTTACGTGGTCCTTTTTAATGGGGATGCTTGTGACTGTGTCGATAAGTTAGCAACTAGCTGTCACCTTCACTTCGAACCATACTAGTGACTCACGTGCAAATGGGGACATCTTATGAGATGGGCCAGTTATGTGGGTTCCAATTTCCATTTTTTTGGATTGTGGGGGCAATGGTTCACCACACTGCACAATACGGAGCCCTTGCTCCATCATTTTATCATTTTTCCTTCCCTTATTTTTCACGGGTCATCTTTGCTTGCACCAGATACCACGAGGATCTTATAGCTTTTCCTTGATTTCTTATTAATAAGAAATATGCTATTTCACTTGAAAATTTATTTCTTAAGCCGTCTTAAAACATCCTACATAAATTAAGAATATAGTTAAAATATCTTTAATAAAAATTAAACAAGCATTATCTTTTATAAAAATAAAAGGGCAATACAACCAACAAAAATGAGTAATCTCCAATCTTGAATTTCGAAGTGAGCAACTTCCTTTTTTTTTTCCTCTAAAATTCCACTTACCTGCCCAGGGAAAAAAAAATTCAAGATAAATAAAATAAAATAATTCAGCGACTTTTCGTCCTCAAGACGCAGTCCCTCGCCTGTGGGAAATAGACATATGTAAAATGACTTCTGAATCCGTATTTTAGAAAAAATGATTCATGTAAATTGGAACATTAGATAAAAATCGAATGGTTCAAATTTGAAGTATAATTTGTGTAGAAAACGAAATTTAAAATGTCTCATGTTCATCAAACAGTTTTGAATTGAGTGACTGCATGTATGCGTGATACGATAAGTAAATTATTCCTAAAATATAGAAATGTCAGGTTATAATGGGCCGCTACCTTAAACCTAATTCTGCCATATAATAAGTAAATTATAATAAATAAAATTTTCAAATTAATGTTATATTTTATACTAATCGTGTAATTTAGCCTTGAAATTTTTTATATTTTTAAAAATTATTAATGGTATTTTCACGAGTTATTCAATTTAGAATTATTAAATATATAATTTAATTGAAAAATATTTGAAATTACATTAAATAAAAGATAGAATGAGAATTCCGATTTCGTCCTACGGAAGATGGGGGAGGATTTGAGAATGGGAAGGGAAAAATCCAATCTCGTCCCACCGTGGGAGGCGAGTATACAGCCCCAGGTCGTGACTAACATGCAAACTTGCCCAAGCTTGGGTCAAAAGCACCCATGCTTAATTCCCTGAACCCACAAATTAAACGGGTTTCAGGGTTTGGTCTAGAAGTTTGCGAACGAATCTTTTCACTTGCACAACATTTTTTTTAATTAACAATTTTAAAACGAGTAAACCTCCAGTTGTGAGATTGTGAGTGTCTAGTAATTGAGTTACTAAGATTTTAAAATAGTCCGTAATCCTAAGCTTTTTTTAAAATTAAACACTTTAATCCAATTAATAATTTCTATCACAGTAGTGTTAATTTTTATCATTAAGTTACCCTTAAATACCAAAAAGGTCGTTTCGCATAGTCTCAAACACTGGCCGATTTGGTTATCATAGCTGTGTTCTTTCTCTTTTTCACCGAGTCGCTGCTTCCCCCGCTGCCACTAGTGCCATCACTCAAATCTCCCTCTCCTCCCTATCCACTGACCGATTTTCTACCATAGTTGACGGCAAAAATATTTCAGAATCCATGCTTAGCAAAATTTTCTTGATACTTAACTAGGAAAACGTGCAGCAACTTCCTCTGAAACTGTTGAATTGAACGCACACACAAAAATACTATTCATTTTCCATTACGTGTTAAATAGATGATGATACAAATAACAATACACGTAGATTCAATTACCACGTGCTGGGGAAAAAATCGACGTAACAGCTAGAAGAGCAAGGACTTGTTTTTGCACTCAACCCCTTTAAATCGTTTAAGAATAATAACCCGACAAAAAAAAAAAAAAAAAAACCGCGCGGCGTAGGTAAACTTTGTATATTAGGAATTGCTTCGATATTCTGGATTTTTCCTTGGGTACTGGTATCCTAATTAGTTGTCAATCATTTCATAAGTTGTTGATTTTAACAATAGGAGTTTGAAGTCCATAAAATACAATCAACAACCAGGAAAAATTTGACACCTAAAAAGGCCACAGGTAGCAAGAAAAAACATAGGTCGAGGAGCAACTCTCTGCATGTGTACTTCATCAGGATTGTAGTTCCCTTGCACAACTTGTGGACAAATCTGAACCTAAGCTGCTTTCAACTTTTCAAGTTCAAATTGGCTTTCCTCAGAGTAAAGCATGCCATTAGGAGAGAGAAGGCGCCGGAGAGCAAGGAAGAATCGAGCCTGAAAAGCCTATTAATTAGAGAGGGCCAAAATTTCAGAAGTATACAGGTTGGGTTTCATTTTGTAACATTTACCCATTGAAATCCTACTAGAGCACACCAACAACCAGGCAAACCATAGCCTTTACTACTCACAAGCTGACACAAAGAAAGAAGCATAAGTTCAATATACGTAAAAATTGATTTCAGAAAAAATGTTGCATTATCAGTAGAGAAATATACATACCAATAGTAAAACAGCTCCGAGGGAGAAGCATCCACTCATTGATAAGCTAATAAATTTAAGGTCCCCGCCAGCCTGCACGAGCATAAAAGAAAAACAGAGAACTTTTCGCATGTTCATATGTACCTAAATGCTGTTACATAATACACGGAACTTTGGCAGAAACAAGCAGAAAAGGAGGCATATCAGTAATGAAAGCAGGGGGAAAACAGAAGGTATAACATTTAAGGATTTAAAGATGGAGCGACTGTAAGTTAACGTGTTAATGATATGATCCACCATGCATAAGCAAATTCATCTTTATTTGATAATTTACGTGAACAACTGACCAAATAAGTTACTAGAGCCTATCATGAAAAATAATTGTCCTGAGAATTCCTTCTTAGAAAACTAAAAGGGAATAGAAAACCACATTAGAAACGTCAAATGAATTACTATTATTTTAATTTTTAGAGTTCTCTCAAGATAACATCACATCATTTATATTAGAGTTGGATATTTGAAACTACTAAAAAGGAAACAGAGATCCAACATACCAGTAATGTGCCCTCGAGGCTGTGAGTACAGGGTGACACACATAAAGCAAAAAAGAACAGAATCAACACGCTGCGCATCTGCATTAGAACAAAACTGAATTATCGATCACAACGAAAAAGGCAATGATTATTTAAAGTAAAAATAGCTCTTCCACGCAAAAGTTTAATATCCTCATATCGAAAGGAAGTTTGAGTCTTTAAAGAAATGTTTAAGATCTCTCCCTTCTATTCTCTACCTATCCCCGTTATTCCTTCAAATCCAGTGATTGCGACACAAACCACGTACTAAAGCATAAGTTGACCCGGAAGCAACTAGGTAGGTATAGCAAAAACTTTGTTTTTCTCATAACGAACAAACACTAGTCATTTATATCAAGCAATTAAAAGTTACACCATACAGCTAAAAATGTAAAGACCAAATAGCCAGAAAGAGTATAAGGTAACTTCTTTAAGTATTGATTCACTAACCTCACGTACGACCTTAAGATCAGGGGTAAAAATGTTTGGCAACAACCAAGGAATAGACATTCCGCCAAGTCCAATTACTAGTCCAAGCAATGCTCCAATAATCACCAGTGACTTCAATAGGGTTCGTGCCTGTATAACATTCCTAAACCTTAAGAGGACATAGAGAAACCTATTCCATTTAAGATCCTTTCATGCCATATATTTAGCAAAAGATATCCTCCCTCATCAGTGAGTAGCGAAATAAATGTGCACGAACACAGAAAAATTTAAGCCATGGAATAACAACGTTTTGAACATTCGATATGTGATAGACTAAGAGCGGTAACATTGACCAAGACATGTTGTATGATTTTAGACGGCACATGAACGTTACTAACCTTCTCCAAACTTCGATTGAACCCATATAATAGCTCGGGCATAAATGATTGAGCAGTTTGAGAAAGAGGTTCCCCCCATACTACGCACATGCTGTACATCTGAATCATAACCTAGTGAATGGTGAATTGATCATTAATATGTGAAAAACAGATCCCATGCATAGAATGATACAGAAACGAAAATCTAATCGTAAGTGAAACCAACCTGATGAGCTGCAACTGTATGAGTACCGATAGCTGTGGCAAAATATGTAAGAAGAGAATAGAAAGCCACCTAAAAACACTGAAAGAACCTAAGCTCGATACACATATAATAGAAGCAAGCCAAATTCCGGTATAGTCCAAGAAAAAACGTAGTCTACCTTTGAGAACATCGTCACAAACACAGGTGCAGCTATCTCAAATATTTGCAAGAAGTCAGAGAACGATGGCAATGAGAAGCCAAAAGCATTATATCCTTTTCTGTTCAGTGCTTCAATCATCATAAAAGCCGCTACAATCTGCAAAGAAATTAGACAAATGGGGTATTGGATTTGGAAGAATGAGCCAGCCCCAAGAAAAAGACAAAATATCGATCCATATCTTCTAATAAATTCTTAGTTAACATACTTGGGATGCCATTGTTGCCCATGCTGCGCCCTCTATACCGTATCGCAGAAAACTGCATAGGATTACATGACCAATGGCATTCACAGCACTGGCAATGACCAAAGCCTTTAGAGGTCCCCACGAATCTTTCATTCCAAGACTAAATCAAATTCAAAACATTATTAGAATGCAGCATCTTGCATGGCAATATCAATACTCATTTATTTAACATCGTTGTTGGTAATAACTAGACTTAAAATCAGAATTCGAATTTTAACATAAAAATGCGCTGATCTATAACAAACTTATTTAATTCAAACTTAATCCATGCCACTTGCAAATTAGGACATCTACTTTCATCGTTACTTTGCAGTCCATCCACTATATGGGCCTAGTTATGATATGACAGAAAAAATACGAATTTTCGAGCTAAACTGTTTTGAATGGTGTGTCCAAAGTCCGAACGAAATTTCAATTACAATTTTCAGTTAGCAAACATGCAACCAGGTGTCTTGACTTTAGATTAATAAAAACATGGAAATAGTTTTACCCCAGAGAATTTATCTATGATGTTTATGAGATTCCTGCATGAGAAGGGATCCCATGTGAATGCATTGCACAGAATGCTCCAAGTCTAGCTAGGTTTGAAACATTAAGAGACAAACTCTCAGGAAGATAGAATTGCTCCACGTAAAGATAGTTTATGTTGGAACATGGGTGATCGTTTCTTACACTAGTGTATTTAAAACCTCAGTATATGATGAGTGAATGCAGAATTCATGAAAAATAACGACCCTCACATGCCTTCAGACTCAGAGGCGGAGGTGATTAATAGATGATGCATGAGAAGGGAAGAAATACCTTGCACTTTGAGCAACCAGTCCGTAAAGAACAGCAGGCCATGCCAAGCCACGAATCTATCAAAACAAATTCTCTTTTTAAGTCAAAGATCTAAGAATCAATCTGAAGATGAGATGCAAAACTATTTAGTCAAACCAGTTGTTTAAATTATGATTAAGATTAAGAAGTACATGTTAGGCTACCACTTCAGAGATGATTAAGTGATCAAATTAAAGACAAAATTGGTACATAATAGAAAGAAAAAGAACCTGAACATATTTGCTTGCTACTGGTACAATATGCACATTCTTTGGCCCAGTAAAAGCTGTAAATGGAAAATAAACAGCCTAATGTATTAATATTTTGCCCTTGCCCAATCGAAGGTTCATCTTCAGCATACTACATTGTTCATTTACTTTTACATTACCCAATTAAATAATAAACTGGCCAGAGCAAGTAAAATGTAAACCGCACGTGTATTTTGTACAATGTTCAGATAAACAAAATATCTGCTTAAATTACTTACCAGTTAACGCCCACGAACCAAGAAACTGTGTAAACAACAGCATCAGTGTCCCACATATGAGGCCAATAAAAAGTAACATAGATATTTGATGCTGCACCTCATTTTTGTCCTGCACCGTTTAGTTTAGGAATCTATGTAGTTAATATTTAAGTTACGCAGCCTCCACTCCAACTCCAGAAGCAATGAGACAAAAATCCAACTATATCATAGCCTTCAGCGATGGATCATGGATGCATGGCACCATGAAACAGAAACATTAACCATATCATGATATATAAGCATTTAAAACACGCATGAAAAGCACAAGAACTAACCTCTTTTGCAAGTGAAGTGGCGACCATATTGGAAGTTGCGATGGAAAGGAACATGAACAAGAGGTTCATGTTATCACAAAAAACCGTGCCAGGGCCTGGCCATACAAAGAAACATTTCAAATAATAATAATAATAATAATAAATCAAAATTAAATAAACGGATAATCATAAAAGAAAATGCAGTATTTGATTTTTATTTTATTTTATTTAGAAGATATTTACCTAAAGCAGCTAGTTCAGTAGAGCTTCGTCGACCAACAACGGCCGTAGAGATGAGACTCATCAACGGCGCAGAGATCCAAAGCCCAGTGGCAGGCCCACAAAACGCCACAATGTCGGTGATTTGGGCCCAAATGCTGTACGTATTAGAATTGGAATCTGCTGCATCGTCTTGGTCATTGAACAGCGAGACCGAGTCGGACTCGCTCTTATTATGGCTCCGAGTTCGAAGACGATTCATGTCGGTGGCGCGAGATGTTAGTGATAATTTGAAGCAACGGTTGTGCTGTGAGGTAGTTTGTGAAGGGAAAGGAAAGTGCAGAGAAGAATGTGGTGAGAATCTTTGGAAGTGAGGAAGGGTTAGTGATAGGGTTTTGAGCTGCATTTTTTGCAGAGGAAATGAATGAGGATGGAGGAAGAGAGGGAGAAGAATGAAGAGAAGAGAGGAACACTTAAGTTTGAAAGAGACAGTTTCGCGCGATTTAGTTTTGGACTTTTGGGTTTGTTGGGAATGGCATGGTATGGCAGTTACGTAGCCACGTGATCAACCGATGTTCTTATTTCTATATTAATTTTTCACTTAATTTATGTTAACGATGTATTTAATTAAATAATTTTATCTAACTTTCACTCGATAAGAATATTATATAAGCTTGTTTACTAAAATTTATCTTAAAACTTATTAAATAAGATCGAATTAATTTATATAAGGTTATAAGTTTTTAATCAACAATTTTAGTACTTACGACATGAGATAAACTTTTAATAATTTATTGTAAAACTAATTCAAACACCTTTTAAGTATAAAGTTATTAATTAGTACATTTTATTTGTTATATTATGAATTTGTAGGATGAAATGTAAAATTACGAAATCTAATACGTGGTTCAAAGATCTAAGAACAAGAGGAAATATTGTTGAATCAGACCACCAAGTTTAAGGGTTTAACCGATATTCAACACTTGATCATTTATATCACTTGTATATCTTACAAATCAACTTTGTTTATCCACCTAAATCCGTATTGACAAGTTCAAATTTCGTACATGTACTTGAAAAATCCTTAGATTGCGTTGACAAACTCACAATGGTCTTTTCTTTTCTTTTTTCTAAGTTGATAATAATGTTTTCTAGGCTAATGTGAAACTTCATCGCTTAAAAAATATCACCAACTACTTTATTTTTAAAAAAAAATTAAGTATCAGACTAATTTGATCCCTAAAAAATTTACTCAACACAATTTAGTATTTCAGGAAAAAAAAAATCACCGAAATAGTGCTAATTTAAAATACTTTAATTCTTTGTGTTTATTAAAAATTTCAAAGACTAATTTAATTCTCCTATAATTTTTGAAGAAGCAAATTGGTATGCATTCCAAATTTTTTAAGGACTAATTATATACCTAAAGATAGAAAGAAAATTAACTATAGAACTAAAATGTTTCATGTTTATAATTTTGATAAATTATTTAGTGATTTTATATTTCTTTAAGAGCCAAATCAGGTCAAACAATTTTTAAGGATTAAATTTAATATTTATTCAATTTTTTTAGATATCATACTTTAAAAAGTTTTATATAAAAAACGATAAAAGCACAAAATTTAACATACGTTTTTAGTGTATTCTTTTATATTATTAAATAAAATAATTTATATTAATTTCACTTGATCCTGGGCAAAAGGATGATACTGATATTATATCAATTCAACTGAACGAATTAATCATAACAATTTTGAATGGTTTAGGTAAACAAAAATGACTTTTATGTTATTATTTTGGGGGAAATTTTTTTTTTGTATTATTTTACATACATAAATATAAAAAAGATGAAAAAAAAATTTAATTTAGTTTGTTTTAAAGAAAAATTATATATTTTTATTAATTTCTTTAGAGAACTCTAAAAGGTAAGCTATTATTGCTTTAAATGTAAACATTTATAAGCATATACTAACTAAAAAATAAAAATATTTCTATTTCAGTATCAATATTCAAATGTTTAAACAACAGGATTGTTAGGTAAAACACTTGTTATCTAGTTAATATTTTGGAAGGGACATGCAATGGCTGCATCCGCCATCTTTCGTTCTTTTAGAAGAATTTCCCTTGCAGGAGAACTTTTGCAAAATCCTTTCCCATCTGATTGAAAAATTGGACCATTGAAAGAGACCACTAATTTAACTTTATTTATTTTCTAATCATTGATTACAAATGCACGCAGGTTTTTCGCACAGCACTCGCGTATGGCGTTGCTAGCTGATTTGAGTGCATGAGCAAAACGGCAGCAAAGAAAAATGACGCAACGCCCAGAAAAAGAAACACGACAGATTTGGAGCATTAACTAATACACGACGATATGCTCACCTCACCCAAAATACCATGCTGTGCTTTCTGCAACTCTATGATCCACAAGGTTTCTCGCAGTTTTGTCCACCTTGCTCAGCCACACGGCATTAACATTCGCGACGCTGTTAGTTTCATCCGCTAATCAATCCACTTTTCTTTTTTCGAAAAATTGAAAACACAAACTCCTATTCCTCTGCTTTTGCTAGTTTTCATGACAAAATATGCTTCTAATGAATAAAAATGGCTTTAGAAAAGAAGTAATACAAACATTTTCAACAGTTACAGTGTATAAGATTATGCAAAAGGACTGTTCACCTAGATAAAGCTGTGCAAGAGTTTTTCAAGCACTATATTGATTTTTTTTTTCATTAATTCTTTAGCCATCAAAAAGTTTTTTTTTTTTGTCTATTTTAAGATTTATCTTTAGTTCCAAGAAGAATGTCATCTGAAAAAAATTAAAAAAATATATTTGGATTATTAAATTCAGAGAAGTTTACAGAAATATTTGAAAGACAATGAGTTTGTAATCACAAAGTACTTTAGAATGAAAATATTGATATTTTTTTCAAAAATTCGACGCAATTCTAAGTTTGTGAAGTGAGCCAATATAAACTATTTATGTTCTTCTCTCCTTATGTTCTTTAATTTGGCTAAACTATTTTAAGGCTGTGACACATTAAGATTTTATTTTGTAAAACTTATTTCAAAACAAATCATCACCTTTTAAACTAATCGATGATTGCTTAAACAAATCTTATCCGTATCTATGAAAAATTTTAGAAGGGAAGAAAAGCTCAATTTAACTCCCTTTCTTGTATTTTTTTTTCTTTATTCTCCTTTTTCATACTAATTGGTAAAAACAACACAGTAAAAGAAAAAACGTATTCTTTTTAACTAAAACCCCAGTAATAAATCCAAATTCAAATAAAGAACCCACAAGACATGAATATGGATAGTTAAGTCATTAATCTTACTAACACACGGTTAAAAGAAAAGATATTTTAATACTTCAATCAAACTCAACTCATTGTCATTCTAATAAAGAGAGAAATCATAAATCGATTGATAATCACAAGAGAAAAAAGTTGTCATTTACAGCACAAATCTATCTGTTGTATGCTAACACAAAATCAAAACATACGCACATACAAAATCCCTATGGAAGGAAACCACCAACTCAGCCCAAAAGAAAAAATCAAAACACTTCAGCCACCTTGCTCGCAAGGACTCGCTCCCTTCTTTCAATGTAACCGAATGGAAACCAACCTGCTTTTCCTTTGCATTCACCCTCAGCCCATCCATTGTTTGTCACCTGTCAGTCGGAGTCAAATTGTAACAATTTGAAATATGTATAGATTTTAAGGTAATACATCCCAACCACCACTATAAAAATATATATATATATTCCTTTTAAATATGAACATGACGAATCTGTTGTTCAATTCATCAGCATTCGATACTAATATGATAAAGAAGTTATACAAGCTCTAGCAGATGAATCACAATTCCTTTAGCGTTAGACACGCAAGTCACACACTAGCAAATGACCAAACAATCATTCAGTGTCGAGTCAATGACAATTACCAACTTATTAATCATGTTCTGATATCATATTAGTGCATGTTTAGTTAAATTTATTTCAGAGAAAAAGCTTCTTGAGAGAACTGCTGAAATAATAAGCGATTATTTCTCCCCAAAAATCATTACAAACATGCACTAAGATTAGCAACTCTATCTGAAGCTTAAACAGACAGGAAAACGGTCTGACTATTACATTACAGTATCCTTGTATTTTACTTTGTTTTGCACATGTCAATTTTCATATTTTCAGTGTTCCTGGTTGGAAAATACCAGGGCAATCCAAACTTAAAGCATCCTCCACATCTAAACGGAAAAGAGACAGAATCCTTCAAATAAAATGAAATAAAAGACATTTCTTTGTTAAAAAAAGGTGTAGTTATAGACTGAGCAAGTCACAAACCTTTCGAACAACAATATAATCCCCAACTGATAGATTCAATTCAACTTCAGACTCAGCATGGTAGGGAAATAAAACCTGCAGGATAATGTACAACAAAAAGTAAAGTAAGCCAGTCACTTATTTTTCAGTACAATATCTCTAACTTCTGTTCAATAAATAGTCTAACCTCTCCTAAGAAGTAACCCATACTATCTGTTGAGCCATTATGTGCTTGAGAAGCATATACACCATTTACTTCTTCATATGATGGGGGTGGCGGCATGCTGTTATCCACACTAGGTGTAGGAGGGGCTTCAATTCGCTGTCGTTCTGATATCATCTATAATTAAAATATACAGATGCCACAAATTCATATGTTGATACCAAATAAAAATGACATAACATTCCAATGGCATATTTGACTTCTAAATGGAGAAGATAATGAAGAAATGACCAAGGGAGACAGTTGCCCACCTCTCCCTCAAGCTGATCAAGTATTTGGAGTACTCTTTGATGATAGGCACGCTCTGCTTCAACCTTCATAATCAGAAATAGAATGCCGGATTTAAGTAGGAGTAATAATTTCTTATAACCCATATCCAGTATTTCATTAAAACTGAAGAATTGCAGCATCATATGGTAAAACTGCAATACCATTGCTATAAGACGCTGGAGGGTTAACCTCTGTTGCTGTGCTTCAACAGCAGCCATTGCTGCAGCTGCTTCCTTTCCCAATATGCCCATGTTTGTCTTCAGGTCTTGCAGCTTTGCTTCAGCTGCTTCCAGTTTCATAGCATTCTCAGCATTGCCTGGTGTTTCTCTTACTTTTGCCTGGCGTTTGGAAACTTCAATTGCCTGTCTAGGTTTAAAAGACAGACTAATTACAAAATACACGGGAAAGAAAATATCATTGATGAAATATTTACTTATTCAGAAACTTACCAGAAAGTAAGCCGGTGTCAAATGAAAAATAAAATAAAATGAAGGATAAAATTCCAAATACCTGAGCTTCAGCTTCCTGTCGCATTCTGTCATAACGTTGAGCAAGATGCCGGGCATCCTCTAATGGAGCTCCCATCACCATTGCTCTTAAGGGTTCAGCAACCTAGGCATCAAACAACACTTAATAAAGATGGTAGGCACACACTGGATACATTAACACTGGATCATGCCCAAAGGCCCTAATCCTCTCGCAAATGACAGGATTCCTCTCTCTTAAACTCCCCATTATTTATAGGCAGCATGCCATATTTCTAGTTATTATCCAAACCCAACTAACTAACTACCTCACTAACAGTTACTAACAAATGCTAAAAGATATAAAAAACTAACACACACCTAAATCTAATAGAACATACACCTAACAAGAATCCAAAAATTAATGTATGAAGCCAGATTTGAACTCTACAATCATGCAATTACAACTGGCTGTTTGATGGACTCATGCAATACACAAAAAAAATCTGGTTATTCTCATGGGTCCCTATCATTCTCCTTTTTAGAGAAATACACAGTTTTTATTAAGCAGAATAGCAACACACAACATCTATGAGAAGCCAAAACAAATGTAAGAACTCAAAGGAAAATGGTAGAGATGTATACAAGATAATAAGTACCAGAGCTTAAATTTCAAGCGAATATACTACTGTAGAGGATTCAATGAAACTGCTAAGAATCTCACTGCCATAAAAAAAAGATGAAAACAAAACAAAGCATCTTCAATTCTTCATGAGCTTAGCCAAAGATAGTGGACCTTGGATTAAAAACAGTTGGCAAAACAGGAAATAAGTAGTGTTCATCCAAGCAGTGATAATATACCAATATATTGGTAATTTAAGATGCTTTGATCTACATAATTTTGGCACTAAACACAAGTATTGGCCAGAAACTTAACTTCAGAATCCGATGAAGCACAAGTGTTCATGTGATTGGGCATGTTTACCTGTGTGCCAAGAGCTTTTAGTAAGTTACCGCGCTCCTTTTCCATTTGTGCACGGGCCCGTGCATAATTTAGCGCAGCTCTTGATAACGTATTACCACTGGTACACGTATTATCCGCTCCATATTTCCTGCTATCTTCCGACAACTTTGTTCCTGTTAAATAACAAGGATAGTAATTCAGTCATTATACTGATAGGAAGTGATATTGAAACTGAAATAGGATTGAATTCAAGGAGGAAATGTCCTTTACATGGAAAAAAACACGGCTCAACGAATGGAAACACAGATACAAGAATAGAAGAAACACAGAAATAAGATATAACAATCAGAGCTGATACACAGACTCTGCCTTTCCTGGCCTAACCTACCAGTTCACTCCCAAAATTCTTCCCAGCCTCACCACAATTTCCCACTCCTCTTTAATCACATTTCCCTTCCTCTCCCATAATTGGCAATTTCACAATTCTCCTGACTCTTCTCCAATAGCTTGCTGTCTTGTGTAAATTCTGTTGCACTCTCCCATCTGTTTATCACTATTTCCTCCTTCCTTCTACCAGCACTCCTGTTTCACTTATCATAAACACGCACAACTTCCATTGGCCAAACACTCTCCACTCACTCTCTTCCTTTTTTATTTTATAAATGTGTAATAGACATATCAGACATTATGTTTAACAAAACTAACTGCAAAGAAAATTGCACCAAGCCAAATTCCTGACCTATTTCAACTTGCTTGGATCCAGTAACAATATAACCTTCCACACCACGGACAATATCCCTTTGATAATGCTGAAAAAAATATTTTTGTTTTGTCAGCCAAGGAATGCGACTATAAGTAGAGATAAAACATAAACAAAAAACAGAGGATTGGTACAGGAAAAAAGCAAGTAACCTTTCCTGCACGTGTTGATATGTAAAGCTTCTCAAGTTTCTGATGTTGTTGAAGCTCTACTTCATCAGTAACCAAATCATCTGAAACTCCAAATCCCCCAGCCCCAAACTGTTTCAGCACAGCCTATGTAGCAATAACCGTGATTAAAACCTCAAAATAGGAAGCAAGCAAAAGGAACATTAGAGAACAAACAAGAAGAAAAAAAGGAGCACGAAATCAATGGAATCTTGCCATCAAAATAAACATAAGTACAGTCATGGGGGAGGAAAAGATATCCTCCAAAGAAAAAAATGGCAACTTTCTGATTTATGCTCACCCCTCTCAAGAAAATATGAAAAAAAGGCAACCATCATAATGCGGGGATCACAGTCATGTGAGCAGTATCTCTTCAATTAAGTGCTCCAATTGACAGGTTACTGGTATTGTAAGACGATATTGAGCATGCCATAAACTTTTCTTTTTTTTTTTTTTTCCTCAAAATTTACTTTATTTTACTTTCCTGTTGAAGTGAGGGGGAGTCAAGGCCATATCTATGGACCCAATAAGTATTCATCCAGTATCTTGGCTTAGGACAACAGAAAATTGCATCATGTCCTGGCAGCATTTCTTGAAACACAAGGAAATGCTTCTGGCATGTTGATCTTTGGAATGAACATAAGATACAACTAAATTATAACACTGATTTTTTCCACTATATAATAGATATCCATACAATTTATATGCCAAGGAAGCGATAAAAAATTTAAATCACAAGAAAATTCATGTTTTAAAAATGAGCATTTGTCATTATAGGCATAATAAAATGCAAAAAAACCAGTATAAGAGTTTAAAAATCATGAGTAAAAAAATATAAAAAATACAACTAAAAGTAGACCAAGTGTCCATGTAGTGTGTGACATGAATACATGTCTGATATTGCTACAACATGACACCGTTACTATTCAGCAAGAAGTGTCTCTGCTTCTTATACATAAATATATTTTTTAACATTTTATAATGAATGCCCAACGCTTGTATTTTAGAATTTTTTTCTAGAAAAAAATTGTCCGCGTCTGTACTGTACTGTATCGAATGCAATGCTCGTATCCATATTCATGTCATGCAATACAATATCATAGCATAGATAATGCAACCGATTACCAAGTTCATTTCCAGTCAAAAACCATTAGAATTCCAAGTAAGAAAACATGCATTGCATCAGAAATGCATATTATCAAGCCACCTTCCCCTTAAGACATCTTCAGATCATCAGAAAAAATCTAACTCCTAGCTTACTTCACGCAAATTATGCATCTATAAAATAGAATTTAAAAATGATTTGCCAGTTCATCAATCGAGTTTCAATATATGCAATGTTTCCGAAATCGGTGACAGAGCAGCTTAAAATTAAACACCTGGCTCTAAGAATTAGACGAATCAAACACTACGGCTTTTCTTAATCATTTCCGCAATGCAAGTGCACGACCCAGTTAAAATCGTTAGATCCAATACTAGATGGTATCGTTATTCACATGAACAAATTATAATCATAATCCAATAATAGTAAAGCATCGGCGCATTCCGAAGAAGAAAATTCTAACAGGCAAGGCGAAAATTACATCAGAAAAAAGCATCAGAGAAAGAATATAGCGAGAAATGAAAAGAAAAGGAAAAATGAATTTATAGGAATCATGAGGAAGATGAAAGAAATTGAAGGAGCATATTCGTGTTGATCGGAGAAGGATCTGAAGAAGAGGAAGAAGGCGTGCAAATGAAATAGGTTTAGTCGAGAGAGAGATAATGAACCTGATGTTGGCGAGCGACCTGTTCTCGAAGCTTGGAGGCTTGCTTTCTGATAGCTTCCATTCAAGAGGCGATTGATTGAATCTCTAACAGCAGAGTATTGATTCGAGACAGAAACACCAACAGCAACGAGTTCGTATCAGAAGAGACAGAGGGGACGGAGAAAGAAGCTTTTCAAAATTGCGTTGGAAATTATTACAGTGGTAGATGTCATAAGGGCTAAGGCTTTGTTCCTTCCTCTAGACACTTGTTTGTTTGAATATTTTTAAACCATTTTTTCTTCGGTTTGGTGAACTTGGTCGGACTGAATATAGCAAATATTTATTATATTTTTAATAAATAAATTATTTTCCCATATTACTGATAAAAATTTTAAAAGTACGTTACGGAATTCAAAACGTAAAATATTTTTTAAAAATTATATCAAACTGTATTAGGAAATAATAAAAATATATTAATTTTTAATAAAAAATGTACTTTTAGTTTCTTAGAACATTGGTTAATATTTATTGTATTTTCAATCAAAATATATTATTTTTAAATACTAAATGTTTACACTAAAGACTTAATAAAATAATTTTTTTATAAATATAAAATAAGATAAATAACTTTTTATTATATAGAATTGAAAGTTTCTTATTTTTTCTATTTTTCCTTTTGAGAAAGAGGTAATAATAACAAGATTTGAATGAGCCCACTTGTTAACCTACTCCAAGCTGTTTCATTTGTTAATATTTAATGAAATTTAAATGATTTTTATAATAAAATTAATAATATTTTAATTTAATATATGCTAAGACTTTAATTTTTCTTTTGCTTTAAAATAATAGATGAATATTATTATGAATATACAAAATTAAGTTTCAATTGAACCATTTTTTTATCCTTATAATTAGTCACGAGAGCAACGTTTTTTTTTTTTTTTAATCAAATATTCGTACAGACTCAATTCTAAATATTTCGTTTGACTTTAGAATGAGAGAGATAAAAAAATTTCTGAGAAATAAGGGAAGAGGGAAAAATTTGAAAAACTGAACATTAATAAGATTTTATTCAATTTAAAAAATTAAAAATATGACAAAAATATTTAAATAGTTTAAAAAATCATCATTTATATTTAAAAATTTTAAATACGAATTATTATTATTTTTTTTTGTCACTCTCTTTATCTCATAAATACCTATCAAATAAAGTCTGAAAATTATTCTCGATAAATAAATTTTTAAATTATGATTTTATTATTTAAAAAGTAATTATACATTAAATTTATTTAAAATTGAACACATTAATACAATAATTAAATATTTCAATTTTAATATGTTATTAATATAATTTTTTATTATTGATTAATTAAAAGTTATTGTAAGTATAATTTTTAGTACTGTGAACATTATAAAACTCAACAAATCTTGATGACGTGATAATTTATAATTGAAGACAGTTAATAACATTGATATGGTACATATATTTTATATCATTTTTTGTGTGTGTTTTAGATGATTAAATACTTTTAATTATAATATTACACGTAAAAGAAAAGTTTTAAATGACTTTTCAAGTCAAATTAAGATATAAAGATATAAATTAAAAGAATAGTTTAAAATGAATATTTATATTTAAAAAATGGTTAAATTTTTTATCATCCCAGTCTTGAGTTCACGGAAGCAACATTTCACAATGCATAGAGTCATTACTTGATAAAATCATTAAAATAATCATAACAATGAGCACTTTAAATACTAAATTACCTCGATTAAGTTGTACTGAACTCAAATAAATCTTTGACCAGTCGAACTATTGGCATTTTGAGTCTAGGCTTTCATTAATCAGGGTTGTAGATTTGGAGGCATTGGGTGTAAAGTGAACCGCCAACATGAAATGATCTTCCGATTTTATACAAGTTTGGCAGAGAAGAAAACTAAAGTCATTATCTCATCAAATCACTTGCATTTTACGCCATCTTTCTAACGATTTTTGGTCACACGTCGTTAACTTTTATGCTTCTTGGTATGGTGTCTGCTGCTTTTAGGTCACAAAAGTACAAGGCCAAGCCTATAAAATAGCGAAATGAATCCCACAAGTTGACAACTAGGCCTGCGTCATGAGTTAGCTTATTTCTTAACGATTGGCAACAGGGGAAGGCAAACATTAACAGATTCATCGTAAGAGGATTATTAATTATAAGCCTTCTGCCTTTTAACGAGAGAGGGCATAGTGGCATACATAATTTTCAGTACTTTTCTGCTATCTAAATATGTTGATATAATTTGCTTGATTTGAACCACTAAAAAATAATTATATTTATATTTTTTAAAAATTCTTTCTTTCTTTTATTTATTTTATACACATCCATCTCGAAAATCTATATTAATATAAAAAAGCACTTAAAGATTTATTCTTTAGTGGTGCAAAAAAACACTATTGACTATAAATAGGCAAGAATACTTACTTGCTGAAGATGCATCAGGGGCATGGTGCCCACGCATGATCTACAGCAGAAAATGCAAGCCAGAGCAGTAGCTAACTAAATCAGCAAAAAGCTTGATTAGCTATCTACAAAAGTTGCTGGTCAACGGGGGTTGTCAGTTGACCTTGTAAAATTTGAAGGAGATGACATTCTCCTCCCTCGTACCCTCCATTTCCTACGTGGGTTGAACTGTTGAAGATCCATGCTGTTGCACTGTGTTTGAGAATTTCCATCTGTAGTTATCACGGGAAGAAACAATAAAAAATTATATGGCTATTTGGTGTACGTTTGGTTTATTGTTAATATATATATATATATCAATTGTGTTTAATAATTTAAAAAAAAAAAATTTTACTCAATTTTAAAATAAATAGATCGTCATCTTTTTACTTGCTGTGCATAATAAATTTATATGTAAGATTCTTTTAAAAATTATCGTGTAAAATAATTATGGGTCTAGTTAATTAATGTACTCAAGAAATTAACTAATAAATTATAAGTTTATATTAAAAATCATGTTTGGATGCATTAGAAATTATAGGAATAGATATATTCTTATGTTTTCGATTTATTTTTTAATCAATGTTGTAAAGGCACTTACTGACATTTTTCAACAATTTATAACTAACACAGAAGATCTTTCACTGTAATGTCACACGGAATTTATAATAATTTATTTAAAAGTGAAGATTAAGATAAATAATTTTTTTAATATTAGAATTTAATTAATTAGAATACATTAACAGTGTAAATTATATCTACACTATTATCTAGTCATAAATTAATATCATTTTCACATAAAAATTATTTTTTTATCATCAATCAATTATAATATATTATAAATGTAAATTTTAAATTAATTATTATAAAAATTAACATTTTTATAATTAATGAATAATTTAAAAATTAAGGCAGGAATCAAAAGTTGTTAATAATTCTGACAATAACTATTCTATTTATTACCTTCTTATAAATATTAAATTTGACCAATTTAGCTACTAAGGTCCAAAAACAAAATTTAAAATGTAAAAAAATTATACAAATCAATGGTTTTTTAATATGAGAAAAATAATAAAATTATTAAAATATGATATTTTAAAAAATATGAAAAAATTTTAAGATTACTCGTTGCAATTTTAGACAATAATTTGTCAATAACATTTTTTTGATAATTTAAAAATTTATAATATTTTTTAAAAAATCGACACCGATAATTTTCTATTTTTTAAAATTGTCATTTATGAATTTTAACTCTGCATAATTTTTAATGTTTTAAAAAATCGTCATTAATAATATTTGAATTTTTATAATTTTTTTTGTTATTTTTAATATTTGCATAAAAAATTATTGTTGACAATATCTGCATCTTATATTTTTGAATTTTTTTAAAATATTATATTTTAGCATATATAATTTTTTAATTCCACATATAAAAAACAAACCCAATTCAAAAGCTAATTAATATTCATCAAACAGTTTTTTTAATATATAATATAGTCTTAAAATGTAAAAAATATTATTATTGTTATTTTATCAAAATTATAGCATACATTATTAATATAAATGTATTATTTGATTCTTAAAAAAACCAGGTATTTATAAATATAAAAAAATATCACCTAATTTATAAATCCGCATGTTCTGTGTATATGGAATCTAGATAATATTTATAAAAGAATCAGCATATTATTAAGTGGATCTCCTTACGAATATAAGTTGGAAATGGCATGACCAAGACAACGTTCATCCATTTAAATATTTGTGGAATATTTTAAGTCCATTTTGGTTCTCTAAGAATTTTTTTTTTTCTTTTTCGAAATTAAAGATTAGGAGAGGCACGTAGTGGACGAGGTCGCCCATGGCCCCATTCCATTGTCAGCGCACGAGAGGACTCAGTTACTGGTTACCTGTCAATGAATATTCTATGCAGGAACCGAACGCAAGATCTTAATGACCAAAATCAAAATAATCGCAAGACCTCTCTTTCCGTAGACTAAACCAAAACTTGTTGGAGTGAATCATGCCCCCTTATCAACGCCGTTTAAGTACTTTCTGTTAAAAGGTGACTTTTAATTACTCTTTTTTTTCCCGTTCCGTTTAAGGTTTTGTTTGAGAAATAAGAAAATAATTTGAATATTAAAAATTGCATATAAAAAATATTTAATGCCTTGTGAAGATTATCAGTTCAACAACTATGAGTCCTGCACAATCAACTCATTGGACTGGGACGGGGTATTAATTAGGCTATGTTTCGGCCTCCATTTTTATAGTGGGTTTTCACACAAGAAAATAGAAGTTATATAAAGTCAGTCATATGTAATATTTATTGCTAGTTTTCATTTTGTTCGTTTATGTAAAGGAAGTATAATCCAATTAAGTAAGCGTACAGTCGATATCAACTATATTGCATAAATTTCAGCTCGTGGTTACAACCAACGTGACGTTTAAAGGGAATTAATTAACACTATATGGTCTTCAAAAAAATATTAATTTATTTAAAAATAATCACTTCCAGAATTAAAAGAAAACACTTCTCACTCCAGGACCAAGGAAATTATCAACGAACATTTACAATGTTATTACAAATCGTCTAATTTGAAAGACAAGTGCCTACTTGATATATAATTGATCGAAAGGGGAAGGGGGTGGAGAAGAAATAAACTTGGTTAAACTCCTTTTAGGAGGATGACCTAACTCAAGACCGTTTACGATTTAATGGAAAATATCAGCAGTTGTGTAAATTAATAACCTCACGAGGAATTTATCATGGGATTATATTATTTACAAAGAGCAAAACATTGACATTTGAATGAAAGTAATGTAATTATTTTAATCAAGAAATGAACACAAGGTATCACTGACTCGTTACAAGGTGAGCCTACTTTGTTAGCTTGCATGTCGTTTAATTCGAAAAACAAGTCCCACCAAATGGTTGGAAAGGGGGAACGGGTAGGAAAGAAAAAGAAACCCGCTTTATCTTGATTAAGCAAATTTTAAATGTATAGTGCGAAATGTTCTGTAACATGACCTAACACATATGGCCGTTTATGGTTTAATGGAGATAATAGTAGATACCACTACTGTTAACATATTTTATTTATGTTAAAATATTTAGTCTTTCATAATTTACTTCAATTCTTTTTTTTTTTAATAAAAAATGGCATTTGGCTCAGAATAGTTATCAGGGTTAAGTTAATATTTTGACAATTTAAACTTATTTTACAAATGTTTTATATATTTGTAATCAACGGTAGCTCTTTCTTTCCGCACTCATGACTTCAAGTTGAGACAACACACCAATTCACACATGTAGCGTAAAAACTGTAAGCTCAAAACAGTGTCATTTTGAGTTCTGTTGGACCCTGGATTGGATTGGGTTTCTTTGTGTATAAATTTAAATAAATATAAATCATATTATAATCTCTCAAACAACCAGGTAACAGTGTTGTTTACACGCGTTTGTTTGTAGCTAATCCTCTCTGTCCATTGTCGTCATCCATCGGCTCAACGTGATTTCGCATTTCAGCTTTCGGCTCGAAACCTTGTGCCGTGGAGGGCCGAAAGTTTTTCAGTACTCTTCACGTATCTATTTATTTTCTTAAAATAGTACTAATATTAATTTTACAATGGCAATTTTCATTTTATTTTTTAGAATTTTAAACAAAAGAAGTTACTAAAATGATTTTGAAGAACTGATACTATAATAATACCAAAAAATACTAGTAGAAGGCAATAGTGATTAATGATTAACTAGTTTATTTGTACCTGCAACAATGAACAGATATATGAAACGCAAGAATTATAATAGTAATAATAATTGATTGTTGATTAAAATGTATATTAATGATAAAAGACCATCAGTTTTGTCATTCATTTTATTTTTATATATTTCGCTTGATTTATCATTCAATATTTTTTTATTAAAAATACTCATTTTAATAAAGATGTGTAGTTAAGATTTATACTAACATGGACCTCAAATTAATTTTACTTTGAAACGAATGAGATTATATCATTACTCTTGTGAGTAGCGAGTCTTAACTATCATTCACAGTTTTAATTCCATGCATTTTTATAGTCCGTTGGAAAATAAATTATTAACGTGATTCAATAAAATAATTTATCCATACTATATATGCAGGGGCGCCGAAATAAATGCGTTATAAGACGTATAATGTATTTTATTTTATATTACTATGTATTTTTAAATAATTAAATAAAATGTTATAAAATTATTTCTTCATAGATTTGCGTTAAGATTTTGAAAATCAAACGTACATGTACTATTAAGAATGAAAAACTAGGTCAACTCAACTCAACTGATCTAATAAAGAATGCATTGGTTTTAATTCATTTCACTTTTTAAAACAGGTTGACAAAAATAACTCAATTTTGTAAATTTTAATAAAGAATAAAAATATTACGAAAACGTGCTAATAGCACTGCTCGCTGGATTATGTTGAATAATTAGGCAAGATTCCTGTATTTGACATTTCGACCCTTTTTTGTCTCATCAGTAATGTCTTCATATTTTGATAGGAAACTAATTTATGCTGAGTTTTTCTTTGCCCTATTTGGACTCAAATAGAACAAGATCATTAAGGACAATAAATCTCTTTCGAGTTTCAAGACAGTGGTATTGTTAAAACTTCTGATGAAGTAACATTTTTCAGTACAACATAACTTTTATTGACATTGAAATTCTTGTCTTAAAATAAATAAGAAAAATATACGGACGAAATACTTTGATGATCTATTATTAAGTTGTTGTAATATTAAAATACCCAAACTGCAACGTCGATGTTTAACGCAAAATAATAATATTTCCCTTAATTGAAAAGAAACCAATTGGATATATTTATTTTCTTTGGGATGACAGCTAAGAGTGCACAAAGCATAAAAGGAACGCGCGAGGGGTGGATGGTTGAGGACAGGAAGTAATGGCTCCAAACGTGAAAGTTGAGGCCACGAATCTAAGCGCCTTACACTTTTAAAAGTCAATAACGATGGGAAGGTTCACGCGCCAAACAGTCAAGAGTATCTGACGTGCGCGATCGATCGTCTACATGTCTTCAGTTCCCAATCACACGAGATAATGGGATGTGAACGAAGAAAGATTATCCAAAAATTAACCACGTCACGAGGCGAGATCAACGCGGCAAAGCAATTATTTCCATACCCATTATTACAAATACCCAAAATTGTGGTGCCAAATTTACTAAACTTGCAAATTATGCAAAACACGAACGCGTTCTATTTTGGGCGGTTTCCTGGCTTGAAGGTTCGTTTCGTTGGTGTCTCCGTTTTTCGAAAACTGCTAGCGCCAAATTTCGTTTTATTAAATCCTAACCGTTGATCATCACCTATAACGGAAAACCCAATCTTGGTGGCTGTGGCCTGCGATTGTAACAGTCAAAACCGGCGTGTGATTTTAACGTTTTTGTTTTATATGGTTGCATTGGACCAGGCCAGCTTTTTTTTCCCCCTCCGGTTCGGTCAAAAATAAGAATCATCGAGGGCAGAAATTTTGAATTTACGGAGCCATCAACGATCCATTCAAAAATAAAAATAAAAATAAAAACCAATAATAATAATAATAGTCAAGTCCCACCACGTGACCAAATGTCACACGCTTGTTAGATCACCCTCTCTATTCTCTAATTCGAACAAGGGAGATTTAGTACTCTTGTTAATATTTATTTATTTAAATTGAAAAAAGGTACAGAAACAAAGATACTGATAAGAGAGAAGGGAAAGAAAGATAAAGAAATACCAAACCACTCTCCCATTTCTCGTTGCTTCAAAGTTCAAACCTAACCAAACTCTTGTGCGGTTTCTCCTCTCGCTCTTCTTCACAGGTAATAAAATTTAACAAAAATATATGTAGAACCGGAAAACTTTCATGTTCATTCACCTTTACTTGGAGAACTGAACTCAATTTTCCGAGCGTTTTAAGTTTCGTTCTGAAAATAATGGTTGAATTTGTGCTTAGAAATGGAGGTTGCAGCCAAAGCGTTGAAACCGAGTTTAAGGAGAGAGTTTTTCTTCCAGCAAACGCTTTGCGAAGAAATTTTGTGCCTGAACGCGAACACCGTCGCCGGCGGCGAAGATTTCTCCGTGGACGACCTCCTTGACCTCTCTGACGGCTCTCTCCACTACGAACAGCAAGAGTACGACGGAGGAAAGGAAAGCTTATCCGCTTCGTCGCAGTCCCAGGACCGCGGAGAAGACGATAGCAACTCCAATTCCACCGGCGTTTCCAATGATTCCATTTTCTCCACCGAATTAGCCGTTCCGGTAACTCTCTCTTTCTCTCTTTGAATTTGTTCTTCGTTATCCCTAATTCTGCTCACTAACTATTGTAATTTGTGCAGGCCGGTGATTTGGAGGACCTAGAGTGGGTTTCTCACTTTGTGGACGATTCTCTGCCGGAGCTTTCTCTTTTATACCCGGTTCGTTCGGAGCAAACAAACCGGTTCGTTGAACCGGAGCCTAGCGCGAAGAAAACTCCTCGTTTTCCCTCTGAAATGAAAATCACCACCAAGGCCCGAACCACAATGAACAGAAAGCCCAAAGCCCGTGTCTGGTCGCTCAGCTCGCGCCCTTCTTCGCCGTCATCATGTTCATCCTCCGTGACGGCGCCGCTTGTCGTGTTGAGCGAGCCGCCAGCGAAAAAGCAGAAGAAAAGGGCCGAGGCCCAAACCGTTGGGGCCCAGGTCCAACGACGGTGCAGTCATTGCCAGGTGCAGAAGACGCCACAGTGGAGAACCGGTCCACTAGGCGCCAAAACCCTTTGCAACGCGTGTGGGGTTCGGTACAAGTCGGGGCGGCTTTTTTCGGAGTATAGACCGGCCTGCAGCCCCACCTTCTGCAGCGATATTCACTCCAATAGCCACCGTAAAGTTTTGGAGATACGCAAGAGAAAAGGCATGGCTGGACCGGATACCGGTTCGGTTCAGAACCACACGGTTCCCACTTGCTGAAATTTTTTCGACTAGGGAAAAAGCAGATTAGGTATACTTCCACCTACCGGTTCGAACCGGTTCGGTTTTTGTATTATATGTAGTGGTTTCTTAGTTTTAGTGGTAGTCAGGTATGCGGGTAGCGGATATTATTAGGAAGGCATTGATTGTTTGTATTTTTATCTCTTTTTCCTTAGCGTTGTTGATTTATTTAGTCTAATACAAACAGTTTAAGTTAATTCGACGTAGAACAATTCATTATGAAGTTAATTTTGGACATTATTTTATTGTAATTGGCTGGCATTGGATTGAAATTGAATAATTCAACTTAGTTCAGCGGTTCGTTTTAGGTTTCGTAGAAGAGCGGGAGAGGTGGGTCAGAGGCGGAGACTTGGAGTGTGATGGAAACATTAAAGTTGGGTGGCTTTTTATTTGAGACCACCGAAGCTGTGTTAGTGCCAAATGGAGTGGTCAAGTGGGTGGAGGCGGATTGGTTGATCTTTAGCATCGTGTTTTTGGTTTAAGTGACCATATGATAATCGTTGACAAGTAGTGGGTCAATAAGGGTCATCTCTTGTTCGTGACTTGGAAATATGCGTTCCCCCGCTTGGATCCTAATAGTTGCTAGTGCAGTGTGCAATTGTTTTTAAGTGCTGTGTAGGGAGTGAATGTTTATTGCAATCTATGTAACGTGCGTGCATGTGGGTGAAGTAGTTGTTAGTGGTGGGGCAACAAATTATTTTATAGGATAGGATGAACTACAGTGACGATGGTAGCAGCAACCATTCAATGAACAACGTGCATCGGATGGATGAGGATGGAGGATTGTTAGTATTGAATCTTCGGACTTTTGAAAGTGGAAACCTATCAAATTAAAAAAGCAAGGTCCATTCTACTTGGATATGACTTGCGCACCACTTTGGGGGGATTAATCCGTGTTTGATGCTCAAATTAATACAGATGTAAAAAGTAAGAAAAAATTATGAGGGGGTGAGGTAGATGAAAGCTGCGTTTAGTTTGTAATTTTGCATTTATTTATTCTTTTTGCTAATAATTGATAAAATATTTTTTAATTTACTTATTTAATAACTTAGATAATAAGATGGCATTTTTATAGCTTATTAATAAAGCTATATCGATGGGAGGAAAAATGAGGCGCACCCTTTTGTTTCCATTTTTTAGGATACGTGTATACTATGGAAAGACTAAACTCAATGGTGCATATTGTGTTAACATAATCGGTGTCAATTTCTGTAGGGTTTGGAAGGAATAGATGCTACAGCTAGGCTAGCTCTCTATAAGCATCTTTATCGATCTAACATTCCAAACCTGGCAACTCTATTACCCTCATTAACCGAACATTAAATTGAGATCGAGCAAAGGTTCCATGAGACCATGAGGAAGCCTGAACAGAAACTAGTTTGTATCGTGTATCATTAGCTCATAGAGGAAGCCTTAATGGGTAAGTGCTAAGTAGTGTGGTCGAAAAGGTTTGTAGCGTGCATCACTGACTCACTAACATATACTCGACATAGAACTTTGTTAGACAATTAAGGACCAAGACTAACTCCACTTAACTCCAATCATTCACAGGTATAACCAAACCTTTTTTCTTAGGTACAAAGCAATAACCAATCTTACTCCTATAAATCTCGTGTCATTTCATGGAATCTAAGATCGAGACTATATTTATTATTATTTTTGGAACAACTCGGGACTTTGAAATTGTCGATGCTTGCTTACCAAAGACCCAACAAGAAATCTTGGTTAGACTACATGCTTGGGATTGACAAAAAAAAAAAAAGAAGCTTGGGGCTTCAACCATTTTGATTTGAACATAGCGTACACGTCATGGCAACTAACAAAACTACATGCCCTATATACCGGTTATTCCCCAACTAGAGTACTACAGCACTATTATATTGTGTCCACAATTTCAAAGACCTATAGGCATAAGAATCCCACGATTATTTTCATTTTCTTTTGGTGCCAATTAGAAAAGTTCCACTTTCACGGAGTGGAAAATATCTTCGAGAGATGAAATTCTACATTTATGGTATTGAAATACCACCTTATTAATTACGTAAATTATGGAGTCATACCAAACTAAAAGCGGTAGTTCTAACTCAAGTTGGCCAATTAACGAATGGCAAAGAATTCATTATTTAATTTGCTTCTAGCGAGAATTCGACAATTTTTGCTGTTTCAGAAAGCTGGGATTTTCTGAGAATACCATCGATCAAGGAGGGTTCGTGATCACGGGAACCATTAACACAGTCCCACCAAAGAAGCTTACTCTTGGAAATAATCGGAATTGAAATTAAAACAAAAGCAGAAAAAGCAAATCACATGCAGAAATAATTAAAAGGAGGTAAATGAAACATGAAGACAAATGTTTAAAGCGGGGAAAAAGAATCCGCATCTTTTTCTGTAAAAAAGTTCATTCTTTTTAGAAGGAAGCCGAGACAAATTATTTAAAGCAGAGCAAAGAAGCCACTTAATTTAATATTTTCTTCTAGATGAAAACGAGGTCCTTTTCCGGGAGAACCACTAGGCAATAATTGCTAAATACTTTCATTTTTGTAGTATATTGATTAAAAATTTAATAAATATTTTTTAATTACAAATCATAATTCAAAGATATTAATATTTTTTTATTCTTTAACTAATATTTTAAAACACTAATTATTATTTACCTTGTTTTTTGGGCAGTTAGAAAAGGACCAGACTTTGTCAAATTGACAAAAGTCGAGTCCAGTTTCCGGGGTCTCTCTGTGCCTGTCGCTTTGTGTAACGACGGGGGATATTTCATCGGAGGCAGTTGGAGACAAAAGTGAATTTATTTTAAATTAATACTTTCTAATTTTTATTTAAAATGTTTTTTCTATCTATTTATCATTATTGACATTAAATAATAGTTTCGTCATATCATTATTTATGTACTATTAATTTATTGTTATTATTCATTAGCATAAATTATGTATAATTTTGACATTATTACTTTTTACATAAATTTGAAGCATGTATCATGAAATGATTATTTTTTTATGGAAGTATATCTTAGAACTTTTTCTTAACTTTATGTATAACAGGATTTATGATTACAATGAATTTAATCTTGAAATTGACTTTTTTCAAACGACTATTTCGAAAATATATTCCAAAAAGTTAACATATCACATATAATTATCAGAAAATTAATTTTTTAAATTAGAAAGTATCATTGTATACATATTAACTTTTTTATGACACTAAATTACAAAGTTTTCTAAATGATAACTTTATTTTTAATTTTTTTTCAATAAAAACAGCATTATAGACTCATCATCCCTTCTGTTTTCATTATCAAATTATTTGTCAGTTTTATTTCTTATTCTTATTATCAATTTTACTTCTAAATTTCTATGTTAGTATTTTGTGCCTTTTTAAAAAAAATTATTTAAAACATTATTTATATATATATATATATATATATATATATATATATATATATATAAACTATTCACATTTTTATACTATTGTTTTAAACACCCATTCAACACATAAAGGGACACCACCACTAGTAAATTGACAAATGAATGTGTAAATCAACAGAGAAGTTAACGGTTGAAATATAATTTAAAATTTAGCATAAAGTACCACTTCGGCAAAACCTATGCAGCAAGTGTTAATACAGCCCATTAACATTAATTTAATAAAAAATTATAAAATTTACCTTTTTTGGTTTAGTAATAACGCCCCCTTTACAAAGAAAACTGAAAAAAAGGGGGGAGGGAGAGAGGAGCTATAATAGAGAAGAAATAATAATCAAGTGGGCTATCACAAAACTTACAAAAAAAGACAAAAATTAGCGGTATTATTTTAAATATTTTTAAATTAAATTGGAGTTAAATTTTTGTAATAAACGCAAATGTTTAATATACGAAAAAAATAATAAAAGTAAATTAATTTACAAGGTGACATGTTGGCTACGCCTACCAAAGACGTAGGTTTTTTTATTCTACGCCACCTTGGGTAAATAATGACGCAATTTCAGCTTGCTTCAGAGAATAATCTCTTTGTTCTTGGTCTTACTGTAGACGTTTATTTGATTAAATATCTTTTAAAATTTTTGAAAAACATGATTTTTAATTCTTATAAAAAATTTATTCAACTTTAACCCTTAAAAATGACTTTAGAAAATAGCATACTTTTAGTTCTTCATGGGAACTTAAATTACATAATTTTTGTTAAATAGAAATTAAAATTGAATAATTTTTTATACAAAATATAAAAAAATGCTAGATTTGTAAAGGACAAAAATATTTTGAATTATTTATTTTGTGGTGAAAACTGAAACTAGTTGTTTTTTTTATATAAAATATAAGAATGTGTTTATTGTCCCTTCTAATATTTATTTATCTAAAATACTATTTTTCCTCTCTTATAACCGTATCAAAAATTATGACCTGTGAGTTATCCTTCTTTATTAGTGGAGCAAGCTGTCAGCCAGGTAGGTCTCATACTTTTGGACACCTCCTAAGAACCCGCGCATCCAGTGGGGTCTTGATAAAAAATCATAATAAAGTAGTTTTTCCCTTCATTAAACCCAAGCGTGGCTCCAATAACCACTCTTTCCTTCTTTCTTATTTTCTTGGGAGGTATAAGAATATCACCGACAAAAAAAATAATAATTTCATCATCAAGACTTTAAGAGTAATTCATACTCTTACATTCCATAAGTAACAACAACGTTTCAAGTCCTTCCATTATCTTCTGATTAATACACAATAATATCCATTTACTCTTTAATCTAAAGAGAGGCTCGTATTAGCATTACGTTAGGAGAAAGAGAGGGAGGATGAGAAAAGCACGGAGCATACTGTAAGAGATTAAACTTGCATACTCTCTACAATTTAACACCCATTTACCTTCTGATTGGTACAATTCAATATCAGAGATATATATATTTTTTGCATCAATAATCCCAGCCTTTGAATATATCCATTATAAAATTTTGATGAAGGGTTAATACTGCACATGAAAGTAAAGGGTGAAAGTTTTGAAATTTACCCCAAAAATATTACAAATGGAACTTTAGTCCTCCTGCAATAGTAAAGAATGGGTGCTGCTGCCATTAACGAAATGGCAAGAAAAAAGTTAACCAATACCTCAATTTACCCACAACACATATGGAGACAATGGTACCTATACAGTATTTGAACACATCATACTTTGCAGCTTCTAACTGCCTTCTCAATTCATGGATTTCCTGAAAGCAATATCCCGCATCAAGATTTTAATCCAAACTAAACATTATCCAATCACAACTAAACCAATCATAAACTCACCCGATCAAGTTTGTTTAGCAAATTGGTGGTTTCAGCATTTTGTTTAGCAAGCTCATCTCGTATGCGTCTGTCATTAGGGCCACAAAAATAAATTTTTGGGATGACAATAGGTCTTATACCCATTGAGTATCTAAAAAAAACCCACAATACATAAAGAAAATACATGCAAAATTTAATGATGTAGGTAAAGATATGAATACTATAGTACTTAATATATTTTTAAAAAAATATTTATTTTGTATGCATGATTAAAATTTTAAAATAATGGTTTTGTTGTAACTATATATATATATATATATATATATATATATATATATATATATTGTAATTTAATATGTCATTACATTTTACTTGACTTAAGATGAATTATTTTATTTGTAATTTTGTATTTTATTTCATGTATTTTTTAAAAATAGTCTCTATTTTATAATTCTATTTATGCTTGAGTTTGTACTTCGTATAAAAAAGTTATGAGATATTATGTTTCAGTTAACAACGAAGGCAACGGTGATGAGTATGGAGAATTTTTTAAAATGTGGGTATGAAGATGAATAGTATAGTACTTTACTCAAACCCTATTCATTGCTATCTAACATGTGTCTAGTTCAGTTTATATTAGGAAAATAATTGTTTTACAGCTTTCTGATGAATTTGTAGGAAGAGAAGACTATTTTCCAAAAAGAATTTCTTCCTAAACGTGTGATATGTTTTCACTTACCCTCTTTCAAGATTCAAGTCCAGACGCTGCCCAGCAGTGACTTTGTCAATCTCATACCTGTCACAGACAATCAATAAGGACATTATAGTATAATCTGACAGAGTGGAAATCAAATTTGCTTCAGTTGGAAAAATGTGTTTAATACTCCATGGTGCATACCTCAATTCACTTCTCATCTTGTCTATGTCATTATGAAGCATTTCAGTCTCACGTTGCAACAAAGAAAAATGATGCTCCTGCATGACCAATCATAAAAAAAGATGACTTGAGTGAACTGGTGCAAGCAATGACTTTAAACAATTACACAGCCATTTTCACAAAAATAGCACATAAGAACTAATTCTATAGCAAATATTCAACACTGCCTTGAAATCAAGGAATTTCTTTCATATTTATTTTGATAGGAATAAATTATGGTCACATATAGACAATGGAGCACCACAATATACAAATAACTTTAATTAAATCAATGCCAAATCCAAACTCTATTCCAGGCATTGCATCTGAATTGATAAAAATCTGATATTCATGAAATATGAATCGGGGCTTTTAATTTCCATTACCAGAAACAGTTCAAAATTTGAAACAGCTGTCAGGCATACTTCTGTAGTAGTTACAAATCCCATCCCTTTACTTTCCTAAAACATCTTAGTTTTCTTTCCCTTTCTAAAATGTATCTACTTTTAACATCCTGTATAATAAGAAAGTAATAATGTAGGATATTCATGAGTCATCTCAGTACTTAAATCTAGGCCCCTTCCTACGTAATTGAATCCATATCATCTCAGTACTAAAATTTAGGCTCCTCCCTGTGTAGTTGGATCCATATAATGCTAACTGCTAGTCAGAGTGATATTCATTCTCCTATTGTCTACCTGTATGCATGAACACCTCCTATCCCATATAGAAAACCAAAACAAAAGAGAGACAACATATCAACATGATACAATACAGTGCAGTGTAAGATTAAATCACAATTTAGCTGCTGTTCATGATGGTGATACTCTGAATGCACAATAGCAACATTCTACACAAGTGCCATTACTATATAGTTTATTTAGTTAAATATTTAACTAACGAAACAAGAAGAAAAGTCCATGCAAATATAATGCAGCAAATACCTTATTGGTATTAAGATACACTATGCCTAAGTATTTCCTTTACAAAATCCTATAAACTGACAGTATAAATAACCTCATCCACAAGTGTGCTTCATATTCTTCCCACAATTTGAGATTTTTGTCTGCGCAATATATCAAACCTCTGCATCCCACCTTTGATCCTAAACCTTCTCGTTGCTAGATAGATACAATAAAAATAAAACTCCCAAAATATACCATCACACCCACATCCTATTACAAAATACAAAACCTGTCACATGTTAAGGTAATGTAAATAGAAATTTATTGGTTTCTAGACAGTGGCCACGTTATTTATTTGTCTTTCAAAAAGACCAGACGGAGTGTGTGATCCACCAAAAACAAAGTATCCATTTCACCAGCTAGGTACAAAGCAAGTCATTATTTCATGTGTTTTAGGCTTCATAGTTATTTCAGACCACATCCAAACTAAAGATATTGCATGTTTGAAAAAAAGTAAACTTGACATTTCAACTTTTAAGTTTGACAAATGCTAACAGGTGCTCTTGAAGCATTTGCTAAAGATTCAAAAACAAAAAGTATGAAATAATTAGCTATTATTATACTTATAATTAAACATATCCCTTTTGAAACTTACTAGTTCCGACTTCCAAGGGCAACACAAAAATTTGTGTGCTGCGTAAATTCCTCCATCTACAGAGATTTCTAGTCCTACGCACCAGTGTTGTTAAATGTCGGTTATGGCGGCGCCATGGCGGAATGGCGTGGCGGAAATGACAGAGGCCGTTACGAAGATGGCGTGGCGTGGCGGAATGATGTGGCGGTGTCATGGCGGTAACGGCCGGCCATGGCGAAAATCGTTAGAAATGGCGTTTTTTTTTTTTGAAAATATGGTTTTTCTGCACTTTTGGGCCAGATCCGACCCGACCCAGTTCAGAACCCAACCCTAAATCCAGGTTTTTTCCCTCTCTTCTCCTTACGATCTCACTCTCCCTCTCTTTGCGATCGCACTCTCTCTTTCTGCGATCTCACTCTCCTCTCTGCTCATCTCTTTTCTCTCTGCCCTCCATCAAGATTTCACTCTCTCTCTCTGCTTTCTCTGTCTCTTTTTGTCATGGGCTCCTTGGGTTTTTGTTTTGGTGCATTTGGGTCTCTATTTCCGGCGACTGCAGCTGCAGCTCCATTTCGGTCCTGCTGCTGTGTTATGCTACGTCGTGCTGTTCTCTCTCTAGCTTCTTTCGGTGTTTATGTTGTGGTTGCGGCTGTTTGTGTTTTTTAATTTAAGTTACTAAACTTACGGCTTTATCTTTTAGTCTTTTCTAAGGGTAAAAAAGACTTTTTATCTTTTAAAAATAAACTGATATTTTTTTTACCCTTAAAATACACTGTTTTAATTTTTTTTAAAGGGGTAAAATAGTTTTCTCATTAAAATATATTATTTAACTTTTCTTTTTCCTTCTTCCCGTCTCTCATCTTCATTTTTGCTCTGTTTTAGTGGGCATCTGACTTTATTTAGCTTCTCTCATCTTTATATTTATACTGTTTTACATCTCCTTTCCGATCCTACTTTGATTACCATACTTTATATCATAAAATCAAAAAAATATTATTTAAAGTCTTAATTCTCTCATTTTTCTTTCTCAATACTTTTAATCTAAATAATATCAACCACTAGGAACTATGAGCATGAATCTGTTTGACTCTCAAAAAACATAAAAAAATCTTAATTCACTTTTACTATGATTTATAGGTGATGTAATTGTTACAAAAATTTATGGTGACAAAATGCTCTTAAAAGAAGGATTGACAATGATAATTTGGACTACAAATAAAGAATTTGATAGGTAGACATTAGTTGGTTAGATAAATAGCTTAAAGGTATAATTAATTAATCAGAGAATTAATTAGTTAGTTAATAATTATATATTTTGTATTAAATTATATTTTAGATTTTAAATTATGTTATATATATTTTGAGTTAATTATTTTTTATATTTTTTTGTGACTTATAGTATTTTTTATATATTTTATTATATTTATCATAAATTCGCTGGAATCTGCCATGGCGGACGCCCTAACTTTATATAGCAATTTTTTTTGTTTCCGCCGTCAGCCGCCATTGATAACATTGCTACGCACTCATTATATAGAATGCTGACATCTATTCTCAGCAGCAAACTTTTCCATAGGAAAAACCAATTGCTTTAGTAGTTACAAATTCCACAATTGTTGTAGCCTTGTAGCTAATCAACGACCATTCTGCTTTCGATGCAGAAGTGAAATATATAAATAATACCTGAGAATTTTGCGCTTCAGTCTTGAACTTCGACAAATTTGATTCTTGAAGCACCTCTGACTGCGAAACTCCAAACGAAAACACAGCAAATCAATTACAGCGCCGAAAACATCAACAATGAATTCAGGCTTCATGAGAAGAAGAAAGAAACCCTCACCTTTTGCATTTCTGTTTTTGAAACAAAAGAATGAACTACGTTTTCCAAACTAACATTTATAACTACGATTATCGAAGAAGATATAGCCTCGGCCTGTTTGGCGGGAACCCCATTTGCTTCTAAATCCCTTACCTGGGGGCAATTATATTATCACGCTATCCAAACACCGAAAGCAAAATTTGAAGCAAACAAATAAAGGAAATAGTAATTTACGAGTGCGAGAGTGTCGATGAGGAATGCGTGCTTTCCGTTGGAATTGACATCCTGCGAAATATGCCTGCAACTTTGCATCGTCGTGGAAGGGAACAAAGAAAGGAGGTAGAGGCGATGATTGGAGCACAAATGAAACGCGCGTTTACACAACAACGCCATTCAACTCACGTCAAGAAGAAGAAACAGCAAAAGCGGAAAGGAGGATTGAAGAGAAGGGGTTGAGAAAATATGCAGAGACAGAGAGTAAGCGCCTTCTTCTCCAAGATTGCTCGCCCAAACGCCACTTACATAATTTTACTTCTATTTATAAAAAATATAGAATTAAAATGTTAATTTATTAAAAGACAAGTAATATAACAATTTTCCATATACTTATTCTATCATTTATTTTCTTAAAAGTATGGAATTTAATTAATATATATTAAAAGTATAAAAATATTAATATTATTGTCATAATGAGATTTTTAAAAGATGATTAATTAAGAAATAAAATATTTATATATTTTATTGATTAATAAAATAAAATATTTATACTTATACCTCATACAAATAAAATTAAAAAAATAATATTTAAAAATAATTGATATTATATCATAATAAAAATATTTAATTACGTATTATTAATATAAAATAATAAAATTTAAAAATGTTTATTATTAATGATAAAATATTTTAGTTTATAAATACACATCAAGTAGAATCAATAGTAACTATAATTGTCGACTTTAGTAATTAAATTAACGAATTTTAAAAAAATTATAAATTAAAATAACCGAGTTATTAAATTTTAAAATTATTTTTTTACAAATATTAACTGAAAAAATATTTTTTTATTAAAACGTATTATTGTTAAAAAAGATATTGTCTCAACAAATTTTAACTAACAAATTTCTTTTGAAAATTTTAATGAATAGAATAATTGATGATTATAAATTTAGGCACTAATTTAATAATTATTTAATTCCAAAAATCTTTATAACCCTCGCAACTACAGCGGAAAAGGGGGAAGAAAACAGAACCCTTGCGTCTGCTCCGCTGCAAATAGCACGTTACACTTACATCTCCTTCCTATTATCTATCTTTTCGCCATAACCGCGGAAGCCGTTACGCGTTTCTGCCGTAGCGCTCAGGTTGTTTCTATGTCCCTTCTTTTCTTTTGCTTTATTATTCATTGTTTCTTGCCAATTTGACTATCTGCTAGGGTTAGGGTTTGGCTTCAATGTCTGCCTTTCATGATTTGTGTACGGTTGATGCTTTCGTTTTACATTGATTCACCTTTTGAATTGTCTACGTTCTTGTGTCTCCGCTGGGTTCCGATTCAATACCTGTAATTTACATAATCGTAAGGTTGGCACGTGAACGAACTTATGTACGTTTGATGTGTGTTTCCGTGGTAGTGGTTATTGATCTGCGTCACTGCGTGCGAGATTGATGTCGCAATATTGTTTTCGTGTAACCGAGAAGCAACTTTGCACGAATGTTGCGCTTAGTACTCCGCGTGAACTGGTCTGCGAATTACATGATTCCAGTTTTACAGAAATAGGGCATCTTAATTTTCCTGCTCTGCATTGGCTAATGATATCTTAAAAGGGTTTGATGTTAAATTTTGTAAATTAATAGTTTTCTTTACCGGTCTGCAAATATAAATTTTATCCGTGGTGGATTGTGGGAACTGTGAAGTGAAATTTGACCGATCTATTCTACTTAGGAGCAAATGGAGTTGGGAATCAATTTTTTATCCAAAAACTGGAACTAACCAAGGACAGTTAATTAGGATATATCCTATGATGCTTGCTTTAGAGCTTTTGGATTAAGTAGAGAACGAGACAGTGTGCTCATGTGGTGAGTGTTTTGACTGCTGAGAACTGGCAGAGAACAATATTGCTCATTGGGTAGATTTTTATCGTTCATCTCATTTATTTGCAAATGTTGCGTCTCACTCCAAGGCTACCTCCCAAAAATAATGTCATGATATTGTGATGTGATAAAAAAAATGCAAAATTAAAATCTCGATGGAGTTTTAAAGTTGTTTCCTGCATTTCCTTTGATATAAAAGACAATTTAATAGAAAGTAGAGCACATCCAGATTCTCAGTATCAGAGGTCTGTTTGTATGATACATGAAGTTTATGTAATTCCCAAGGAAATATGAGGTCCAATACATCATGAAAATGTATCACCATATGTGCTTAAAAACAATAAGCCAATTGATATGTACAAAAATGTTTCTAATGAGCTGCTTCATCAGTTACCATCTCAATGTCATTTCTAATGCATGGTCCAAATATGGAAACTCTGCCTTGCATTAGAATCTGTTCCTTTGCCCTGCAGTGCTACTGAAACTGTGCTATAGCTACACCATCAGTTTGAATTGTTGTCTTTTTCATTCTGTGTTAGGTTTCATACCATTCATGTATTTTACTCCACAACTAAATTTTTTGCAATAGTTGATTCATGAAATAGTATCAAAGTTTCTTTTCCCATGACCACATGGTTGGTGGTCCCTTGCTGCTTCTAAATAAAGGTTGAATATCTGCACAAGGTACAGTGGGCCTTGAGCACTGTCCACACTTCAAGACCAAGGGCTCCTGTGTGCGGGCGTATGTTACACATAAAACCAATTACCCAACACCTTAAGCCTTTGAAGTAGTTGGTTATTAGCAATCTTGACTCCCAATTGAAGGATTTGCTTATTTTTCACTTTAAAGTCTCAGTAATGAGTACCCTAAAGGTAGTGATTAAAGAACTTTAATTTACCTAATTAAATCCTTCTACTTATTTTAAAGAGGAAATGTTAAATGACGTTTGCATTTCCAATACAATAAATGCTTCCTTTCCCAATAAAAATTAAAAATTAGAATGATCAATTTGTTATCTGTATTGGTTGTGCAAATGATAGCTGTTCCATGTTACAATTCCTGGTTTAGGAGCATTCTACTACATTTTATGCTTTCTTTTCTCTTTCCAACTAACCTTACATATACAGCTGTATATTCAATGTGCGTGTATGTATGAGGATGACAGGTGTTGTACAATATATATAGATAAAGGATTTACTACAATAAAAGTTCAGTTAGTGCAAGAGCAGAAATGGCTATGTAGTATTTCAGGGTTAGAGGCTGTGATTAAGAAAGCTCAACCAAAGACCCTGACTATGGGCAGCAGTCTGTTCAAGAACATGTGTGCATTTTAAAGGCACCCATAATTTCCATCAGCAAGATTTTGCAGGGTATCACCTTATGTGTCTTCTTTCATTTTCTTTGTTTTATCCTTCAATCCCCTTGAAAGGAAAATCATATTCTGCAAACCAAAACTATGCCTCCAGAGTATGCTGGGAATATTATTATTTGTGAGAAGTACGTGAATTTTATGAAGAATGTGGCCCAAGGATTTGTTATCAATTTTTGGGTGCTGAGTCCAGTGGTATTTGATTGATGTGAGATGGATTGCTTGTTGAAATTTCATGTTGTATACTGTTGGAATTTGCGGTTTTTATATTTTGAAGGGGAGGTGGGGGGTTTGGCTTGGCTAGTTGGCTTAAGGATGATATTGGATGTTGGTTGTGATGTGGACAGGAAGGAGGCAGTGGCTGGTGGTGTTGGTTGAAGTGGAGGTGGTATTGCTGATCAGTTGTGGTAGAGGTTAGGAAAGAGAAAAAATTGAAAATGAGTTCAGACAGCCGCAGCCGAAGCAGGAGCAGGAGCAGGAGCCCAATGGACCGTAAGATCCGCTCCGATCGATTTTCCTATCGTGATGCACCTTACAGGAGAGATTCACGTCGGGGTTTCAGGTTTTTGTTTTTGGATTTTAATATTTATTTGCTGTTTTCTTTCTCTGCTTTAATGTGCTGGTTAGGGAAGCTGAAGAAGATTGAAGTATGCTTTGCTAGAAGAGCCTTTGAATCTGTATCATGCTGTTTGTAAACCCTTAACTATCACCCATTTATTTTATGTTCTTGTGGTATGCAATCTTCTTACTCTGGCTGCTGCTTTGTCTAGTTTGGAGCTTAATTTATGTGCTTTGCCTCTCATACATATCTGGTGATTCCGGTTGTTAAATTACTTAAAATCAATGTGGCATATTTAAGCCAGGCCATTTTTCCTTTGGAACATGTGCATACATTTATCACAGTGGTAACACTAATTTGATTTTCTTTTTCAGCCGAGACAATTTGTGCAAGAACTGCAAGAGGCCAGGTCATTATGCAAGAGAATGCCCTAATGTCGCAATTTGCCATAACTGTGGCCTCCCTGGGTATGGAATTCATTCTCTCTTTCTTAAGAACTGAGTATGTAATTCTTTGATATTCTGCTTGCTGTGAATTACTGTGTATGGTGAAAGATGATTTATGGAATGATTTGTCGGTGTGAATGACATTTGATTTGGACCTTGCGTAATGCAGTTGCTTATTTTGGAAGTTATTTAACAGATCTATTGTGTCTATGCAATCTTGAACTTCATTTACATCTATTTTCTAGATTTAGATACCAGTTACCGTGAATGTACTTAGTTACATTTCTTCTGATGAATCTTCTGTGCTGAAATATGTTTACATGTCAGTAATGTAAGCAGTAAGGGTGTGTTTGGATACCTGTTGTTGCACACCTTGCAAGAAAGAAAACATAAAAGGAAATTATTTTTGCATTAGGCCAAACATCTCTTAGGCTCTTTTCCTATGAATACCAAACACACATGAGGATGGTCTGCTGCATTCATTCGCATGTTACATGGTAGTATGGTTGATGGTTCTGAGTTTTTTTTTTTTTCCTTTACACTCTTAATTGGACTGTAGCTAGCTTAGTAATTTACCTAATTTCATTCATCTTCTGTTAATTTTTATTCCTTCTTTGTTTAGCTTAGTAATTTACCTAATTTCATTCATCTTCTGTTAATTTTTATTCCTTCTTTGTTTAGATAGTGGTTTTAGTTTTGTTCCTCAATTTTAGTTTGTCTTTTTTTCCCTACTTTCATGTGCATAATTTGGCTTGGTTCACCTAGTCGATTCTCTCTCACAATTGCACCTCTAAAATCATTCTAACTGTCAACTGTTGTATTACTATTACTTCTGTGTAAATTGATACTGCAACTATTTTAGTCATGTTCTTTGTGTTTTCTGTGCATGAAAGCCATTTGCTTATCAAATTTGATGGCAGACTATTAGCTAGTTTGTGTTTCCATGATATAATTTTCTCTTTGATGATCATTCTACTGGTGCCACTGCAACTTAATAGTCAGGTTTCATTAATGTTGGCCTCTTTCTTACCCAAGCCAGGATATTGGCCTCTTTTATAATCCACCTTTGCTTTTTGATAAATTTAGTTATGAAGTGTATGTCATTTGAATTTTACAACTTCCAAATCTGAAGAAAAAAGAATATTTTCAAAAAAAATAATATTAGAAATCTGTGATGCCAAATTGTCAATTACACGGTATCTGCTAACAAGTGTTTATAATTCTACTTTTGAATGTTTGATCAGACACATTGCTTCTGAATGCACCACAAAATCGCTTTGCTGGAATTGTAAAGAACCAGGTCACATGGCCAGCAATTGCCCAAATGAGGGCATTTGCCACACCTGTGGCAAAGCTGGACACCGTGCTAGGGAATGCACAGCTCCTCCCATGCCTCCAGGGGACTTAAGATTGTGCAACAACTGTTATAAGCAGGGCCATATTGCAGCTGAATGTACGAATGAGAAGGCATGCAACAACTGTAGGAAGACAGGCCACTTGGCTCGTGATTGTCCGAATGATCCCATTTGTAATTTATGCAATGTTTCTGGCCATGTGGCTAGGCAGTGTCCAAAAGCCAATATTCTTGGTGACCGCAGTGGTGGCGGCGCAGGTGGTGGTGGTGGTGTTCGTGGTGGTGGTGGTGGTGGCTACCGAGATGTTGTATGTAGGAACTGCCAGCAACTGGGTCACATGAGTAGGGATTGCATGGGGCCCTTGATGATTTGCCACAATTGCGGAGGTCGGGGTCACCTGGCGTATGAGTGCCCTTCTGGTCGATTTATGGATCGATACCCCAGGAGGTACTGATGATGGCAAATTCCTGGATTACAGTTATATGGTTGTTTTTCAGTTTTTCTATGATTTTCTCGCAGAGGACATTGTTGAATCTTGGTAGTGTATGTGTTGGCTTTATTATTTTTAACTTGGTAGAGTGACATGACAATGATGCCAATTTATCGGCCATTTATAATTTATAATTGTGCTTGTGCTAGGAATAAGAATTTGCTACTTGTAAGATGTGGTATCGTACGTATTGTGTTACCTAGCGAGGTTACTTTTAATAGATCCAGTGTAAGTTTTTGTGGTAAGGAGCGAATTGACGTATGTCGTTTTACTTTTCTAACTAATTGCGTGTTTCTTTCTATGTTATGTTAAAATTTGTCAGCAGCTTGTGGGAAGAACTTCTGAGATGATTTTTTTTTTCTTCTTAAATTACGTAGTGTTTAGAGTAATTAATTTTGGGCTTCTCTTCTCCGTAAAAGGACATGTTAAAATTTTATATTATATTGAGTTGTTTAGATTATACAAAATAAGATAAGATCAACTACTTTTTCTTATCTCTTTCTTTTCCTTTAATTTGATGGATGCTAGATGGGATTATTGCATTTTGTTATAAAATGTCCCAATAATAAAAGAACTCTGATTTCTTTCCATTTTATCTCTTTTCTTATTATATAATCAAAACATAATCTAAATTGTCTAGGCAATAATGTAGATATCTTTTGAATGATTGAGAGAGATATCTTCAGCATGGTCATGTTCTTCGATTATTTTGGACTAGCATATTTTATTGTTAAAACTTATTATATTTTCTTAATAAAAAGATTTAATTTAAACACATCGGTAATCTAAAATATTTTTACATTGTCATTTAATTATATATTATTACATCAATAAGAGTCATTGATTTTTGTAATAATATAAAAGTCATTCAGTGTATCTTAATTAATTGAGTAGGCTTCATTTGTAAATATAAATGAGATATTTGAGTCTAGTTTATTAGTTTAAATAAATCAAATTGTTTAACTCGGCTTGGTTAAAAAGTTCAAAATTAGGTTTGATTTATTAATTTAGAATTTTAAAATGGTATTAAAAGTAATTTTATATACATAAAAATTGTACAAGATTAAAAATAAAATATTTGACAGTAAAAATATTATATTTATTTTTAAAAGCTATTTATTCAAAATACAACTATTAAAATTAAATATATAATATATACAAATATATGATAATAAATAATTTTTTTTCATCTGATTTAATTTAGATGACTTGAACTCAAGATCTTACTAAATCACTTATTACTCAGTCAAATCTTCATTCATAACAAATAAGTTTAATTAAATATATAATAAATAAAATGTTAATTATTAAAGTATACACAAATTAATAATATCAATCGTATAAAGTTTAAATTTAACTAATTTAAATCGTTGAACTATTTATTCATTTAACTAAATAAACAAACAACATTTAGTGAGCTGAGCAGAAATAATTTCCGAATAGGCTAATTCATTTACACCATTACGTTAAATGGGTTAAACTTGCGAATAAACGGTTTAATACATTGACTTACAAACAAAAAATAAAATCAAGTAAATACAGATAATGCACATCACTCGAGACATTTACGTGCAGACTGGATCAAGCTGCGATGATCGCCACGAAAGCCCAAATTAGCGATTGTTAAAGACAGACACCCGAAAAGTTATACGAAAAAATATATTAAATTAGTAATTAAAAAATAAAATCTAAATAATTTTTATAACATTTAATAAATTCTCGAATAAATTTTAACTTATAAATATATCGCTAACATTTCTGGACCAAATAAATAAACATAAACTAGACCTCTCTAGTCGTCGATGTGCCTTTGTGTTCCTTCATTCAACTGAATCATGGCAGAATCTGCGGAGATACCGATAATTGGTAAGCCTGTCCAAGAGCTGCTCTTCAATTCTGAAACTCTGCCCAAAAATTATATTTACGAAGAAGGCGTTGATGGATTTGGAGATGCTTCCCGAGATATTCATATTCCCGTTGTTGACCTTAAACCTCCTCTCTTCTCCATCCACTGCACAACAAGAGCTTCCTAAACTCCACTCTGCACTCACTTCATGGGGCTGCTTTCAGGTTCATCATTTCTATCATTTCACTTTATTCGGTTCCTGTTTATCAGATAGATAACTCAACTTCATCACATTATCTTATATCGTACCTCGTTTTTGGAAATTCAATTTAAGGATGGTTTTAATTTTTAGAAAAATAATTAAATCACCAATAGCATGTGTGGATTCACTTTAAATGCCTAACATCAATATTTACTTCAATACTAATCCCTTTCCATACTTCTTCTAATAAATAAAATACTAAATTACCATATCAAGAAAAATAATTAATTTTATTATATTTTTTATAAATATAAATTTTATTTTTAAAATATCTATAATATTAAATAATATAGTTAATAATTTGTATATTTAATTATACTAATAAAAAAAATTTAATAATTAATGCATGAATCTATCATTTATTTTTTATAATAAAAAAATGATATATTTTATTTCTTATAAAAAAAATTGGATAGAAGTAGTATTTTATAACTTATGATCCGTGTTTATAAGTCTTCTGACATGAATTAGTGTGTTTGGATTCACATCAAATGTTTATGAATTAACGGTTATTTTAATGCTATTAGCTGAAACTTTTTATATTATATCTACGGTTATAGATTCTTTATAATGTGAATTCAAATCCACTCTAAGTAAATGCTTATTTAGATTCATATTTGAATGGCTATAGGCCTGATCCACGTTAACTGAAACTTTAGTAGCTGTAGTTTATGTAGTTTATAAATGAATGCTTATATATTTTCAGGCATGGTCAAAGTTCTTTTCATCATTATCATAATCCCTTTAACTTTATAGATTCACGACGGTAACAGAATAGAGAGTAGAAACACATTAGAAATGGAAATGATAAAAGCTAGGTACCCAAGTTGTTGCATATTTATCTGTCTGCAGAGAAGAAGTTATCATATATGTAAATCAAGCCACCATAGTATGAAATATGGATGCGTGTCTCGTTTCAACAATCGAGAACATTCAAGCATCAGATTAGACGTCTGTTTCTTAGGGATTTTACGAAAATTAGATGACTCGCTTTCTTTGGTATAAGTTCATAAAATCAACTTGGAAATATCAAAGTAAGTTTAAAAAGAATATTAGATATTGAAGTTGTAAGTTTAAAAAATGTAAAGCAAGAGGCAATTATTTTTCACTAACCCAAAAATGATATTCTTAATTTATTTTTATGGTGCGTGGAGCAAATGCCCGATGATATTCTCAATTGTTTTTGTGGGATGCAGGCAATAAATCACGGTATCAAGGGCTCATTTTTGGACAAAGTGAGAGAAGTTTCAAAGCAATTCTTTGAACTTCCAATGAAAGAAAAGCAAAAATCTGCAAGGGAACCAAACGGTATTGAAGGATATGGCAATGATACAATATTTTCAGAAAAACAAAGGCTTGACTGGACTGACAGAATATACCTGAAGGTGCTGCCTGAAGACCAGAGGAAGTTCCAAGTTTGGCCCGAAAAGCCCAATGATTTCAGGTATACACATTGTTTTCGCCTCTAGCTCACAATAACTATGGAATGTTCTTTCACATGAAGTAGTTAATAGAAAACCATATTTTTCAATCAAAACAGCTCCCTGTAGTCATCTAAATTCCTATTTCTATTTTCTAATTTTGACACAAGCATAGAACTACATTTTTGGACAAGGAATTTCTTCCATTTCTCTTGCGTTTGTGACATTAATGCAGGAACACTGTCCTACAGTATACCGAAAGCCTTAAGCTACTAAATGAAGTCATTTTAAAGGCCATGGCAAAGTCCCTGGACTTGGAAGAGGACTGCTTCCTAAACGAAGGTGGAGAGAGAGATTCAATGTGTCTGAGATTTAACTATTACCCTCCATGCCCCATGCCTGATCATGTTCTTGGCGTGAAGCCACATGCTGATGGATCCACCATAACCTTTCTGTTGCAAGACAAAGAAGTAGAAGGCTTGCAAATCCTCAAAGATGATCAGTGGTTTAAAGTTCCAATCATCCCTTATGCTCTCCTCATTAATGTTGGTGATCAAATAGAGGTAATAACAGAGTAAATCACTACTATCACATCTGAAATTTTAAGTATTATTATTCACTTTAATCCTTATTTTTTTTTAAAAATTGTATTTGATAAGATATTATAAAATCCTATTAACTTTATTATTATTTTTATTAATTTTAAGGATTAAAGTTAACGAGATTTCATCATATTTTGCAAAATAAGTAAAATATTAGATACACACTTAATTATTAGTTAAAATTTATTAACAATTATAAACATTATATGAGTCTTACTTTTAATTTAATAATTTTTACTTCTAATTTAATTATTTTTTTAATATTTTTGTAGTTTTTAATAAATTTTTGTGAACATATTTGGATTAGATAGAATGTTCTTAGGACTCTGAACACGTTAATGGAATTGACTGATACAATAATAATGCTTGAGTGAGAACATGTGGAATGTGATGAACAGATAATGAGCAATGGAATATTCCGGAGCCCAGTACACAGGGTGGTGGTAAATGCAGAAAAGGAAAGGCTAACAGTAGCAATGTTCTGCATCCCGGACCCAGAAAAAGAGATTAAACCGCTGGATAAGCTAGTTAGCGAGGACAGGCCAATATTATACAGACCGGTGAAAAATTATACTGAGATCTATTTCCACTATTATCAGCAAGGAAAAAGACCAATCGAAGCTTCAAAGATTTAAAACTTTTATGAAGCTCAACGTTTCTCCCAATTCAGTCAAATAGACGATGATGAAAATGCAATAAATCCGTCGGTATCTTTACGGATTGTCTCTGGTGTATGATTTTACTTTTACTTTTCTTTATTTAATAATTTCTTTTTCATTATTGATTACTCCATGTAATCTATTGGTGTTTTGTTTTGATAAATATACATCAAATATAACAATTAAAAACAAAATAAAAATGATTAAATATAATAATAATATATTAAAGTGAAGAAAACTGTTAAATTCAGAAAATATTATGAAAATAAATAATTAAAATGAATATTTATTTACTGGAATAATAGTTTTTCAGTATAATTACAATATTTTTAATTTATTTAAAAAGTGTGTATCTTATAATATAAAAAAGTTAAACAGAAATGATAAATAATTTATTATACTAAATAAAAAAATAATCTGTATCTTATAATTATTGATCTATCGGTCAAAGTACCAATAAGAGGTAAGATTTGACAAATTATTCAAATAATTTGAGTTAAGAATATAAACAAGTAGAGTTAAGTTGAAAAGTTGGAGATAAAAAATAGGAAGGGTTAAATTAAGTTTTATAAAGCTTGAGTCAGGTTTAATTTCTAAATTTATAAGTTGAACATGAAATGTTTATTTGGAATGATAAAGTTTTTACGCAATGTTTTCCCTTTTCACAAGGTTATGCAACTTTTCCCATATTAAGCAGTCACTTTAAAAATAATTTTCAAGATTAATTTTAATTCTATTTTTTATATTTTAATTATAGGTTTTAAAATTTCTATCTCACTAATAGAAAATTACAATTCATAATTTTTTTAATTTATAAATTAAGAATACTCTCTTTAAATTATTTAAAATAAATATAAATATTTTTATGATATTAATTATAAAAAGTAAAGACTTTTTTTATGTGTATTAGTGACTGATTTTTTAATATATTTATTTATTGTTAGATTTATATAATTATCTATAATTTAACTATTTAATATTATAAACATTTTTTAGAAAGATAGTTCAAAACTCTCATACTTTTCACACCTACAAATACTCTTTATTAGTAAACAAAGAAACTATTAAATATTGTTTATATTTTTGAGATAATAAATACATATATATATTTTTAATAATTACTTTATAAAGTAGTAAAAGAATTATTAATAAAATAGAATATTAATTCATGATAAATAAATGAAATAATTGATTATTTTTGTAAAAAATAAAAAATATAACATATTTATTTAATAACACTGATCCTGTTTGATGGGAGCATGGTTATCATGTTTTTGGGTGGGGGTTGAGAAAAAGAGGAAGGGCAGGGCAAGTAGTGAACTAGTCCTAGGGCACAAGGCAACATCGTTATTGTGAGAAGGGAGCAAGGGTAGTTTGGTCTTTCGGAAACACACAACTCAGAGAGAAGAACCACTTCGCTATGCAAACGCACCCATCTCTCTGCCTCTGCGACCGCGCGTCCCAATTCGTTACCCTCTTTTATAGCCCACACAACACAAATCCCCTTTCATTTTTCTTTTCCTTTTCATTTTCATTTTAATAACTTAAATTTTTCCTAAATTCAATTCCATCTCCTTAGGGATTTCAATCCCTCTTCCATATGGATGCCGACGACGACGAAGCTCAACTCCCAAAACACTCCCCACAATGCCACGCTCGCCTGCAAAATCTTCCCGACGCCGCCGTAGGGGATTTTCCGCCGGCACAGCTCCACGCCGGAGACCTTGAGGCTGTGACCGCGGAGTTGAGTGAAGCCAACGCCGATGCGACGAAGGAGAAGGGAACGGGGAATGAAGGAACCGATGCGGCTTTGGAGACGGAGAAGGTGGAAGGCGAAGGGAGTTTCCCAATTCATAAGGAAGAGACCGAGGATGGGAAGATGAATGAAGGTGCTTTGATGGAACAAGAAGAAGAACGCCAAGAAGACGATGCTTTGTTAGAACACGAAGAAGAACGCCAAGAAGATGACGCTTTGTTGGAACACGAAGAAGAACGACAAGAAGATGAGGCTTTGTTGGAACAAGAAGAACACCAAGAAGACGATGCTTTGGTGGAACAAGAAGAGGAAGAACAGCAAGAGGACGAGGCTTTGATGGAACAAGAAGAAGAGCACCAACAAGTAGAAGAAGAAGAGGAAGAAGAAGCTGGTGCTGATGGGGATGGTGGTATGGCAATGGCAGAAGATACAGAGGGTGCAGAGGAGATAGAGGAGGAGAAGAGTGCGAGTGTCAGTGGTGGGAAGAGGAAGCGTGGGGCTGGGAAGAATGCTAAGTCTACAGGGAGAGTTGCATCCAAGAAAAAGATGGAAGAGGACGTTTGTTTTATTTGCTTTGATGGGGGTGACCTTGTGCTTTGCGATCGCAGGTGAATAACTTTTCAAATTGTATCCATTCTCATGTTTATGTTTATTTGGGAAACTCATTGCCTTTTCTTTGGTTTTGACTAGGGGATGCCCCAAGGCCTACCATCCTTCTTGCGTTAATCGTGACGAGGCCTTCTTTCGAGCCAAGGGAAAGTGGAATTGTGGTATGTTTCCTCCTCCTCATCTTTGTTTAATTACTTTTTCTTTTGATGGTTAGTTAGTTCTATGTTTGCGTTAATTTGCCAATGGTTAACTAGAGCCTTATGAATCTTGAAACTCTTTTACCATCAGAGTTTGAATTTTAACGGAGACATGTAGATAATGCTTATGGTTTGATTATTGTGAACTTGCTTCAATATATTTGAGATGCCCAAATTTCCCTTGGAGGTTTGGAGATGGCTTGTTTAAAAAGTAGGTTGGAGAGAGTGACTTATTAGAATATATGAAAATATCCAATAGTTTTTGATCATATCTTATAGTATCTTAAAATTATTTTAGATTGTCTAATAATATCTAGATTATATCTTACAATATTTTGGGGCATCTTAGATATCTCTTAGGATTAATTTCTCTATTTTCTTAGTTTTTGTACTTCTTTATGTCTCATTATTTGGTTCCTTATTTAATTAATACTATGAGTTGTTGAGATCCCATGTCCACTTCTGAAATGGCTAAAATAGGGATCTGGATTCTTTCCCATTGTGGTGAGAACTGAACGTAAAAATGGACTCGCTTAAGTGAAAATGAAAAAAATGACAAACAATTTGTATGCAAAATTCGTTTAAGCAAATTTTGTTTGCTTAAGTGAAATTTGCGTCTCCCCTATCTCCTCCTCCAACCTTTTGCTCTCCTTCTCCTCCTCCATGCCTAACACTCTTCTTTCAATTTTCATATTCAACCCTTTTTTTTCAAAATTTTATATTAGGTCATCCTTAACTATGCAAAAATGAATTTAACCCTTCAAAATTTTCTGGGCAATCAAGGCCCCATTGATTTCCTAGGGCAATAAATCTAGCCACATGGCTTTCCAAGTGAAATGTAAAATAATTAGTTCTACAATCTCTACGCTCCATATGTTTATTCCTGGATGTGAGTGGTTGTGTTGAGTTCTCATATCAACTATAGAAATGGCCAACATATAGATTATAAAGACATAGACAATCTTCATGTCATGAGTTAGCCTTTGGAGTTAAGTTAGATTTTACCCAAATTCAAGATAGTTAGTATAAACAAGGGTTAGTGTTAGGTTTTATGAGCAATGTCATCATGATGATATCAAGGAAATATTATCGAAGTCTTTCTCGTCTCCTTCTCCTTCCTCAATACCTAAAACCTTAATAATTTCAACATTGTTGAAATCAAGAATGTGCATATGGTTTGTAAATTGAGATTCTCATATGAGCATGACATTGGAGAAAGTTTTCAATATTCTTTTTTGGACTTCCCACCTTTGCTGAAATTACCTAGTTTATAAACATTCAAACCCAAAATTTTGTTGACCAACACAATCTCAACTGTTGCCTTGCCCAATTATCATAATAAACATCAGGAGCTCCTTTTCCACGGCTTTTTTCTGATAAATGATAAATTGGTGAAGAAGTTCTCATAATCATGCATACATGGCTTTTCTGTATCTGACTTTCCATATCTTTGATCTTTGTGACCACAGGTTGGCATCTTTGCAGCAACTGTGAAAGGAATGCATACTATATGTGCTATACATGTACATTTTCTTTGTGCAAGGTATGCATCAAAGATGCTGTTATCTTATGTGTTAGAGGAAACAAGGGCTTTTGTGAGACATGCATGAGAACCGTGATGTTGATTGAACAGAATGAACAAGGAAACAATATGGTATAACTCTTCTCCCTACCACCTTTTCTTGTCATATGTTTTCTTGCAAAATTGTTGTTTTAAAATGATATTGTGCATTTTGGAATAATGAGTGTTTATCCTTCTGCTGAGCTTCAGGTAGTTTCAAAATAGTAGTGGTTCTATGTTTCTTGATATTTACTTTTCTTGTGGCTAACTTCTCTGTCTGTCTGAAGTTTTTTTTTGGGTTACATTTTAGAATTTCTGATCATTCCTGGGCTTGCATTGCATATTAACATAAGTAGACAAGTCAATTTGTTGGCTCAACTCAAACAGGATGGGCTTGGAGATTTAGCTATTTTGGCTTTGTTTAGGGGATTGGATAACCATAATATAGAATTTGAAGATTGATATATGGTGGAACTGGAAAGTGATGAAGTGAAAAAGGATTTTTTTGGAATTGTGTGTTATCATGCAACTGGTTACATTCATATACAAGAATATTATGAGTGCAATAATTATCTCTTATTATTGGCACGATTTCCTATATGATGTTGGTTACTGTATCTAGTAACTAGGAGAAATAATGCAATGATCATGTGAAGCATAAGAATTAAGAAGCATGTGCTAAATCCTAACACTCCCATCAAGCTGGAGCATATATATCATGAACTAAGCTTGTTAAAGATAAAATCAACTCGAGGTCCTTTCAAGGGATTTAGTAAATATATCTTCTAAGTTCTAACTGGTTGTTGGAGTTGCCAAAGTCATTCTTTTTGCTTGACTGAAGCTTTTCTTTGATAAACTATGTTTGGTTCTTTCATTAAGAACTTGGTTGGAGGCAATTGGTGAAGCTTACTTGCCAATACTAGGTGGTGCCTAGATAAACAACATATTGCATTTGAGGGAGTTGCTTGTAGAGCAGAATTAATTTGGAAGAATGTCAAGTGATTTTGTTGTTTGATTGTGTCTGTCCTAAAGTTGCAGGGATTTTTCAGGCACGAAGTCATTTTGGTTTTCATTTGCCAAACAACATTAGTTGATGGCAGAATTACTTTTCAACTTACAGAATTAAGTTTGAGGGGGATGTAATTGTGCTCCTAAAGAAGAATAACTGTATTTCTTTCCCTTTCTAGAAAAGAAATAGTCCAGAATCCTGATGAGAATGCGATAACTATTTCCCTTCCTTTCTTCTCTATTCTTAATGATTGTTGTAATGCTTTTTTTATTTCATTGTGTTTATACCATACAATATGCTGCATTATATTCTTAACATATCAAACAGTTCCACATCAACAGTTACTACAAGCCTATCAACTATCAAGCAGACATATCCCCTATAAGTATACTCCTTTGAAGATAAAATGTAGATATGTGAATTTATAATGTACTAATTAGGGGCATCTCCTTTTGACTAATAATGGTTTTTTTCGTGCTTGGTGCAGGGGCAAGTAGATTTTGATGACAAAAACAGCTGGGAATATCTCTTCAAGGACTACTACATAGATCTGAAAGAAAAACTATCTCTAACATTTGATGAACTAACTCAAGCTAAAAACCCTTGGAAGGGATCTGATATGCTTCCTTCAAAAGAGGAATCACCGGATGAACTTTTTGATGCCAGTAATGATAGAGGATCAGATTCAGATAGCTCATATGAGAATGTAGATTTGAATCATTCTAAAAGAAGAAAGGCCAAGAAAAGGGCAAAGTCCCATTCCAAAGAAGGTAATTCATATAGTGCTGTGAGAATGCTTGGTGCTGATGGGCCATCTGGAGATGACAGCTCTGACTGGGCTTCGAAAGAGCTTTTGGAGTTTGTCATGCACATGAGAAATGGAGACAAATCTGTTTTGTCTCAGTTTGATGTCCAGGCTCTTCTGCTAGAGTATATTAAAAGAAATAAACTTCGAGATCCACGCAGAAAAAGTCAGATTATTTGTGATGCAAGACTTCAAAATCTGTTTGGTAAACCAAGAGTAGGACATTTTGAAATGTTAAAACTTCTTGAATCCCATTTCCTTCTAAAAGAGGATTCTCAGGCTGAAGATCTGCAGGGAAGTGTTGTTGACACTGAAATTAGTCATTTGGAAGGTGATGGGAATCCCAATTCATATGTCAAAGCTGGCAAAGATAAGAAACGCAAAAATCGTAAGAAGGGTGATGAGAGAGGACTTCAATCTAATGTTGATGATTATGCAGCCATTGATAATCATAATATTAATTTAATTTATCTAAGACGTAATTTGGTGGAAGATCTACTTGAAGATACCGAGAAGTTTCATGATAAAGTTGTTGGTTCTTTTGTGAGAATAAGAATTTCTGGTAGTGGTCAGAAGCAAGACTTGTATAGGCTGGTTCAGGTTGTAGGTAAATATCTAGACAACTTTCATTCTATCATTATTTGCAATGTAAAATAAACTTTGCATTGTGTTCTTTTTAATTATCTTTATGGTTAGGTACATGCAAAGCAGCAGAGGCATATAAAGTTGGTAAAAGGATGACAGATATCTTGCTAGAAATCTTAAATTTAAACAAGACAGAGATTGTATCGATTGATATTATCTCTAACCAGGAGTTCACAGAGGTGAGTCAATGCACGACATTTTTTTTCATTTTTCACCTCTCCTTTTTGTTGATTGTATTCTGTTACAGTTGGGGTTTGCAGTAATTCATTTTAAAAGTCATTTTAGATCCCCAAACTCTAATTCATTCCAATTGCATGAAGGGAAATATTCCTTTTGATAATCAGCTATACTTCTTACTGGTTGCTTCTACCGGTCAAGAATGGACTGTGAGGGCAACTTGGCAGCTGCTTATTTAACCATAGAGTGAATCCTTAAATTGGTCATCCAAATATTAGTATGCCATCATAGTGGTTTTGTAAAAATTTATGCACCTAATTAGTCCTTTTGTGTCACCACTTTAGTCCTTCATAAGGATAAAAATGATGTTTTAGAGTTTTTTTTTAGGGACTTATTTGATTAAAAAAATCTTTAGAGGACTAATTAGGTGATACACCGATCTTTGAATGATTAATTTAGTAGTTCACTCTTAACCATATGATGATGAGAATATATTATTCTGATTTTAGATTTTCTCAGAAATGATAATTCGTTCAATTTGACCTTGTGCTTTGGATTAATGTTTTTCTTCCTTAAGATATTGATTGGCTTTCTGTTAGGATGAATGCAAGCGTCTCCGTCAAAGCATAAAGTGTGGCCTCATAAACCGGCTAACTGTGGTAATTTTACATTCAATATAATCATACTTTCAGCCATCAGATGTTATATTTGTTCTGAGGAGTGAGGACACACATTTGTGCTTGTAGGGTGACATTCAGGACAAAGCATTGATACTTCAGGCTGTTAGAGTAAAAGATGTGAGTTGTTCTTTACTTTCTTGTTGGGGAGTGCATGCTCACTCATCTTTCAAAATTTCCTAATTTCTTACACTGTGTCCTTGTTAATGTGATTTCATTGATGTATTGTGTTATTTTGAGCTCAATGATGTTGTTTGATCCATATAACTGACTTCAATATGATAAGGCTTTTGTTGTTGTTGTTGTTGTATTGAATAAAATTACCTTATGGACAAGTGAGGTTTTTTAATAGATGTAAAGGTTTCAATAGTGAAATGCCAATGTAAATTAGATTGATGAAAATTCAATATTTAGTGCAATTGCATGGGGAAGAGGGGTCATGATATTCTTTCTGTTGTTAAACTCTTACGTTGATCATTTGAAGTTTAAATCTGTCTGAGGCCTAGTAACAATGGTCAAGAAACTCTTATGATATAAATTCTGAAATAAGACTAACATATTCACTTTGCAAGTTGTTAAGATGTTTCACTTTGGTCATGAAGAGAAGCAGAATACTCCTTATAAGGACTAGGGTAGTCCTCCTCCTATGAGCTAGCTTTTGAGAGTTAGACTAAAGTTTTTTAATATGATTTCAAAGCTTATTTGAATGTTGGGTTACCCACAGATGTTCAGTCATATTAGATTTCATCTGTGCAAATATTCAGTCTTACAAATTTCATGAACCAGATGTCTAATCCTGGATGTGAGGGAGGTATGTTAAGTTGTCTTACATTAGTTAGGAATAGTCTTTATACTCCTTATAAAGACTAGGTAGTTCTCCTATGAGCTAGCTTTTAGATGTGAGGTATAAGTTTCTTAATATGATATTAGAGCCTATCCAGTTTAAATGTTGGATGTGAGGCCCAAGTTTTTCAACAGTCCTGTTGGACCTCCACCTGTGCAAATGTTCAGTTCTACAAATTTCACTTACCAGATGTCTAATCATGGGCATGAAGAGAGTGTATTAAGATATCCTACATTGGTCAAGAATAGAGATAGAATACTCTTTATAAAGGTTATATTAGTCCTCCTCTTATGAGTTAGCTTTTGAGAGTGAGTTAGATTCAAGTTTTTTAACACAAGTTTACAAAGGAGTACTTCACTTTGAAAGTTTACTGATTGTCCTAGTTAATTTAAATTATTAAATTGATTTTCTAGGTGTATTTTCATTAAGTGCTCATCTCATTTCCTAATGTTTTATTGTCTTATAGACAATTTTTTTTATCAGCGACATTTTAAATATATGTTCTGGTCCTTGTAATCTATTTCAATTTTTTTTCTTTTATAGTGGCTCGAAACAGAGATAGTGCGGCTGAGTCATCTTCGTGATAGAGCTAGTGAGAAAGGACGCAGAAAAGAATATCCTTTTCCCTTAAAAAAAATCAGATATGATATATCTGGCAGTATTTGGTGCTTATTACTTTGTGTTTCCTTGATGCAGTTTAATAATTTGATTTCTTGTCTCATTGCTTGATTTATTTTCCTCCAATTTAATGTTTTCTCGTCAGTCATGTTGTTTATAAACACTTGAAACTGAATGGAGAATATATTTGCTGTATCTCACGAATGATGATTACGTTATTTATATATAACAGACAATTCCTAGAGTTTTGGGATTACGATCAATCTATTTAAGGAAACTATACAACAAATTAGAAGAATATCAAGCTACAATATCTCAACTTAAACATTATATATGGCATTATCAGGACATGGAGATAGAAATCCATGGATTTTTTATTTTTTTTTTTATCATTTTTATCAATTTATAGTTGCCACAGCCACTACAAATGGGGAATTGATAATTCTTAAGATGCAATCTTCTCATCTGAAAGAAGAAAATTTTTAGAGGTGTTTGTTAAGTGAACATTTTGATTTTCTACCTACTTGGAAAGCCAAATGAGATATGCAAAAAATTTAAAAATGATATGTTGTAAAACAAATCTGTTCCGTAATAAGTTTTTCACTTGCCAAACACATACATAGTTAGGTGAGTTTAGTGGGTTAATTTCTAATAACTCACTCTTCATAAGCCTTTTTTATTTTTGTATTTTCAGCTATTTGTAACAATTTCCATACGTATTGAAGGATTTCACAGTGTATTTTCATGTTATGGAACACCTATCTTTGGGTTGATATGGATATTAGTCATTATAATTTTTTTTCTTCATGATAATGTTTTTATGGGCCCTACTACTTGTCTGTTATCATATTATTTTTAACATACTAATTTTTCTGATGAATTGAAGTTGACTATGAACTCGAGTTCTATTTTGTATTGATCCTTAATTTCCTCTCACGCTCAGAGAATGTGTAGAGAAATTGCAGCTGTTGAAAACACCAGAAGAACGTCAACGGAGACTGGAGGAGATTCCAGAAATACATGTGGATCCAAATATGGATCCAAGTTATGAGTCTGAAGAAGATGAAGATGAAATGGATGATAAAAGACAAGGTAGAGTTAATACTGTTTGATCTTGTAAACTCCTTTTTGTTTGACCTTTTTTCTAACGTTTGGTGATTCTATGCCTGCAGAAAACTACATGAGACCTAGAGGGTCTGCTGCCTTTGGAAGGAGGGGGAGAGAAATTGTTTCTCCTAGAAGTGGTTCTATTTCAAGTGATCCTTGGAGTGGAACAAGGAATTATTCTAACGTGAATCAGGAACTTAGCAGAAATTTGTCTAATAAGGGATTTTCAATCAAAGGTGATAATGCTTCTAATGCTACTGAGGTACTAAATGATGTTCAATTGCACCTGGGAAGAGACAGAGAATCTCAACTATCCAATAGCTGGGAAAGGCAAAAGCTATCTTCAAGCTTGGAAAGTGGTGCTAAAACTACCCAATCATTGGTAACATCAGAGCCTTTTTCTACTGCTGTGTTAGAAGCTTCTGCAGCACCATCTTCTGCTGGAATAGCTCCCCCAGCTGTGAAAATTAATGAAACAGAAAAGATGTGGCATTACCAGGATCCATCTGGAAAAGTTCAGGGACCATTTTCCATGGTGCAGCTACGTAAATGGAGTAACACAGGATATTTTCCTGCTGATTTGAGGATTTGGAGAAGCACTGAGAAGCAGGATGAATCTATACTCTTAACGGATGCCTTGGCAGGGAAGTTTTCTAAAGAACCATCAATGGTGGATAAGGCCCAAACGGTGCATGATTTACATTACTCATCCTCATTCTCTAGGAAGTCTGCACAACAGGGTATAGAAGGTCAAGTCGGAGAAAGGCCAACATTTGATCAAAATAGTGGATCTTGGAATTCACATGGTACTCTGGGTTCTCCTGGACAAACCAATGGAGGAAGTTGGAGATCTAAAGATAATATGATTTCTTTAGCAAGTAGAACTCCATTAGCAGTTGAGGTCCCGAAAAACCCAGCAAATGGCTGGGGGTCTGATACTGGTGTTAGAAATGAATCAACAAATCTTCCTTCACCTACTCCCCAGGTTACTCCTGGTGGGACTAAGGGGCAGGCTTTTGAAAATAAATGGTCACCAACACCTGTCCAGGTGGCTGGGTCTCTCTTAGGCAATTCATTCCCAGGCGGTCATGCAGGTATGCAGGCTGCTGTGGTAATGCACCAAGAGAATGTCGTACAGAATGCTGAAAAAGGTTCAAGTTCACAACCTGGGATGACTCAAGCTTCTACAGATACTACTCAGTTACATCCTCAAGCAACAGCAATGGCACCTGTTCTGGCTTCAGGTGTTGACATTAAAATGGCAAGTGCAAATATGCAAAATCAGGTTGTGAGTAGCCACAACACTCATGCTGAAGTTCAAGGTTGGGGTTCTGCTGTGGTTCCAAAGCCAGAACCACAGGCCTGGGGAGTTGCATCGTCTCAAAGGATAGAACCAAGTAATCCTGCAACTATGCCTACCCAGCCCACTTCCCATGGCCCCTGGGGTGATGCTTCGTCTGTCCAGAACGCTGCCTCTTTTAGCACTGGAAATCCAACTGGGAGTTTAACCACACCTGGATTTCTGGGCATGACTACACCTGAGCCTTGGAGACCACCAGCTTCAAGTAGTCAATCAAACATTACAGCTCCTCCAGCACCAGCTCCAGCTAATATGCCTTGGGGCATGGGCATGCCAGGAAATCAGAATATGAGCTGGGGTGGGGCTCTACCTGCCAATATGAATGCAAACTGGATGCCTGGGCAGGTTCCACCACCTGGAAATACAAATCCCGGATGGGTTGCTCCAACTCAGGGGCTACCTCCAGTGAATGCAGTTGGCTGGGCTGGACCTGGTCAAGTACGTCCCCATGTAAATGTGAACGCAGGTTGGGTTGTGCCTGGTCAAGGGCTAGCACCTGGAAATGCCAATCCTGGTTGGGCTGCATCGGCTGGGAATCCAAGCATGTGGGGAGGGGAGCAAAGTCATAATGGAGACAGGTTCCCCAACCAAGGGGATCGTGGTACCCATGGTGGAGATTCTGGTTATGGAGGTAAATCTTGGAACAGGCAGTCATCATTTGGCAGCGGAAGCAGAGGAGGTTCTTCCAGGCCTCCTTTTGGGGGACAAAGAGGACTCTGCAAGTATCATGAGAGTGGACACTGCAAGAAGGGTGCTTCCTGTGATTTTCTACACACTTAGTTGTAGGGCTAATTAGCAGCAGAGAAACATCTCTTACTGTACAGTATTTTCCCATTTCATGGCTAAACATTGTATAAGGATGTGTCATGTATGTAGAACTTAGTTCATTGTAGTATCTCGTTAATTTGTCTTGCATATTTATCTTTTTTGGGCCATGTATTCCTGTATTGGAGTTGACCGATGCGAGAGTTGACTAGTTACAGAAGTTGAAATGGCTTTAGATTAATAATAACAACTGGAAGTTGACGTTGTAGGTTTTATTTTTCGAAGTTTCATCTTGGTGTGGGAATGCATAAGATAAAAAATTATTCCTAGTATATAAAGATGATTTCCTGGAATAGGGATGAAAAAAAATAGGATGCGATGGGAATATTTTTTAGGTCATTTAATTGTCCAGGTACTTAGAAATTAATGCATAAAATTGATTTAAATTAAATCAATGTTTTATGTGGTTTTCTCGACCTTCTTTAGGTAAACTTACGATTTTAGCCCAACTTATTTTTAGTTTTTGTTTTCTTAAAAGAAAATATTAGATAAAAACGTATTTAAAAAACTTTTATTAAAGATAATGGAAAGAGTTTTTATTTTTAATAAAAGTACAACAACAAAAAAATCAGCATTACATTATGCAAATGTCAACATGTTTATCGTTTAAAGGTAAAATTTACTGTATCTTTTATAATTGAAGGAGTTTGTTATTCTCTTTTATGTATGGAAAAATTATCACGTCAAATTTATGCTAATAGATAATTAGGTTAGTAGTTTAATTTAAAAAGACTTCAGTACTAATATTTAAGATATTAGAGAAATTATAACTATTACTATTAATCTAGAAAGAGTATAAAATATCTTTTTAATTTTATAAGTACTGTAGCAACTAGCAAGCATTAATTTTAAAAACACCAATTTTAAAATATATGCTTGTATTTAAGCATAAAGTTCATGGTAAGTTTAAATTCATAGCAAGCAACACAACTAGAATTTTAATTTTTTTTGTTCCCTGGGCATCATGCAGAAAGTTTGTGATACTGGCATTGTCTCAATCAAATGTTCCCAGTTATATCAATCAAAGTTTGTGTATTTTTTTAATTTAATTTTTTTTAAAAAAAATAAAAATATTAAAGTTTAATATAAAATTAAAGAAAACAAGACTAAATTTAATATAATAATAAATGTTTTATTATATTAAATTAAATAATAATAAATTAAAGAAATAAAATTTATGAAGTTAGAAAAAATTATTAAAATCAAGATACATCATCTTTGACATATTAATACCATTCATTTACTATATTAATTGATATCTTATTTATTATCATCTATCAAACACACATTAATTATTAAAAAAATATAAACAAATTTAGTTGTTCTTCAATTTTATAAAAAGTAAATAAAATGAAATTATTAAAATATATAAAAACTATTTTTTAATGTATGTTCAAAACATGTCAATAATCATTAAATATGATATTTTAAATTATTATAAAAAGTATAAATTAAACATTTTTTACGAGTTTGGGATAATAAATATTTTAATTTTTTTTCGATTTATAACTTCTTGGTCACATGTTAAAAAGAACAGACACATTAAAAAAAATGTTGAAAGGAGTAATAAAAAAATATTGAAAGTGTATGTAAATTGTTGTTAAGAGAAGTAGTGGCAAATCACTCTAATATATTTGTACTTATTGGATAAAATTGTTAAAAATTATAAAAATAATATCGATAATATTTTGTATTTAATCATTTTTTTTATACTTTTGTAGTTTTTAATAAAATTTTACTAATAATTAATAATGTGTTAAAAAAAACATTAGAACTAAAAAAACATTAGAAGGTGTTTTTCTACCCTTTGTCCTCGATGTTAATTGCTTATAGTGATTGTGTAAGCCAAAACAATGCCGTTAAAGTTTCAAAAGATTTTTTGCCTTCTAGGTCTGGCAAAGTCCCGCAGCCCAAAAAAAAAAAAAAAGAACTATATGAGATCAATCTCTAACTTTGTGTTGCTTAAATAATAATAATAATAAATCTCCAAACTTTGCAAACTCCAACCTCAAACTTATTGCACGCTAATAACCAACAGGGTGAGGAATATTATGTATTGTCATCATAATTTAATGGAGTTTGTTGTAAAAATAGTAGTTTAATAGAAAGCTCCAATCTAAATGAAATCTATGGCTTCCAACATTCCAAATTTTGGAGGAAGTTAATTCTCTAGTTTATATATATATATATATATATATATATAATTTTTCTATATCTAGAGAAAAAAAATCTATCTGTTTCTTTATGTAAAAATTTAAGATAATATTAATTTTTACTTTTCTATTAATGTTATTCAGTGCATATAAAATATTTATACTGCTTATAAAAAAAATATTCGTTTTTTTTTCCTTTGATGTTTAATATTTTGTTCAAGAATAGTATCCTAATATTTGTAATAAAATTTTTTATTATAGTCTTAGAGCCCGTCCATTATGTGGATAAGGTAGAGGATAATTTTTTTTATTCGGTTTATTTAATTTGTTTAATTAGCATAACATGATAAGTTTATTCTATTGTATTTTTTTAATATAAATTTTATCTTATGGGAGTCTGAGTTTAAAATAGACAATATAAATATATTATATCCATTTTTTTTATTTTAAAGCAAGTAAAATATAAAAATAATATAAGAATTTATCTTACTCATATCTTGTTTTAACTTTCATATCCTATCCTTTTTTATTTGATCATATCCATCAAAGTGGTCTTAATATATTATACTAATTAATATTGACCAGTTAGAAAAAGGCTCTAATTAACTACACATTATTAATGGTAAAGTCGTAAAAAAAATAATCATTTAATAATAATAAATAATTAACATTGTTAAACGTAAAAAAATTGCCTAGAAAGTAAACTATTAGACTGAATTTGTGCAATATCTAAAAATGGGGGGGAAAGGGGGCAACTTTAACCTTATTTACCCATTGGCATATAAACTTAGACAAATTTAATTACTAGTTAACTTTAATTTTTATAATTATAAATTAGTGAGATAAAATTATATATTTTATTAAAGAATAATATTAAAAATATATATGATATTGGATATAAATTTGTGCTGAGATAAAGCTTATCCAGGGTTAATCTTTGAGGATTGGCAGAATGTTAAAGCAGAAAAAAGAATTCTTTGAGTGCATGCTCCAAATGGGAAGAACCAATTCCATATTTTGGGTGATGGGCAGTGGCTTTTATTCTCACACTCATTTTACAGAACCCAATTTGGCTTGATAAGGGATTAAAGAACCAAAATAAAACTGAGCACCGCCTCTTTTGGGTAGCTTGAATGGAGAGATAAGTATATATTTTTGTCCCTTTGTCATCGACTTTGTATCTTTTGGGAATCCACTAATCCTCTCCACCCACTATCTTCTCAACTTCCAATTAACTACTTTCAATACCCATACTCTCCCCCAAGAATCTGCAAGGCACGCAAACCTACGTCGAATCTCTACGCCAACCATCTCGCCATTTGTTAAATCCTAAATTTCTGGTATCAGTTATGGGTTCCTCGTACGTTTCTCCTTCGATAAGATTCCAACAGTAAACTGCACAATAAATTGAAATGTACAAATAAGTTATACACACACAAGCGAGTAACTAGATAGAACAAAGATACACGGAATGTAGTTCGTTTATCAATGGAAGTAGCGTAAAGAACGTAAGAGAACCGAGGATTGGGAATAAAACACTTGGCTTATGGACGGGTGGTGTTAACTTTAATTAACTAAAAAAAATGTTAGATTCGTGTTTAGGAAAAAAATGGAAAAATGGACCCACGAGAAATAAAGGGGTTTCTTTGATGGTGCAGTGAGGTTGTGTAGGCACGTGACCTCACAGAGGCTCACTAGTTTAACTGTCGGCGCTTTCAACGCACACATCCCTTCTCTTCCCTCCAAATCTAATCCTTCAATCTTTGTTTGTTTCTTAAACTTGGCTTTGAAGACTCGCCCCGTGACACTCTCTCTAACTCTCAACTCTGTTATAAATAATAGACACACCCACTCGTTGCGGTTACATATTTACCCTCACAAGTCCAAAATGGCAAGGCCCAGTGTGCTTCTTGTTGTGTTGCTAATTGCAATGGCCTATTCAGCAAGTGCGACTGGTCACGATTATGTGGAGGCATTGTCGAAGGCCATTCTGTTCTTCGAGGGCCAGCGATCGGGCTTCTTGCCTCAGGACCAGAGGCTCAACTGGCGGGCCCATTCCGGTTTGAGCGATGGATGGACCTACAACGTTGACCTCACCGGCGGTTACTACGACGCCGGCGATAACGTCAAATTTGGGTTTCCGATGGCATTCACGACGACAATGTTGGCGTGGAGTGTGATTGAATTCGGTGACATGATGCCTCCCAATGAACTCAGAAACGCCTTCGTTGCTATCCGTTGGGCCACTGATTATTTGCTCAAAACTGTTTCTCAGCCCAACCGCATTTTCGTTCAGGTACTTACATAAATTACCCTTAATTTCCTTCATTACCAACTATACATTTTCGTTTCTTTGTTTGAATAATTGAAGAGGGCAATCACGTTAGATAAAAAAAAAAACAATTTTGATTAATGATCTGTTATGCTTGATTATAGAGCGTAGACCTACTTATTAAATTTAGTTAAAAAAATATCTTTTTAATATGGTTTATTATGTTATATACACTGATATGTTTTTTTATTATATGTTTTCTGTTTATATTACAGTTCTATTTCATAATTCGGACAGTGTGAAACGAAGAGACTTGTCGTAGTATATTTCTTTTTGAAATCCCAGTAAATCACGTGCAATTATCTTTACCTGCCCATTTCGTTGATTACATTTTTGTGCTCAGTTTTTAGCTTTAGAAATGGAACAAGGATTTGTCAATCATCGTTACGTTTTGATTTAATTTGTAACAGTAACAGATCTCCAATTTATTTAATAATTTAAAATATTAAGGTGTAGTAGTATTGCTAATTACTATTTTGCTTTTCCGTCATCCACGAGCACAAGAGGACCACTTTCAGTCCTCAAAGTCCGTGAATTTCATGTCATAGGCTTAGCAACTGTGTCGTTCTGATATCTGAATGCGAAGTTTCGTTTATTTTCCCTTTGGATTCCTACACCGGAAGAGGAGAATATGAGTCACCAACGCGCCCATGATGGCAGTGTATTCAATTCACCTCCGTTTAAAGAATGAGTAAAATTTAAACGCCTTGTTAATTAATGTCTTAATATCATTAATTAAAATATTAAAAATATATCAATAATAGTTTTTGATAATTTTTAAAATCTTAATCAAGGGTACTGTTCAAGATTTACTAAAATTTATTAAAAATTATGAAAATATATAAAATAAATAAATAAATTAGGAGCGTGATATTAACATAAATTAGTTGGGACGTGCAGGTGGGTGATCCAATGTCTGACCATAACTGCTGGGAAAGACCGGAGGACATGGACACGAGCAGGAGTGTGTATGCTGTGGATGCACCAAACCCAGCTTCAGAAGTTGCTGGTGAAACAGCGGCGGCACTAGCTGCTTCATCCATGGCATTCCGTTCATCGGATCCCGGTTATTCAGAGACTTTGCTGCGAAATGCTGTTAAGGCCTTTCAATTTGCAGATAACTACAGGGGTGCCTACAGTGACAATGCCGATGTAAGGGTTGGTGTCTGCCCATATTATTGTGACTTTGATGGTTATCAGGTAATTCACTTTTAAGGTTGCTTTTTACATTTCCATGCAATGCACTATAATAATAGCTTTTGAGGTTATCGTTTGGATGTTTTAATGCAGGAGACAATGAAAAGGATATATAGACAACGATATATAGCCATATATTTTTTGCAAAATATAATTATACCAGGTTATCTAGCTCTTGCTATATATTAATACATTTATATTTACTATGCTAAAGGTAAATATATTTAAATCTTAGAAGAAGTTATAAATATTTTTATTTATTTAATGATTAAAGAATTAATAGGAAAATATTTAAGAAGATTGAACATTATTTATTTTCTCCGGATATTATAGGGTATTTATAAATTAAAATTGCAACTTTATTCATTAGCTTGCATGACACACTAATGAAAGGGGGACTGTGTGTCTCAGTGGCATGTGATTATTTTTCAGTCACCGTCAATTTTGTTAACGATCAATCTTTAGCTTTAATATTTAAAAGTAATAATATTTTATTGAAAAAGTATTTATTATAATTTTATTTTTCAATAAAATTTTATTATTCTATTTAAAATTAGCGTTAAAGATTGATGTGAACGTTTTTTCTATTATTATTTGTGAACAATACACATTCTGTAATTAAACATGAAGGAGAATTCATGTTAAGTATGGCAATTTGTGTAGTTGGGATCACTTGGATTTTGACATGTCATTTGCTATTTACTTGAACACAACAGGACGAATTGTTATGGGGAGCCGCATGGCTAAGGAGGGCCACTGAGGAAGAAAATTTCCTAAATTACATTCAAAGCAATGGCAAAACGTTTGGTGCTGAGGAGAATATAAATGAGTTCGGTTGGGACAACAAGCATGCTGGCCTCAACGTTCTCGTATCCAAGGTCAGCCTCCCATTTAAGTGTCCTCTATTCAATTCAACCATTCTTCAATTAATATCACTAAATGATGTGACCAGAATATATATATATATATATACCCATCCTTAACAAAAAAAAAAAAATTAAAATAAACAAATATAAACGGGTTATGCTATGCATCTTTTTACATAAACGAAATGATAATTTTTTAGGAAGTTGTAGAAGGAAATGTATACTCTCTTGAATCCTACAAGACTTCGGCAGAGAGCTTTTTGTGCACACTCATACCCGAAACATCAAGTTCACACATAGAGTACACTCCTGGTGGACTCATATACAGGCCTGGGGGTAGCAACTTGCAGCATGCAACTTCAATCGCTTTCCTTGAATTGGTGTACGCTAATTACCTTTCTCGTACGTCACAAACTATCAATTGTGGGAACGTCTATGTTAGTGCACAAACACTTCGGCAGCATGCTAAGAGACAAGTTGATTACATTTTGGGAGATAACCCAATGGGGTTGTCCTACATGGTTGGCTACAGCAACAAGTATCCTCAGCGTATTCATCATCGTGGCTCCTCTTTACCCTCCATTAAGGATCATCCTCAGTTCATTGCATGCAAAGAAGGTTCAATCTACTTTAACTCAACCAATCCTAATCCTAATGTTCTCGTAGGAGCCATTGTGGGAGGACCCGGAGAAGATGATGTGTATGTGGATGATAGGGCTGATTTTAGAAAGTCCGAGCCAACTACCTATATTAATGCACCATTTGTTGGAATTTTAGCATATTTTGCTGCCAATCCCAATCCTTGATTATTATAAAGTTACTATAATTACGTACATAATCAAAGTTACTCTCTTTTTTTGTAAATAAAAAAATATATACGGGAAAGATGCCTCTCATCTTGAGTAAAGCAAGAGTGAAGAGGCTAGGCTTGCTTGTTTTGGGTATATAGGTGGAATTTTACAGAATTTGAAGTCCGAGAAGCTGTTCGTGACTCTTCCACTAGGAAGGATGAAGAACAAAAGCTTGATTACAAGGTGGTTTTTTTTCTTGCTTTTGCCAAGAAATATATATGAGTGAGTTGTCATGCTGTGGATTTTTCCCCCTCGTTTCGATACACCATACAGTGGATCTTTGTTAACTATCTTTAAGCAATAAATAAATACTAGAGTTTTTCTCTTCTGTTTGTGGTTTAAATTCGTCTACATACCTACATGTATTGGGTTTTTTTATTACGTGTAATTTTGTATAGATTAAAAACACAGTAGATAAAATGGTTTTAAAGGAATAAAATTATATAAGCATAAAGAAACTCTAAAATTATATGAGCATACGAGAGACAATTTCTGTTGCGGTGGGAGAGCGATTGGGTAGCAAATTTATTTTGTTCATTTTTTTCAATCATTTCATTAATAATTTTTTAAATACGCACCTAAGAATATATAATAAAAAATCAATAAGTCATATATGTAACACATTAAATTATGTAATATTTTATAATTTTTAATAAAATTTTACTGTATATAATTTTTTATTGTTTGTCTTAAGACACATTAAAAAAAGCTGTTTATAAAAGTGTGATTTTTTTTTTTTTACAATTTTACTCTATTAATGAAATAATAGATAGAAGATATATATACAGGTAAGTAGCAGTAGTATTAATCATAAAATTTAATATAATTTTTTTATTTATTTTTTGTATAAAATTTTAAACATTTTAAGAAAACGGAGTATTGTTTTTGACCAACCCATATTAATTGGTCTCACGCACGACCTCCGGCACCGTATAGATCCTTATTAGGGGTTTGGCATCGCTTCGCATGCTGTTCTCATTAATGTAACGGCTTTGTTAACCGCCAAGTGATGATTCACCAACTCAAAGATCAATGTCCCTCTAAGGCAACAACTCGTGATTTTGCCACCAAATCCACATGATAATTTTTTTTTAAATTTTTTTAATCGGTACTTTCGTGGCACTTGATAGTATTTTTTATTTTAAAATTCAAGATTTGTATTTTTTTTCCCAATCATATCCTCATTTAATAATTATATTAAAAACTTCAAAATTATCTTCACTGACTATATGATATTTTAGTCAAGACATGTTAAAATTTATAAAAATAATAAATTCTTAATTTATGTACATCTACTTTAAATATAAGTTTTAATAGGATAAGAATGCTTTTTAATATAATCTTCAGACATATTCTTTATTATTAACCATAGCTTATAAAATCATATGAATCTCATTTTTTATTTAATAAATTTTATTTATTTTATTTTTAAATTAATATTAACTCATGTTAAAATACTGCCAAAAAAAAAAGTATGTTAAAATGAACATATTAAACAGTGTGTTTTTTAATATTGCTTTTACCCATTTGAAGTTTTTGTAATAATAAGATCACTAAAACAACCTTGTAGATAAAACTCATTCTTATAATGGATATCCATTATTGCAAGTGATAAATCATCAAGGAAAAAGTTTTTCCACAGTAAGATCTATACACCCGTCAGAAATATAAAGACATAAGAAGAGAGAAAATGATAAATGTAATCTAAGATATTTTAGAAAAAATAAGGGAAAACAAATATAAGAAGATGTAAAAGTAAGGTATAAAAAACCATTAATTATAATAATAGATCTACATACAATAAAATAAATTAAAGAAAGACGTATTTCATCTTTATTTTTTTATATATAAAAAAGTGTATTGTTTAAAACTCGAGAAAAGGAAAATACAATTTAACCATCTTCTAAAGAGACAGATAAATTACCCAAAAAAAAATGAAAAGTTAGTTTTTGAGCATAGATGCATTTCTGAGTTATAAACATTGTAATTTTAGCAATATTTATTTAATATTAAAAAATTTTCAATATCTCTCTTCATATTATATCACATCAGTTATTATTATTATATATATATATTTTTTATTTTTTATTTTTATCTCTGCATATGTATACACCATATAATGATATTGACATATATTTGGGTTTAATATTTACTAAATATGAATTTAAATCACCACAAATTTATATTTACTTTAACACTATTAATTATGACTTGTACATTAAAGTCACATTTACATAATTTTTAGCATGCACTAATTTTATGGAAGTATATATCTAATATGAGTCCACATCTGTATTTGGGAGCAGAAAGGAGTAGAGTTAGGTTTGTTTTAGTGGGCCTAGACACTTTCAGCTTGGAATTTGGCAAGTCGAAAGTTATATTTTATAGGCTTTGGGCCTGGTTATAGAACTCGTATGAAAAGAAGAAGAAGACTTAATGTAAAAATCTCCAACTAGCTAAAATTGTGATTCGGGTACTACAAATTGAACAGAAAGACAGAGAATTAAGTTTCTTCTGGCCGTTGAATTTGGAAATGAGATTGATAAGGAACGATATGGAGACCTCAAAATCTGAGGAGATTGTGTGATTGAATCAGCACCGTTCCTGAGTGAGAAGCAGACAAAAATGGTAGGCGCTAGCCCAATTCTAACCTCATACTTACTTTCCCTAAACATCACGAATTTTGTACCCTTTTGGGACGCTTGTCAATAGCAATAGTGCAAATATCTTCCTCTTTCGAGGTGAGAATAAAACCATCCATTCCGACCACGTACGCAGATGCCAAGTCAGCACAAATTATCATCCACATGTCGACTGAGGATAGGCTGACTCACCTCAGCCTCAAATGAAACATCACTAAAACAGTTATAAAATGTTAAGATTGGGGAGGGTGTGGTACAAGGTTGCTGGCAGAGTGGGGATAAGATTAAGATTGTAGCACCGCATTCAACTTGAAAGATGGCCTCTGCTTCCGCTACTCTGCTTAAGTCATCCCCTGTTCTTGACAAGTCTGAATGGGTGAAAGGCCAAACCCTCCTCCGCCAGCCTTCAGTCTCTGCTGTAAGATGCAATTCCACTGCCACTTCACCCTCACCACTCACCATCAGAGCTGGTTCCTATGCTGACGAGCTCGTCAAAACCGCGGTATTTCTCTCTCTCTCTCTCTCTGTCTCTCTCTCTCTTTTATATTGTCGCAAATGCTATTGCCTATTCCTATTATCCTACTACTCATTGATTACTTCAATCTCGTTTATGTGCAGAAAACAGTGGCCTCCCCAGGTCGTGGTATTTTGGCTATGGATGAGTCTAATGCTACCTGTGGAAAGCGTTTGGCCTCAATAGGGCTAGAGAACACTGAAGCAAATCGCCAGGCATACAGAACTCTTCTGGTCACTGCTCCTGGTCTTGGTGAATACATCTCTGGTGCAATTCTCTTTGAAGAAACTCTCTACCAATCCACCACTGATGGCCAGAAGATTGTCGATGTCCTTGTTCAGCAGAAGATTGTTCCTGGTATTAAGGTCGATAAGGTAAGCACGTCCATATTATGTCCCCAGTTATTCGCACTGTGCTGTGCCTAAACACAAAATCAAAACATTAAACAGAACAGACAGGAAATTTTGAACTTTTCCTTATGATTCATCAATATTTTACTTTGGAAGGTGTTTCATATCTCACACATGCAATAATTACATTTAACTATGTGAGTATGTTTATATACCAGGAAAACGGCATATTTCTGTGTGCGTCAATATTAGCATTGTTTGTAATGGATTAGTGACCAAAATTTCAGACTTAAATACCAGAAAAATATTCCAAACAAATTTCAAAAAATCATTTGGTACGTTATGTGCGTGAAAAATCAGCTTATGCAGTAAATTGATACGCACCCAATTAATTACAATATATTGGTAGAGTCATCACATAGATGTAGAGTTCTGTACTCTTACCAAGTAAAATCTTTCTCTATTTTAAACTTTGATAATGTATCAAGGTGAACGAGGGAGAGGGAGCTTTTATGGCAGTGTATATATTAATACGTTGTTTCATCTACTGTAAACAATAGGGTTTGGTGCCTCTAGCTGGTTCCAACGATGAGTCATGGTGCCAAGGTTTGGATGGTCTCGCGTCTCGCTCAGCTGCATACTACCAGCAGGGTGCTCGTTTCGCCAAATGGTGTGTATCCTCAATAGTTGCCAATAAAATCCAAATACGATACCCATTTTTGCATCTTACTAAACTTAAGTTCTATTTAATCTATAAATTAATATAGGCGTACTGTTGTGAGCATCCCCAATGGTCCCTCTGCTCTTGCAGTCAAGGAAGCTGCTTGGGGTCTAGCACGCTATGCTGCCATTGCACAGGTAACCGCTGAAATTATGAGAGTAGCTAGTAGTGATTTGTGAGCTATACTAGTGTAGTACTTTTTGTTACATGAGTGAAGAGGACTTTTGTAACTCCAAGTACCAGCTTTAAATTGATTTTTATTTATTTGTTTGTTTATCCTTTCATGTAATTCATTAGGACAATGGGTTGGTCCCAATTGTGGAGCCAGAGATCTTGCTTGATGGTGATCATGGCATTGACAGAACATTCGAAGTAGCCCAAAAGGTGTGGGCTGAGGTTTTCTTCTACCTTGCTGAGAACAATGTCCTGTTCGAGGGTATTCTCCTTAAGCCTAGTATGGTTACTCCAGGAGCAGAGTGCAAGGACAAGGCCACTCCTGGGCAGGTTGCTGACTACACCCTCAAGCTCCTTCACAGGAGAATTCCACCTGCTGTCCCTGGAATCATGGTAAGTGAGACTGCCGGAGGCATTCTACTTCATGCTCCATTTTACCACAATGTACGTTCTTGTAGTTATCAAGGTTGTCTTGTCTTGTGCAGTTTCTGTCTGGTGGACAATCTGAGGTTGAAGCAACCTTGAACCTGAATGCCATGAACCAATCTCCTAACCCATGGCACGTGTCCTTCTCCTACGCCAGAGCCCTTCAAAACACATGCTTGAAAACCTGGGGAGGGCGTCCAGAGAACGTGAAGGCAGCACAAGATGCACTCCTTTTCCGTGCCAAAGCCAACTCACTCGCTCAGCTTGGCAACTACACTGGTGAGGGTGAATCTGAGGAAGCCACAAAGGGAATGTTCGTCAAAGGATACTCTTACTAAGATGTTGGCGGCGAAAGTGATACACATGTTACAGTAACGCAATGTGTTTGCTCGAGGATGGAAGAGTAATTTGTCTAAAATGTGTTGTGGTTTATATAGTCTCGGACACTGTTTATTCATGATTACATGCCTTTTCAGCTCAATGAACTTCTTGCTAATGAATTACGAGTCTTGTACTTCAACGTGCACCATCATGTTTGAACCCCTCGGCAGTTGGTAGAAAACGAAAGACTGTTCTGAATCTCACGTTAAAAAGAATAAGAACCTTAATAAACCAGTCTTTTGATTTGTGATTTCTTCCTAATAGACAAAAGGCTTAACCTCACGGTATGAATTTGCCTAAGTTTTTCAATTGAGGTTCTGAGAATCAAATATTAATTTAATTAAAAAAGCACGAGAAAGCTTGCCATCTGAAGTAAGTTTCATTCCTTCAAGTTGAAAGCTAATTACTTATGTTTTACTCCGAAGTCTAAGATTGAATTATATGGTATACAGTATAAGGCAGAAAGAAGCAAAATAAACCCATCTTCAGCTAAGTTAGCCTGCATGGCCCAATGCACATGGCATCTAAGCAATACAAGAAGAAACAACGTAATTTACGCAAAGACACAGTGCAGCTCAACCTTTTCCAAAGGCTAACTTTCACTTTCTCTTCAGCACCTTAGCACTTTTGCATGTGCTGCAAGAAGGGGGTCAATTATGGATTCGTGAAAAAAATCCACATATACATAAATGGTTGTTAAACTTCGCATTAACCTCTTGAAACATGGTTAATGGTAAAAGGTCAACTTTATGTCACTGTCCCAACGAAATGGACACTTCCTGCAAAGCGAACAGCAACCAAATCGGACAGAGAAATTAATATTATTTATAAATTTGGGGTAAATGTCAATAACATCTTTTATATATTTTTAACACTTTCTTTCATTATATGAAATTATGTGTTGACGCCACTAATAAAGAATAAGTCCAAAATATTAGTAAGATTGATATAAGATTTCACTCACTAGTAAAAATATCAAAAATAAAGTAAAAAAGAGGATTTCATTAAATTTTGATGCTTAAAATTTATTTGCTGTGGCACTCTAACCCTAATGTATGCCAAGCATGTTATCAATGATTTATAGATTTAGGTTTCAGGAATAGCTTACAAGTAACCATACAGAAATTTTGATCCCCAAAGAAGAACCTTTAAGGCCATCCTCTTAATGAGTTTTTCTTATATAAAATCGCATATTTGATATAAAATTTAAATTATTTACATAATTAGGGTAAGGTATTTTTAAATTTTTTTAAAATTAATAACTCGTACATAATATACATGGCTTACATATTTTAAAAATTTAAAAATATAGATTAAATTTCTCGTGTATGATTTATATTTTAAAATTTTTTATAATATAAGTCATGCAGACCATATATATTGTATTTCATTGAAAAATAGATGGAAATTTTATTTTCTTTGTAAGTTTGGAATTTTATTTATGTTTTTATTACCATTTTATAAAATTAATCAATAATTAGCTCTTTATTTAATTAATTTTAATAAATAAAATATTAATTAACATAGATAAAAAGTATTGTAAAAATTAATTGATCTAATTTTTTTGTAAAATTTATAATATCAATATTAATTTAATACAAATTTTGAAATTTTGAGGAAAAATATTGATGTTTATTTTGGCATTTTGGCGATGGAACAGTGTACTTTGTTCTTGGTAGTTAACGTGACAGACATAAAAAAGCAACTCTGATGGATAGATCCACGGCGTGATGCACGTTTCAACTTGCATGGAGCCATATATTCGTTGTTTTGGGTTTCTACTTTCTAGTATACCTAATTTCACAAATGATTTCACGTTACAAGGAGGCCCAATTATGCTCACCCACCCAGTTGTCTAACACGTAAATACAAAACAAGCGATTATAGTAATATCCCTGTAATTATTTGAGGTAATGGAGGGAATCGTCAGTATGGATAATAAATTAAATGTATATCTTTCATTTTTTTTAAATTCACTTACCATTATATATTCGAATAATGATAAGACTTATTAACAAAATGATTACTTAAAAAAGTAGTTGGCTCTTATTAACAAAATGATAACTCCACAATTTTAAATGTGATAATTGAACAAGATATAATTTATGAATAAGAACGTAATTCAAGCAATTGTAGTTGCACTTACGATGAAAAGTCGTGTAAGAGAAGGGACAACGTCAAAAAGTAAGAGAGAGAGTGAGAGAAACATTAGAAGTGTGATGAGATGTAACGAAGTAGATGTGAAAATATTGCAACCCATTAAAAGAAAATGCTTCTGTGAAACTGACACAGTGATACTCCATCAGAGAGGGAGAGGAATCAGCATGTGTGTGAGTGATGGTGGGAAACGAAGGAACTTCTATAGTACACACTCTTACCATTGCATTGTATGGTTTTGTTACATCTTTTCTTTTTCAGATCATGGCTCGTTAAAGTTGTGCCCATTTTAACTCTTCTTATTATTATTATATATTCCTAATCCTACTGACCAAAAATGAAGCTTCATCCTCTGCCCTTTCGGTTTCTGTTCAGCGAAAAAACGGAACTTTGACGCTACGTCACACACGTTTTGGATTGTACTAAGATCTACTGGGTTTTCACTAAAAGGTTAGAACTTAGAACTTTGAACTCTGAAGTAGTTGTGTTGACTATGTGGCATTAAGGTGCCATGTGGCGAATACTCAAGAGAAGCAAAGAGATCAGCACGTAAGTGAGTGCATTTTAGTTATACTTTTGGGCTAGGCTAGTAGTTGTTTTTTTAAAACTCTCTGATTCACATTTTTGGTTTAGCTTTCCATTACGGTTTGTTCAGAATCAGACGTAGTAGGGGTTAAAGGACGAAGGGAGTTGAAGGTAATTTCATTGGGTCGTAAAGCATTAATTTATATAAGAATACACGATCATGTGTGTTTACTGAAGAAAAATTTAAAACAAAAAAGAAGAGAATGAAAGGGACGGTCTTGTTTGTTGGGTGTAACAAACGAGTCATGGTCTTGTCTCGTTGAACTTCGCGCTCAGGTCTCAGCCATTACTACCATCAAAGTTTTTAATTCTCATAACAATCGGTCATTGGTGAATGCAGGATAAAAAAATTCGAATTTTTAATGTTTTGGCCCCTCCTCTGTTTTCTAAACTTCTTTTGTCGTTTTTGGGTTATTCATCTCTCTCCTGATTGTGGCTCTCTCTTCTGTGTTATTCTACTTCCTTTTCTTTTTTGTTTTGAAGTTTATGGAAGAGAAGTTCTCGTGATATAACAATGTCTAGAATCGACAATTGATAATTTATCGATGATTAAAAAGTAATCAGTTAGTATTCTGTTATTCTTGGTCTTTCTAAAGTTAGCTTCCTGTTGCTGTTATTTTGCCTATATTTATTTATGAGCTGAAGTTAGTGGGTAGTTGCCTTCTCATTCATGTTTTGCTTCTTGTAGATAATGCTCAAATTAATGGCTTAGTATTTTTGTGAACTACCAGCTGTTTCCCTATAACTATCTTGCATTATTGAGAAAGCAATGCTAAGTTCATTAATTAACCACTTCACTCGTTTTTTCAGTTTTAAAAGTGAGGAATGGGAGCTATTGGTGGAGAAGAGCTAGTGAAATGGGAGAAGATGGAAGGAGTGGGTGGCCATGAAGAGAAGATTCTCGTGTTAGTGAGGCTGAGGCCTTTGAGTGAGAGGGAAATTGCTGCGAATGAAGTAGCAGACTGGGAATGTATCAATGACACCACTATCTTATATCGGAACACCCTTCGCGAAGGTTCTTCATTTCCAAGTGCCTACACCTTTGGTAAGCAAATGCCTATCTTTAATGTTGCTATATTATTCACAAATTTGTATTGTCATTAAGTTGAAATCAAACAATTCTATGCTTACATTATAATGACGAGAATTCGGAGCTTAGAACATGGATTTGATTCAGAAAGTATATATTATTGATAACTTCCCCTTGTCAAGAGAACAAGGTGTAGTTGCTTTAGTTTCCTTTCTCTTTAAGTTTAAAAATGTATGTACTTTGCCATACTTCAAAACGCATTTTGATTATTATTTTTTTCTTTTTTTGATGATTTTTTTTGAAAGCTTTGTTGATTAAGTTTAAGACATAATTTATTCGAGGTTCATTTACTGTGGACAGAAATGTTTCTGAATTTTTATTATGATATGGTTATAGACAGAGTATTTCGGGGTGACAGCACCACAAAACAGGTATATGAGGATGGGGCCAAAGAAATTGCTCTTTCAGTTGTTGGTGGAATTAACTGTAAGCATACAATTTTATGATGATCAGTTTCTTATGACCCCTTCCACTCAGCCTCCTCAAGCTTTGATTATGATATGCATTTATACATTCTTTCAGCAAGTATTTTTGCATACGGGCAAACCAGTAGTGGAAAGACATACACGATGATTGGAATAACCGAGTATGCTGTAGCTGATATTTTTGACTATATAAATAAGGTAATTGGATTACTAATTTATTGATCTACCTTTAAAATTCTTCAGTATCATTTTTTACCATGACACTTGTGTCAACATTGCAATTCTTGCTAACACAAGGTTACTGTTACATCTTTAGCATGAAGAAAGAGCATTTGTATTGAAGTTCTCGGCTATTGAAATTTACAACGAAATTATTAGAGACCTACTTAGCTCTGAGAACACTCCACTTAGGCTGCGTGATGATCCTGAGGTGAATACATTTTGTATATATGGAATTGAAGAATAAATGATATTGTTTATTTAATTGTTTCCTGATTTTTCAGAGAGGACCTATTGTAGAGAAACTGACAGAGGAAACTCTACGAGACTGGGTGCATTTGAAAGAGCTTCTATCATTCTGTGAAGGTAAAAGGAATTTGCACAACTTCTTGACATAGTTTGGTTTTGTTACTTTTGTAGCATTACATTTCCCACTTTATTCTTGCAGCGCAAAGACAGGTAGGAGAGACATACCTCAATGATAAGAGTTCTCGATCTCATCAAATTATCAGACTGGTGTGTGCGCCTTCCCCCTTTCTGCTTGAACATTGTGTCTTATTTATTTTGCTTGTAGACTTATGTTGTTGGAGTTGTAATCTTGCAGACAATTGAAAGTTCTGCCAGAGAATTCTTGGGTAAAAGCAACTCAACCACCCTTGCAGCTAGTGTGGTATGATTAAAATTTTAAACTCTTCTTCTTGTTCAGGATGTAAATTGATTGGAAGATTATACAATTATTTCTGTTTTGTTTCTCTGCAGAATTTTGTTGATTTGGCAGGGAGTGAGCGTGCATCTCAGGCATTATCAGCTGGGTCCAGATTGAAAGAAGGTTGTCACATAAACCGGAGTTTACTCACCCTTGGAACAGTCATTCGTAAACTTTGGTAGTTTACTTTTTCCTTAGCCAATGGTGTCTGCCTTCTTTACTCAGCTAATAATGTTAGCAACCTTACATCTGGATGGTTTAATTCTACTGTGTTTCATGCAGATCCTTGTCTCTTTTTTTTTTTAATTGTTGATTAATTAATCATATCTTAAATCTTAATTGTCTAGTTTATTGTTTATGATGTCATGACCTGCCAGGTTATAAGGTTGACTTGGTATTTTGTGTGCATGAAACTGGCTAGCATATTTTACTTTTCACAGTGTCAGACTGAAAACTATTGATATTTTATTGTATGCTCATAGCAGTAGGAATATACCCATTCTATCAGAAAAGAGAAAAAGAGTAGTAAGATAGCTTTTGTACTAATCATAAGCAACTGAGTTCCTTTTATACAGCTGAATATTTGTTAATGTTAACTTCACCCATAAATAAAAATTTGGGTGCGGAATTAAGACTATTATTTACCCTCAGTTGTGACTAATTAGAGATAGCTTTTCACTGGGAAACTTATCTGATCGGCTACACTTTCTATGAAGTTGTTCAAATGTAAAACTTATCAGTTTCTGTTGGTTGGACATCATGTGCTTGAATGCAGTAAGGGAAAACAAGGACACATCAATTACAGAGATTCTAAGTTGACACGCATACTGCAGCCTTCCTTGGGTGGCAATGCAAGAACAGCCATCATTTGCACTTTAAGCCCTGCGCGGAGCCATGTTGAGCAAACTAGAAACACACTTCTTTTTGCTTGTTGTGCAAAAGAAGTTACCTCTAAAGCGCAGGTTAATGTAGTGATGTCTGATAAGGCCTTGGTCAAGCAGCTGCAAAAAGAGGTGGCCAGATTAGAGAGTGAGTTGAGAACTCCTGGTCCTCCTGCCACAAATTGTGATTGTGCAGCAATGTTGAGAAAGAAAAATCTCCAGATAGAAAAGGTCATAATTTGCCTTTTGAATTTATCATATTCAGCTTCTGTTGATTGTGGATATGTCTAGACATGGAGCTTTGATGATATTGATTTAGAGCTTTTTGTGCAATAATCTCTCTTTTCTGGTTGATTGTCTATTTTTCTTAATGAACAATACTTATGTCCTAATATCTAAAATTGGTATCATCGTATTTTATTTTACAATTCATATTATAGCTTTAGCTGTACCCGTGCTTAGTAATTCATCTTTAACCCTTGTGCATGTTACGTTTATGTTAATCCTTGGAGGTTGATAACATGGCTTTCAATTATTCAGATGGAGCAGGAGATTAGGGAGCTAATTAAGCAATGTGATCTTGCTCAATCTCGGGTCGAGGATTTACTGCACATGGTTGGAAATGTTCAGAAATCTAAAAGGGTAATTTCTATTTTCTAATTAGTGAACATTCTATTATATATAAGAATTTATGCCTTTGAATTTGGTTTCCTCTCATTATTTTTTAGCCCGACATTAATAGTTGTTCTAATATGCAGGAAAGGGTGGATACCTGGGAAGATGACGATTCAATATCAGAGTCATCAAGCATTTATCGTCCTGATTCACGCAATAGAGAATTCAACAATCCTCACTATAACAATGAAGACAGTGAAAGTAATCCTGATAGTAAGTTATTTCTTCCCTTTCCCATTAGTAAATGTCTGATAGAAGTTGATACCGTTCAAGAGTAGAACCTTATCATATCCATTAATTTGTTAACTATTGCTTGTACAGAATACCCTTATGAATACTGCAAAGAAGTTCAATGTGTTGAATTAAGTAGAGATGACTCAGAACATCCTGATCCATCAGTAAGTGACAATGGGGTGCTGGCATTGCCCTTACATGCAGAGGAAAATGGAACAAGTCAAGAAACATCAACTCCTATGAATGAAGATAGGGAAGTGATACAGAACCAAGACAATGCAACTTATGGGGATGCACAGTTGAGTATTGATTCTCTTGAATGTTCTTATCCTGAAGAACAATCTAGACAGGCTATGGAACCAACAGTATCAAATATTAGGAATCTTAAATTAACAAGGAGCTGGAGTTGTAGGGAACATTACCTGACTGGTTCTCCTCAGAAAGTGGGAGAAATGGAGAGGACTCCAGCCAGTAGTTTTGAAAAATGCTTCACTGGAAGACCAGGTGGATTGCAGAGAAAGTTCCTCCCATTAACTTATGGTGCTTCCGCAAAATTGTCAACGAATGGTGGTTCTCCGTCTTCTATTGGAAGTCCTTCTGGAGATGAGTTAAGAACCAACAGCATAAGAACATCTACAAATGAGGATGTTACTAGCATCCAAACTTTTGTTGCTGGGATGAAGGAAATGGTCAAACTTGAGTATGAGAAGCAGCTTCTTGATGGTCAGGTGTGAACGAATCATTTCATCCCCTTTCTTATTTCTTCAAACTCAAGCAAAAAATTTACAGATCTATTAATTTAATTTGGAATAACTGAACTTGTTCATATGCTTCCTTTTTGAAGAGCATTAATTATGCAATATTAATCAGTTACCTGTACAACTGTGAATTGCGTTTTATTAGACGTGTTTACAGTTATGGCTTCATAAGCAGGTAGTTTCACTCTGGTCATTTAGTTATCAATCCCTTTTCAATATTTGTTGTGTGAAACTATTGGAAGAATCTTGAACTAGAATTCTACTGTATCAAGACATTTGTGTTGATACATTGATATATCCGTTACATATGTTGTATTTGCTATGCATTTAAGGTTTCATTTGATGCTTAAGAATTTAATTTGGAAATTCACCATTAATCTTGGTGCTTGATGTTTGTGACTAAATTCTGCTTTTTGAAATGTAGGATCAGCTGGGAGAGACAACGGCTTTTAAATTTGAGAAGAATATGAAGGATGTAGGTGTGGATCCAGTGCTAGAAGCACCTGAATCTCCTGTAGATTGGGCTTCGCAATTCAAGCAGCAGCAAAAAGAGATAGTTGAACTGTGGCAAACTTGCAGTGTATCATTGTTTCACAGGACCTACTTCTTTCTTTTGTTCAGGGGTGATCCTACAGACTCCATTTACATGGAGGTGGAGCTTAGAAGACTATATTTCCTCAAAGAAACATTGCTCAATGGATCTTCAAGGTTTGAGCATCTATGACTGATATAATATACTTGGTATAGTTGCAAAGCAAGCATGTTGACTTACGTATGTTTATTTGGGTAAACAGTGTGAAGGGTCTTGGTCGGGAGAGAGAGATGCTGGTGAAGCTTATGCAGAAAAGTCTATCAGAGGAGGAGAGGCAGAATCTCTTCAAGCAGTGGGGCATTGCATTGGATTCAAAGCGCAGGAGGAAGCAGCTGGTGAAGCGCTTATGGAGCAATACTGATATGAACCATGTCATGGAGAGTGCTTCAGTTGTTTCAAAATTAGTGAGGTTTACAGGGCAGGGTATGGCCCTTAAGGAGATGTTTGGCCTCAGCTTCACTCCCCATCGAATGTCATATTCCCGGAGAAATAGCATCAGCAAGGCCTCTCTTTCTTTCTTGTAAATCTTCAGACCAATTATATAATTTCACTGCTTACCTTAATGGAAATAGAACAATTGCCTTTCTGATTTTGGTGTACTTACCACTACTGCTTAAGCTTAATCAATGTTACCTTACTTCCTCTGCATTTTTGCTCTTCCAACTTTATAGTAGATTCTTGTAATCATTATCCTTCAATCACTCTTGGCACAACATGACGTGAGTGGAGTTCAAATTTGGCAAAAGGAAAAAGATTTGTATCAATTAATATGTTTTCTTCTTTCCCTCTTGGTATTAAAGCATCATCGTTCCAACTTCTAAGATGGATTTTATTTTGTATTCTTTATGCATCCACACAAGCCAAAATAACAACATAGTTTCTATCGGCACATTTGCTTCACCGAGCTAATACATACCCTCCACCGTATAAAATAAATACAAGCAAATGTCCTCTACAGTATAAAGCAGTTTTAGCTGCACCAACTTAATTTAAATTTTATGTAGCTAGTCATAAATAAATAAATAAAAATCTGTCGCATTCACTATCTTGACAATAAGGACTTGAATCTACATACATAAAAGGGAGGATATATTATTTATTCTAGACAAATTAAAATTTATATAAAAAAAATATCAAGTCGATATAACTAATTTCATGTTTACGCTGTTTCTTTTTTTTTTTGGTTATTAAGTGTACTTGGGCTTATTTATTTGGGCCACTTGGACTTTATCAGGGTTATGTACTCGCCCAGTACAGTCCAGGTGGGATGGAAAGTAAGGAAGCCCAATCCAATAATGATACGACGTCGTGCAGTGCAGTGCCTGTGATTTGGATTTTGATTCCCAATCCCTGAGCCTGAAAGGACTGTCTGAAGTGAGAGAGAAGTGAGAACAGAGCATGGCATCGACGGCAGCGTATTTGGCTCGGCGCGCGGCGCAGAAGGAGAGGGTTCGGATCCTCTATCGCCGTGCCCTCAAAGACACTCTCAATTGGGCCGTACATCGCCACCTCTTCTACGACGACGTATCGCTCTTTCCCTTCTCCCACTTTCCCATTCCATTTTCATCATTTTCTCTTATTTTCTTCTTTTCCTCTTCAGGCTGCCAACCTCCGCGATAGGTTCGAGGAAAACAGACACGTGGTTCGTTCGCCTCTCTTTTCACTCTCATCCTTCTCTGAAGCCTTAATCCTTCTTCATTTTCAATAATTGGTACCGATCCACGGATGCATTATGATGTTTTGCACCATAAACGTTTGTTGCTTGGACTGTGTTTTGATTAGGGAATTTTGACGCTCGTTTTCCATTTGGTGAAACAATATTTGCATCACCGAGTCCATTCGATTTACTATCTATTGCCCTAACTTTGTGTTAGTTGGATATGATATACAGGAAGACCTTGATACCATTGATAGGTTGATAGCGGATGGTGAAGCCAGCTACAATAAGTGGCGTCATCCTGATCCTTATATTGGTAAATATGTGATTCTCTCTTTGTGCAACACCACATTGTTACTTTCTTTCACTCTTAATTCCAATATATTACTTCAAGTCCGTTACAATATATTACCATGAAAATATTTCTAATATCTTGTAGCATGGAATGATAGGGTAAAGAGACGAAGCTGAAAATCAGTTGAATATTGTATTAATGTTTTTAATCATAAGAAATTATAAACACGATTCCTTTAAACATAATTTCACCTTCTGCTTTTGTTTGTGAGAGGAACGCTAAATGAGTGCTGATGGTAGTTGAGGAGGCTGTCATCGTAATATTAATTGGTATATTCTCAGTAATCAGTTTCTTTGTTTGTCACTCTGTCAACATGTTGAACTCATGAAAAGAAACAAAGCCATTATTTTAAATGATTTAACTTACTAAAGCTAAAATCTGCCTTGAAGTGTAGGCACAAAAGCAAGGTATCATCCATTTTCTTGTTTTTCTAGGGTTTAGGTTAACCGATTTATCTGCAATGCTTTCCTGATTATGTGAAATTCTACTTAGTGGTCCCCTTTTATCCTGCTTTTCTATTTAATCCAGTTCAGATATTAACCCTTTTTACTCCCATTTTGTGATGATATTAGTTCCTTGGGCTCCTGGCGGTTCTAAGTTTACTCGCAACCCAACTCCACCTCAAGGGGTAAGTCAATATTTATGGTTCTATACATTAAGTTTTTTTTTTTTTTCCATTTTTCTCCACTTATTTAATTTGCTACTTCCATGGATATCACTGAAATTCTCTTGCCATCCAGAATTAATACTTTTCAAATAAGCTTGACTTATATATATTGTTCAGTGCACGTATTTTTGTTACTGTGGAACTCAGGACAAGTTCATTTGACGAGAGAGATATAGACAATGCCTGGTGCTAGAGGCCTAAAATACCTACATTAGACACTACACTTTTCTTTTGCCTGGGGCATTGTGTCTATATCTCTCTTCAGTCAGTTAGATGATCCAGTCGTGTGACGGTATCACACTTGCGCAAAATGATCAAAATCTGTGCAAATGTGTGTGTACTTCATTTCTTTATAAATTTACGTAGCCTTTTTTTCTTTTTTGGAAAATGCACTGAACAACAACATGATTATTAGGTGATTGACCTGGTCTGCATATAGCTGTGAATAAGTGTATCTTATCTTCCCTTGCATTATATTCTAAATGTGTGTGTGGTATTTTAGAAGTTAACAATGTGGTTCCCCTCATATTTCTGCAATGAGTGCAAAATGATGATCATTTTTTCACATATGAACAAGTGATGTGATTTTCAAAACTGGCTGTGAGATGTCAGATGGTCGTAATAATCTAATCATGAACACGAGGACAGCCATGAAGTTTACTTCTTGTGCATGGCAAACTTCTGTAGCTAGGCTCTTTTGCAATAATTAATCCTATCATTCTATAAATCCATTATTGCCAGACAGGGTATATAAATAAACTATGACGAGGGATAGGATGAAATTCTCTATTTGTGAGTAGGGTATCCTTCCTGTATGCTGGTTTTTTCATGTTCCTCATTCATTTTCTTCTGCTGCATGAGAACTTTGAAAGTTGTTCTGATATATATATATATATATATGGTGTTTGGAATATCCTTATTTCTGACTGAATTTGATATTATTTTCTTGATGCAGATTGAAATAGTTTATAATTATGGCCGTGAAGATAACGACTGAAATCCCTTTTTTTTTTTTGTTTGCCATCTTGCAATTAATAAAGGTTTGCAATCAAATTGTTCTATATTACTAGATTGTGGATTAAATCATTTTCGTTTACTCTTATGCGACAAGCATAAATTGATACAGATTGAGTCTATGCTTCTGGTGTTGAAGATATTTGATCATCTCTCAACCAAATGGGTCCCAGATCATTGAATGTTTGTTGAGATTCTGTCATTGGTACTTGTGTGTGCGAGTTGGGAGTTATTTGATCTCCTCACTACATCATAGTATAGTAATCTTATTTTAACTGTGTAGCTATGCTATCTGGCTATTACAATAGTTAACGAGAGCTGGTATACTACGATTTTCTTAAAATGACACAAGTAAAAATTTATATATAGTAAATTTTTATTTAAAATGTTTAAGATATTATAAAATTTATGACGTTAATAACATTAAATCTTATATTTATTATTTATTAGTTTGCCGTTGTATGTTAAGGGGGACACGGGACATGTTAGAAAAATTGCATAATACATGGGAGGCAATTTTTTATATAATTAAATTCTAGCCCTGGCTTCAATGACAATTCTTATGTTTTTGTCAACCTGTCAAAAACGGTTTAAACATTGTAGTTTGTAGATGCGGGAGGGCCTCACTTATTTATGCAGTTGGAGTAAAAGGATAGCTGACAATTCCTCCTAGAATTTGTATCCCCAGAGAACAAAACGCCATCCAGCCCTCTTTAATCTAACCAGAGCGGATGATTTGGATTTTTTATAACCGATATAGAATGACGCTAACAGTGTCGCAGTAAGATTGAAAAAAAATAAGGTAAATTTTTTTATTCTTGACGAAAATTCTCAAAATTTAATTTTTAAAATAAAATAAAGTAATAAATGAATATGAATTCAGTATCCTGTTTTTTATAATTATATAACTCTCTTAATATAAAAATAAAAAGAATTGTACTCATTCCTTATTCAAATTTTATCCCAACTAAATGAGCGGTTTTATTGTATACGCTTATTGCAAACTTCTCAAATTAGATATTTCATTTTTTTTCAATTCTGTTTGTGTACTTTCTTTTATTCAACTAAGCACATTTTGAAATACTCACCTATGCGCAATTTCGAGCTGTTCATGCCGTGTGAGTTCTCTAAGTTTATTACAAGGTTTTCTTGTCAGAAAATTTTGTTTGGTTAAGCATTCAAAATACGCTGCACAACAAGGGGGGACTAGTTTCCCTCTCCTATTGCATTTGCAACAAAAAAAAAAATACATTCACTTTCTGCTGAAGTAATTATATATTATATTATTATTATTTTTTATGTTTTGATAATTACACTAATTTTCTCGCCTTAGTTACTTCTAAGGTGACTGGGTGTAGTGTCCATATATAAAACAATGAAAGTATTTGTAATTCTTTAAACAAAGGAAAACGCTGACAGAAAAAAAAAAAAAAAAGGCGTTGTAGAGCATGTTGATAAGCATAAAAGTGCAAAATCTTGCTTATGAGAAGCATGAAGACACATGTTGAAGAGCATTTAATTAAATAATTTTAATTACTTAAATACAAGTGGTAACTAGTTTGTAAATTTATAAAGAATTTATTGAACGAAAAATCTATCATATAAAAAATATATCAAAATCAGTTAATACATCAAATACTTTTAGAGCAGTATCTTTAAAACATTCATTAACAAGATTCTTATTTAAAAGTATTAAACATTTTTTTAATATAAGTACTTTTTACCAAACATATTCTAAATTTTGGTTTATATAATAGTATATGCTTTTTAGCCTCATTAACCAATATGGAATTGGTCAACATTCTCCTAAAGTAATTGTTGATGTAGTTTTATAAACAAAAATGGATTTTCGTGCAATAAGCACTTGCTTACTTGACGTCAGTATAATTACCTCAAATTAAAAATATAATATTCGAGGCAGACTGAGCTTTGGAGGGGCTGTCGCTGCTTTGAGATGTATCCTATGAATAATATAAGACGTTTGCATATTAGATATATTTAACAGCCCATCGCCATAGGATGTTCAAGTCATTTTTTTGGTGCTGAAAATATATAGGCTCCTAATTTGAACTCACCTCCATCCTCATTTTCAGTGGGTTCCTTCTAAATAGCTTTGTGTCCCACAGCTATACGGCTTTGCTTTAGCCTTTTGATAATTGACAGTGTGTCCAAGCATAATATTTAGAGCTCAGACACGTCTGTTTTGTGTTCGTTTGTGTCTCAGTAGAATTCTTACCGACATCGACATGCAGTTAACCATAATTAAGATGAGAAAGATGTTCTCGAACGCCACCACTTCCGGTGCGCGTTCAACATCATTGCGCGTCATTGGAGCTCTCATTGCAATGGCCTCGCTGTTATGGACCATTCATTACGGATATCAAGCCGCAATTGGACTAAGAACACACCCACTACATGACCACTGGATTTCACGGGTTGGAGGATTTATTATGTTTTCAGGTTTCCTGCTTCTGGTTCTTGGGCTTCCCCTAATTGCCGACTTGTTTCTTAGGTTGTCAGAGGAGCTACAATGCCCAGAAGAAACTGATATTCATCATAGTAGCAAACTGAAAGTAGAAGTTGACGCTCGTCTAGTTTTGTAATAATTGAGCGCCGTTATCCTAGATAGCTGCAAGTCCACAATAGGGTATTTTCTCCAATTTGATCCCTGCTGATTTAATTACTTGCATGGAAGCAGTATATCAGACTACAATGCTCACTCAGGCTAATACCCGTTCTTTATTTTCTCACCTTCTAAACAATGATGGATGTTAGTTCCACGAATCCTGAGCAATTTCCTTGAAAAGTACTGTTAGATGTAATGGGACCGAAATATCAAAAATTGGTCAGCAATAAGAGGCCTTCGAAATAAAAGATTTTGCTTGTTAGTTATAAATTTTCAATCATGAAAACAGTGATGACAACTGAAACTTTAATGCTAGTTGCTTAAAGATAACATTTCAAATGAACTGCCAAAACAGAGTGAAGTAACGATCAAATGATAGAATAATATCTTAAGTTTTGAATATGATCACAATATTCATCCTCTTGTAGGTTATCATAAAATCCCACACAAAACCAACAAAAATATGCTACTAGGCCTAAAACACTCGTTAGCTGGGTTGTCAATTCATAAATATTTTAGCATCAAATTTGATCGCACTATGATTCAGTCAATCTCGTATGCAGAAAAACTGGAAAGAACTCATTCATTTGGTATATAGCTAAATTGACGACTCAAATCGTGCACAAAAATGAACCTTCAATTCAACAAGCACCAAGTGAATGTGTTCTTCCCCTTTTCTGAAGGCTAAACAAAGATGTGAAAGACATTTTTATCACAAAACAAACATGAGCTAAAAGCTTAGTTAACACATATGTTGGGCTTGACCAGCATTTTAGAGCTAGTGATCACCTTATTTATATATAGAAGGCAGTTTTGTGTACCACATCATAATAGCAAGGAGGTCTTCGTAGTAAACACAAAATGCAAGGGGGAGAGTACAGTAACATACCCATTATGGACATTATCTAATACAGTTTGCTGTGGATATGAACATAGACAGTTCCTATGCTCTTATAGTACCCAACCTCTTACTACCACTAAACCTTTTTAGCTTTTTGATATCTCACAAGAGATGCTTTGCACAATTAAGAGCAGCGACTGTAAAGCCACACATTTTACATCCATTATTCTTCTCTGTACCCACACTCGATTCAGGATAAATCCATAAATCACAGCAAACATTACACTCAAAGGATATGAACTAAAAGACAAGTTTCAAGTATACAATCTACCAACCCATCCAAGTCTCTTAATCGTAAAATTCTTGTCGAACTCTAGTAAAGTTTATTGGCATAAGTTAAACAAGAAAGCTTCTTAAAAGTTGAGGTGCGTAAACTAATTCACGAGCAGGATAATTCATCTTATCTACTCTTATCACATGAACTGGCTCATAATCTATCTTACGTCACGAGCACATCTTTTTTTCTTACATGAACCGTAGAAACAGGAATTAACGTGCTTAACTTCAACGGAACAAAGAACGGGAAAATTATGCAGCTGATTATGAATCTATTATTATTTTTATCTGTTACTTGATTTGATAAAACCGAACAGAGTATCACGCAGTTGCAATAAGCGGGGATGAAGTGAAGTCAATTAATAATAAAAAAAATTTGAAAAAAGCTATTCATTAGAAAACGGTAACGATAGGCCAAAACCCTAGAACAGAAAAGCTAAAGAGAGAGTAGTGATAATAGAATGGAATCAAATGAGCTTGAAAGGGAGAGGCCAAGGTGTGGACCTGGGAACTTCGACCTTGTCCTTGATGCGCTCGATCATCTTCTCTTTCTTCGGCCGTGCGTTGCCGTACGATCCCTTAAACCTCTTCCCTTTCTTCGTCTTCTTGTCTCCGCGACCACACAGTTGCGGCACCGTCGCCCTCTCCGCCGTCATCAACCACCTCGCCGCCACGCCGCACCGCTGCATCAAGTTCACACCACTCGCCATTCTTGCTGCTATCGATTTGATTCGATAGCTATTGGAAAACGAATACGAATACAACGGAACATCTTTTTTTTTTTGGTCGAAATGGAAGATTTCATGTGGGCTTGCTTTTAAACTGTTTATTGGACCTAAAATGAAGTCCAACAGCAAAGATGGACACTTGCTGATGGATTCGATTGACAAAAACTTGTTATTGGACCCTCGCGGGCATTTCCCATGTTCATTGCCAATGGATGCTAACATTGCTTAGCAATATATTCAGAGTTAAGATAATATATCGATTATCAATTATCTGTCACTGACATTTTTTAAAATAAAATTTGAAAATATAAATAAAAGGTATTTAAAATAAATAATATATATAATAAATCGAATAAATAATAAGTATTTAAATTTGAGATAAAAGATGAAATTTAAAATTTGAGATAAAAGCTTTTACATATAATTTTGTCTTGTTTTTCGGCTGAATTTTGTTTATATGGCTGGGAGTGAACATTCTCTTGAAACAGTCATTCATAAACCTAGGTTAATGTAGCAATGTCTGATGAGGTTTTGGTCAAGCCAATAATAAGAGAGTCAATTCATAGCACTCCTGTTCCTCTTGACACAAATTGTGATTAGGCAGCAATGTCATGAAGAAGATTCTGCTGATATAAAAGGTCATATTTTGCATTTTGAATTCATATAATATAAAAAGAAAATCTCCTGATTTGCATCACAAAAACAATCTAAGATAAATTTGGTAAGGATTTCATATATTTTTTATGCTCAATGTCCAGTATTTAATAGATTATGTGTAGCTGTTTGTTTGATTTGTAGTTATGTAGTCATATTTGTTCAATTGTACAAATTTGTGATTGACGAAAGTATTTTGTTTGATGAAAAATTGCAGCATGCCTTGATTCATCTTTAAGGTCCAAGGTCAAAAAATTGAAACTTTTGTTTAGTGCGTCAATCCCCTACCAATGTTTTGAGTTAGTCGATCATCTCTGCATCAAGAAGGCCAGCCATATATTGAAGACAAGGGAAGAAACCACAAAAAATAAGGCACTGACTAATCTTCATATCCCTTACTAACAGAATTAAGGTCCAATGAAATCGTAGGAGAAATTGTTCATAATCTGCTTCATAAAAAGTGAATCCCTTACTCATTCTACTATAATATTTGCTTAATATTTAGTAATATCAACACAGTCATCATCCCTTGATCACCTTTTTCATAAGAGGTACTTTAGAATACCTCTTACTCCAAACCAACGCGCCACTCGGTGAACCAGCGTAATAGAGGATGAGCAATAAACTTGAGTCAACTTATGTTGGTGGGAAAATATAATTTACTAGCACAACCAAACATTTACCAATTTGAAGTTAACAATAATATAATAAATCTTAGAGCATAAGTTTCCCTTATATATGCTCTTATCGTATAGCTAGTGTAATCAAAATAAAAGATTGTTTAATTACGTATAGCTTTTATTTAATTACCTTAGAAGATTGCTAATCAAAATAAAATTGTTTAATTTAACATTTATTTTACTAATTGGTAATAGGTATAACACTTCTGTAGGCTTTATACTGTCGTATTTTTTGCGTAGAATACTAAAATATGTTTATAGTTATTCCAATTATCTTCTTGTTGAACTTCTATTACTTACTTTATTAAACATTCAACCGCTATTTTTCTACAACCGCAGCTTTCAGATGGCTTGATTACCAAAAATAGTTGTATTTCTGAGACTAGGGAAATTTTTTTTAAGTGGGAACTGGGAAGTAAAAATAGGAAGATTTTTTTTTTTAAACGTTTTACAACTTTGTATGCCTCTTTTTTGGTTGAACTAGACTCTTTCATTTTTAACGATCTATTGTGTTTTAAAAACTATGCGAGAAAAAAGAAAAAACGACATACAAGTAACCTTTTTAAAAAGAAGTATTTTAGAATACCTCAATTCTTCTGCTCTCTCTCTCTCTTCCTGCCGGTTTCGAATCGAATACTTTGAGACTTGAGGCAGTATTCCGCACCAACAAGTCAAACGGTGAACCAGCAATCTCAAACAAGTAAAACTGAGTGATATACTATATGGTAAATAGAGGTCGGCAAGAAATATAATTTACTAGCCCAACCAAATTTGGCTTCCCTTTATTGGATTTGTCTCCTTTCTAGAATATTAGGATTATATGTTTTGATGTCTTTGCAACCATGTATATAATGAATTTATTCTTGTACAGAGAAACTTATAAAAGAACAGCCATAACTGCATGTGTGAAGACTGGTTGTATGTATATATATTTCTAAATTAAAATACTACAAGATAGTAGATTATCAGTCAGGTGCATACTAGTCAAGCCTGTGGCCGTACTACTAACATTCAATGTCTCCCTCAGAGCCACAATCAGCATGACATTGAGCAAGATAAAGAAGCCAAGATTATCAGGACGATGGTACCAATGATTTTATGTCAATCAACCTCTTAGGGAATACTTCTTCCCAATGAAAGGCTGGAACTTGGACTGTTTCTGAAGGGGTGGCTCTTGTTTTGACTCGGTTTTTTCCTACGATGAATAGGAAAATGATATTAGTTAGGAAAATGATATTAGTTCACAGCCACATAATGAGTAGCTAAAAAGGGCCAGAGGATCTTGAGAAGAGTACCATTAGCATGTGATTTGAAATAGTAGGGAATAAGGAGAAGCAGCATAATTACCTTTCCTTTTTCATTTGTACGGAAAACATTTGATCCAAACACTAGCTTCCCCTGAGAAGGGCAAGATGTTGTAGAAGAAAGTGAGTTGACATTTGAAGAATCAGGTCCCTTGTCCTTGTCATTAGGGCATGAAGAATAAACAGGAGGGGTTGGCTTTCCATCCAAGCGTCTTCCACTTCCAAAAAAAGGGTGGAACTTAGCTGTGGGGAGAAACCAGAAGTCACATTTTTCATGCTATTGATACAGCCCCATGGAAAACGATCTAGAATCTAAAACATATACAAATAAAGAGATTAAGAACAGGAATATAAACCTTCGTCTATTGCTTTGCCTGAACCAAGAGATGCAATAGGCTTTTCAAGTTTCTTGTAATCCAAGGGAGGAGCGACGTCCACCTCACAGTCTGTCTCCATGATGCTTACTGCATTAGTAGGTTTTGTTTCTATAATATCTATGTAATACTTTCTGTTGTTGTATGTCACCATGATAGTATCTCCAGTTGTCAAGCATGAGAAATTTCTCAAAGTAGTTTCCAGGCTGCATTGCAAAATAGGATCAAATTCTGAAAGGAGATATATATACAGAAAGTAGACTAAAACCACTACAAATGGAGGATGCCTAATATGTATACAAAGAAGAATGAATTAACAACAAAAACCATGGAACAACTACAAAATACCATCACTTTCTAAATAAAAAGAAAACACCCATTTTCTATGAACTAACATTTAACCATATCGACTAATAGAAAGAATAATTCCCAAATGAAGTGAAACTATATAACCTTGTACCTTACTCAAAGGATAAGTTAGAGGTTTGGTTATCTACCATATATCTAAAAGCAAGCACATACCCCACAAGGCTGAAAAACAAGCATGCCCATAGATTTCATTGATAGTCATAAGCCCATAACAGATTGGACGTGAACAAGAATATCCATTTGAAGGAATATTGTAGATATCATGAAAAATAAACATCATAGCTATTCCTAGTTTGAATCCAATAATACGATCACCACCAACTCACATGGCTTTTGGATTGGAAATATCGAAGAAGTCCTTTGTATGGGGTTGTAACTTAACATATGTTCCCTTGGGAAGCGATACATTTTTCACTCTTACGGTGTCTCCCTCTTGCAAAAGCAAATTCTGCATCATCTGTATTGAACAATTCATTGAAAACCAGCTTGCATCAAGAAACTATAAACTTGGAGAACCACACAACATGCAACAACCATTTTCAATAAACATAGTTTCAATTCATATTGTCCTACCCAGTATGGAACATATATAGTGCCTTCATCTGCAATGAACTCCAGAACCCCACAATGAGAAACCCGCTCAGCAGCACCATTTCGAAGCTCAAACAACATTGGATAGTCAATACGAAGAAATGCTGCAAGATTACACTTGATATTAGTCTTGTTATCTTGTGAATAGGACATCAACATCTGTGAAGAATGTGCAACAAATACAAGAAAATTAGACATAAAAACTAACCTAGACGGTCAAGGGCTGAAGGAGGCATTATAACTGAAGCAACAAGAATCATAACATGTTCACTACAGTATCCAGGTAACACAGTACACTATACAAAACCAAACCTGGCTAGATGTGGAAACTTACTTTTATCACCATTCTCAATTTGGGGCTGCAAAATTCAGGAATAAAGAAGGTATTAGTTAGAATAATTTTCTGTTAGATATATTTGAGACTACGAATTTTGGAAAACTTCACATTAAGAGTTTAAACTAATGTAATTGAATCTTTCTGGTTTCTTTCTTCAAATTAATCCTTCATCTTTTACTAAAATTACAACTCGCTTCAAAATCCTAATTCCAACCAGATGTTGGTATTTAAGCAAACATAAAGTAGAGGAGATGATTTTAATTCTTTTTCGGTGAGAAGTGAACAGAGCTACGATTGACTCTATTATTTGGACACTTGTCTGCTCAAACTTGCTTTACCAGTACAGTATATGATACAGAACTTAAGGTCTCTATGCAAGTTGTTTAAGAAGCACACGAGCTATGCAGTTTTTAAATTATTTTTCCTATTAATAACTCCTCTAAAATGAAGTGATTGATTTGTTATATTTAGCACTACATAGTCTTTAACCAATCAAACGGATACAAATACTCGGTGTTATGAAACTTGTCCTAGTCATCCACTCAGTTAGGATGCTGAATCTTGAGACATTAGTTCAATCACATATTAAATTGATTGAATCGTATGTATATTTAAATATGCAGTAAATTTAATATCATAAGAACATTATAATTGATATACAATTGATGTTATATAAAACTTCAGATTTAATGTTTTACAAAACAGATATAATACCCAACGGATTTACAGATCAAGTTTTATGACGGCAAATATTCTTCCCCTTCTCCAAACTTAAGACTAAAACTCAATCAAACTAAGAAAAGGAAAACTTGCGTAACATTTTCATTCGAGGAATGGGTTATATGGTGGAAGCGTGACTAGGATACTAGACTCTCGAAACTCAAAAAGAATTAAACTACATAACTCCTGTTGGATTGATTCATAAGCAGTTCCTTGCATGCGGTTTTACTGTGTCATAATAATGAATTTTAACAGCGGTAATCAAAGTGAATAAAAATGAAGTATCAATAGAAATCAACAAGGAATTAGGAATGCTGACCTTTTCAATAAAAGAAGCGGGGTAACATCGATATATCTGCTCAAATGATGTCCCGTCACTCCCGTGATGCCCATATCCGTCAAAAAACTGCCAGTGTATATTTAAAATAATAAATTAATAAAAAAATATACTATGTCACTGTACAAATGCGTATAAACTACAAGAGCATGCTTACTAAATAAAATTATTAATTTTTCACCTTTTTTTTATCTTCTCTTTCTTGTTATCTTTTTTTTTTTTTTCAATCACATCTATTAATTATTCTCTTTTTCCTCCATCCATATTTCACCCAATTCATGGGTGTCAAATGATCATTTCTATACTGAATACTAGCAATAACAAGTTTGGTACAAAATAGAATGTAGAGTATACCATTTTTCTTTCCACCGCTTTCTCGTGTCAAAGAAGACAATATATATAATAGAAAACCAAACCTCCAAATTCTAAGCTGTGGAATACAAGCTATTTGATCAGAGAAGATGAAACTGAAGCAGGAGGCAGCTTGCTGAACGAGGAAACCAGAAAAAAAACTGATATACTGTTTATCAAGGTCATCGTATCGTAATAAGATAACAATATCTATATGGTATTTGTTCTTGGATAGCGTCGTGAGTATTCTGTTCTGCTTAACAAGTACGCACGATCAATCGGAGAATCGAGTCTATATGTAATTTAATTATATATATTCTCTCCCCGGACAACATGTGCATGCACTAATTTCGATCAACTACTATATTTAACACATATAGTTAGGCAAAGATAGAGAATTTACCGCATATATGATAATCAATAATATGAAAGGGAAAAAAAAGCAAAAATAGATCAAGTACATAACAAAAAATGACAAAAAGCTAACTTTTTGTTTGACTTACGAAATTAAGATTTAAAATAAGAATTAAACTATAAGGGTGTAATTATAATACTTAATATTTTTTATAAAATTAGAATCACAATTTTAAGGTCTACTAAGAAATTCTGAAGTATTTAAAACAAATATTTTCTACTCGTTAACTTTTATCTGTTTTATAACTGTTAACCTTATATATATATATAGTTATTGTTATCACTACTTCCATCTTTACACAATTAGTATTGTCACTACTCTTGTCATAATTTCACCACTATTAGTATGATCATTGATATATTTTATTACTATTGCTGCTATCACTGTGACATTTTCATGCTACCTTTATAACTAAAGATAAGTTTTAAAAAATGAAGTGATAAGAACACTTTATTTCAGCAATATTTTCTTTATTGTAAATTAATCAAATTTTTATCTTCATCTTGTTGACTCAATGCTTTAAGTTGAGTAGTCATTATTCGTTCGTATCATATTCTTTTTCTTGGTAACAAAGTTCGTTCAGTATTATCGCACCAATATTCGAAAGTTTTTCCTTTTTGCTTCAACAAACGATATAAAAAGGTAATGTTATTATTTAAACATTAAAAAATTGTAAGATATTGTATAGAATTATTTGTTGTTTACTTTTTTTTTTTAATCTTTTATGCTTATATACATTTTAAAATTATATAAAAATTAATTACTAGATGTTTTCCTATTTTACCTAAAATTTAGCCAGACAAGATAGAGACATAAATGGCTGGCAAACATTCCTTTGACTCTCCCATAATTTGCAATTGGGAAGATGAACACCGCATATAGCAACATTACATTATAGTTTATCAATTGAAATTTTAGAAAGCGGAATATGATACTCCTTTTCAGTAAAAAAAAATCCTCTCTTTTAAAACGTTAGTTATGCCTCCTAAACAAGTTACAGTACTTGGAAAGTCCCTAATTAAATGCACAATCCTACTGTCATGAAGTGAAAACATTGCATATTGATTAAAGAAGTGTAAACATTGTATAGAATATCCAGGTACTAAAGGTGACAGATAATGGGAAATGAATTCACCGCCATAAATAGCATAATAACGAATACTCATCGTTTTACTTTGTTTTTGCCGACTCACTTTCTTTTCGTAAAGTTGTTGTTCACCTTCCAAGTCGCGATGCAATTATCTAATAACCCCCCGAAAGTGTAAGATGCTGAGCATGCTGGAACTCTTTCATTCGATATTCTTATGCATTGTATTCTATTCACTGCTTATCGACAAGAATTCTATGCCGAACATTCTCCGTGAGCTATAATGCTTCTGAGGGCGTAATCACAAAATTTCATGCGATGAAGATTTTTCAAAGGGGAACTGATTTTGTCTACAATGATTAATGTTTTACTTTTATTTGAAATGATTATTATTACTTAAAATTTTCATTATATTTAAATTATTTAGTGTTTAAAAGAATAATACTGTATTATCTTTAAAAAAATGTCTCTCGGTATTTTCATTAAATGAAGCTGGATAAAAAATTAATCAAATAAATTACTTTAATTGTAAGTTTAATTATTGAAATATTTATTTTCATTTATGCAGAATATTAAATAAGATTTGAAAACAAAGAGGATAAATAGAATCATTTGATTAATAATAAATATTATTTTATTCTTAACTTATATCTTAAAAAGAATAATTAATTAAATTTTAGTTTTTATGCGATAATTAATAGAACGGTTCCATCGTATTTTGACATAAATACAATTTTAAGGACGCCAGTTAGTCATTCGCTACACACACATTTTTGTTATTAATATAGATTCTTGTGCATGAACCCATAGGAACAATGTAACAGGTGTGTGATGCTACCAACCTTCATCAGTCCAGCAGCAGCATCCAATCAATCAAGACCCCCAGCAAAGAATGCAACAGACACGCCTCTCCAAAAACTTGAACCACTAAACGAACAAGCAACTTTAGCCTTTTTCACAATATTACTAGCCGCCAATTCTAACTTTGCAGAAGAATCAAAGTAACTAAATTTCAAACATCCATTGAGGAGAGGTCTTGTTACGACTCACAGTCGCCAAAAATCTTAAGAAGGTCCCCCACCTACAACCACGGTATCAGAATCCAACTTTTTCTTCAGTTACGCTATCTCCTTCGCTCGCCACCCATACAGCATACTCGATCAAACAAATTCAATTTGAAAAACAAATAACGTCACAGAAGAGAGGGAGGGAGATAACTAAAATAAGAACTTGTGATAACGACTTTTTATTCTAAGTATAACAGTGAAGGGAAAGGAGCAATAAAAATTTGTTACTCTAGAACTTGACAACGAAAGTCATAGACGTCCATCCACAAGAGGATTACGATTGAGACGCCGAAATTACAAAACAAAATGCAGGGGACACCGAATGCTTCTGCATGATGCGCTAAAAGTAAAAAAACATAGTAACTGACAAAAGGGACAAAAAATATTATAGAACACACCTGGACGACCAACAAGTAACACACAGAGACACACAGGGATGACTCAAACATAGCAATAAGACCACTGCTCTCGCTCATCTTCTCCAGCAGAATCTGCGACTATGCCTTCATCTCCGGCACACAAGCAGCAACTCGACAATGACAACGACGACTGCACCAGATAAGGCATGGTGTTGAACGAGCGAGAGAGCCCAGAGGCGATGGCCGCAGCACTGAAGACGTCGCCGTCAGCAACACACTCTTGGGCACGGCGCTTGAGCGTCTGGAACATGAGGTCGGGCTGGTGCTGCATCACTCGAAGGACGTCTCCACAAGAGGGCCCAGACACTGCCCGAGTGACGGAGAACGCGTGGGGGCCATCGCTCTGCGAGACGCGAACAACGCTGGGGCCACCAAACAAGTTGTGGACTCCACCAAGCGCCTCCTCGTAAGCCCCACCCAAAAACATTCCGAGATAGTACCCTCGGTTTCCACCTTCCATTTCGTGCAGCAGCAGGCTCGACTCGCCCTTTATGAACTTGTCAATCTTCCCATCACTGTCACATGTCAAGTCAGAGAGAATCCCCCTCACCGATGGCTTCTCCTCCAGGCGATGAATGGGGACAATGGGATACACCTGTTCAATGCTCCACGCGTCAGGAATGGACGTGAACACCGACAGGTTCACCTGATATTTCCGAACATGTTCCCCCGCCCCCACCGCCTTCCTCACCACATCACACAACCCCTCAACGCCTGCCAGCTGTTCCATGCACACTGACCCTTCCTTGAACTTCTCCACGCATCGCTGTTTCATTTCCTCCGCCCACTGCAAACACGTATCATAGTCCCCTCGCAGGGCAGCATCGGAGAGATTTTGGTAATCGGCGCGAGCCTCCTCCGAGAGCTCCTCCACCAAATATTCCAGTTCAAGGGAGGACAATGACGGGGCAGCGCTCGCGCCAACAGCTTCGAAAACTAACACCGAATGATGAGACACGATGGCCCTTCCACTCTCGCTGCAGATAACTGGGTGCTTAACCGACCTTCTATCGCAGACGCACTGAACCGCGCCAACAACTGCTGAAGCATATTCCTGAAGACCGTACCCGACAGAGGCATCGGAGTCACACGATTTGGAACCGTCGTAATCTATGCCCAGACCACCGCCAATGTCGAGGACTCGCATGTTAGCCCCGAGACGAACCAGTTCGCAATAGATCTGCGCGGCTTCTCCCACACCGTCGGCCAGCAACGCGGTTGAAGGAATCTGGGAACCGATGTGAAAATGGAGCAACTGAAGGCAATCCAGCATGTTTTTGTGTTCTAGCTTCTTCACAATCCTCAGAACCTGAGCGGTGGTGAGGCCAAACTTGCCTCTCTCCCCTGAAGTGGACCCGAAGTGGCCCGAATGTCTCGTGCGAAGTTTCGCTCGCAAGCCAATCACGGGTTTGATGCTGAGCTTTTTGCTGAGGTCAATAATCAAGTCGAGTTCCTCCTCCTGTTCAAGAACGATCACCGCGTTCAGCGCCATCTTGGTGGCAACCAGGGCCAGAGTAATGTACTCGGCGTCCTTGAAGCCGTTGCAAATCACGAGTGCTTCGGGGTTGCCTTTGCACAAACACGTCATGGCCAGGAGAAGCTCCGGTTTGGACCCTGCCTCCAAACCGAACCTGAAGGGCGAACCAAATTTCACTATGTCTTCGACAACGAACCGGTCCTGGTTGCATTTCACGGGGAAAACCCCTTGGTAATGAGACTCGTACCCTTCGGATTCGATTGCGTAATCGAAAGCCGATTGAAGGCACTCGACGCGGTTCTTCAAAACGTCCGGGAACCGAACAATGAGAGGGAGCCTAAGGCCCAAACCCCCGCCAGATTTGGGTTCTGAGGCTCTCTTCACCACCTTCAGCAAATCAATCTCCTGGTGGGAGAGGGTCTCCGAACCGTGGGGCCGCACGGAGATATTCCCGGCGGCGTTCACGGCGAAGTAGGGGCCTCCCCAGCCATCGACGTTGTATAGGGCGGCGGATAGAGAGGGCGACCAATGGTTGTCGTCGGCGGAGAAGTTGACCGGCGGCGAAAGAGAGATATCAGGAGAAAATGCGTGGTGTGGAGGTGCTGCAGCATCCACGCAGCAAGCGAGGGCAGGCATCTCTTGGGGCGACGATCAAAAAGGGATTAAAAAATGAAAAGAATTGATGTTAGGGCTTTGGTGATGAGGTTGTGAAGGTGGGGGCTTTGAAAGCCGCCGAGGCCGAGGCCCCGGCTACCCCCTCAAAAGAAGTCAGTGAAAGATCTATCGAAAAGGGAGAGCCCTCTCTCTCTCTCTCTCTCTCTCGCTCTCACACACTCTCTTCCCTACGCCACTCTGAGGAGCAAGATTTCAAGAAAATTATTGAAACCAAACGCAACCAGATCCGCAGCGAGGGATCCGATGCAATCCAGAATGGAGAAAGAAGGGGAGCGAATACCGGAAACCACGAATACAAAGTAAAAGGCCAAGGGTTGGAATGGAAGGGCTATCACACACGGACAATAGGGAGAGAGATAAGGCCCCAACGATGGTGCGACTGGGCGAGATTTGCATGGATGTATGAGCCTATTTATATAGGGGGATAAGGAGGAGGAGGGAAGGAACTACGAAAACGGGTGGGTTAGGGAACCAACGTCATGAATGGGCTTGGTGGGCCTGGCCCCCTATATCTTTCTATTTCTCGTGTTTATATCGCTCCCAATTTTTTCCATTAAATATTCCTCTTTTCTTTTCAATTAAATATTACTACGTTTTTCGGATTTCAGGACGAATCTGCTTCATAATTGCCATTATCATTAATCGGCGTCCAGTTGCCGCGTGGCGTCTCTTTCGGCGAATTCCATTTCAAGTGGCGTGAGTGAAATCGTGCAGTTCATGTAGTTGAGGTATATAAATATCGAGAATATTAACTTTACATTTATTTTTTATTTCAATAAAATATCTAGTATATACATAATTAATATTGTAATTAAATAAAATAAAAAGTAGGTGTTGAAATATAAAAAATCGCAACAATTTCTATTTTCAAGAAACCACCCTATCCTTTAAAAACGGGAAGGGGGTTCAACCTGCAAGTAGATTTACTTTTTACGTGTGATCTTGCCTCATGCTGTTGTTACCCTGGAAATTACTACCATCTGCTGAAGGAAATAACACGTCACGTCACGTCACGTCACGTAGGCGTATCTATTTGACAACTTAACGTTTTGGTTAACACGCAGAACGCTGAAATGGAAATTGTGTGATATATACCAAGTGAACGTCACGCCACCTCGACTTTTTGCGTGTTGGTGTGCAACCGCAGAAACGAAAGCCCCCTTCACGGTTTTTCAACTGCTAGCATCTGCACGCTGAAAGCCCATATTGTTGGAGTAACTATATTCTTTTAATCCAATTATATAACAATTTATATAATATTTATTTTGTTCATTTCTCTTTATCATATTAGTATTATTATTATACTTCTCCAAACATAGACCCCCCACGTTTCTTCACTTTTCTCTACATGTCTGTAACGATGCTAAAGAACAACAATATATTGTTAAGTTTAGATCGAGAAGAAAATCAACATAATTAAATTAAACGGGTAATTTTCTCTCTTCTCCTCCCAAATATTTTTGTAGACACTCATTAAATTTAAACTTTACTGTTATTCTTGAAAATTAATAAATAAAAAAAATTAATCACTATAACTTGGTGGAGTTCTCAAGTTTGCTGTGAAGTCTCGTTCTTATACTGGACTAACTCTTAATTCTCACGTCCATCGATTTAACATTTTATACACCTTTATTATAAGGGATCACAACATTAAGTCACTTCTATAATCATAACAACGTTAGAATGTTTAACAATTGCGTTATGTTCATACACCATGAGTCTGTTATCGTGCCATGATTGTGTGACACTTACACGCATGCACTGTGTAACCAGAAATATCCTAACCGATAAGATATATATATGTAACTTATTTCTTGTTACTAGTTTGTTAATATAAATATTAACTTTAATGTTTGTTTTTTTTTATAGATATGGTTCTTTATTCATCACCAACTTAATCTACCAATCCTTTGATGTTATTTTTTGAATTATTTTGTTATTAAATTCGTTAAAAATAGTACAAATCGTATTGTATAAAAAGAAAAAAAAATAGAGGATAAAAATTGAAAATGATGTGTTTCTTTTATAAGCATATAAATGGAAAATTTTTCTGGTTATGGAGAGAAAAGCTTTTGTGACCATACCAAAAATAATTTATTTTTCTTTATTTTTATGAAAAATACTAATAATATATCATCTAAAATTTTTAACACATTCTTAAATATTAATTATTTTTTTTAAAGAAACATTATACATAATAAATATAAATATATATGTATACATAATATTTTTATTAAAATATACAATTTAATATAAATTATTTTTCTTTCTCGTGTTATGTCTGAGTTGATGAAATTAATTTTACTTATAATAATAAATAATACAAGCAATAAAATTTATTGAAAAATGTATTAATGTTATGGGTGAAGAGTAAGTCATTCTAAGAGTAACTATTATTAATTATATTTTTTATATTTAATTTATGTTTAATCCAATAATTTAATTAATAATATTTGATATTTATAAAAAAATATTATTAATAAAATTAATTATTAAAATAATTTTATCTTTATCCTTATGTTAAAAATATTTTATTATTAGTGTTTTTATTATGTACACAAGCTAAAAATATTACTATAAATATTATATTTTGACTTCGCGTGACTCAAATTCATTAGAACTTTAACAATAAATGCATTAGATTCATTTAAAATGATTTTTTAAGACATTAATATTTTTTTAAAAATAAAATTAGAGTGTAAGAAGTACTCTGATCCAATAGTAAATTAAAGGAAATTTTGTATGAGTGAAGTATATATAAATTTCTTAACACGTGTTAAGTATACACATTTAAAAAAATATTACAAAATTAAAAGTTGATATTATTAATTAATAAATTTTATTATATATAAATTTTTAATATATGTCGTTATATAGCCGTTAAAAATGAAATGATAAAATACGGACTTCAGTCTTCAGCAGACTAAGGGTGACTAAAAGATGAAAGAACAAAAACATGTTTCAATTCTTGTAAAAAGACTGGTCCAAGTCTCAAAACACCAATCGTCAAATTTCAGACAGCGTACTAAACCATTTAAGAGCTCCCCCAAATGAACCTCTGCTCCCCGTGCTTGGTCCAACTCAACCACTTGGTGTGCACGCCAAGAACGTCGCAGCTCCATTATTGACCATTTGACTGTGAGATTCTACGCACTATTTCGTCGCGATCTACTTATTTCGTTGCACATGTCACAGAATGTTGGACTTCAGCCTGAGTTTGTCAATTTTGCTTTTGCTTGACGTTCGTTACTTTAGCACTAATGAAGTAAATGTTAACAATTTAAAAATAACCAAATAAAATAAAAATTCCACAATTACAGTTTATAGACAATTTTATTAGTTGCGGTTTAACATTTTTTATTTGATTTTTCCATTTAACAATTTATGTCAATTGTAATAGCTTTTATGGCTAAAGATATAACACTTTCTTTTACTAATTCTGGTGCTTTTTTTTTATAACTTTTAGTGTTTTGACGATTACTAAAACCAATAGCTTGACAGGAAAAGACTAAATTAAAATAATAAAAAAATTAAAGCACGGAAGTCCATTTTTTATTTCTCAACACACTTTTTTTATTTTATCTGCTTTTTTTTAAACATTAGTGAAATAATATAAATGATTCGATGAAAGAAATGAGATTAATGTAAATTTTTGTGGGTATCATAACTTATAATTAATAGTAAAAAATACTAAATTTATTTTACTAACATTATTTGATACACGTGTTCAATAACCACAATAAATTGATAAATAATATTTTAAAAATTATAACATTTAAATTATCAATATGTAGTTTTATAAAAATTTATATTATGCGTATAAAAACATACATTAATTATTTTTTTATCTGATAGCGTGACTTTGAAAAACTTATTTTTTGAAACAAATCAGTCCTTAAAAATTATCTAAAAAATTTACAGGATAAATAATATAAACACCTTCGTAATTAGTTAAAATAGACCACGTAACTAATTTTGTTAAATTAATGAGAGCCTTTTAATGAATGAAATAACTTATTTCATAAAAAAAAAACTATTTAATTAATTTTTAAAAATTTAAACTGAGTGTAACAAATTTCTTGGAGATCGATTTAAATATGTAGTTAGCACTGACATGGAAGCGGTTAGCAGGACGAGAATAAGAAAAGAAAAGAATGGGGCCGAGGGTTCTGAATTTTCTTTTATATGAGATGGGGCCCACAACCAGGTCCAAGAAGCAACTAAGTGGGCCCCATTTATAGTTCCTTAACACTTGTCAGTTCGTCACGGTTTTCACTATTTATTTTGAATTTTCATGTTGCTCGCCTGCTCGTATAGTCGTATTGGCAATTTCACTTCCGCTATCGTCCACGTGTCATCTTTCAAGATGCACCCATTAAACAAATTAATTGTTTTTCAAATCATTTTGTAATTATTATCTTAATCATAATGGTTCAAAAGTTAACAAAGAAACTATTTTTTATTAATATTTTTATTTTAAAAATTAGTTTCTTAAAGACAACGCTCAGTTAAATTTTTTTCAAATATTAAAATTTGTAAATGTGCTTGATTGGGTATTTAATATTGTTTAAAGATTATTAATGATAAAATTACTTAAATTGATCTTATTGAAATTATTAAAAATTAAATATAATTTGTTTGTAAAGAGACCAAAATAATTATATAGTTTGTTTTCATCTTTGAATCTTATAAAAAGTGGTACAAAAATAATGAAATTGTTTTCTATTAATTTCAACCATTCTTAAATAAATAATTAAAAATAAAATAATATGACCTTTTACTAACCTTGAAAAAGAAATCAAATCGAACACTCTTTAAAGATTTTGTTTATTAACGACTTCAACTGACAAATAATTTAAAACGAAAGTAACAATGATTTTCCATTACTAAATAACTTATAAGACAACTCTTCATCGCCTAAACTTTTTGATCAGCGTAAATGCCTTAAAAGTCAAGATAAAAAGTGTAGCATAAAATACTTGCTTTCTAGGTGGGTTATTATTATTATTTAATATGCTTCTTTGAACTAAAGAGAGTTTCAATTAAAAACAAGAAAAAAACAGTGTGTGGGAGAGTTTCGACGGAGAAGTTTAAAATAAAATAATATGACTTTTTATCAGCCTTGAAAAAAAAAATTCAAATCGAACGCTCTTTAAAGATTTTGTTTATTAACTATTTCAACTAACAAATAATTTAATGTTTGTGTATAAATCAGTCACAGTGAATTAGTTTGAACTATTATTTTTAAGTTACTTCTTTGTCTTCTTTTTTTCCTTTTAACCTTTTTAAGATTTGAAATGTTAAAATAAAAAAAAATCGTACGTAAAGTATTTATATAAATTACTATAATTTAGTCATGACAATGAATAATAAAATAAGTTAAAAATTTTAAATTAAATTTACGATTTAAACTTAAAATTATTAAATTAACTGCTTTAAACTTGATGGTAACAGCCGTTTCATGTCCTGTCGGCTCTGATACATGTAGGAACGTCATTAATTAAATAATAATATAAAATGCTTAAAAATAATGCGATGTTACGTAAGTTTGCTTCAAGAAAAAATATAGTGTTTTCATTGGGTCCTATTTTTACTTTTGACACCCTTTCAATTCTGTACCTAACATTAGTGCCAATCTGTGCTTTTTCCTTTCCGTTTTCTGAACAAATCAAAACTTAAAAAGCATCCTCAAATTCCATCCATTTCAGTAAAATATGTTCTTATGATTGGCTTTTTGGAATATTTAATATGGCATGACGGCAAGTGATAAAAGTGACAAATAAACAAAGGATTTTGCCAATTAGTGGGTCTCTCAACAATAATAATTGGAAATTAATAAATAATAATATTTATCAAAAAATTCTTGAAGGTTATATTAAACTTTATGAAATAAATTTTATTATTTAATATTTAAAATATTTATTTTTAATTGGTATTCTTAAACTACTTATTAACATTTTTATACTTAATAGTCAATTGTACCTTGTAGAGTATTCCTTTCATTGTTAACGTGAAATCACATAATTTATTAGTTAGATTTTTATGTTATTACATTCTAAAAAAGTATTCGTATTATAATTTGAAAGAGTGAAATGATAATTTTACTATCATTTATATCTAATATTTTGTTTTCAATTAAACATAATATAAATTCATGTATTACACATTACTATACTGATTTTCTATAGTTTAATGTTAATTGAGTTTTAATTCAGTAAAGAACTCATGAAATCTATCCAGAACACCACAGTTTTAAAGGGCTCCTAATATGACAATCACTAAATATAAGTAATTTAAATTAGGACATGATGGTTTAAAATATAAATAAAATTTCAATTAAATTTAAATTATTTAATAAATTTAATTTTAAAAATGTATTTTTTTTGCTGGAATATATAATTTATTTTTTCAAGACATGAATTAATAATTTCATAGAACATTCAAATTTAAAAGAAATCTCATCACAATTAGTTATTAAAATTTAATTATCTTTCATTAAAATCTAAACGACTTGATTTTTATTTTAACATTTAGCATAGAAACTCAAGCTATCAATTAATAAAATTTAATTTTAATAAAATTATTAATCATGTTTAACTAATTTTGAAAATCATATTTAAGAATGTAATTAATTTTATAATAAAATTAAAAATAATAAATAAAATCAATGGGAAAGTGATTGTGGCCACAAATAGTGTTCAAGTGGCATCTTTTGTGCACGCAACACTCTCGATCGTGTTAAGCACATAACTATGCACCATACTTAAAGCAGATTTCGTGTGTTCACAACAATGGTTACAATGTGGCCAAGATGGTTAATTGATATGAGCCCTTTATTACAATTTTGAAATATATCACAACTTGTCATAGAAAGAAATTTACAAGTACTGGTACACGTAGAAGCCACCACCATATTCCTCTCAATAAAAAAAAGTCAAATAAATAAACATTTTATGAATTTTAATTTAATATAATTATAACTAGGAGTATGATTTTTAAAAAATTTATATTTTCACTTGTTAAACATAATGTGAAGGTAAAACATGATTTTGAACTGGTAAAATTAATTTCCAAAAACGAACATACATGAGGAATAGCGAAATTGCATTATATGCAATAAAATTATTTTAAAGCCCCTTTCATCAAATGCAGAGCTAGAAATTATTTAAAAAGGAGAGAAAAGTAAGAAGGGTGAGTCACATAAAGGGAACAATAGAAAATGCATGTATTGAAACTTTATGATTTGGCAGGCAATGTCCAAGAAAATATGGTGAAGAATCTAATGACCCACCTCATCTTAGGAACAGATGAACCTGTAACTGTAATGGACGTGATGTTTGTTCTAACTTTTTCTATAAAATGAAACAATGTCCTAATTTTTTCAGGTCATCAACCATTCCACGCCACAAGCTGCTGCTTGGTTGGAACCTGACATCGGACACGATGCCTGCGGGCGGAAGCTATTGGTAGAACCATTATAAGTGTATTTTAGGTGCGTTTAGGCATATCTTATTTCATTATATATATATAAATTTTAATAAACATTTTTTAAACCATGAGTATGTTATCAATTTAATAATAAAGTTTATTTTAATAATTTATACTAAAAATATTATTAAAATAAGATAAAAGTGGCTGAAAAGAGTCATACACTAATTTGTATAAACTCTTTCATACAAACTTATTGCATGTGTCTGCGCAAAAAAATTTAAGAGAAAAAAATAGTATTTTATTTTAAAAATTTACTCACCCATACAGTGAAGACATTATATAACAATGCAAAAATATTGACTATTTTTCTTCTTTGAAATAAAGAATTTTTCCGCAAATAAAGTACTTATAGAAAAATTACGTTCCATCTGAAAAAACAAGGAGTATATACATACACACTCTGCAAATGTCTATATTTTATCATTTGTTTTCAACGAAAATCACTTTATTTTTTATACCCCTAGTTGTTTCAAATCTACTAATTATAAAATGCACAAATTAATTGGTATAGGATTTTATAATTTAATTAATAATTTTAAACTACTTTGCAGGTTTACATAAATGTAATGTGATTTTTTCTTTTGGTCATCAAAGGTAATATGAATTGTGATACGGAAATTAATATATAAATCAATTATATATTTTGTACCAACCTGTAAATGAAAATACAGAGTTGATGGGCTGAGCCTCGATTAGTGAGGAACCTTAATTGACAAGAGACTAACTACATAATTGGGCTTTCTGAAAAGAGTATGTTTTTGTCATCTCGTACAACTCTATGAAGTTGGCTAAAAAAAAAATAACAACAGAAGTGCTAATGTAAGAAGTCAAGACGTGACTTGGGTCTTGGCAAAATAAATAAATAAATATGTGACTTGGGTCACGACCAAAGTTTAAATTCAATTACTTCATTAATTTATAAATGTTCATGTTTCAATTATATTTTAATATTTACATTATATATATATAGACCATAGCATTTTTCAGAAGAAACAATATTTTTTACTTTGAGAATATCCATAACATGGTAGAGTTAGTGGTTTCTGTGTATTTTTTCTGTATAGAAGACTCAATATGTACTTCTTTCACATATATTACTTGGATTTATTTTTTCATTCTTTCTCGAAGAAAAAATTCCAAGTCGATAAATAAACAAAAATGGATAAAAATACTAAAGGTCAAGAAATATATACATGAGGTTAATAAAAAACAAAGTAATAAAATTAGATCAAGATTGAAGAATTATTTGAAAATTTAGAAAAAACTTATTTTATAAATAAATAGACACAAACAATATTATATTAAAAATTATAATTTACATCATTCACGATACCTGCAAAAACACTAATATTGGTCGAGGTTATTATTTCATGCTCATAGTTAATACGTTTTAAGAGAAAAATAATGTATGCACTAACGAATAGCGATTAATATCAGTAGCTGATGATCATTAACTACAAAAATTTGATTAAGGCTGTTATTTAATGTTTATAGTTAATTTGTTTACTTCGTGCAAGCGGTAGTAGTCAGGGTTGCCTTGTTGAACGGTGACCATTTAGATTGATAAGGATATTTTAATGTTTGATGGGTATTCAATATAATAAAAACTTATCTTTTGATTAACCAGTATTGCATGAACACTCATTATCATTCTCCAAATACCAAGTGTTGCGAAATAAAAGAAGAGGAGGCAGCATTATTTCTTAAGGAAGAATATTATTTTGTAAGGACTCGGAAGGTTATAAGAGAAAAGATAACAGTGGATATGCTTCTAACAATTACGAGTCAGATTAAGTAAACTTACATCAATTTCGAATAGATTTCTTAGTTCCGATAAATAAAAAGCATTTGAAAATAATAGTCAGTTATTATTTTATATCATTGTAAACAAAATTTATCATTTTTAAGTCAAGTCATTCCCTGAACTCAATGACACCAAACATAGTGATAGTGATTGTGCCATTTCAAAATATGCTTTTATTTTTATCAATTACTAATGAAAATCTTGAACAATAAACCAACTCTGAAATATTAAAACTACAAAGTGAAATTGCCTGCATCAAATATTTCCAGAAGCATAAAACAATTTAAACCAGACTCGAGCACAAAAGGTTCCTGAAGCTGAAAATTACAATCAAGGACAAAACAGCAACTAGCAAAGCTTCTGGTATGTATTTACTTTACTCTAAGTGAAGTTAGTAATTAATGTCTTTGTATTTTAGTTGCATACCGCTGGAATTTCTCCCGTATTAACACGCACGTCATGTTCTCATTATCAATAATTAGATTCGTTTTTCCCCTAAACACAAATTATAAGAATATAACACAAAAAACAGCTTTACCAAAATCATGAAACGCGCCATAAAATGTTTCATTGCGAGCCATATCAGTACATGCATCAGTTTCAGCAGCCCAAAAAATATATAGAAGGTCAGAGATGATATGGCATAATAAAATCAATGAGAGAGAGAAAAAAAAAAAGAAGAGGAAGCTTAAGAAGCTTTATTAAGCAAAGATAGACCTACTTATACAAACAAACACCACAAATGGCGGATTGAACTTTCACACAATTGTTAAAGCCTGCAAATGCTGTTCGAACATCACTAACCTCGCAACAACTAATAATTACCCCCTCACCTCGTTTGTAAGGAGGTTAAAACAGATGGATTATCAAAGAATATTTTGCAGCACTGCTCCTTTCTTAGTCAGCTCTAGACTGGCCAGCACGAGATGACAGGATAATACCAACAATGAGACCATAAAGTGCAAGAGCTTCAGCAAAAATGAGAATGAGAATCATTCCAACAAAAAGTTTTGGCTGCTGTGCGTTGGCTCTGCAGAAGAGATAGATTCAATTGTTATTATTGAAAGAGGAAAATTCTCGTGTCAAATTCAACAACAAATACATGGTAGTAAAGGCAAATAGATATATGTTCCATGAAGGATCATATGCCATTAGAAGGTTGAAAAGGCTAGAGACATATTGAACTGTACTTTCTGAAAATCATATCACAACATATATGCCCATAATAAGTTGAATCGTTGATTGATTCACTAAAAACACATAATGTATAAATATACGTGTGAAATAGTCAATGAATAGAGTTGAATGTCACTATGCAATTCAACAAAAGCAAATTTCAGCAGCAGCTGTTTAAACATAAAAAATTAAAAATTCATATATCTATCAGAAACAAGGTAGAAGGGTTATACCTAACACCAGCATCGCCAACAATACCAATAGCCATGCCAGCAGAGAGCCCAGCCAAGCCACAGGCAAGACCAGAGGAGAGATGTGCATAACCATCAAAGAGGTAATAAGATTTGGCCTTCGGATTAATACCAGTACTGATAATAACAGCAATAATAAGGCCATAAATACCCAAAACACCAGCCATGACAACAGGAACAATAGATTTCATCACCAGCTCGGGTCTCATCACACCCATGGAAGCCACGCCAACGCCACTCTTCGCTGTGCCATACGCAGCTCCCATACCTATCGACAATTCAAACAATAAGGGAAAAGACGAATAGTGGAGAAGCTTGCACATTTTTGTTACGCTAAACAACCAAAAAGCTCGATCAATCACTTTCACGCAAATAAGAATGACTCTTTGTTCATGAAATAATTCTGTTTAATTTAATCACAGATCAGTATTCAGATTTTATATATATTAAACTAAACAATTTGCAATAACTAATGGAATACAACATCAATTGTTCGGAATTCGATCAAAGCACAGCTGAATCGAATCAAAATGCATAACCTTCACCTAAATATATTATATAAAAAGAAGATATAAACGGCTATGAGCATTCGAAGATCAACTTTGGTTAAAATTGAAATTAAAAAAAGGAACACATAAATAATGGAACAAAAAATACAGATCTAATTGAGTGATAACGAGGAGATCGTGGAAATGAATAGAGGGATTAGGGAGTCGATTACAGGAGAAGACGAGGGCAGCTGCTGCTCCAAGGAATCCGAAAAACGGTGCCGTTTCATCACCGCTGAACGCAGCCATGACCGTTGTTGGATCTGCAACGACGTCAAATAGATCTGAGAAATTCAAATTCTTGGGAGAGTTTTCGAGTGCTGATCTCTCTCTGTCTCGATGATTCTGTTCCCGATATGAGACGTGGGTTCTTCACGTCCATTCCCTTTATAATCTCACGTTCTCGTACCCGACTTGACTCTTCACTTGGGCGGGTTAAACGACCTGATATATCTCTTTCTTTCGGTCAGTGATACTTCGTTCAACAAAAAGGAAAACGGAGGCCCAAATCTAGGCCCACCCCAATATTTCTAATTTCCCTCAATACGATTTGCTCCCCTCCATACCAGGTCCAGGCCCAATGCTTATATTTTCCCTGTGTTATGTATTGGGCTCAGGCTCCCAAGAAAAAACTAATCAAAACACTTTTTATTAGGATTGTATACAATTCGACAATGCACAGCATGTGTCAGGATGGCCGAGTGGTCTAAGGCGCTAGACTCAAGTTCTGGTCCTCGTGAGAGGGCGTGGGTTCAAATCCCACTTCTGACATTTTGCATTTTTTTTTTTCATTTTCTTTCCCCAAAACGCTAAGACCTAACGGAATGATAGAGATATTATTTTGACGTGAAAGTGTTCATGAAACCCTACTCTTCTCTTGTCTGTGTTCAACTAGTATCTTCTATACAATTTTTATCTGTGTGCCGAACCTGAGACCAACAACCTTAACACGACCAAAAACCTTAACAAATGGACGAGGAAGAGTCTGGTAAAGGAGTGGCTGAGCAAACCCCAGAGCAAATGGTCGCCAGGGCCATAGCCCCTGTCAAGAAGGACTTCCTTCGCCCTCCTCCCGTTCGCGCCTCCTCTCCAAATGACGATGTTTCCATTCCCAACGATAACAAAACCTCTGTTCTGGCGAAGGAGAAGAAATCTAAGCGCCAGCTCAAACGCGAACGTCGTCAGGTGAAGTACTTTTTCATTTGGAACACGCGACATTTCAATTGTGGTGAACTTGTGATTTAGATAAGGTTGTTTTTTTAACTCTGCAGGAACAAAAGTCCGCACGAAACCTGTGTCCGGAAATTGCAAAGACAGGGGATGTTAATTCCTGTCCTTATAAAGACAAGTGTCGTTTCAGTCATGATTTAGAAGGCTTTAAGGCACAGGTACTGATTTGTTTTCATCCCGCACTGGTTTGTTTGTGTACTGATGAACGCTAATTACAAAGGCACTTAATAAACGCAGAAACCTGGTGATCTAGAGGGAGAATGTCCCTTCTTTAAATCTGGAGGCTCTTGTCCTTATGGATTAGCATGTAGATTTTCAAGTACGCACCATGATGGTGTGCCTTCTGCGAATCTGAATGGTCTGAAGAAAGGTTCCGAGGTGAATGGATTGAGCAAAGATGTTCAAAAGCTTTTGTGGAAAAATAAGATGAGATTCCTCAAGGCTGATACCCAACTCAAAAGTCTTTCCCTCTCGGTATGCTTCCTTTTTGTCGCTTCTTCATCTACGTTTTATTATGTTTTATTTCTCTTTTAATTCAGTAAATGCAGCCAAATATGAAGATTTTACTTATTGAAGGGGAATATATTATAGTCAATAAGGTTGTCTTTGTGGCAATTTTACTTATTATCTGGTTATAATTCGTTATGAAGCAAACTACACTAGTAATGCGTGTTTGAGGCACTTAAAGTTATGTCTTACTTATTCAGCAACTAAACTGGGTGGATCAACCTAGGTTCAATGCACACGTGTATCTTCATTTACTGGTTATAATTCGTTATGAAGCAAACTACACTAGTAATGCGTGTTTGAGGCACTTAAAGTTATGTCTTACTTATTCAGCAACTAAACTGGGTGGATCAACCTAGGTTCAATGCACACGTGTATCTTCATTTACATGTTTACACGTGTAAATTCATAATCGCCTTGCTGAAGTACTAGGTACTAAATGCCTTGTTTTTAGCCTTTTCCCTCCCCTTGTTTGCGCCTCCTCTTTGTTGCAGATGTAACTTTGTTTTAATTTTCAGTTTTTTATTCCATTTTGTTAATCACACTTGTTTTTTTGTAGGTGCCCCATAGATCAAAAAGGAATGACTTGGAAAGTAAAGATGGCGATGATTCTGGTTCAAATAAGTGTATTCAGTCTGATGACAGTGGCTCTTGTGTTGTTACCTCTGAATCAGGTCCCAAGTTAGAATGCCCTGCAGAAGCTATAAAAGATGATGACATAGATGGAAATTTTAAATCTGATGTACTTTGTCCCCAGAAGAGAAGAAAAACTACAGAAAATTGTGGTCCTCACGAGACAGAAAATGAAGGTCATACCTTCATCTTTGACTCTTGTAATTCTAGTTACGATTGATATAATGACTTCTGTAGTATTTCTTTGACTTCAACTTCCTTGCTCTTTGTCTTTGACTTCGATATAGTATGTGTAACTTGGCTTCTTACTGCTGAAACAGGTGTGAGTGTTACTGAGCAAATTGTTGACATAAAATCTGAACAGGAAGCTGGAACTGATGCTATAGCCCCAGAAAACGATCTAAGCCTGAAGTTGCATGCACGTGAAAAGAAGCTTATTGATTTCAGGGAGAAGTTGTATCTTGCGCCCTTGACTACTGTTGGAAATCTCCCTTTCCGGAGAGTTTGCAAAGTATTAGGAGCGGATGTAACTTGTGGTGAAATGGCAATGTGCACAAATCTTTTGCAGGTACCTATATGGATTTTCTACTGGTTGATTTGATTGCTTTATTTCATCCTTGGTATGGTGTATATTTTCTTTCTGGAGTTTGTTTCCTTTTGTAATGGTGATTGTGAAAGTTTTAGCAGTGCTTGATTCAATAAACTTTGGTATAACGTGATTTGAATTTCTTTTAACTCCAACCTAATTTGGTATCTTTGTCATTTCTTCCCAAAAGTTAATTTATCAAGTCGACTTATACTCCTATAAATTGACGATGTTGCATTGAAGGGTTGCCTTTGAATGCAGAGTCCTTAATTTAGGAAGCAATAATTCCATATGCTTTTCCAAAACTTAATTGTGGACTGATGATGTATATAACCAAGATCGGAACTTGATTATTTTTTTCTCCAATTCTCCTCCCTCTTTTATTCTGGGTAACTCTTAACATCGTCCTTTTTTGTTTACTTTTCTTAACATTCCAACCATCGCTTTTTTCTTGTACAGCAAAGCTGTATTTACATTCTATTTGTCATGTTTTACTTTTGTTTTAGGGTCAAGCCTCAGAATGGGCATTGCTGAGACGTCATTCTTCTGAAAATTTATTTGGTGTACAAATCTGTGGGGCATATCCTGATACTGTGGCACGAACAGTTGAACTAATAGAGCAGGAATGTACAATAGATTTTATTGATATAAATATGGGTTGCCCTATTGATATCGTTGTGAATAAGGGTGCTGGATCAGCTCTTCTAACAAAACCAATGCGGATGAAAAGTATTGTAGAAGTAGCTTCAGGCACAGCAGATAAACCAATAACTGTCAAGGTATTTTCCATGCTAAACACTATACAATTTGACACAGTGATTTGTGTCAAATTCCAGTAAGCATCTTAATAGCTTCCTCTGTTTTGTAGCTCTGAAGTCTTAATGCTGGACCAAGTCCTGTCACCTTTGCACAAAAAAACGAGTCTTGTCATGCTTTTTAAATAACTTAATAAGCTTTCTCAAGATGTGTACATCCCATTTTTCTATTGAGCCAGGTACGAACAGCATATTTTGAAGGGAAGAATCGCATTGATTCTCTGATAGAAGACATTGGCTCTTGGGGAGTCAGTGCCGTGACAATACACGGTAGATCACGTCAACAACGATATAGCAAGCTTGCTGACTGGGACTATGTATATCAATGTGCCAGGAAAGCCCCTAAAATGTTGCAAGTAGTGGGAAATGGTGATGTGTTTTCATTTGTAGACTGGAACAACCACAGAACTAAATGCCCTGAACTTGCTACATGCATGATTGCTCGTGGTGCACTGATTAAAGTAAGTATTGCCTTGTTTCAAATGGCCGTTCTCTCATTTATTGGAGTTTGTCATTGAGTATCATGTCTTATGCTAGTTGTCTTCATTGCCTGCATTATGGTTGCTTGACTTCGACAAACATTCTTTGCATGAATTGTGTCAACTAATGACTGTGTTGTGCAGCCTTGGATATTTACGGAGATCAAGGAACAGAGACATTGGGACATCAGTTCTGGCGAGCGTCTAAATATTCTCAAGGATTTTGTGAATTTTGGCCTTGAACATTGGGGTTCTGACACAAAAGGTAAGCTTTATTGATGAAGTAGCTGTAATATATTCATATTTGAATTATTTCCTGCTGTTGTTAAATGATTACAATAGCTATTGGTACCTAAAATTGAAAACGAAAACAGGTGGAGGTTTTTAATTGTTTTTTGCAAGGCATGATGCTCTCTATACAGATGAGGCCTGCTTTTGTTCATGTTATTTCCTTGCAAAGTAGGCAATGATTGCATCGGGGGAGGGGCCTTTTGGACTAGGAACATATAGTTTTGGGCAGTGCGATTTAAAATTGTTGACTTGCTCATGAGAATGTGTATATGTATATATAGGCTGTAATGGAGTTTTGATGGCAAGTATTATGTTTTTGTTCCCCAGTTTTAGGGTGCCTATTTTCTTTCTTGTTTAGTTACTATTGTGGACTTTATATTTTATATATTTTGCTACAGGAGTTGAGACAACCCGGCGTTTCTTGTTGGAATGGCTTAGCTACACTTGTAGGTATATACCTGTTGGTCTTTTGGATGTTGTTCCACAACGAATAAACTGGCGCCCACCATCTTACCATGGTCGTGATGAGCTTGAGACACTAATGGCCTCAGACTCTGCAGCTGATTGGGTATGCAATTCCCTTTTATTTCAAGCTGTTGGGGGTCTCTTTGTTAATTGCTTAAGGGAAAATGACTGCTTGGGGGTATTTTCTGATGTGTGCTGCCTCAAACAGCAGAAAATAGCTTTTATTAAACAGGATGTAGATGTAGATGCTAGAGAAATGCTTGTAGATTGAAAACACTTTGTAAATATTTATTTACACTTTATAGATTCGTTTTAATTACAATCTTTTATCTTCATTTAAACAAATAGGGATAATAGTTAACAATGTTTGGGTTGTACAAAAAGTTTATGTAAGTTAAGGACGAGAATGTTGCATTGGACTGTTGACATGTTAGACAAGATAGGATTAGGAATGAATGCACGTAGAGAAAGTTTGGGATAGCACCTAATGTATCGATAAGCCTGCCAAAATATGAAATCGTTTTCTGGAATAGACCGTGGCTATAAATTTAATGCAGTATATTGGCCCTCATGATCAGCTAAAGTTTTTTTTCCCTCTTAATTTACACTTTCCTTTTCATTCACAGATACGAATATCAGAGATGTTACTTGGCAAGGTTCCAGATGGCTTTACATTTGCACCAAAGCATAAATCAAATGCTTACGATAGAGCTGAAAATGGCTGATTTTGGAGTTAATTTAGTTTTCAATGCTGATTCTGATGAGAGCGTTTTCTTCTCAACTGCTGACTCATTGAAAGACATCTGTGGGTCTTTGATGTCTACCTTGTTTCTTACCGCCCGGTTAGTTAACTTTGAGCATTCTTTTCGCTTTGTTTCATTGGGGGAGTTGTTCATCATTGATTTTGGCTTTTTCAACCCGTATACAATAGCATTATTCTTCTTCTACTGAAACAAATCATTTAATGAAACATTGACAATTGAAATGTAAGCTTGAATTGTTTGAGTCATGCCAACTTGCATGCTCGGGTCCATTTGAATTGTCTATTTGCTGCAATACCAATACTCATTTATGTCGTGAGGATGGTGGTTAGGTTAGAGAATTCGGATTGGAACTGACCCATCTTTCAATACATAAGCTACCCGGTTCTTTTATTTATTGAAGCGACGTTGAAAATGAAGTGGTGTGTGAACGAATAAGGGAGTGTGGGGTTAAAGTGAATCGAACACGTATCACCGTCCATGAATAGCTGCTAGCTTGGTAGTCCTAGTTAGTAAGGGTGACTCGAATGAATTGTGTTTGATATTTGATATGCTGAAAAACGTTGTAAACATGCCTTCGTTCTAATGTAAAGCCTTTGTGGATACATTTTCTAGAGACAAACATCTAAACAAGATCAAAATGAGGCTTTCGTTAGTGTTTTCTTTTTCCTCTATTTTATTTACAGCAGTTTTTCAAATTGGGATAACTATCGCGTATTGATATCCGCAATTTTCTTAGGTAATTTTTTTATACTTAAAGAGTCATTATTTCATTACAATGAAGTTGTAACTTAATATGGCGTGTAAAGAAAGTTGTCGGAATGTGGCATTCCATCCATTATAATATATATTAATTGCACTTCAACGGTTGAACAGATGAAAGGTCAATGCGTTAGTTTATATTTGAAAGGTCAATGCGATTGCAACAAAACCAATCGATTATTTAATACGGCGTGGGTCATGATTGTTAAATGATTAAAAAATAATTATCACAAGTTCAAAACTATTAAAAAAGCAACTTTTAAAAATATATCAGCACATAATATAAAACGAAAAAAAAAAAAAAACCCTTGACAAATTTAAATTACAATTTTTAATGGACGAAAATTTAATTGTCCATTGCCACTAGTAGAACACCCGCAAGTAATGAAGTAAAATATAAATGAATTTCTGGTCTTAAATAGTGTTTGACCATTGAAGCTATTTTTTTTCAAAGTGATAAGTTAAAAAAATGGATGACACGCCACCTTAATACACTCTAGAGCTTGTCTTCGTATATAATTAGATACTAAAAAAAATAAAAAAAAGCCTGTATCGAAAAGAAATGAATTAAGCATTTTAATATCTGAAATTAATCCTTAAATTTTGAGTATTCATCAATACAATCTCTAAAATTACAAAATAGCATTTTAATTGCTAACTTACCTTGTAGCGTATCATGTTGCAAGAATAAGGCAAATATAAATGAATTTCTGATCTTAAGTAGTGTTTGACCTCACTATTTTTAAACATCTTTTTAAATTTAAAATTAGAAAAATACCATTTTAATCTCTTAACCTTACCAATCTATTAAAAAAAGGATTTAAATACCATGTTTCATAATTTTTAGAGGTAAAAAAACATTAGATAACTTGAAAAATGAAGTTGAAGATCAATACTTGTCCGTTGAATAACTCAAATTGTAAATTAGAACCAACAATAATTATTATGAAGCATCGGGCTTGGGAATCCAGATTTGTGAAATAGATTGGATGTATGGTGGGAGATTGATGTATCAGCCCAGTGCTGACTTTGACCTTATACCGTATATGTTATCTAAAAACAACGCTCAGAGACTAACAATCTTCAGCTCCGTCTGATTTCTAACCCCATTGAACCCATCGTCCAATAAATCACCAAACCTCTTCATTTTAAGTTGGGTGGGTTCAACGGGGTACTTCCCAGAGAAGCAAGCAAAACAGAAATTAGGAGAATCACTGCCCAACAACATCTTCAAACTATCCAACGGTAGAAAAGCAAGCGAATCAGAGCCAATAAAGTCTCTTATTTCCTCCACACCCATCCTATTAGAAATCAACTCTTGGGAGCTGGGCGTGTCAACCCCATAATAACACGAAGCAATTATTGGTGGACACGCAATCCTCATGTGAACCTCTTTCGCACCTGCTTCCCTTATCAACCTCACTATTTTCGACGACGTCGTTCCCCTCACAATCGAATCATCCACAACCACGACCCTCTTCCCTTCAAGCACACCACGAACCGGAGACAGCTTCAACTTCACTCCAAAGTCTCTTATCTTTTGCGACGGTTCAATAAAAGTCCTCCCCACATAGTGTGACCGAATCAACCCTTGTTGAAAAGGAACACCAGCTTTTGCAGCATAACCAAGCGCAGCCACAACCCCTGAATCTGGCACTGCTATAACAACGTCACACTCAACGGGACTCTCTGTCGCTAATATTTCCCCGAATTTCCTTCGAGACTCGTAAACGGACCTTCCGAAAACAATGGAATTCGGAAGCGCGAAATATATATGCTCGAATATGCATTGCTTTGGGTTTGGATGAGAGACTAAGCAAAGCGATTGAAGGCCGTTTTCATCAACCACTAAAACCTCTCCCGGGTACACTTCCCTCTCGTATGTCGCTTCGATCAAATCAAGGGCACATGTCTCCGACGCAAAAACGACAGCGCCGTTTCTTCTTCTTCCCATCACCAATGGTCGGAACCCGAAGGGATCTCTTACTGCCACCAGCTTATCCTCCGTGACGAACACCAAAGAATATGCCCCTTGAAGCTTCTCGCAGGCGTCGACGATTCTCAAGAGAAAGGGTCTGTGTTTGGACGTCGCAATAAGATGGAGCACTACCTCTGTGTCAGAAGTCGTGTTGAAGATGGACCCGTTGTCTTCGAGTTTGTCCCTTAAGGAGCGATAGTTTACCAAGTTCCCGTTGTGGGCCACTCCGACAGAGCCGAAGCGGTACCCTGCCACGAAGGGTTGAACGTTCTTGAGCATGGATTGGCCTGCGGTTGAGTACCGGACATGCCCTATGGCTAATGTTCCCTGTAATTGATCGAGTTTGGACTCGTTGAAGACTTCGGAAACGAGGCCAACGCCGGTTATGGATTGGAGGAGGTTATTGTGGACGGCGACGATTCCGGCACCTTCTTGGCCACGGTGTTGGAGGGCATGCAGGGCGAGGTAGCAGAGACGGGAAGCCTCTGGATCGCCGTATATGCCCACGACGCCGCACTCTTCGCGGAGCTTTTCGGGGAAGGTGTTGTTTGGGTTATTGGAATTGCATGAGAGGGGAAAAGGGGAATGGGTCTTGTGAGAAAGAGAGGTTTTGGGGAAGAGGGTGGGGTTTTGGAGGGTGAAAAATGAGGTGGTGTTGGCGTTGAAAGGGAGAGGGGAGGGTTTGGAGAGGGTGGAGAGGTTTGGCGCAGCCATGCCAAGAAAGAAAGAGAAAAAATGGCGAATGAGAAAGAGAAACAGAGTGTGACAGAGTAGAGGGGAAAACAGAGCAATATAACAGAGGAATTGCGAATACTTGCTTCCAGGCTTTTATGGCTGTTGGGTAGGACCAACTCTTTCTTCCGAAGATTCCCCGCCCTTATATTCATTATTTCATATTAACCTTTTCTTTTTCTTTTTGGATAATACGAGTCTACATCACATCACCGTTACCAAACCTTATGGATTTTTATTTTTAATTCTATAGATATTATTTAATTAAAATAAATATTTTAAATAAAAAATAAATTCATCTTATATAATTATCTTTATATTTAATTATATACACATTTCAATCAAATAAAATCAAGTATTAAATTTAATAAAATAATATACCGAATAATTTAAAAAGTTTATCAATTTAATAGTTAATTTTTTAATATCATCACAAAAATTATGTATATATTTTTGTTTTTATATATTTTAAGTAATCTTTTAAATGTTAAAAATATAGTGAGGTGATAAAATATTAATTAATATAAATTTATTTATTTTATACATTTTTTAATTTAATTATTAAATTGATAAATATTATTTTTAATAAAATATTTTTAAAAATGTTTTTTTCACTAAATTTGATACTCAAGATTAATTAATCTTGATCGGTATAAATTTTATTCTTTTCAACATTCCAATGATAAAAAGACTCATTTTTTTCAACGCGTAGAAGTCCGTTTTTGTATTCTTTCCTTTTCCTTTTTTCTTTCTTGATAAAATGCAACACGTAAAAGTACGGTGGTATTGAAACTACCCTACGATTAAATTTGATTGTAAAAAAGGGACTTACGATAATTTAAATTTAGAATTTTATCTTTGTTGTTAACGTTACAAATTTATTGTAGTCAATTAATTACTAGGATGCATTATAGCATAATGTTTACAATTATAACAATTTATTTTTTATGTTATTTTATATCATTACATACATATAAATTAATCTAATAATTAATTTTATCAAATACCTTTAGTTCTAGTCTATTAACTAGTTTACTAACATTCAAATTTTTAAAACATAAGATATTATTTCATTTTAATTATTTTCTACAACTACTCATTAGTAGGACATGTATCGAAATGTGTCATACACGTCTCAAATATTAGTGAAATTTTTAATTAGCTTTAAACTTTCAACTGACTTATCCCTTGATATTTTGCCTAACACATTGTAAATGAAACTGAGCGTTGACTCTGTATCCAAATTCCAAAGCTTGGTTTGAGGTTGAAAGCCACTCTCTTTTTGGCTTGGATTTTGATTCTTGAACACTACATCTTTGTTCTTATATTTCAGGTTGGCCATATTTTATTGGGTTCCGAATTTATTTGACAACTTTCCGCCTTTGGTTTCTTTTTTCGTCGACCTTACATAGAAAAAGTTAATTCATATTCCATAAAGTAAGATTGTAATTTGTTCATACCAAATCTGATTCTTAGATGTTCAATCCGTAAGCAAGTGCATGCACGACAAGTTTGTATGGGTGTAGAATCCGAACCTAGCAGCTGCTTCAAGTCTATCGCCAATTGATCGGTGGTTAAACCTGCAAAGATAACCACCAATACATGAATCGAACTACTTATGAAATTGATAAAGAATTCACATAATTCATTTTTTGGGTCAAGAAGGGTTAGCAATTCTAATCTAACCCCATGTTTTTTTTAATACTTACCAGGCATGTTAAGGAAAATAATAACCCCATTTTATGAGAATTTGGACTTCAAACTAGGATATCTTACTCTTTTATTTTGGGTCAAAAGGGTATCATACCTTTTTCTATGGTCTATTATCGTACTTTAGTTAAGGCGTGGAAAGGATAGAAGCTATAAAATAACAAAAGTTCTTGACAAATAAAACAAAATGACTAATAAAAGTTGCATCACTAGGAGGAATTTCGGCAGTTTAAATATATTTTTAGTTTTTATATTTTATTATTATTTTTAATAATTATTATATTGACTGTATATATATATATATTTGTAATTTATTTTCAAATAGAAAAGGAGAAATTTATTAATTTTACATTTATATTAAATGCAATGAAGCAGATATTATAATAATAATAAAATTTTACTCTAACAAAACCTTTTCCTACACGTGACCATAAATTGAATTCTAATTACTCTATACTCAAACTAATTAAGACTATTATAAAAATAAAATTTTTGTCTAAATATTTAATATAACTGCACACATCACAGTTAACTGATTTCTAAATGACATGTAGGTATATGTTTTTGACATTAAATAATAATCATAATATCAATAGAAGTTGGGTACAGCAGAGAGGATTAATCATTCACAATTATGATTTAAATCCTTACTGAGAGATGTCTATATTTAGTTTCCGATTGTGTATCGAGTAGAACTATATCATCCGACAATAAATTGAGAAATCACAATAACAACAAGAATTTGACTCTTTCTAATTTTACATTAAGTTTAAAAAATAGTTTAAGTTGAATTGAAAATAAAAAACAATTTATTTCTCCCCACATGTTTTGGAATGATTATTTTATTAGTTGGTTTTATTGAATTGAATGATTCAACGCTTAATTGATGAGTTGGCTAGCATTATTGTCGAATTATTTTGTTAATTAGCCAAGTAAATTGTTGTTATCTAAATCTAATTGAATATAAAAGAGTCAATGCTAACTAGTTATTGTATTTATTCTATTACGAAATTCACGACCATGTAACAAGTCTTTAAAATATAAATAATTTAGTCTTCAACTAAATAATAATAGTGCAGAAATTGAATATGACTTAAATTAGATGTTTTGGTGTAAGTGAATCTCGTGTTGGAGTGTGTGTGTAAGAATCTTTCGTGCTAATCAGAATCTATTGACTAAGAGGTTTTGGCGTTAAGTCAAAGGAGTAGCCGGTGGCCAAGAGAAATGGGTAGCAAACGTACGGATGATATATAGGATAGACTTCAGCTACACATAACCCCCACCCACCTTTCATTACTCATTTTCATGCTTTCAATGATTCATTGGCTGTTATTTTTTTCCATTTTCTTTAACAATAACAATATCAACTTTTACGTGGTGGGTTCCTCTTGGGTTCCTCCAAGAAGAGGAAAGTTTTAATATTAATATAGATGAGAGCGTTTATTAAAACTCTTCTTAATATGCAAAATTAATGGCTATCTTGAGTTGTGGTATTTATAAATTTGATATCTTTGATTACTCATGATTTTAATCAGCTTTATTTTCACCACATTACTCATGGTGCTAATAGGCTTCATCGTTGATCTCCTTGGGCCAGCGCAAATGCCATTTCCCTACTCACACGTTGATTAATTGTTTCAATAGAGCTCGTAATCTAAATTTTGTTCGTTGTGATTGCATCAATGATTCGCTTTAGAAGTGAAAAAAAATGGGCAATGAATGTCATCATGGCCTCATAATAGTACATCGTGATGAGCTTACTCTTCAAGACAGGGTTCTCCGTTGACCAAAGAAAAAAAAAACACGGGCTTATCCTAGACTATGCGTCTCTATCCAATTGTAATCAAGAACCTCGAGCGGTTATTGGTCATGAAAGAGATAGAAGTGGAAAGGGGGATATTTTAAATATATACCAAGATATTTATTAACTTGTAATTGTAAGTAAGATTCCCTGTGCATTCGTATACAATGTGGAAGTGAATACAAAAACAAATGTGAAAAGAAAAAATACAATGGAAAGGGAAAAAAAAGTAAAGAAATGGGGTTTCTATTCATGGTACAGGAGTAACACGACCAAACAGTATTATGCACACTCGTGTTTGAAAAAAAGAATCTCAATCCAAATTACATTAGATTATATAAGCACATTCACATGTACATGCATCTCGTTATATTACTCCGGCACAAGCAACTTGCTCTTGTATACTTCCTAGTTCTCACCCTAACTTAGTTTGTGTGGAAAATGAAATGTTTATTATTAGATTATATATTACATTTCTCCCTATTCATATTGGCAGGTCGCTCGAGCCTCCGTTTTATCCTTCTGCTTCATTTAGTTTAAGTATTAACCTCAAATACCTCAAGGTATTCTTACTATTCCTCACAAATTGTCTGTCGATTCAATCATTTTCACTGTGAAATATCAGTTTTGGCTTAGGATATAACAAGATTGATTGCCTTTATTATTATTATTGTCTCCTTTTCTTCTCACACTTTTTAGTTCGTGTTGGAAAATTAGGACACTTTATTTTGTTTCCACGTCTGATGACAATTGTGTTGTGCGCGTTTAGAAATTCGATTGGCTTGCATGCATCCAGTCATTGATGCTTGATTCTGTTTATCCTGCTTCTAATTTTTAGGCAAAAGCCAGGTCTCAGAAGAAACCTCATCACTGAGCCATCAATGGAGCAGAATATGTTACAGCACGAGTTAAATGCACTACTAAAACATCGTTCCTTTGTTTAACAAGCGTCTTACTTTACGTGTCATCTACGTCTCATTGACTTGCTTTAAACGTGGAAAAAATGAGTGCCGAAATTTTGCTATTTGTAATTGCTTTGATACCATTTTTTACACGTTTCGAAATCTCCGCTGCATTCTTAAATAGTGTTTTTCTTGCCAACAATTTGCTGAAAATTTTTTTTAAAGCACTACGAAAAAGGTATTCTATAAAAAATTTATTTGTGACAACTTATTATTATCGTTAAGCAAGATAATAGTATAATTTATACTGTTCAAAGGAAAGTATACTTTCTGACACATTCACGTTAATGCTCCCCTTTTCTGTGGTCATACATATCACATTGATATTGTTTGACGAAATATTGTAGCAGTGAGTAATATCAAATGTTCCGCTGTAGTGAGGGTGATAAGCACAATTTCTATCTCCTCCAACAGCTTTCTCAACATCCTTCCTCCCTTAAAAAAAACAATAAAGCATATTTGAAGTACATTGTTCCATCCTAAATGTCATTAACTAATTTTTAATTTGTGATTGACCAATATCTGAACAATATTAATCAAAGTAAGTATTATATTGACCATTTATTTTGTTAGCCTGATTTATCTGAACCATTGGATGAAATTGTAAAGTTTTTTATGGAGGGGGGATGGAGAGTTTTCTTGAAGTCTGACTTGGTGATGGCCGAATTTTTTATTATCCTATAGAGAATAGTCTATAAGACTATAACTTTGTCCACATACAACCAGGAAGAAATACTACCCTGGATCTATCCGAGCAACTTATATCCTTCATAGTTTGAGACTATCATTAGCTTAGCAGGTTTGATTGGATGAATGTAGGAAAACAAAATGAATAAAAAAAGAGCAAAGTCATTTTGAACCATGCCAGATTGCATGTTTCATAGTCCTGATCAAAACATACTAGTGAAAAGTGATAGTACAACCTACTAAATCAAACAAAATCCAGTTGAAAAGAAAGAAACATCATAAAATCACCACATTCACATGTACATGCATCTCGTTGGGTGTACTTTGTTCAAGACACCCAAATTCAAATAGCAAAACAGCAATTGTAAACATTATAAAATCAACTTACAGGAATCAAGGAAAAGAAACGTATACTGCAAGTCCTATTGTATACTAACATCCTGGGACATAACACAAGGAGAGTAAACCCAAAAATTGGTCGACATCACTTGGGGTTGACATGCCAAGGTCTTTGTGTTCAGATAATGTAGTCACTTGTGAACAAAGAACAACATCATTCCAGTTTCCAGAAAGCATTTTAATGAAGTGATTCCATGTACTGCACATAAGTAATCAATTTAATGATTGAATACGTGGTTAAAATTTTTTCATGATATCCAAAAGTAAACCATACTTGGGATACAAGAGCCAACTGCCTAGTAGATTTTTAATATATATGGATTTACATATATACATACCTAATAGAAATGCTTGAGACAAACTATACTTATATGAATCATCCCAGTATGATTTCTAAAGCAACACTTGAAATAGATTCATTAAAGCATACCTACCAACACTGAAAGATCGTCCATATGGAACCATCACAGTACTGAAGCAGGGGGAGGCAGCTATTCCACATAAATGATACCTTCATCAGGGTCTTCACCATCCCAATCATCGTCCTCTTCTTGCGCAGAAGAATTGAATTGCTCCTTGTTTTGACTCTTCTCATTCTTTATTTTATCTAATATTGCAATCACCTGAAAAATTGAAGTGGCGGATGAATAAAAGCTCACAGAAGTAGTGGAAAAAAGATTAAAAAAGGGGAAAATGTGTTTATAGTTACCCTGCTCCCTTTCTCAAAAGAATCATCCTCTATAAAGCGTATCTCAGGAGTTAAGCGCAACTTCATACGCTTCCCCAACTCACTGCGAACGTATTTAGCCTTTGACTTCAAGCCTGCAATGGCTACTTCCTTCCCTCTTTCATCTCCAAAAACGGATACATACACCTTAACCACCTACACAAGTTGAGGAGGGAAATGAGATGGTATTGTTAGAATAAAACGGAGCGTTTGATGAGGAAAGACCTGCAAATCACCGGAGACATGGACGTCGGTGATGGTGGTGAGGGAAGAGAGGTAGCGGTCAGCTCCTAAGGAAGCTTCTGGAAGGATAGCATACTGCAAGACTTTATCCGTGATGAGCATATCAGAAAGCTCCCTCCTTATTTGTTTGGCCACCATTTTCACTCTCCTCGGATTCGCCATGCACCTTATTCTGCAACCAACAACCTCCTTCCCTCTCCCTCTCCCTCTCAAAATTCCCATTGGAATTGAAGTCACTGTGAGTGTCGGCATCGTGCCATGCCGCCATGGATATGGACACCATGGTACCAGTGCCGGTAGAAGCATTGCTATCTCTTTCTCTTCTCTTCCCCTATTTCAGCTCAGATTCGCACGTCCCAGCAAATCCAAACTCACCGGACTCCAGATATTTTTTCGGACATAATCACTATCTTTCTTGGGCTATCTATCCGGCCCATCCAGAAAATTCATGTCAATGTTCTAGCTGAAGGCCCAATCGTTGGCCCATCAGAAGCATTACCCAATTAACACCTTGCCAATACTTCTTTTATTCTGATCCATGGTGTGAGTTTACTTAGGCCTTTCTATAGAGTCTATGAAACAACAATCCACTTTCCCACACAGAATGACCCAAATATTAGCCCAGGCCCTGACCCTGTCCCCACAAAAATGGACCGATCCAGTGAGGGAAAGGGATGAGCGAAAAAATTTATATACATTATTCAGTATTTTTGTGTATTGAATTTTTTTAAAATTCAAATTTAATGTAAATATATAAAATACTTCCATTTTTAAATAATTGAAGAAGAATATGATGAATAATCTTTATTGTTAAGAACACAAATTTTAACTATTTTATGTCTATACCCAGCGCGGAGTTGCAACTGCAATTTTATAGTCAAATTAATATGGTGAAATTTACAATCAGTTTAAGTAATTCTTATCCAAAACCATGTGATTCCACTGACGCAAATTCATGAGCAATGGTGAACTTTTTTTGGGGTCATGATGAGCAATAGTAAGCTTGATAGCACAGCATCGTAATAGGCCTATTATAATGGACTTTAACAGAGACAACCCTTTTTCTTTTTAACGGAAATCACTAGATCGACACTCCAAGATGATGCCTGACAATATTCAAGATAACATTCTAATTTTTTTTAATATTTTATATTATTATTTAATAATTTATTTTCAGTTTTAGCCTTTTATACTGTGGACACAAGCATTTTTCTATTATTTATTTTAGCAATAAACCAACTTAGATAAAGTTTAACTTCTGTATAATTGATAATGATCCTCTTGCAATAAGCATGTCGATGCCAGTGTCACGAATTATTTACATAATTGAACTAATTATTTGTTTCTATGTATAGATCTTTTATCGGCTTTTCTCACTTGAATGTTATAATTTTTACTCAAATATCAGTTTTCAATTTGAAAAACAAAAAAGGAACTGAAAATATTAAAACAGATAATTTGATTCACATTTTGCAAATAAATAGAAAAAAAAAGGGTGGAGAGAGGTTGTAAATGAGTTTGATGGATCTAAAATTATATATCGGATGAGAGAGCAAATGAGGTATTCCCTGGCATGCACTTATTGAGAGTGTCTTACGAAGTGGGATCATGTTTTCTCATAAACTGGACTTTTGACAAGATTTTTCTTCATATTGGGTCCTCATGCATGTCATTTCCCCCGTGCTTGCCCCTAAAAGGACCCAACTTTCCCGAAAAGGCTTCAAAAGAAACAAAAATCCCAAAAGAAACGAAGAAAACAGAAACATGCCATGTTCATTGATATTTCACTAAACTTGTTTTGTTTGGTAATTTTTGTCAACATTAAACATTTTTAATTTCATTATTAAATTTATTTTTTATTAAATATATTAAATTAAAATTTCTCCGATAATTTATAAATTAATTGATACGAGATTTATTTTTACATATATATTTTTGTTTCAATCAATTTATTGGTCCTTATGCTTTTATTAACTTCAATTTTTTGTAGTTTAAAACTTTTTAACTAGATAATTGTATTTATGAGAAGTACTTTTAATAGAGTCCACACGTTCGACAATATTCATTCAAACTCTATCAACTCTTGTTAAATTATTCAAACCAAGTTGGAAATATAGATAAACTATATAATAATCTATTTCTATTTTTCAAAAAGTACAAATTAAATCCTATTTGACAGACAACACAATCACATATGTTTTATACTTTATCTGAATTTTTAAACAATTTTTATAATTTAACAAAACTTTATGATTTATTGAGAGCAAACTTAATTAAAAGCTTAAGAACTCTGTTAAAATATTTTAAATTAAAAATATTTGTTTAAACATTCAATAAAATTATGATGATGTATAGATTAACTTAACTTATATTTTTAACAATATAAATACATGTCAAATATAAGATTATATAATATATGTTTAATTTATTAAAAAATTAATCATCAATTAAAATAATTGTACTTGATTTAATAAATAAATTTATTAAATTCATATCATATAAAGATTAAAATAAAATAAACAATTTAATATATATAGGACATTTTAAGTGAGAAGAGAAATATTAATAATGACCATTGATAAGAGAAAAAAAATAATGAAATAATAATTTTAAATCTAAACTCTTTATTTTGATCTAATAGCTATTATTAACGTCTTTCACCTCTTATAATAACAAAATCTTTTCACTTGAAATGTCTTATATATATAAAAGATAACATTAACTTGATTTTTTCACACATCCTTTTTTTTTTATATAATTATCCTTATTATTCTGTTAATATATATTTTTTATCACACTTCCATTGTATTTCACTTTTTTTTCCCGAACTGTGTTACTTAATAGAATGTATTCAAGGTGTGAAAAAGGAAAATTGTTATTTCATATCCTGAATGAGATGTAAAATAAGTGATGGGATGGGAGAGATAAAACGAGAAAAATAAAAGAGAGGGTAAATAACGTAGTAGAAAAGGAATAAAAATAAATAAATATATAAAAATATAAAATTTTGCGAAAAACATTATTTCCTTCCTTTTTAATTATCCATACAACTAGGGATCCCCTGTTCCCACTTAAGCACCTTCAATCCTGCACCATGTCCGATAAACATCCACACACTACAGCTGTTTTCCAATATTCAGTGTGGGTTTTATTACTGTCAAAGTGAATTATCATTTACATGTCAATACAACCCAAATCATAAAAGTAAAGCGTTGAGTTTTGTTCCAAATCAATAGCGATTTTAATATTACTGGATAGTTAAAAATTATGTGATTTTAATCATTGTATTATGTGTTTATTTTTTACCATTTGTAAAAATTAATAAATTTTAGCATCAAGATATGACCTTTGATGAGCACGATATTACCAAACCATGCATTAACACGCGCGCAACCATGCTACAACCCACAACCAAAGACACTGCAAATTAACTCGTTCATAATTAAATTTAAGAATTAAAGAATAATTTAAACAACTAAATTGCAAAGTTACCAAATTTGACTATGATCCAAATGCACATTATGAATCCATGCATGATCCCACGCTACTACGTATATAGTGCAATCGACGGTCTAACCGTGAGGTCGTACAACGGGGACAAGTCACGTGCGCGCATTTGACATGTTCTACCAGCGTGCTTGTGTGTGGGTCACGCTCACGTGCTCCTCATCCCCAACTCTAAAACAGTGGGTCCACTGCCACCACCCATGACCATGACCAGCCACACTAGATAACAAGGTCTTGTTAAAAAATATATAATTTTATTAAATACAAATTAATTATGATTAGTTATAAATGTCATTACGTGTATTTTAAAAATTTATATTTTATAAGGATGATTATATTATATTTGTTATAGAAGGTCTTAAATCTAAAAAATCATCTCTCGTGATATTATTAAGCATTAAAGTAAGACTTATTTTAAGAATATTTTCATTTATGTGAATCTTGAAACGAATCTAAAATCATGTGATTAACTGTCCGTTTATTTTTTGTCCACTAAAAAAAATTGAGATTGAGTTTCGATGCATTAGAATGTTAAACCAATTAAAGTCCAGAAATTCAAACTTTTAATTCACTTGGAACACGTGTCGATGATGCTACAGCAGCTATGGTTAGTCAGTTACGGTGTTGTTTGTTTTACTTGTCAAGGAAGGACAGTGCTAGAAGATTTTTAATGGATTATTAAAATAGATAAAATATTGTTTGGTGAAATATTAATTGTAATTTATGTGCTTCATAAAAATTAATTTTGGAAATTTTTTTCTAGTAACTTTATGCTCAAATATAGTCCTCCTCTAATCTTTTAATTGTTAAAATTAAATTATCAAGTTATTTTTCTTTTTACATAAAATTCTCACATTCTTATTCGAGATAAATTGAAAATTGTGGAAGTATTTGAGATACAAAATATTTAAAACTTCAAAGACACCTGCCATATTTTTCGTACTTCACGTTTCGTCATAATTAGATCACTTGACGATAGAAGACTTGATATTATGACGAGAATCGCCAATTTGGAATGCAATTAATTATGAGGCCCCTAATTAGATTGTTGAGGAAAATTGAAAGAATGTATGGTATAGCATGGGATGCTGCAAACGGTGGTAATCACCCCACGATACGTACCCTTCACCGTATCTCTCCCGAATGAGTTTTGGAGCCCAACTTGCTTTTCAGCCTAACGACATCCCACCCTCCATCCTCTCCCACACAATGTCGTTTTCATCTGTCCTCTGCCCTATGTTGAGCCTCAAGAAAGACAAAAAGACAATATGAAAATAACAATTGAGAACGATAACTTTACATTTCTTACACACACATATGCGCTACAGCGACACCAAGAGAAATTAAACGAACAAGGAACGTTCCACTTAATTTTCTCCCCAATTTATGAACTGTTCATAATTTTAAAAACACATACACTTATATTTAAAATTATTTTCTCTCATTAAAAATATCACGTTTATACATGTGTATGTGTACATGCATACATATTTAACTCATTTACTTCATAAATGAAGTTAATTTATTGAATAATTATTAAATCCCAAACTAATTTTAACTTGATTTAATTTATTTCAGAACCTATTTCTGTGAACACGTCCATCAAGTAATAGTGAGTTGACTTTTACAGAAAAAAGTTTGGTAATTTCAAATTATTTGTTAGTATTAAAATTCGATGTAATTTTATTAAATTGTATGTAATTCTTGTCTTTTATTTTTTTGAGTGAATTAAGTTTTTTTTATTCTTAAAATCAAGTAATTTAGACTTACCGTTGTTTTTTATACTTTAAAATTTTAAATAATTGTTTCCTGTCGAAAATTTTGAAGATTTAAAATGGATTTATGATGTAAAATAGTTTTAAATTTTCAGATTTTAAAAACTTTTAAAATGATAAGAAATGATTTTTTAAAAAATATTTGTATGAGTATTGTTCTTATAATTTAACAAGTTTCATCATTAATTTTAAAGTTTTAATAAATTTCAAGTATATTAAAAAAAGTGTGTTACTAAATATTATCACATATATTTACTAGCATTAAGAGCCTGATTCTTGATAAATAGGATGGTGTGGATCGTAAAATAATAGATCGAGTTGTATTCTTTCCAGGAAATAGGTGAGAACATGGGTGGGGCACTTTGGGACAAAATTTCCGAAATAGAAATTTTCAACCCAACATTAGATCACAAATATTTTTCGCAGTAGATCCAAGAAAAAAATAATGATATCCGAAAGTATACAAAATATAAGAAATGCAACATATGCTATATAGGAGCAACTGCAAATCCATTAGAACTTCTCATCTTTGGAAATTACACGAACATAGAGGAGGCAGAAAAGGATTGATTTTACGGGAAGAGCTTCCTTTGTATGTGTTTAATTATGGTGTGATTTTAAAAAATACAATACCAGATCCATTTAGATGGAAATTATGCGCAATATTGATTTTCAGTTTATGTCAAAACCTAAACTAGTTGCAGATTTACAATAATCAAAAAAATTATATATTATATTTCAAAAAAATATTTTCAGATTTTAAATACTTTACAATTAATTTTATTAATAACTTGTGTAAATATTTTACTCTCTCCTTCGTTTATATATAACAAATATAAAATCAATAAAAAGTAATATTTCAAAATTATATATTATATTTCATAAATATTCATAATAATAAAAAGTCAAATTGACACTCATATTAAATGAATATATTTATTCAGTTATATAAATAATGATTAAATATCTTATTAATATGATTCTCATAATAAATAAGTGTATAAAAAAAATTAAGCAGTCAATGTGTCTGAAATTATATTTTTATTTGTATATACTGAACTGAAAAAAATGATAATTGTTTGTTTTATTTTTTACTTAAAATTAAAATTTCATTTTACCGATATGTATCAATTTTTAATATTGAATTTTTTATGTAAACTATTAAAAAAACTATAATTTTAATTTTATAAAATAATAAAAGTATCTTTAGCATTATACCTAAGTTTATCTTAAATATATTGGTTAATTCTACTTTCTTTAACTCCGTTTTGTAAGATGAAGAAACAAACGGGCAATAAACCACTTTCATAATATTTAATTAACAATTTCTGTAAAAGAAAAACTATATATCTAGGGCAATACATATCAGATTTTTAGAAGGTAACTTTGACAAGAGCACTTATCATCACCCACATTGGAAAAAATACATATAGTTGGAGTCCCAATGAGCTAAAGCTCTATGAATCTCTGGCTTTTTTTTTTTTTTTGAAATTGGTTAATTGAATCTTACATGGGCCTAAACAAATAAAACCCTCGTATATATGTGCTTAATTATGTGTTTATGCGAGGATGCGCAATATATTGGAGAGAGTGATGTGAAAGGAAAAAAAAGCACAAAGGAGAAATCATGGGTGAATTTTTTTTCCCTGAATTAAAGAAAATAAAAATTGGATGTTGGAGAGCAGAAGATATTCTTTTGGGGCTAATGAAGTCGGTGAGGCAGTTGTAGAAGAATTGTGAGTGGCAAAATCTCTTTGTGGCTGAAACGAAAAGAAACAAAAGGAGGCATTATTAATAATGAAGAGAGGACCATCTAACCGGAGGCAGCCTTTGATTCTCGGCTGGTCCTTCTCTGCAAAAGCAAGGTCAGTTCCTTTCAAAGTTTGTTCTTATGCAACTTGCTTTGCCTTTAATTAATGCCAGTGATGATATCTGCACTGCTACTACTCCCCTCAGAGGTTCAAACCCCTCCTCTATTTCCTTTTCTCACTGAAAAACACGAGATACTGTATAGCAATATTTAGAAATTTACTTTTGTTTTGAAAGAAAACAGTGGATTTAGTAATTTTTTAATGGAAAATGTTTTCTAAAACAAAAACCGGACAATCAAATTGTCCCTTTAATTTTAGGATATATTTTCACTATATATATACAAAAAAAATGTAATATTACGTATAGTGTCAATGTTTTAATTAATATTAAAATAGTCAAATTGTCTTTGAATAGCATTATGGCATTGGTGTATGTATGAAACAGAAAAGATAGAGGGGGAATAACGATTCAGGCAACCCATAGCAACTCTCTATTGGAGGCTGTCTAAAGATAAGTAAATTGCCGCTTCACTTGTAGTTGGGACAAAGTTGTTAACATAAAAGAGAGAAAAAGTTGTATAAAAAAAATAGTTACGCATATAAGAGAAATAGACTAAAATATCTTCTGAAGGGAGATAACATTATGCAATTTCTTTTCCAATCACAGTGATAAAGATGCACTCAAGACATGGGCTGTTTTGCAATTCAATGGTGATGATGAGTCATGTCTTGGATTATATATATTTTTTAGTTCTGAAGGGAAATATCATTATACGCACATGTTTTATTCTCTTTTTGAATGAAAACGAAAAAAAAAATGGTTCTACTGTTAAAAATGGTTTAAGAATGCATATCCAATTTAAGTTTCATAAGAATATTCAATGTGTTTGATTACTTGTTTAAAGTGCCGTTACACTTCTCTGATGTTTGTTAGATCCTACTGTTTCATTAAAAATTTAAACACAATTAATTTATAAAGAACGACCAACAATCATAGCCAAAAATTAAAATGTAGAGCAACAAAATAACATGCCAAGATTCTCACGAATACTGTGTTAGGGTATATACGGATTCCGCATGTCTATTATTATTTACACAAACCTACTCTGACATATAAATAAATTTTAACACAATTGCCAGACATTTAATTTTTAATTATTTATATAAAGTTTTTATTAAATTTTTTAATATTAATCTTTACCTATTTTGAGAAACAAATTTTTACTCGATTGAACGATATCATGATTTAAAAATTAAAAAAAGCAATTATCTATATTAGTTTTCTAAATTATAAAAATTAACTGTTCCTAGCTTTATTAAAAGAATTATTTTAATTTTAAAATTTTAAAAATAATTCATTTTGTTAATTTTTCTTCGTTTCTTAGTATCATTTTTATTAATAAAAATAAATCTTTTATACGCTAATAATTTTAAAAATTACTCAATAAGAAAACTACTGTGATATTATTTTGCTTTTTACCGGCTTGGACCCATTCTAACTTAATATGGTATTCATACGATGTGGGCATTCCTTCCGGCCGAGCACAGATTATCCGTACACACTTAAGTACAGCACGTTCTCTGACAACCTATGCATGCTGTGGTCTCTCTTTTTTTTTTCATTTGTTTAAGCTTATGAGTTATATTTTATGTTGGGTATATAGTACCAATTAAGCAGAGAGTTTTTTTGGTTTTTGAACATTGGAGCGGCTAGCCCTGGAAAGTACACAGTTTTATACATGAACAAACTGTCCATGCACAAATCTTTAACTTGATCCGATCTATCGCATATAATTTGTCCGCAATTATATTACACTTAAGCACTTACAAAAATTAATATTGTATATATATATATTGCAAATGCAACTCTCAAAATATCTTTCAGAATCAAAGAGTAAAAAAGGTGAGAGTTGGCAAAGACTACGAACTTCTCAGCTTTCATTGAGAAAACTAACTTCTCTCGCAGGGTGTATAGTATAGAACCTCTGTGAGGAAAATCTCAACAAACCCTTTATACAATTCTTACCCCAAGAAATACATATGAGGGCAAAATGTTAGTCACAAAATGAACATAAAAACCCCAAATGGGGCTGTTGGAAACAAGATCAACCAAAGAAAAGAATGGGACCAAAAAAAAAAGAACTAGATAGCGAATTGATGAGAATCCAAACGACTAGGGTGAAGAGAGAAGTTAAAAAAAGAGAAGCAAAACTAAAGATGCTTCGTCTTGGCACCTTCCCTTCTTGACTCTAGCAGAAACATATTCGAACTAGTCCTTTGTTCATCTGAGCATGGATGTTAGAGAACGGAAAACAACTTCTTCACAAGGAATAGTGAGACCCATATCGTGATCGAAGCCAAATTCTTCTTCAGCTTGTCGAAGGAGGGATTGAAACTGGGGGTGGGTGAGGAACGAGATAGGAACAATGTATCTACTTCTGTTTTCTCCAACGTAAACAGGAAAATGGCCTTTGGGGACATCAAGAGGGAGACCATCATCGTCATAGCCGTTTTTCTTTCCTAAGCTTGAACACCTCTTGAGGATTTGTTTGAGGACTGTAGTTTGGGAAAGCTTGTTTGGTTTTCTAATGGCCATTTTGAGAGAGAAGGGAAGGGGTGTTGGGAAGGGATGAAAGGTGAGAGGTGTATTTATGAAGAGCGAAGAGTGAAAGGAGACAGAAGGAGAGGGAGTGTGGGGGCAAAGGGTAGGGCACGGGTGTTTTGGGGTATGTGTATTTGTTTAAGGACATGATGGGAGCCAAGCCCACTGCCTTCACTCTTTGTTGGTCCTCCCAATGCCAACCTCCACATGGACCCAATCTCTTATCACACTTTTATACTATGTTTGGATAAAAAAAATAAAATCAGAGAAAAAGAATGAATGAAAAAATAGAAGAAAAAATTTCTTTTTTTTGTTTTTATGTTTTTGTCAAACAAAAAATATATATCATTCTTTATTTTTTTCTTTTCATTTAAACATAGCATTAGTATGACAAAATGTGCTGAATTTGATTAAATTTTGTAATATATGAGTTTATTCTTAATAAAACTGAAAATGCTAGTCTAATATATTTATTTTAAGATTTTTTTAAAATCAAGTATGACCGCAAAATTTATTAAAGAACTTATTATATATATTTTTAAATAAGATAAAAAAAGTTATCTTGAATTAATACATAAATAAATAAATTTAAATTTTTATATAAGATAAAAAATATTCATGAAAAAATTAAATAATAATAATAATTTATAAAAAAAATATATGAATAAAGTATATTATAATTTAAAATATTTAAAAATGAGAACCAAAAGCAACTACTGTTTAACAACCGGTTCAAATTAATTTTGTAGTTTAGTTTTGATCCAATTTTCACTAAGTCATGATTGATTTGACCAGCTTAACCAGTTTTTACTCTCCTGAATTTTTTTGTTATTCATACCAATGACTTGCCGGTTCCAGTGTCAACCATTCTAACCTGTAACTCCACTCCAGTTTTTATAATGATGTTAAATCTTGAACTTTTCTTTCATAAACCGATGTAATTATTTTATTTTCTCATATAATTAGTGCACAATTAACATCTTAAGTTGCATATTTGTTTTTGTTGATTTCTATTTTTAATGTGTGATTTATACATATCCTTTTCCTTTTAAAATTAAATTAGAAAAAAACATTTCTATGATTGCTTTTTCTGTAATAGAACTTGAATTTTTTTTTTAATATACTAATAATATCTAATTGTTTCTGTGACTTAAATAGAACCCTTAACCCCACCAACCCTTGCCACTTTGGGTACATATGACGAAGTGGCTTATTTATTTATTTGTCAATAAGGTTACAGCATGAGCAGGGTGATAAATTTGATTCGTGTGCATCTATTCCTATGAACACTTAAAAATCAAGACTTGCCATTATTATATATTTTTAATAGTATTTTAATTTTTTCACACACTTTTTAATATATTTTTTTCTCTTTATTATCTCTCTATTCTCTTGTTTTCGCTTATTTAAATTTCATGCCCATCTATGCTACGTGAAATAAATATGATTTGTATAGAATCCTACTCTACTCACCCCAGCGCTAATCTCTATCCTACCTGAATTCACGGACCTACAAGTACTCGTTGGTACAAGCTGGTGATGGTTTGGCTTTTCTGATTGTTGGGTTTGTGATACTGTGAACTGATGAATGACACGTGAATTTAAGTTGAATCAGACCTTAGACTCAATGCAAACAAAATCCACTTTGCAGAAACCCATGTGTTGCTAATTACTCCTTCTTTCCATGTTTTGACCTCAGTATCATTACTTTATCTTCAGATATAACACCACTCTCCGCAAATTGTTGAAGCAATTAAACAATAGCCTCACATAATTGATCTTTTGCATTCCCATTCAATCGCATTCATAAGCCTACTGGCTGCCACCTTTTCCTTTTATTCTGCAAAATAATAATTTATGTCCCACTTTCATATTACTCATGTCTATATCATGTAGAACTCAACATATTCAAATTCATATCTACACTTTATCTGTATGGATATGGATATAAGGATAAACCTCATCTGTCAGAGAGTACAAGAGTAGCACGATAGCTCCAAACTGCGACAGAAGGTTTGAACTTTGAAGAGAAATTGAGGCGAGGGTGAAGGTTTTATTTATTTTTTTAAATAATTAAATAAATTATAATTTATAAGATTTATTAATCAGAATAAATTCATACAAACTTAATGTATCGTGTTTTGTTTATTTTCATAAACATGCATTAGTAAGTATTTTGTATATTAAATAAGTATTTTAAAATTTAAATAAATTATAAATTTTTATCATATTAATAATGAATATCTTATTATATTATATAATTGGACTTCTAAAGTTGAGAAAGGGATTATATATGAAAATAAAATATTTGAGTTAAGTCACATTATTTTTATTAATATAGTACGTTAAAATTTAAGTTTAAATTGATTAATATAAAAGTAATCTTAAAATTTTATTTGTTTAAATATATATATATATATATATATATATATATTTAATTTGATATAGTGTATCAATATTGAAAATTTAAATTAAATTCAAGTAATTAAATATTAAAGGAATAAACAAGTATAAATAAAAATTAAATTAAATATTTAATGCAAAAAATTATATGACTTAATGAGAATAAAAATAATTTATACAAATTCTCTTATTTAAAGTGTGGCCTTAGATTTGTGGTATAGGGAGGTTAATTATATAGTTTTTGATTTAAAATTAAATTATTTGTCCACTTTTTTTTTTCTTTAAATGTCATTTTCAAACATATCCGTCGAGGCACAGGGAGCTTGTATCAGTTTTCTACTATTTTAGCTAACGTGAAAGAAAATTGTGATGGATTAATCATAATTTATTTGAACAAAATTAAGATATAATACCATATACATTGTAAAATTGACATTTCATCTCGATAATCATTATCAATTTTAGTCGTTAAGTTAAAAATAGTGATTACTAGGATAAAGTAGTATTGATTTTAATTGAAGAAGATGGATAACAATAGTACTTACAGTATTACGTCTAGACTTTGTTGTATTAATTTTCCAATAAAATGCTTCAACACCTGCCAATTCCACGAATAATTGAATAAGTACGTGACTATTGTAGCTGTATGTTACTACTAGAGTTTATTGTATTATGATTATTTAAAGGTAAATTTGATTAAGAGCAAAACATGACAAGCAAGCTAAGCTGTCGAGTAAGTTTTGCATATATATGAACATGGACTTGGAGAGGTCATACTCAGCGTGGTTAGTTGCCTGGCTGGTTCTTTTATCGGAAGACATTCATATTAATTGTTCAGACGTAAAACAAAATAAGGGATAAGCTCAAAGTATAACAAATATGGCAATAAAGGCTATTTCTTGATTGTCAATTTCTCAACCTACATATCACTCTTCAGTGTTTGCTACTAGAAATGAGTGTCTCAAATCTGCATGTTTCCCCATGTGATCCTGCCTAAAACCACCAACACTAGATACAAAAATTTATAAGCCTTAACCTGCCCTCGTTTTACTATTTTTCCAAGTGATCTTCCAAAGCTAAGATAAATGCCTCAAATTCGGCAGTGTCCTGAATTTTTGTGATCTGTCCTCAAGTGTGTGTTTTTGTCAATGCCAAACACCGACAATGATTAGGAATAATTAGAACTAAGTAGTGCAAAATATCCAAGTTAAAATGATTTTCAATGCTCAGCCGCTAAATTCATGATTCGTTATCATGTGGGGGATATTTAGAACAAAGTGGCAAGTCTCCGTTATAAGTGGAAAAAGAGTTAAGTGAATGTTACCTTCCTTAACGTTATCGACTTCACGAAAATGTGTGCTATTTAAGAAGAGTAATTCAACTTAAGGGATATTCTTGAGTTGATGATGACTTACCCTTCAATTGGCACATGAAAGCCATGTTACTCTTGCCCCCATTATCATCTCGTCCAGACGACATACTATGGTGATTGAAGGGCCTTGTGATTTTGCTCCAATCACTTCCAAACGTCTAACTTTCAGCCATTTTTTACTCAAATCGATAAATAATGGTAAAAAAATGAAATAAAATATCATTAATTGTCATTATTAAAAATATTATTTATTAATTTGGGGTATTCAATTGTTATTTATGGATTTTGAAATATTTTCTTATTTTTAGAAACAACATTTTATTTTTAAAGATTTTATCTTGGTATTTTTTTATTAAAATTTAATTGCAAATAAAATGTTGATTTAAGTGATTTTTTTTATTTGAATATTAAATAAGTAATTTTTTTTACTTTATACTTTATGTGATCTTATTGTTATTAATTTTGTGAATTATTGCAATAGTTTCAAAATTATTATTATGTTAAAGATACAAAATTACAGTTTATTTATTTTTATTCACATATATTATTTAAAATTCATGTTTAGTTTTCTTTATTTAAGAGTTAAAGTTTATAGCAAGAGATTTTTGTTAATTTCACATAAAAGTAAAGGTTTTAAATTTTAGTTGAAGTAATTATTTACTTCATTTTGTCAAATAATTTATTCTTTCTTAAAGCAATTGGCAAGGATGATGTGGGCTTCCGGTGGGATACTCGTTACGTTGATTATATATGGAGCAAGACACATCACGCAAACATTGTAGAATATGAGTTTTATGTATAATAAAATAATACATTAAATATATTATATTATACTTATTTATAATTTACGTTTTCATAATATAAAATTTATATTAGAGTAAAAGATATGATAAATTTATATTATAAAGCTATCATATCTCAATAATTAAATAAATGTTAGAAATGGAATAGAATATTTCATAATTTTTATGTCATTTTTTATGCTTTTATTTGAATAAAAATAAAAAAGATAAAGAGATCAGAGCGTTGGTGTTGGCAGTATATTTATCTTGTTTTATTACTCAGAAAATAATAATGTAAAAAGTCGAAAACTCTGCTAAACTAATATTATTGTTTAAATTTTTAAGATGCTTCAGACATGTATGATTGGAAAAGACTGCATAGGAGATTATGGGTAGAGATTTTGCTTTAGGGACAATATTATTATTATTTTTTCTTTTCTGCAGAATATGAATTATTTTAATGAAGTACAGATACCGTAGAGATCGAACTCGTTTAATTTCCTAGGCAAGCATAGGTAAGGTATCAACAACACATAATATATGGTATAGACACTGAAATAATGTCCATGGGACACCAGGGCCCATCTTCAAGGATATGAGCAATGGAGACCATCTAAACACTGCCTTCAAGTCACCAAAAAATGAAACACTGGTTTGAGAATATGGAGCTGGGACTTGATGAGATTGTCTATTTATAAAGTCAGATATATGTACTTTTTTGTTTTTTAAAGTATATTGAATTTAATTTTGATATTTCTAAAAATATTATTATTATTTAGTTCTTATCTATCTCTAAGCCAGTTAGAAATGAGACCAACTTTGAAGTATTGCAAGGACTGATTTTAAGTACCTATCCAAAGGGTTGATCTACTAAAAAGAGAAAAATGCATCAAAGGTCATAAGGACACCCAATAATCACTGTCTTGATAATAATTAAGGCATTGAGATTTGATTATATGCACTGAAATGACGTCCAAAACACAAAATTATCCGTCTCAAAGCCAGTTTGAAATGGGGCCAACTTGGAAATATTACAAGAACTGATTTTAAGTACCAAATGGTTCGTTTATTTAAAAATGTAAAATCAAAGCATCGAAGGTCTCTCCCTTCTGATGTTAACAAGTACACTGTTGTCTGTAGTATGTACCTACTCAAGGAAATATTGATGTATCTCAATTAAAAAAAAAAAAAAAACTAGGGAATCCTCTCTAGTTTAAAAAAGAAACTTACTTTCAATTGTATTAATCTCATAATTAATATTTAACAATTATATTAGATTGATATTTTAAATGGTTAGGCTTTTTTTACAGTTCGAGTATGCATAATATTCAAACTCACATATTTTATGTACTGTGTTGAGAATAATTACTCCAATATAGTGTCACTTGTAGACTCATAAATTTGTTACTCAAAGACATATATAGAAATAATTTTATGTATCTTTCCATTTATAACTCCTTAAAAGGAAAAGCTTGACCAAACATAATTTGAAGAAAGGAGTTTCACTTCACACTTTTTTCTGTTTTAAATCCCAAAATTCAATAACTATGATCCAAAAAATTCAAACTTAATTAGTAATTTAACTTTATAAAATTATAGAATTAACGAATCACTCTAATTTTAAAATTAAAATAACTTTGAAGTTTAAAAAAGGTCATTTTAAATATTACTTTAATAAGTAGATCTAAATCAAGATAAGAAATTAGTTCATAGCCTCCCAACGGGTCACACAATCTATTGTTACCCTTTTTAATTTTTTAAAAATTATCTTAGAAAAAAAATTTAAATGTTCAAAATAAGTAAATTAAAACAGATTTAAAATTATTTAGTTTCGGAAAAAATATATTTGGGAAGATGGCACGGGAATGAGCACGCGGGCTAACATCTAGTTTCTTTTGGTGGACGCTAGACATACAGTTTCGAATGCGACACATTTGCTGTCTAAATCATTTCTTTTTTTACCCATTTTTTACTGTCTAGTTGGGCCATCATGCAATTTACCCATTTCCATCTTGTTGGGCTCATACTTAGTGTGTAAATAGCTTATTTAAGCTTCCTGGGCTACTTAACAAAAAAGACAGTTTGTGGGCCTGCGATAAACTGTATTTATAGGTTGGGATAGAGAGTTTACTGTTTTCACCTTTACGTTTTCTTTCACGATGTGTTTTCATGCATGTGTAAAATAGTTTATTTTATATGACGAAAAGTTTAGTTTACAACTTTTCCCTTTAGAGATTCTCTCATTTGTTTGTTATTTGTTTTGACTTTATTATTTTATGATTAAGCTAAATATCCAACTCATGGTATGTTGAAATTAGTGCTTGAAACCCGAAAAATGACATTTGAGGTTGTAACTGTAATTTGAAATTTATTCCAGTAAGTTTAATATTTTCAGAGAAAATTTGATTAAATACAGTTTGACTAAAAACAATTTTAGATACTCTAATATAAGCAAATATTATTTAATGTCTTAAGAGGCAGTCCTATAATCCCATTTTAGTTTTGTCGATGTTTGGAAATATCTTTTTTTTCCCAGACCTATTTGTTTCTTTAAATTTCTCAAAAAATTAATAAAAAAATGATTATTTTACTAAGATAAAATAGATGAAAGATTTTATTTGATACAACAAGGGAAGAGTTTTTTTTTTTTTTTTTGGGGGGGGGGGGGGTGGTGGTTTAGGGAGGTTTTGGCGGGTTTGACTATTAAAGAAGACAGGTTGAGTTGAGTTCTAGTTTACGGTTACCACCAAGGAAAAATATGCCACATTGTTGTTCTTCTCAGTACTAAATATGTTCTAACGTCTAGACAAATGTATCACCTTTTTTTAATCCTTAGCAAAATGTCTCACATTCTTTTACCCCAGACTAATGGATCATTCATTTCCTGTTGTGACTGTGATGATGGGCGTCATTATAATTTGGAGTAGACCCATGAGCAAGCTTCAAAAGGCAGCATCACATGAAATGGTTTCCAACTGATTCAACTAGCTAGTCACCTGAACCCAACTGCATCCAACATCTTTTCTTAACCCTCTTGCTTTGATCAATACCCTTAACTGTCCAATCTCATCCCACATACCAAATCGGGCATACAAATTTGATAGCATAATGCATATCCCAGCATTTTGAGGATCCAACTCAAGACCTCTCTGAGCTGCCAATTTGCCCAGCTCTATATTCCCACGATCCACACAAGCACTGAGTAGAGCTCCCCACATTGACACCACACAATTTCCCGTTCCCGTATAAAGCGTCTCATTTAGTAATTCCCATGCCTTCTGCAATTCACCAGCCCTACAAAGCAAATCAACTAGGCAACTGTAATGCTCTGGACCAGGATCTAACTTGAAATCATTAGTCATTGATTCAAAATACTTGACACCGGCGTGTACTTCTCCTGTGCGAGCACAAGCTGAGATCACTGTCAGGAACGCTATACCATCTGGTCTGATTCCTTCCACCAACATATCATTGTACAAATCAATAACTTCCTTGTAATGTCCATTCCTACCATAAACACCAAGCATGGAAGTCCACAACACAACGTCTCTGCTTCTTTCTTTTCTGTTCTCCATTCCAACCAACTTGAAGACTTGCCAAGCCTTCTTTACCAAGCCACACTTGCCATACATCTCAATCAATGCGCTCTGAAGAAACACATCACTCTCTACATCAGGTGTCGTACGGAGCAAGTAACCATGCAGTTGCCTACCCAATTCAACCGCAGATAATCCAGTGCATGCCCGTAAAGCTGCTGATAGTGTGAACTGATCATACTTTAGTTTCAACTCGGGCATCTTCCTAACAAGTTCAAGTTCCTCAATCCATAACCCTGCCTCGCCATAACCCGACAAAAGTGCATTGGCACAGACAGAGTTCTTCTCAGGAATTTCATCAAACACAACGGCTGCATCTTTTACATTGGACAATTTGGAATACAAATCAATGAGAGCACTGCCCACAAACACACTAGAAGACCAACCTGATTTTCCTACAAGGGCATGTATCTGTTTCCCAAAATGAACGTGTTTGACTTTAGAGGAAGCCGTCAAAGTGCTACACAAAGCGTAGGTATCCAAGGGAACACCGTTGGTGTGCATAAAGGAGAAGGCCGTGAGAGCGAGAAAGGGGAAACCTTTGTGACAGAAATCAGATATTAGGACGTTGAAGTGTAATGGGTTGGTGGCGTTGATGCATTGGAAGAAATTGTTGAGTGATTGAAGGTTGTTGTTATTCTTAGGAAGGCATGCATGATATGTAGCAATGAGTTGGGTGTGGAAATCATGGGAGGCAAAGAGTAAGCCTGTTGTGAGAAGATGAGCATGAAGTTTCTTAATGCCTGAGAGATTGCTAGTTACACGACATTGCTGCAAAAACTGAATTAAGTTGGACATGTAAAAAAACAAGGAATTAATGAAGCAAAAACGTGCATGTTAATGTTAACATGCGACTACTCTATAATTGAGATTCCTTGTCAAAGTGTGCGGCATAGTGCATCCGATCAAAAGGAGATCCGAAGTCCCTCAAAATCATGGCTGCTTGTGAGTATATTAAGGCAAAATGTCAACAAATAGACATAAATGCTACTCTTTTCTTCCTTACAAAGAATAAATCCTTAATTTATGAATTAATAAAAAGTAATTATATAAGTATATAATATTAAATAAACGAATGTGTTGATTTTTTTAATTTAAAAATTTTAAATTAAAATATATCCACTTATATGTCTTGTAAGACTAAAAATAATATTTTATTATTTTATCAACATAAATTTTATAATAAATAATAATATTTTTTATAATAAATATATTTAAAAATAAATATTTATTTTATATTTTTAAATGTTGATAATAATTTTTTTTGTATTTATAATATTGTTTTTGAAAATAAAAAGTTATATATAGTACTAGCATGTTTACACTTTAAATAAATAAATAATTTCTACACAATAAAATTAGTGATTTATTTAAAAAATAAGTAAATGTTTTTTAATCTCTAAAATATTAAAAAAAATTACAACCGATAGAAAATTATAAATTAAAAAGGCTTTTTGCCCCCACTTATTTACAATTCCCAAACTTAGCAAAAAGATATAGCATTAGCATGCCTTGTTTTATAGAAAATTAGGGATTTCAACAATTGATTTAAATTGGTTTGATCCTCAATCGCATTTTCTAAGATCAGCATTTCATTTTGCTTGTCTTCTAAATTGTTAGGGCAAAAAAAATAAAATAAAATTATAGGGTAATATAACAAGATGGAATCAAATATGAGCTATTATTATTTAATCGGGGACCAGAAAACGGACAATTTAATTCGTTCTAAGACACGGGTAGAGATAAAAATTTGCAAGGCTGTCCTAGGGCCACAATCCCTATTGAATGCCCTACTAAAAGGTGTGCATACGTACCCAGATATAATTATTGATGTATCCTGTTTAATAAATCAAAGTTGAAACTGAATGGATACGATGGATAGAATGTTCAAATTTCTTGATCCTTTACTGCGTCAATGGTGTTTTGCTTCCATGATTTAAATTCATCTTAAGCGTTCTTTTCCTTTATACATCTGCCTTTGACATGTTCAATAGCCTTTGATCTTCCATATTTTGTGAGATTGGTTGAAATAAAATTTCCCCCAATAATCTTAGCTTATTTGACCCAATCAGACCAATTCCAAGCTTTATATACGCTTTAACCTCCTAAAGGCTATATAAGTTACTTTCAATTCCGGATTAGTACGTAAATAATCCTCTGCAGTGAGGCTTATTAGACGGTAAAAACCAAAAGAGAGGGAAAAAAAATGAACAATGTCGATAATCATGTTGTCAATCTTTGTTTTTTTTTTTTAAGTGGCGTTTTTGCCAATGATACATATGCAAAATAATTGGAAAAAAAAAAAAAAAAACCAATTTCATAGTGAACCTTTCAGCATGGGTCAACTTTTCTCAACCCCATGTTGAAAGGCAAAAAACCATAAAACTAAACAACTGTCTCTTCATATGTACTTGGGTTGCATGTCATAGCCTATATAAGCCAGAGGTGATGTTAATGAAGATGTCTTCTGTGCAGGGAATTGTTAGGCCACCCATTGGATGAGAGAAGCCAAATTCTTCCTCCGCTATACTTAGCAGTTCTTGAAATGAAGGCTCATTCAACAATGACACTGGTATCACATATCTCTTCTTTTCACCCTCTCCTACATACACAACAAAGTGTCCTTTTGGCACATCAAGTGATGTTGCAGCTCCTTGATTTGCAAACGGATTCGATCGGCGAAGAATGTGTTTAGCACTCAAAACACTAGGCAAACGAATAGCCATTCCACTAAGTATTGGTTTTGACTTGGAAGAGGTTCTTGTCTTCACAATTGAGTTGAGTGAAGAAAGTTTAGACTATGCTTTGTATTTATAGATGAAAACGTTTGGAATATCAGTGGTGAAATTAGGCATGGTTTATTAGTGTGGGACATATGCATTCAAAATATCACGCGGTGTGTACTCAAACTTATAGGCAAAAAACGTGTTGATGACCTTCGCTGATTATTTATTGCAGATGCTGACCATTAATTCTAAGGGAACGCCAATAGGTGGCTTACAGAATTAATTTAGCAAACTTAGATAGCAAAGTTTATGGTCAGTTTTGACGGACTCGAGAAGGAGGATAGCATTCACTATTCAAGTTTTGTTTTGGTCGGTGAGAGTGCATGTTCAACTTTTCAACGCGTGTCTACAGTTCGTTGACACGATGATATAAATGCTAGTTTCTACCACTCCTCTGTACGGTGGAAATCTAATTGGTTAGATTAGATCCACACATTTCTCCTCAAATATCATCTGATTATTAGCTGTGCAATAACATCTGCTGATGATCTGTTCTAATGTGATCATAATCCAAGTTCACGAATTGGAAGGTAAACGCCATTGATCTATATTCATAATGCCAATCTATTATTTCTTCACAAGATGATATAAATGGTCAAAAGCCTAAATTTGATTGAGAAACAGCGTTCATATATAAATTTTATATAAAAATTACACAACAAAGAGAGATAAAAAAAGAGAGAATATATGATAAAATGGTTGATGTGATGAAAAAGAAATATTTTTTAAAACTTGTTTTATGATCAATAATGTATCTTAATATTAGAATTTCAGTTGGGTATAGTATCAACCACTCTTTTGTACGATGGAAATCTAATTGGTTAAACCCACATTTCCGCTCAAATACCTACAAATTCTATGCCGTGCAAAATATGTACTGGTTGTACTGATCTTATCAGAATGCAAGTCCACCGGTTGGAATTCAACGATCAATTATTTCTTAGCCGACATCAAAATCCAACAAAATTCAAATTATATTTGCACTGCTTTTAGTTTTGGATTTACTGGAGAAATTTGACTGATTTATAGATACATAATTAATTTTAGCAGTGTTTGTTGTTTTGTGTATTGATCACTTAATAAAAGCATCGACATAAAATATTATAAAAAGTAATTGTTTATTATTGAATTTGGATCACTTTATTTGACCATAATACAAATAATGAACTTCTGATGTGTGGAAACAAATATCCATTGAATATGGTCATGGATACTGAAGTTGGTCCTAGCACAAAAATGAATCTAGGTATAGGTCTCTTTCTTTTGCAAGTATATATGGATGTCCTAAAACTTACGTAAGTCTTACTCATTGCCATTGCTGACTCTATAGTCAATATAATATAATATAACAATCTTAGCCTGTCCAAGATGGCTTATACAGTCACTGTTTAGTGGTGACAACATGGGTTGGATGTGCCGGTCAATGTATGTATGTCTTAAATTTCAACCCATAAAACCTGTGTGCTGTGATAGGATGGGGAATGACAAGTTAACGAATAGGACAAAATTTCTTTTCTTTTTTTTTTAACTCAAAGTTTCTAACAGTCTCAATGTACGTAAACTTATTTACAAATCTCTATTCCAATCCATATTTTTACTTCTAATCTAATTTATTATTTTTACAAAATATATTCTAATTTAATTTTTTATTTTTCAGTTAATTCCACTATTTTATTATTTTAAGCATATATTTAATCCATTTCAAAACAAAGAAAAAAAAAAGTCAAACCGGCCGAATCTCATTTTTACTTTCCTTGGCTGGCAAAGGGTTTGGACTAGGCCAACTCACCTCTTACAAGAGAGGATGCTTCCCCTAATGCAACGTTATTGATTTGTGGTACTGTCTCGTGCCTAGTCATGCTGGGTTTCTTGCCCCTATTATATATTATTTCATGAAAAATTAAATTAAAAGATATTTTTCATGTTTTAATTCACTCCACAAGTTTAGTTTGCCACTCAAATCAATGAATTGCCCCTTTACATATACTAACATGAAAAAAGAGACAGCATGCCGCCAAGTGTTTTATAAAGATGAATCGTTGTGGAATTCAACAATTGATATTGGTTAGTTTGATCCTATCCATTGCATTTTCTGACAACAAGGAAGCATTGGCTTCAAGTTCATGAAGAAAGAAATAAAAGAAGGAATATGGAATACAATCATGATTGTAATCCACTTTTTTCTCAGCGGTATTCTTTGCCAATGATACATGTGCAATATAATCTGAAAAATCCAATTGCATGGAAAACCTTTCTGTTGGGTCAAATTTCTCAACCCCAAATTGAAAGGCAAAAACCAAAACACCAAACTTTGTTTTGAGATTAACTTTTGGGTTTTGGCAGCATGTCATAGTCTATGTAAGCCAGAGGTGATGTTAACGAAAATGTCTTCTGTGCATGGAATTGTAAGGCCACCCATTGGATGGCTGAAGCCAAATTCTTCCTCCGCTATACTTAATAGTTCTTGAAATGAAGGCTGATTCAACAATGACACTGGTATCACAAATCTCTTCTTCTCACTCTCGCCTACGTACACAGCAAAGTGCCCTTTAGGCACATCTAATGATGTTGAAGCTGCATGGTTTGCAAATAGATTAGATCGGCGAAGAATGTGTTTAGCACTCAAAACACTAGGCAAACGAATAGCCATCCCAGTAGTATTGGATAGAACTTGGAAGAGGTTCTTGTTTTTCACTATTGAGTTGGGTAAAGAAAGCTTAGGATAATGCTTTGTATTTATAGATGAAAGAGTTTGGAAGAATCAGTGGTGAAATTAGGCATGTTTGTTAGTGTGGGACAAGTGCATTCATAAGACCACGCGGTGTGTACTCAAACTTATTGGCGAAAACGTGCTGATGACCCTCACTTTCACTTTTTTTTTTTTATTGCAATGTTGACCACTTCTTAGAGTTAGAGAACACCTATAGATGGCTTACAAAATTAAGTTAACATGGGTGATATAAATGCAAGCTTCTACCACTCTTTTGTACGTTGAAATCTAATTGGTTATATTAGATCGACAGTTTCCCTTAAGTATCATCTGATTTTATTTGCCATGCAAAACATGTACTGATTTGTACTAATCTGATCATAATGCAAGTCCACTGATTGAACTGTAAACCCCATTGATCTAATCATAACGTGATTCTACTATTTCTTGATTAATTGATATATATGGGCCAGAGTGACCTAAATTGATTAGAGTTCCATTTGGGTATAATGTCAACCACTCTTTTGTACGACAGAAATCTAATTGGTTAGATCCACATTTCCTCTCAAATACCATCTGATTATTTGCCGTGCAGAACATATACGTACTCATTGTACTTATCTAATCAGGATGCACGTTCACTGATTGGATTTCCATGATCAATTATCTCCTTGTCACAATCAACCTAGCTAGATTCAAATTAAATTCTGACAGCTTTTAGTCTTGGATTTATTAGAGACAATTGACTGAGTTTTAGAGCTTCACTTGAAAATGAATCCCACTCTTCCAGTATATATATATTCTGATTAAACTCTAGGATACTACTTGGTCAGATCACGTATGTCCTAAAAATACTAGGCCATGTATTGAGGAACTTGGTGGTAGTACGGTAAACCCATTCACTGTTCTGTCCATTAGTGACGAATATACTTTGAATATGCTCCTAGCTGTTTGAGTTTAATGGAATTCAAGAAAGAAAAGATTATTAACGAGAATGAGCACTAACAACACAAAATTAACGGGAAAAGTGTTTCTAGTTATGTTAGGGAGGGTCTATATATAATTATATATAGATGAAAGAATAATAAATTGCACTAACCACTCTAACTGAGATGATCAGAGAAATGAGACTACAAACCGTACACAATACACATGTAATACCTCATAGTGTTGCTGAGAAGCTGCAGTCAGTTCTGGCACTCAGCTTCTCCAGAGGCTTCAGGTTGGCAGTCAAGAGTGTTTGGCAAAGAAGGATTGATTCTTGCCTGAGTTTAGCCTTATAATTCTTTGTAAGGGGATTTAAGCATCCCTTTTTTACCCAAATTCTTCATTAGTAAAGTATTTTCAAAAGTAATATTAGCTTCGTATTCATCAAGAATTCTTTGCTTGGGGCCACTTTTCCCAACCCCCTAACAAACGAATAAAACTAAAATTTCATCTTTAGATTTAATTTGGCCATAGGTGAGATTAAAGAAAATATCTTCTTTGAAGATCATAGTGAGGCCAATACTTAGCAGTTCTTGAAATGAGACACTGGTTCTACGTACATATCCTCCAGGAGCATACAGTGATGTCGCAGCTATCTGCTTGATTTACCAACAAATAAGATCGGCAAAAAATGTGTTTTGCATTTAAGACACTAGGCAAACAAGTAGCCATCACAATTTCTGTGTATTAATGGCAGAAATAAAAGCATGAGAAAAATGTGATTGGTGATGAGAAGGAAATTGGGCAGGTAATTGTGAGAGACAAAGGATTACACGGTCTATATATACTCCAAGTTACTGGCAGAAAGGTGTTGATTGCTTGAGTTGTGCATTAGTTGTAACTAAAGGATATTGGATGGCCAATTATGTGAAAACAAGAAATAGGTGTGTGTGGCCAATAAGAATGAGAGTGAGAAAAGGGAAACCTCTGTGACAGAAATAAGATATTATGACAATGAAGTGTTAGTGGGTTGGTGGAGTTGATGCATTTGAAGAAATTGTTGAGCGATTGTTGTTATTATTCTTATGAAGGCATGAATGAGTTGGTGTGGAAAACATAGGAAGCGAAGAGCATGAGCATAGTTTCTTAATGGCTGAGAGATTGCTAGTTACACGACATTGATGCAAAAACTGAATTACGTTGGACATGTAAAGAAAAAGGAAATAATGAAGCAGAAAGTGATTGTTAATGTTAATATGCGAGTTCTGTAATTGAGAATTAAGATGCATAATGCTCAGTCATCATTTCTGAGCATACCCTCAATACTCTTTCGTGCATTTGTAATGTTCATGAAGGAAGAGAAAAATAAATGACGTACATATGTCCCACAATGCATCTAACTAGAGAGTACTTGTCTTAACACAGTACAATTAGTCAAGTCATACCACAACTTTTTCTGCTGCCCATTGTTTACAAGTCGATCCATGCAGAATACAAACAATCTTTATCTTTGAATTATTGTTTCTTGCTTCTTGTTTATTTGTTGCCATTATTGTTGCTGTCGCCATAAGCATTATTACTTCTACCATTGCATTTGCTATCATTGCTAATACTATAACCCATTGCCAAAAACCACCTTATTCTGTTAGTTCAGCTGGGGGTGCTCATAAAAGGATTTTATCTAGTATAAATTTATCAAATAAACTAAAAAAATTCAAAAACTAAAAAAAATCAAATTCTTTTATTAAATTGGATTGAATTTATTTTTTATAATATTAATTAAACAAAAAATATGAAGAGTACTCGTATTTGTTGCACATGAGTTCCCTATTTCCCCTTTAATGCACTGCGTTTCAAGCCTTTCAAATTTTCGATTACCAGAAGTTACAGGAAAAAAGTTACAAACTTTGTGGTTGCGAATTGGGGGGGGGGGGGGGTGTGAATCCTCAAGACAGCACAAAACATCTTGCACGTGGCAGCATATCCATGACGTCAGAAGATTGGTTCGTGGGATTATTAAGGTTGGACGTGTCATCTTACGCAAGGGGTTCAAAATAGTCATTAAACAATAAAAAGTTTCTATCAAAGTTAGTTTCAATTCCAGATTTGTACGTAGATAAGTATCAGCAATGAAAAAGGAGAGGGTCTTAAAAATAAAAATAAAATGAACTATAAACAATATGGAAAAACATGTTTTTTATCCATTTTTTTAAGTGACGTTCTTTGCCTATGATACATATGCAATATAATCTAAAAATCCAATTGCATAGTAAACCTTCCTGCATGGGTCAACCTTTTCTCAACCCCATGTTCACAGAGGCAAAAAGCATTGGACCAAAAACAAGAGGCAAAAAGCAAAAAACAAAAAACTGTCTTGGTATTTACTATGGCTGCATGTCATAGCCTATGTAAGCCAGAGGTGATGCTAACGAAAATGTCTTCTGTGCAGGGAATTGTAAGGCCACCCATTGGATGAGTGAAGCCAAATTCTTCCTCCGCTATATCTAGCAGTTCTTGAAATGAAGGTTCATTCAACAATGACACTGGTATTACATATCTCTTCTTTTCACCCTCTCCTACATACACAGCAAAGTGCCCTTTAGGCACATCCAATGATGTTGGAGCTGCATGATTTGCAAACAGATTAGTTCGGCGAAGAAGGTGCTTAGCACTCAAAACTCTAAGCAAACGAATAGCCATCAAAGTAGTATTGGTTGGAACTTGCAAGAGGTTTTTTATTAAGTTTTTCACAATTGAGTTGGGTGGGAAAGGTAAGATATGCTGTGTATTTATAGATGAAAGCGTGGGAGAGAATCACTAGTGGAATTAGACATGGTTTATTAGTGTGGGCCATTTGCATTCAAAAGATCACGCAATGTGTACTCAAACTTGTTGACAAAAACGTGTTGATGACCTTCTCTGCTTATTTATTACAGAGGCTGATAATTTCTTAGAGATCACCTATATGTGGAATTAAACATAGATGATATAAATGCAAGTTTCTACCACTTGTACGGTGGAAATGTAATTGGTTAGATTAGATCCACAATTCCCCTCAAATATCATCTGATTATTAGCTGTGCAATAACATATACTAATTTGTACTAGTCTAATCATAATACAACTCCACTGATTGATAGGTAAACCCCATTGATCTAATCATAATGCGAGACTACTATTTCTTGATAAGATGATCATATAAATGGGCCAGTGAGCAAAATTAATTAGAGTTCCATTTGGGTATAGTGTCAACCACTCTTTTGTACGATGGAAATCTAATTGGTTAGATCCACATTTTCTCTCAAAAACCATCTGGCTATTTGCCGTGCAAAACATGTACTGATTATACTGATCTAATCAGAGTGGAAGTCCACTGATCGAAATTCTATCTCCCTGATGAATTATTTCCTAGTCACATCAAAACCAAACTACATTCAAATTTAATTCAGACAGCTTTTAGGCTTGGATTTATTAGAGACAATTGACTATTTATAGGGCTTCACTTTAAACTTCCTGATCTCATCTCATTGTTTTCTTTTTTCTGACTAAACTATAGAATACTACTCGTCTTGGTCAGCTCACAGATGTCAACAATGTTCTAGATCATAGAGGAATTTGGCAATACCGTAAACCCTTTTGACTGTTTGTCCATTTGTGGCATATGTAATTTGAATGTGCTCCCTAGTTGTCTAAAATTTTGTAGTCGAACTTCAAAAAATGGTTATTAACGAGAAGGACCACTAACAATAAAAGGTTAACTGGAAAAACAAGGGTATAAATTAACTCAACAACTAAAAATGAAAAATACTGAACATTATGCTTTTGGAAAACTTGCATTGCATGGGACGGATTCATGCATACATATTCTTGAGATGTTCCAATTTCCAATTGGCTTTTATATGATCTGTTCAGCTGAAGTTGAGAACAAGCTTCTGAGATTGCACGGGTGTACATTGGGAACATATATCCTGATCATATTGGAACTGATCAATTGGGAGAAGAACGAAAAATATTGTTTTATCGTTTCAAAATATATTTCTTAGTCATCCTTTCTCTCAAACTTCCCTTAATACTCCATCGTGCAGTCGCAATATTCTACAAAAATAGAAAGATAAATTAATCAAATAAGCATGTCCTACCGTGCATCCAATCAGAGAGGCCTTAGTTGTACAACTAGTTCAGTCTTAACAAGTTCTGTTTACTAATCGATATATATTACAAACAATCTTGTACCGTGTGATATTTAATGTACTTCACATGCATACACTAACACACTCGTGCGTTCGTATATATATATATATATATATATATATATATGTACTGCAATTCTCTTTTTTATTTAATTTATATGATTTTAAATTTTTAAATATTTAAGCAGGTTTATTCACTAATTAAACAAAATGGGTTGAACCAAACCTATTTTTTTGGTGGATATATGACGGGGCAAAACGGGATCAGTTGAGCGATTTTGTCATTTCAATGTTCAAATTATATTTATGCATATTCAGACGCACTAAAAAAATGGATTAGGCTAATTTCCTTTTTTTTTTTTTAAATTCGAAATTCTCACCTCAATTTTCCCCCCTAAACTCGTATATATTTACTTCTCGTCTAATTCATTATATATTTTATTATTATTATTTTTCTATCCAAGCGAAAAAATCTTACAGGACAGGATGCTTCCCCAAATGCAACGTCTTACTCTGAATTTGTGCGGTGTGGGCATTGGCTGTGCCCTGTCATGCTCAGATTCTTCACTTCAACAATTAAATTAGAAGGTATTTTTCACGCTTTAACTCGATTCACTACATTAGTTTTCCACTCAATCGTTGAATTGTCCCTTTACAGTTCCTAAACTCGGAAAAAGATGTAGCATCTCGGTGTGTTTTTATAGAGATGGAAAGTTTTGATCCTCTCTATCTCTTTTTCTGACTAAATATCCCTTTGCATGTCTTCTTAGGACAGACCCCGGCTCGGATATTTATGTTCGGGCTTAAAAATTCAAATTAAATGGGCAATTCCAAGATGGGTTCAAATTTGACTATTACTTATTATAATTATTATATTTGGGAAACAGAAACGTGGCTATTTGATTCTTTCTAAGATGCAGTTAATGATAAAATTGGGTAGGCCTGTCCTAGGCGCTACAACCTCAATTAACTGCCCTACTGAAAGTTATGGAGTAAACTCCTAGTTCTTTGGGCTATCACAGTTTAATCCTTTAAATTTTTAAAACTTATGTTAATCTCTAACTTTGTAAAAAGTCGTTTATTTTAGTTATTTTTTACTGTCATTTTGTACAGAAAGGATTAAGTTAATCGCGTTTTGGCAAGTCAGGACTAATCATGTACTTTTAAAATTTCAAGGACCAAAATGTTTTATTGTTATAATTTCAAGGATTAATTTAAGAGTATATATATATATATATATAGTTATTGAAATATCCTGTGGAAGAAATCTGAGTCTAACGGTATGCTTGAGAGTTGAGTTTTGAAAAGGAAAGAAAGAGAGGAAAAAATTATCATTTTTAAAAAATAATTTCTTATTTGATGATTTTTAAAATAAAAGAAATAAAATAATAGATTAGCACAATATTTTGTTTACTTTAATAAACGTTGTATAACTCTCTTAATTTAAATATAAAATATTTACCCTCCCCTTTCTTTCTTTCAAAACTTAACTTCCAAACATACCCTAAAGGATTAAGTTGGATGGTTGCAATAAATAGAATGTCAAATTCCTTGATCAATACTATTGCCCCAGTGGTGTTTGTTTTTAGCCTGTTGGTGATTAACCCTTCTTGCATATTATGTAAGATTGGTTGGAATAATATATTCCCAGAGTAATCTTAGCTTTTTTATCCAATACAATGCTCCTTGAGGCTATCGTAGGTACTTCCAATTCCAAATAAGGATGTAGGTACCAGACAATTATTAGCAGTGAAACATGACAGCATACAACCAATGAATTATAATTTTTGTTTGCTGATATTTTTGATCAATTGATAACTATAATATTTTTTGGAGCAAAAGAATGGGGAAAAAAGGGAAGACTTACAAGCAGAAATTTATCACCATTCAGTAACCTTTTGCTTGGGGCCACTTTTCTTAAGCTCATGTTAAAAGGATAAAATTAAGGTTCAGCTTCAGATTTAATTTTGCTCCCTCATCATAGTCTATGTAAGCTATAGATGAGATTAATAAAAATATCTTCTCTGCAGGGAATTGTGAGGCCATCCATTGGATGATCGCAGCCAAATTCTATCTTGGTTATATCTGGCAGTTCTTGAAATGAGGGCTAATTAAGAAAGGACACTGATACTACATATCTCTCTGTTTTTGTTTTTATTAACCTATCCTGCATATGCTGCAAAATATCCTTTAGAGACATCAAGTGATGTTTGTAGTACTTAACACAATAGTCAAACAAATAGCCATCACAATAGTCTTGACTAGCACTGTGTATTTATGGTTAGAAATATAAGCATGGGCAAAATGTCATTGATGTGAAAGAAATTGGGCAGGTAATTGCGAGAGATATTAGTATTCAGAGGATCACACGGTCTTCACTCCATCAAGTTATAAGCAAGGAAGCTTTTAATTACTTGAATCGTGCATTAGCTGTAACTAAAGGGTATTGGCTAACCATTTATTTGAGAACTAGATATAGGTGTGACCAATAAGATAATTTGTGAGATGTATATGACAAAGCCTATGGTTGATTTTAGAGGCTTGGGGGAAAGGATAAGATTAGTGGCTTATCATGCATGCTAGTTGTTTTTAAATGGTTAGATTTGAATTGGTCATTCAAATAAGTGTACAGGAATGTTCCATTTGGCTCGACCATTGCGTACTTTCTACACTATTGTGCATAAAATTCCACTTGGATAGCAATTTGAAATACATGATTTGTTGCTATCTAACATTATTTGTTGCCAGACCTAAAAGTTTAGAAATGGAATAGTTCTCATAATTGGATAAGTATTTGTAAACTTGAACTCAATTATTTGCAGGGTTTACCATCTGTTTTGATAAGTTAATTCTGTGTCCATATTATATATGGCTCTAGTGGAAGGCTATTTTTGTGGAAATATGTCTGTACATAATGTGAAGTTACCATTCCTATTGCCTAGTCACACTCTTTGCTAGTAGCAAACGTTTTCTGTCATTTAAAATTTTAAATACAAGAGATTATGATGATTCTAGAAACATGGGTTGGCTGCTAGGATATTGAAATCAAGGGTTGAATGGTTACGTATTCTAAGATGAATTTTCTAAATCAACAGCAAGTGCTTTCTCTCAACTACTCTGACGACAAGTGCATGTGAAGTGCACAGGGAGTCCTTGTGATTTTAGTCTTCATGACAATCCAACTCTTTCATGTAAAATTAATTGTTGAGTCGTAAGCTGGGATCAATTATTAGTATATTTGTTGATTCATTTTGACTTTAATTATTTCAGAAAAGTATAGGGCGACAAATTTGAAGGTAAGATTTAGACCCTGGAAACAAAATTGTTGCCCCCTGAAATTTTTATATTAATATCTTCATGTTGATAGTTGAACATTCATCATGGTCCGAGTTTAACTTTCTCATTCCCATATATTATCGGATGAAAAATTCAGGTATCACATACCTATAGGAGGAAGAAAAAGAAAAGAAAAAGGACATTTATCATAGCCATTGATTAAATATAATCATTTCAATAAGTTGCAGGACAGTTAAATTCTTGTTTTGTCTTTTGAGTGATCTCAAAATATATCTGAAAGCTTTACTAACATACATCTACATAACTATTTATAGGATCTGTCCTATTGCATAACACATTCAAACATATCCTTTAGGTGTTCTAACTTCCAATTGGATTTTATAGGATTTGTCCTGTTTTATGCGAAGTTCTGAACAAGTTGATGAGATTACGTGGCTGTGCATGGGGAAAAGTGTTGTGGAGGAACTGCAGTCAGTTTTGGCACTTTAGTGGCTATCTGTTAGCAGTCTGATCATTTTGCCAAAGGGAGATTAATTCTAACCTGAGTTTAGCCTCAATAATCCTTTGAAAGTGTATTTGAAATACCACTACTACTTCAAATCTTCATTGGAACACTATTTTCAAAAGAGAGATATTGGCTTTATATTCATCTATTTCCTATTGAAAATAAATAAATAAAGAAAACAAGTTGACGTAACATGTGAGTGTACAACCAATTAATTCTAATTGTTGTTCACTTATGTTTTTGATCAATTGATAATTACAATATTTTTTTGGTGCAAAAGAATAAAAAGAAAGACAAGACTTGTGAGAGGAACTTAATCACTTTTTAGTAACCATTGGCACGGGCCAACTTTTCTCAACCCCATGTTAAAAGGAAAAAAAAAAAATCCAAAAATTTTATTCGGTTTTAGTTTAGCCCAGTTATAACAGTCTATGCAAGGCAGAGGTGAGATTAATGAAAATGTCTTCTCTGCAGAGAATTGTAAGGCTATGACTGGAGCCAAATTCTTCCTTGGCTATACTTAGTAGTTCTTGAAATGATGGCTGATTAAAAAATGACATTGGAATTACTTTTTTTTTTGTCTAACTTTTCTACATACACAGCAAAGCATTCTTTAGGAACATCCAGTAATTTTTAAGCTGCTTGATTCTCGAACAACTTAGATCAGTGAATATTTAGCACTTAAGACACTAGGCAAACAAATAGCCATCACAACAATATTGATTTACAATTTAGCACTTCGAAGATTTTTTGGTTCTCAATTAAGTTGGGTCAAAAAAGCGTATGATATGCAGGTTAGAAATAGAAGCATGAGAACAAAGTCTTTGATGTCAAGAAAATTGGGCAGGTAATTGTGAGAGACATAAGCATTTAAAGGATCACACGGTCTGCACTCCAAGTTATAGGCAGAAAGCTATTTTTTACTATGATCCTGCATTAGTTGTATAGTATATTCGCCGATTAAATATGTGAGAACTAGCAATAAATGGAAGAAATGAGAATTTATAAAATGCATACGGGATAGCCTCTGGTCGATTTCAGAGACATGGGGGCAAAGAATAAGATTCATGAATCATTATGTATAGTTACTATTTCTTAAATATTAAGATTAGGATACGTCATTCGATCAAGTGTCTGCTCTAGCGTACTTAGCAGTTTCATTTGAATAGTGTATCGAAATATATGCTTTATGTTATCTTATAATACTTAGTGGTAAACCTGATGCTGTTAGTCGATTGGTTTACCTTCTGTTTTGACTAGTTAATTCCGTGTCCATATTATATAGCTTTAGTGAAAGGCTATTTGTTCAGAAATACAAGTCTATAGACAACGTGAAGTGCAATTCCTCTTGTCTAGTCACACTCTTCGCTAGTAGTAAATGTTTTGTCATTTAAAAACAATGAGATTATCATGATTCCAGAAATGCTGGCTGGCTACTAGGACCTGGAAATTAAGGGTCTCCATTGGGTGCATATTCTAGGACAACTCTATTCAAAATCAATGGCATGAGCTTTCTCGCAACTACTTCAACGACTGGTCCATGTGAAGTGGATGGGGAGTCCTCGTGAATGTGTTCATCACAGCCCAACTCTTTCAAACGTCACAAGTAAAATTAATTTAGACATTATTGTAATGTGGGATCAATTATTAGTATTGCTTAATCATTTTGACTTCAATTTGTCCAGGTAAAGATGGAGGTTGTAGTTATTTATGTAAGATTAAACCCAGGTAACAAGTATTGTCACGCACTGAATTTTCATATTAATCTGTTTTACGTTGATAGTTGAACATTCATTGTTTTTGGGCCCGAGTTTCTGCTATGTATTAAGGCATTATATGCCTATACCTAAAACCGGAGGACATTCATCATGGTCGTAAACTTTCTGTACGTTGTAGGACAGCAAATTCTTGATTCGTCTTTGGCTGGTCACAGAATATGTCAAGAGTTACTACTCATCCCCATAAATACGAGATGCAGAGTGTCTCTCAGTACAGGGTTTGTGCTTGTGCATGTTTTTGAGTTCATTCAAATAGACAAAAACAACAGATAATTCTGACTACGTAGTTTCATTAGGTTCTCATACAGAGGACGTTTTTCCACTTCAGACGAAACCTGATAAAAAGAAGAAGAAAGAAACACCTACTGTGCCTGTACAAAGTTGTCTCAACTAGTCTATGTTAGGATCTTGACCAAAAGAAAAGTCTATGTCGGGATCTTTTGCAGTGATGAATTATAGCCGGTTCAAGCAAGAAGCTATATCCAAGAACACATCCTCCTTGCAGGGAATTGTGAGACCACCCATAGGATGATTGTAACCGAATTCCTCTTCAACTTGGTTAAGCAATTCTTGAAATAAAGGCTCGTTCAAGAATGATACTGGAATCAAGAACCTCTTCGTTTTCTCACCAACATACACTGCAAGATACCCTTTTGGAAATTCCACTGCCTTGCAAGAAGATACTTGGCATGCACTAAATGATGATCGTCTAATACCTGGTAAGCGAAAACCCATTGTCTTGTTTCTTCACACAATGAACGATAGAATGACCTGAAAGTAGTAGAATAAAGCAATGAACTTGAATTCTGATGCTTTTGTACAAGAATGATTTGTGATCTGTGTAAACCCAAGGACGGATATATATATGTAAACCATTATCTATCAAGTTGGACTGAATAGGTTTTTATGCGTAGTGAGAGACCGGGTTTTTGTTTTGGTCAACGGAGGCCGTGTCATTAGAGATCACGTGGTCTTGTCTTCAAGGTTTTCATCTAAGGATGTCATGAGATGAGAATACATGCCCCACTTTTCAAAACGTAGGCCTATCAAATAGACCTGTAATGACCTGGTTCACATGTTTTAAACATGCCTAAAACATAGCAAATGTTTTGTTCATATTTTTATAAAGTAAGTGGTAGCTGCTGCTTACTAGTACTTGAAATAAAACCTATAAATAGTGAACTCTGTTTGGAAGCTATAACATCATATTGTTTGGAAGCAACCTCTTTAAGTGGCATAATGCTAATTGGCACTTAGATTATATGATTCCACGTGAGCCAATCCATTTAATTCAAATAGTAAATCTACTAATGTAGAATGGTCTTATAAATTTGGCACAGCCTTTTTAGAATAATAAAACAACAGGTATTTCCATGCTAGTGTGAGATCAAGCATTTCACAAACCCATCCCAGGTGCATCCGCAAGTCTTAAACAGCTTTTAAGTGTATAAGCAAAGGAAAAGAGTGTGGTAAACATTCACTAATATTAGACAAATGGTCATTGATATTTGACATAAGAAAAATTGCTCTTAACTGTCCTAAGGTAACTTGAGAGGACATGGCACACCAGATGTTATGGAGACACTTAATCTGCACTTGATTGCCCAATTTACGTTTAATCTTTAATATAACGGGTCAACTTGAGAGGTAAATTTGGATATTCATTATGTATGATTACTTTGAACTTAATTCTGCATTAATTTGATTTTTGAGACACGTATATAAAAAATATAGACGGGCTTACGTAAAATCAAATAATTATTGTTTCTGATCCCAGCGGCAAGAGAAACAAATCAGTTAGAGTTATTATACATATGCATTACGGAAACAAGTGAAGCATGTTGAAATTTCAGACCATAAACAATTTATTATTGCTTCCCTCTTATTAATAAACATGTTAAAGCATTTTTAATGCAATTTTCTTATTATAAAACTCTGAAAATATTTTTAATGCAATATAGGGAGTTTGAATATTTAGAACATAAGTATTTTAATTTATTTAATATAAAATATTTAAAAAATGAAATTTAAATACAATACTTCTTACATAAGGATTTTTTACATTAGATTATATTTATTTTTTTACCATTTTATTGTTGTTGTTATAATAGTTACTCCTCAGTGATTCATTTCTATCATAGATATTTATTTAAGTGGTCAATTCAGGCGATTACGACATGGCATGGGTATCCCAAACTGCAAGATAGCTCTTTGGCACATTCCCATGGTGTCCATGAGATGAAAGATCACATGGTGTGGTCTCCGATGCCTTTATCAAGGATCAAAAGTTCCATAAGAGTGAAAACTCCACCTTCTGAATGAAAGGCTAGTAGAGTACCCACTCGAAATAAAATGAGATATACTCAAGGTAAGCTTAATGCTTGTTCAATGGCTACACATTTCTGTAGCCATCCATTAGACATGTCACGTGTTTTCTTCCTATTGATAACACAGCTCAATACATGGCTAGCAAAAACTGTCTGGTTGATGAATTATATGGTAGTTGATGACTATAGATCCTAAATTTTAGGTGCCAAAAGTGAACCTTTATCAAGGTCTTGAACACTAGTCATTGTGACCTGAAGATTTTATGCATGTAAAATCAGAAAGGAATAGCATATGTTTGGACCCACAAGTCGTAAACATAGTCTATTCTTGTAATTGAATTATTAATTTCATCAGTTCTATACATTAAGATTTGAACAATTCCAATCTTTTCATGACAGTCTAGCAACAACTGGAATCATAAGATTTTCCATTATCAAGCAAACTTATTCTCAAGACTGTAACTTGTACTGATAATGGTTGTTTAATGGTTTTCTCTGCTTGTAAGAATAATTAGCTAGTAGAACTATAATTCGCGAACCTCTATGAAACTAGTTTGAATTTGGAGTGTTTTCTTTTATAATATTTAAGCAATAAATTTGAGGGAAACTTATGAAGTTGTATTTAGTATTTCATGAAGTTTCTAATTTTTTTCCCTCAATAGGTGAGCCAATATATTTCCCTAAATAAGCTAAACTACAGTTTTGAGGTGCATACCAGTTATGATCGGTGGTTGCATATTCTAGGATGACTTTGTTCAAAATCAATAATAGCATATGCTTTCTCATAACCACTTTGACGGCAAGTCCATGTGCAGGGTATGGGGAGTACCTGTGTCATCACAACCCAACTCTTTCAAATGTCACATGTAAAATTAATTGCTGATTTGGACATTATTGTAAGCTGGGAACAATTATTAGTATATTCCTTTATTCATTTTGACTTCAATTTGTTCAAGTGAAGATATGGGTGATAAATTTTTATGTAAGTTTTAGCCCCTTATAATAAGTACTATGCCACGCACTGAATTTTCTTATTAAACAATCATATAAATTTTCATATTGGTCACCAACTTATATATGTTTCAGGACAATAAATTCTTGTTTTTTGTGGGTGGTCTCAAAATATATTGGAAAGGATCACTATGCATCCACACAACTATGCCGTACACCATGGCTCCTAAAGTACTGCGGGGCTTGCGCTTGTGCATGTATTAGAATTCATTTTAATATAATAAAAGAACATATAAATATGAACAATATATTTTCATGAGATTCTCATTCGGATGACCTTTATCCATTTCAGAGGAAACAACAGAATGAAAAAAAGAAAAGCCTGCTGTACAAAGTTGTCTCAACTAGTCTATGTTGGGATCTTTTGCAATATAAATTATAGCCGGTTCAAGCGAGAAGCTATATCTAAGAACACATCCTCCTTGCAGGGAATTGTGAGACCACCCATGGGATGATTGTAACCAAATTCCTCTTCAGCTTGGTTAAGCAATTCCTGAAATAAAGGCTCGTTCAAGAATGATACTGGAATCAAGAACCTCTTCATTTTCTCACCAACATACACTGCAAGATACCCTTTTGGGACTTCTACTGCCTTGCAAGAAGATACTTGGCATGCACTAAATGATGATCGTCTAATACCTGGTAAGCGAAAACCCATTGTATTTTGTTTCTTCACACAATGAACGACAAAATGACCTGACAGTAGTAGAAGAAAGCAATGAACTTGAATTCTGTGGCTTCGGTACAAGAATGATTTGTGTTGCTTGTAAACCTAATGATGGATGTATATATAGATGGTGGAAACCATTATCTATCAAATTGGAGAGTGAATGGGTTATTCGACAGGGCTTAGGGAGAGACAGTGTTCATTAGCGATCACATGGTATTGTCTTGAAGATTTTCATCAAGGATGACATGAGATATGAAAATACGTGCCCCACTTTACATAATGTAGGCCAAGAAAGAGATTTTAATGGCCAGCTTCACTTGTTTTAAACATGTTCTAAACATGATCTAAACATATCAAATGTTTAGTTCATATTTTTGTTTAGCACGTGATATTTGCTGCTTGCCAATTCTTGAAATAATTAATACCTATAAACAGTGAAATCTTCTTGGAAGCTATAATAGCATCATATTGTTGGAGGCAGGGTCTACAAATGGTATCATTCTAAACTAGCACTTAGATCACCTGACATATGACTACACAAGTGAGCCAAACCGTTTCATTCAAACAGAAAAACTAGTGATGTTGAGTGGTTTTCTATATTTGGAAAAGCCTTCTTATAATAATAATGCAAATGAAACTTCTGCACTATTGTTAACTGCAAGAAAAGCTTTAGAAGTGTTAAGAAACTTGGGCCTATGGGTCTAATTTCGCTGCAGGATACCACAATGCAACCCCAAAACCTTAAGGCAATGGGTACATAGGCCCATCTCCTTATAAACTCCTAACTTACTCACACTTTTCACACTTACCATGAGTTCACACTGTTGACTTACTCGGTTGCGGTTCATATACTCGTTTGAGCAGGTCACCTAGATCGATTAAGCTCTGATACTACTATTAAGAAACTTGAGTCTAACTCACTCTCAAAAGCTAGCCCGTAGAAGGATTATCCTAACCCTTATAAAGAGTATTTTGGCTCTATTTCTAATCAATGTGAAAGGTTGTGTAATAATACTGACTCAGAACTGAGCCTGATGAAGAGATGTAGAACTTTTGAAACTTCAACGATCAGCTTAATTACTCTGCCTGGATGAGGATTCTACAAACAAAAACAGTCTTTACGGTGAAAAAATAATGAGATTGAAGAGTCAAGAAACCATATGAATCTGCGGCTTTAGTATTTAGCCAATAAGAAACCATATGATTGAAAAGTTGGGTTGAGTGAATCAATAATTAAGCTGGAAAAAGATTCAATTATTATCCTTTAAGGAGAAAAGCTGAAGTTGTTAAAGGGAAACAGAATTTCAAGTTTCTCTAAAAGGAAGTACTACATTTTGGATGGTGTTTAGAGATGCAGAACATTGCATCGGAAACATTAAATCATTTGCCAACATGCGTCTTTTAGGTGAATTCATTGGTTGACTAGTATTGAATGAAAGAACTAAAAGTGGTGGGAGCATGTTAACATTTAAATAACATCAGTTAGGGGTACAACTATTTTTTCATTATATGTACTTGTAATGTGGGATCATGCATTTCGCCAACCTAACCAAGGTGCAGCTGCAGCGTTTAAACAACTTTGAAGAGTGAACCATTTCATTAATGTTTGACAGAACGCCGTTGATATTTGACAAAGAAGAATTGCTCTAAACTATCCTTTCATAGTTTATCGATCATGGAGTTATCCCTGATACTAAAACTACAAAGTATAAAAGAATGTGTATGATGTACAAAATTGTCATCATGTTGTCAGCTAATCTATTTCAGTATCCTTTGGTATGATTTATAGCTCATTCAATTGAGATGTAACTTGCAAGAAGACATCTTCCATGCATGGAATGGTGAGACCACCCCTTGGATGGTCATGTCCAAATTCTCCCTCTACTTGACTTAGTAATTCTTGAAATGCAGGTTGGTTTAGGTATGAGATGGGGATCACAAAACGCTTCATTTTCTCTCCTACATACACGGCAAGATAGCCCTTTGGCACATTCACAACTTTTGAAGATGCTTGGCTACCAGTAAATGAAGCCCTTCTAATGGAAGGTAAATGGAAACCCATTTCAAATGTTTTGAAGAACAAGGTGAAGTTCTCAAATTTAAGAGGAATGTATCTAAGTTTTGATGCGTGAGTATGCAAATGAGTTGTGTTGGTTTAACAGGAAGATGGTGTATTTATAGTTTTAAGAGTTTCTTGAAAGGCATTTAGTATAGAGAGGTTAAAGGATGGGTCCATGAGACAAAAGATCACATGGTGTTGTCTGAGATCCCTCTATGAAGGATCAAAAGTTCAATGAGTTAAAACCCCACAATCAATTGAAAGGATAATAGAGTACCACTTGAAATAAAATGAGATATTCTCATGGTAAGCTCAATGCTTGTCCAGTGGCTGCTCTTTTTTGTAGCCATGCGTTAGACATGTCACATGTTTTCTTCCTGTCGATAACGTAGCTCAATGCTGACAAGTGGCTAGCAAAAACCCTTGTTCATGAATTATATGGTATTATGGTAGTTGTGTCGTTCTCTCTCCCTTCAGTGTCGTTCTTTTATTTTCTCCCAACAAGTTGATGGCTATAGATCATAAATGAAAGAAGCCAACAGGGAACCTTTATCAGGGTCTTGAACACTAGTCATTGTGACCTGAAGATTTTATGCATGTAAAATCAGAAAGGAATAGCATATGTTTGGACCCACCAGTCGTAAACATAGTCTATTTTTGAATTTGAATTATTAATTTCATCAGTTCTATGTATTTAGTTTTGAATAATTGCAATCTTTTCATGATAGTCTAGCAACAGCTGCATTCATAAGATTTTCCATTATCAGGCAAACTTATTCTCAAGACTGTAACTTGTACTGATAATGGTTGTTTAATGATTTTCTCTCTGCTTGTAAGAATAATTAGCTAGTAGATCTATAATTCAAGAACCTCTATGAAACAAGTTTGGATTTGGAGTGTTTTCTTTTGTATTTAGTATTTCATAAATTTCTTTATTTTCCCTCTATTAGTGAGCCAATGTTTTACCCTGAATCAGCTAACCTATAGTTTTGAGATCCATATCAATTATTGCAGTCAAAAATGTTTGCTGAAATAATATTTCCAAAATAATCATACAGTTGATGGACGGGGTTCGTTCAACTGCTGGATAATAATTCGATATATGTTGATCAGTATTTTTCTTGTTTTCTTCCAAAATGGGGCAATATCTTCTATTACCTTTGTGAACATCTGTAAAATACTTTAGAAGAGGAGGACCGGTATATCACATGTTGTTTCGCCAGAAACAACTAACAAGCCATGTGATAATGCCTTTTGATTGGGACAATGCAAGCGATGCCATAAAGAATTAGTGGTGTTAAATTAGAAGCATATGCACGTTAACTTTGATCTGCTAGTAATACTTCAAATAATGGAATTCATTGAGATATGACAAAAGCTAAAATGTTACATCAACCTCGTCTTAAATATTGTAATTTCTCATGAACATCTTCCCACTCTCAGAGGAATGGTAGAAGGAAAAAACTAAAATGGAAAATAAAAAGAAAGAGCCTCCTGTACAGTTTTCTCTGATCTAATCTATCCTAGTCTTCTTTTAACGAGTTACAGCCCGTTCAAGTGAGAAGTGATGTTTAGGAACACATCCTCCCCACATGGAATTGTGAGGCCACCTCTGGGATGAGAATATCCAAATTCTTCTTCTGATTGACTCAATAAATCTTGAAATGAAGGTTGGTTCAAGTATGATATAGGAATCACAAACCGCCTCATGTTATCTCCAACATAGACAGCAAGATATCCTTTTGGGACTTCAACCCCTTTAGATGCTGTTTGGGTTGTAGGTAGTGATGATCGTCTAATACCCTTCAACCCCTTTAAGTGGAAACCCATTGTGTTAAATGACACTGGGAAGTAAAGAACGATGACAGAGATCTTAAAAGAAATAAGTACTGCTTAATTTTTTATTCTTTAAGATGCAATTGATTTGTGTTCCTTGTGAATGAAGTGGTGAGTATATATAGATAAATGCAGCTTTGTGGAGAGTATTTGCTTTAGAACTTAGCAGTGGATGCCCATTTGATTGGTTCTAGTGTCTATCATTCAGACAAGGGTTCATAAGTGATCTCATGGTATTGTCTTAGAGGCCTTTACCAAGGATGTTGATTGCTTAAGACTTGAGAGAGAAATCAATTTATACCCACATGCAGTATGCTGTGCTAACATGATGACCACTTGAAAATGAAAGTGGTATGTACAGGTTGGAGAAACTATTAATTGTGTGGCCATTATAATGGCAGGGTTGATATTTCTCGTTTCATACATGCTTAAAACATCTCACATTTTCTTCACTGATAGTTATGTAGTTTTCACTTGCTTGCACGTCACAAATTGAATGCTTATTAAACCATGATATTCAGATTCCTGAGGCAAGAGGAGATAGATTTTGATTGCATGATCTTATCAATTATCATTGTCATAATTTTCATGTGTCAAATTGAAAAACGAGTCGTTGAAAGGATTGGGAATACTAGTTCAGGTAAGTTGCCAAACTACATGTTAGCCAACCCCTCCTATTAAAATTTCTGTCCAACATTCTACAACAAAAGAAAAAAATTCTGATAGTTTTTAGTGTATGTGAAATGAGTAAGATAGTTGAAATATGTTAGTTAGAATAGTTAAAAATAATAGTTGAAGAAAGTTGAGTAAGACACTTAAGAGATAGAGCATTGATAACTTAATTATTTCTTTGTAACATTTACAATATGATAGCATGCCTATTTATAGGCATCCTCCACCATTGTATTTGGATGGTTAAATATTTAAATATTTACAATATTCTAAAACTTTTTCTAGAACTACCTACAAATTAGAAGATTGAAATAAATTTTCCTAGATTGTTCTTAATAATTTTCTAGGCTATTTTAGAAATTTATATCATTTTTAATAGTTTTATTTAAGAAGGTTGTATATAGCATCTGATAAAAAATTTCAAAATTTGATGGCTTTTGCTGGATAGAAGTAAGTCTGACTCTGACTTGTAATTGTTTTTACTTCTTTTAAGGAGTTCTCATCGAGAAAACAGTTCTGAACTTCGTGCAACTTTGCGAGTGCAGTAGTTTCTTGCTGAACAAGATGGAAAGACAAAACTAGTTCCTTTCTAACTGCTGTTTGTCTAGTAATCACATGTTACTTCTCAAGGGAAGTATTAATTATGGGTTATAGTCAGGAATGGTAGCATATAATATTGCTTATAATTAGATAGTTAAATGTTATCTCAGAAGGAAGTTAACCTTTCCATTTTTTTATTTTTTCCTATTTTTCAAAAAACACTTGTTACGTTAAAATACTCAATAATATGGTATACAGTTGGGGAATAATTAACAAGGTAATGTGATATTGTTGCATAACAAGGCCACTAGGTCAGTGAAGACGGAAGTCCTTGGATTGCAGGGTAAACCAAAATCGCCTTGATTGGAATTCCATGATTAATTATTTCGTAGTCACCATTAAAGGCTATGTAAACTCTAATTATTGATACATTCATACAAGTTTTTATGAGAGTTTCATCTCTTGTTGCAGATATTTTCAAATGCATTTACCGGGGTCACACAAATTATTATATTGGTCTGTTAATTTTCACTAAATCATGGCCAAAGATTACTATATAGCAAAGAGCGTAACTTTAACGACATCTAAAATTCTTGTATTGACTTCTTTGTTTCACACAATATATTCAAAAGAATTACTAATCTTACATCCCAATAACTGTAATACACAATATCCATAAAATTGGCACAGGGCTTATGTTTGTTCATCCATGTATTAAAATATAGATAATTTACAAAAGCCTTCCCACGGTTCTCATTCACATGACTTTTTCTCCAATAATTGAGAAGAAAAAACAAATTAAACATAATTAATGACTACAAAAAGAAAGAAAATCCTTCTGTACAAAGTTGTCTCAAGTAGTCTATTTTGGTATCAGGATCTTCAACATCATGAATCATAGCCTGTTCAAGCGAGAAGTTATATCTAAGAACTCATCTTCCTTGCAGGGAATTGTAAGACCACCCATAGGATGAGAGTAACCAAACTCCTCTTCAGCTTGGCTAAGCAATCCGTGAAATAAAGGCTCATTCAAGAATGAAATTGGAATCAAGAACCTCTTCATTTTCTCTCCAACATACACTGCAAGATACCCTTTTGGAACTTCCATCACCTTGCAAGAAGATTGTTGGCTTGCACTAGATGATGATCGTCTAATACCAGGTAAGCGAAAGCCCATTGTTTCTTTTATTCACTCAATGAATGATAGCAAAGTAGTAGAAGAAAGCTGTGAAATTGAATTCTGATGATTTAGTGCGAGAATGAATTGTGTTGCTTGTGAACCCAATGAAGGATATATATAGAGGATGGGAACCATTCTCTTAAGATGTGGGTAGTGAATGAGTTGTTCGATTAGGTTTAATGCTGAGACAGGGTTCATTAAAGATCACATGGTATTGTCTTGAAGGCTTTCGTAAAAGAATTACATATGATTACTTGTGAAATATGGACCTTAGAAAGAGACTTGTGATGACTTGTTTCACATGTTTCAGACACACAAAAAACATGTCAAATCTTTTGTTCTTAGTTTTTATAAGGCGACTGATAGCTATTGGTACTTGAAATTCAACCTATAAACCACGAAATCTACCTGGAAGCTGTTACATCATTGTGTTGGGAGGCACCCTCTTTGAAAGATATTATTCTAAGTATTAGGAGTATCTATCGTACTTGGATAAGATTTGGCTACAGTGTCACCACGTGTGGTCATCCCACTACGGAGTCAAACATTTGACAAATCACTAAAGCACAAAAGGCTAGAAGTTAAACACGGTTACCGTAGAGAGTGATTATTGTAGTTATGGCTAACTGAAAGCTTAAATTTAACATGAGTCATCCTTAACTGAAAAAAAAAAAAAAGGGGCCCCACAAGTCCAAACTCATGTTGTGTTCATACATAAAAATTTGTATAAATACATATAATTTTAAAATTAAAATTGAAAAAGTAATAAAATTTGAATGTTTTAAACGAATATAATGTCTGTATTTGAACATATTCAAAATTGCCTAATCGTTGGAGTTTTAAAATGATTTTTATTATAATGTTGTGTACAAATATAATAAATTAAATGGATGATAAAATAAATTGTCTTGTTTTGTTTAAATTGACCAGGATTATTATTATTATCCTCCGTAAAAAAAAATAATGTTGTATGAGGGCGCCTTTTTCAGGAATTTGAACCTGTTTGCCATTTTCTAGGGACTAAAAATCTGTAGGTAAACACGATAAGATTTGAATTAGAAAATAAAATAAACCCTTTTAAGAATGGTTGCTAGGAGCTTGTAGTCAAGGGCTGCCGTTGATTGCATGCTTTCTCACAACTTTGACGACAAGCCCATGTGAAGAGTTGCTGATTATAGTCTCCGTCACAAACCAGCTTTTTCAAACATTACAAGAAAACTGTAACTTCAAATTAATTGATGACTAGGACGTTGATCTAATCTGTGATCAATTTTTGGTATCTCTTTCTCCATTTTCATTTCAATTTGTGCGGTTTACATAAGGTGACATATTTTAATGCAAGTTTCACCATTGCTGGTAAAATGTTCACACGCATTTTCTGGGGAGTCTCCCGCTGAATTTGTTTTATTTATCTGTTAATTTTGCTGCTACGCTGACTTTCTTCAAAACTCCTATTGTGTACCAATCAAATTCAAAATCTTTTTAAGTTAAAGAAGTGGTTTTTCTTTAAAAAATTGTTTTTGTCTTAGAGTAAGCCACTGGTAAGTGGCAAGGCATTGCATCTGTACCTGCCGGTATCATGGCATTATTTATTAGTTGAACATTCGACAAGATCATCAACAAAATACAGTCGTTACAAGGTCAAGATAGGTATCACGACATTATTTATACTAGTTGAACATTCTAGTGTTGACTTTTTTCTCGTCTCACAATATATTCGAAAGAGTTACTAATCTTGCATTTCCATAAATACACAAGATACTTAAAATTACCACAGGACTTCTGTAAGTTGTGTTTGTGTATGCATAGATTTGAGTTCAAAATAAAATAAAAAAATAACACAGAGAAGTTGAAAATTCACAAGGTTCTCTCATTCAGGTAACTCTTCCACTTGAGGGGAACCAACATAACAAAATGGAAAAAAAAAAGAAAAAAAAAAGAAAAGAAAAGAAAAAAAAAAGCCTGTTGTACAAAATTGTGTCAACTCTCAACTACTCTATGTTAGGATAAGGATCTTCTGAGCATGAATTATAGCCTGTTCAAGCGAGAAGTTATATCTAAGAACTCATCTTCCTTGCATGGAATTGTAAGACCACCCATAGGATGAGAGTAACCAAACTCCTCTTTGGCTTGGCTAAGCAATTCTTGAAATAAATGATCATTCAAGAATGATACTGGAATCAAGAACCTCTTCATATTCTCTCCAACATACACTGCGAGATACCCTTTTGGGACTTCCATCACCTTGCAACAAGATGGTTGGTTTGCACTAGATGATGATCGTCTAATACCAGGTAAGCGAAAACCCATTGTTTCTTTTGTTTCTTCACACAAAGAATGATCTCAAAGAAGTAGTAGAAGAAAGCAGTGAAATTGAATTCTGATGATTGAGAGTGAGAATGATTTGTGTTGCTTGTGAACCCAATGAAGGATATATATAGAGGGTGGGAACCATTTTCTAAATAATTGGATGGTGAATGAGTTGTTCGATGGGGTTTAGAGGGAGACAGGGCTCATTAAATGTCACATGGTATTGCTTTGAAGGCTTCATTGAGGATTACTTGACACGAGATTACATGCCCCACGTTTTGGAATATGGACCTATGAAAGAGACCAGAGATGACCTGAACATGTTTCAGACAGCTCTAAACATATCAAACTTTTGTTGTTTCTATAAGGAAACTAATAGCTATTAGTACTTGAAATTCAACCTATAAAATGAAATCTACTTGGAAGCTGTTACAGCGTTGTTTGGAAGCAACCTCTCTGTATGACATTATTCGGACTATTACTTCTTGTACTTGGATTATGATATGTGAGTCTACATATTAGGCAACTATTTCATTGAAAGAGTAAAATTTTGTTAGAACAGGTATGGACTTTTTACTATATCTCTACACTATACATCCACCAAAAAGGGTTCCTTACTCCTTTCTTGGAGGTCCAACTGCACCGTGCTCTCCCCTGGCTATATTTGGGAGATTCATCACATGGGATTCACTGTACGTTATTCATGTGAAACTACCTAGAACTATACATACCCATATCTACATCCACGTAGTACTATGTAGGGATCTAGACTCTAATACCACTTGTTAGAATAAGTATGAACTTTTTATTATAGCTTCACACTAGTATGATATGGTTTACTTTGGGCCTAAGTCTTCATGATTTTATTTTTGGACATCAACCAAAAAGTCTTATACTAATAAAGATCTACCGTACTTATATGTCTTTGATCTTCTCCAATTCTAGTCAATATAAGATTTTATTTATACATCTCAACAAATTTCAACTGTATAACTATAGAGACATTTTATAGATTTGCTTCAGCTTTCAATCAGCTAGTATGGCAAGAGGCACTTCCATTCTAGTGCAAATTGCATGGAAAACTTTAGGAGATTGTGTGATGCTTGCCTACTTATAACTTTTTTTTTATAAGCACAAGAGTTTCATTAATTAAGCACTACGGTGCTTAATCCAAATTTACAAGTATTAAATATCATATACTAAGTCTCACAAATCAACTCCAAAACAAACAATCTCTCCTTGACCTAACCTTCTCCTATATAATAAGAAGGAAAATATGCTCTGAAGTAATAGCTCCCTGTTATCATGCAGGAAAGAGCAACTCCATGGTAAGGACGGGTTCAGAGCACCAAGCAAGGAATGAGAAGCAGACTATTTTAGCATGAGTTACAAGAGCTTGCCATGTCTTCAATTTAATTCTCTCCATTAGTTTTAAGGCATCTAATTCACAATTAGAAAAAATAATTTCATTTCTATGCTTCCAAATACACCACAATGTCAAGCTCCAAATAACCAGAGTTACTTTCCACCATTTCTTACCTGGTAGCAGCTCAGAAAAATCAATAGTGTTCTGTACTAAGGAAGAATATGAATATATTGAACGATTCAACCAAGCTGAAATGTCCTCCCAAATGGACTTTACAAAACTACAATCTATGAATAAATGTACAGTGTTCTTTATCTTTCTTTTACAAAAAAACACATTTATCATTCTCTAAAATATAATTTAGTCCCCTTCTAATAAGATTAGCTTTGGAGGAAAAAGAGTCATGGATCACCTGCCATATAAACACTTAGACTTTATAAGGAACCCAACCGCGCCATACCATGTTCAAAATTTGAATGCTTAACATGTTAAAATTTGGTCCTATATCCACATTGCTTTGTATAGTGCAATACCCAGATTTTGTAGAAAAACCTTTAATCCTATCACTCATCCAGATCCATCTATCCAAAGTGTTTGGGTGTGATCGGTAATCCTGCAAAATAATAAAAAGGTTAGTAGCAACCTCCTCCTCCTATGGTCTAAGTTCCCTCATCCACCGAATCCTCCATACCCATCTATCCTCTAACCAAAAACCATTATTTGACACCACACTCTCCTTATGTAGTGCCAAAGCAAACAATCTTGGAAAGAGAGACTCAAAAGTATCCATGCCAAGCCACACCTCACTCCAAAAGCTCATATTCGATCCATTACTTTCTTCACACCATTTACAAACTAATTGTTTGCAAGGTAACCCACTCTTCGAACGTCCTTCCACCAGGTTAAAGCTTTAGGATTTCTTAATGGAATGTTTGGTGTAGCAAACAAGGGACCGTGTTGTGCTTTTAGAATGTCTATCCACAAGCACTTTTGATTCTTCAACGCTCTCCAATTCCATTTTCCTAGTAATGCCCAATTCACCCTCTCAATATGTTTCACTCCAAGTCTCCCCTTCTCTTTACTTTTCCACACTTCCTCCCACCTCACCCAAGGTATTTTTTTTATATCCTTCACCCTTCTCCATAGAAAGTTCCGTTGGATACGAATAAACTGCAATACTACTTTCTTTGGCATTCTATAAAAGGAGATGTAGTGGATTGGAATGCTATTAAGCACTACATTCAACAATGTTACTCTTCCCCCCATTGATATGAATCTATTCTTCCAACTTTTCAACCTCCCTCTTAACGCCTCAATCAACTTTTTCCAAGTATCCATGCTCCTTGGATTGGCCCCCACGTGGATTCCCAAGAATCTAAATGGGATTGTATCAACTTTGCAATGAAGGAAATTGGAATCTTGAAGAAGAAAGTCTTGATCAACATTTATACCAATCACCTTACTCTTGTAGAAATTAATCTTCATGCCAGACACCAACTCAAAAGCACGCAACACAACTTTTATGGCCCATAGATTTTCCCAAGTTGCTTCACCCACCATTATTGTGTCATCTGCAAATTGTAAGTGTGAGACAATTGGGCCATTGTTGACTCGAAATCCCGAAAATATACCTTTAACAACTGCACTTCTCATAAGCCTCCCTAACCCCTCCATAGCCACCAAGAAGAGAAAAGGGGCCAAAGGATCCCCTTGTTTAAGACCACGACCAATCTCCACGTCCTTTGTTGCACTCCCATTTATCAATACAGATAAGTGCCCTCTACACACACAAGCCTCCTGCCTACTTATAACTGGGCCTCATGAATATAGAACTTATGGAATTTTTCCTCAACTAAAACCTCTAATTGGTCCGACAAATGAGCCAAACTTTTCACTAATCACTATAATAGTTGGATATTAAAACATCTGTCGTAGAGTGATCATATAGTTTTGTTATGCCCTACCCGTGTCAAGAATAAGAGTGAAACAAATCCATTATACAAATCACAAACTTTAGAATGTTGTCTATATCATTACTTGATAATTGAATGTCATGAAAGTAGAAAATTTTGGAGGAGCTTTGTTAATGAGCTTAATTGCCCAGCATAGGTGAAAGTTCAGTTGTAGAGACTTTAAGAATATATCAAAAGTTTTTTGAGCTTAGACACAAGTAGTTTATCAACTATGAATAGATAGGCTGAATGTTTTTTAGGCCGATAAAGGTAAATATATTGTTTGCATGAGTACTGACCACAGGCATGGCAGGATTAAAATATGAAAATCTGAAATAGTATAGAAACACGTAGTTGGCCTCCAACACAAGTAGTAATGAAATGTTGAATTTGATAACCCAAATGCCAGTAATTGAATTTGCAATTTTTGCAGCATGGCCATTTTTTTTCCTGCAGATCTTAAGAAAAAAATATAAAGATATAAATAATCGGCAAGTCAAAGCCATGAGGACAAACATATTGCTATAAAAGTAGGCCAGTAAAATTCTTGGGAATATCAATCTTTTGCTTCAAGTAAGTACTGTTCATCCATAACTGGTAATAGAACACTGCTTCTGAGTTGTGTCATTGTGATTAGAAAAAAAGAGAGGACATTGGAAATAATGCGTTCTTGAATTTGTCATTCAGATGGACAATTTTTATCCATTCCTCAAAAAAGGGAAGGAAAAAATATTTACAAGTCTAAAAGCAGCCTATCGTACAAAGTGTCTCTATGAATCTACGTCAGTTCCCTACAGTGTAAGATTTATAGACCATTCAACCAAGAAGTAATATGCAGGAAGACATCTTCTGTGCAAGGAATTGTGAGACCACCTGTTGGATGATCATATCCAAATTCTTCCTCTGCTCGACGCAGCAAGTCTTGAAATGAAGGTTGGTTCAAGTATGACATGGGGATCAAAAACCGCTTCATTTTCTCTCCTACATACACCACAACATAGCCCTTGGGCACATTCACGACTTTTAAAGATGCTTGGCTAGCAACAAACGAAGCTCGTCTGATAGAAGGTAAACGGAAACCAATTTCAAATGTTCTTAAGAACAAGATAAAGTTCTCAAATTCAAGAATAATGTATCCAAGTTTTGATGAGGAGTTGTGTTCTGAATGAGTTGTGTTGGTCTTAAAGGAAGACAACGTATTTGTAGTTTTAAGAGTTTCTTGAAATCCATTTACCAGAGAAATGATTGATAAGGAATGGGGTCCTGAGAAGAGAGATCACATGGTTTTGTCTTAGATGCTGCTATAAAGGATCGATAATTTAAATAAGAGAACAAATCCCACCTTCTGAGCGAAGGCCAATAAAGCAACCTCTTGAAATCAAATGAGATGTACTGATGTTAAATTTACTGCTTGTTCAATAGCTACTAATTTTTGTAGACATGCATTAGACATGTCATGTGTTTACTTCATATTAATAGCACAACTCAATGCTGACATGTGTCTAAGAAAAAGTCTATTGTTGATGAATTCTACAGTAGTTGATGGACAGCTCATAAATGTTAGGAGCCAACAAGGAACCTTTATCAAGGGCTTGATAACTAGTCATTGTGACCTGACGATTTTATGTAGGTAAAATCAGAAAGGAATAGCATATGTTTGTACCCACAAGTTGTGATCATACTCTGTTCTGAAAATTGAATTATTAGTTTCGTAGTTATATATATTTAGTTTTATTAACAATTATAGTCTTTAATAGACAGTCTAGTAACAACTATATTCAAAAGATCTTCCAATATCGGGCAAACTTAATCTGAATACTTAAACGAATGTTTTAAATTTTTCTCTGCTTGTAAAAAAAATTAACTTGTTGAACTTTAACTCAAACCTCTATCAAACTAGCTTGGAATTTCTTCTTCTGTGATATTTGTAGTAGTATTTAGTGTTCCATAGTTTTTTTCTTCCTCCATAGGTGACCTAATGTTTTTCCTAACTTGCCTAAACTATAGTTTTAAACTCCATATCATTTATGACAGTCAACTAATGTTTATTCTGTAAATAATATTTCCAAAATAATCATACAGTTAATTAATGGTGTTTATTTAAATAGGAATGAGGGAAATTATAGAGCCCTGGTTGAAAATTCAACTTATGGTTAGTCATTCAATGTATGTGGATCAGGATTTTCTTGTCCACCAAAAATGGGCAATTACTTCTATTATTTTTGTGAACAACTGCAAATTATTTTTGTAGAGGAGGACCGGTATATCACTTGTTGCTCCAGTAACAACTAACAAGCCATGTTATTATGCTGCTTGATTAGGACATTGCAACAAGCGATGACCCTTAGGAAGTGAGTCTGAATCTGTGGTGCAGTCGTGCAGATAGATGGCAAGAAGCACCAGATTAAGAAGATATTTTTTCTGTGGTGCAGAAAAGGCCAGAAACCAGGCAAACCACATATTTTACAAGAATCCAACAAATGGCTAAGGGCGTTTCAGGAGAGATGTTTTGGTGTTCTAAGTTTTGTTCATGGACGTAGGTGGTACAGTAGTGCAGCAATTATAAACATTATCAGGTTAGGTTCGGTCCATATCTTTGTAAGAAATACTGCTTTCAAATTAAAAGCTTAGAACATCAACTCAGATTGGATAATGATTCTGCAAATATTATTATTCATTGAGATATGACAAAAACTAAAATGTTGTATGAATCTCTTCTCGTAACTTTCTCATTCAGAAAACATCTTTCCACTGTCAGAGGAATGATAAAAGAAAGAAAAAAAAACAAAAGAATGTGCCTCCTGTACAGATTTATCTCATCTAATCTATCATAGGCTCCTTTAGCATGAGTTATAGCCCACTCAAGCGCGAAGTGATGTCTAGGAAAGCATCCTCCCTGCATGGAATTGTGAGACCACCCGTGGGATGAGAATATCCAAATTCTTCTTCTGATTGACTCAGTAAATCTTGAAATGAGGGTTGGTTCAGGTATGATATAGGAATCACAAACCGCCTCATGTTATCTCCAACATAGACTGCAAGATAGCCTTTTTGGACTTCAACCCCCTTAGTTTCATTTTGGGTTGTAGATAGTGTTGCTTGTCTAATACCAGGTAAACGGAAACCCATTGTGTTTTTATTAATTGACACTGGGAACTGGGAAGTAAAGAATGATGACAGAGAACTTGTAGAGAAAAGTAGTGCTTATTCTTTTACTCTTAAGTAATCAATTGACTTGTGTTCTTGTAAATGTAGGGGTGAGTATATATAGATGAAAGCAGAATGTGTGGAGACTATTCCCTTCTGAACTCAGCAGGGCCACTTGATGTGTTCTAGCGGGAAACAAACAGACAAGGTTTCATGGGGGATCACATGGTATTGTCTTAGTGACCTTTACGAAGGATAATGATTGCTAAGGACTCTTGAGAGCAATTTAATGTGCATCCCCCAATTAGGAACCTTCGCCAACATGATGACCACTTGAAACTGAAAGATGTGTGTACATTGTACTAGTTAAAGAACCTATTAATTGTGTAGCCATCGTAATGTCATGGTTCTCTTGTTTCAGACATGCTTAAAACATCTCTCAATTTCTTCACAGAAAATAGTTTCTACTTGCTTGTAATTAAGCATGTGATGAAACAAATGTATATAATTAAATTGTGGTATTCAGGTTTCAGAGGCAATAAGAGACAGCTTTTGATAGTACGAATCCTTGTAGAGAGTACTAGTTTGGGTAAGTCACTGCAAGTTAGCCAACCACTCCATTCAAGCAGTGAAGTTTCTGTCCAACATTGAGTTCATACCAAGAAAATTGTTCTGAACTTTATGCAACTTTGCCCGTACATTTGTTGCTTGCTGAACAAGATGGAAAGAGTGTTGCAGCACAATACATGTTTGTGGGTAATTCTTCACTTCTTGTTTCTCTTCAAATGCAGCATATAGAAAACAGTTTCTCCTCCCCAATTGGGTGGTATAATCTGACAAATACTTAGGCCAATGCATTTTGGATAAGTTGTGTCATAAAACTAGAATAAACCAAAAGTTGTAATTTGACACATAGAAAAGCCATCTATTTTCGAATTTGGAACCTCTCAATTGTACTTTTAACTGCAGAGGGATGCAGTTTTCATCCTAACAAACCAAATATATTAAAATATATTATTTAATAAAATTTAACATTATATTGACTTATTTTTAAGGGAAAAAATGCTCTGCAATGAAAATGTCACTCCAGAGTATCTATTTCCATCTCTTTTCTATTTCAAAGAAATAGAGAGAAAATAACTGACGCAACATGAGCATAAAACCAAAAGAATTCTACTTTTTGTTCACTAATGTTTATGAGCATTTGATACTATATATATATTTTTTTTGTGTGTGTGTGTGTGACATAGAAATTCCATGTGGGTATTGACTTGTAATTTATTCTTTACTACTGTTCCATTTGTTAATTTGTGCGCTTGTGGCAGAGAATAATAAGAAATGGAAGATATTTTCTATTTTCTATTTTCTATTTTCTATTTACACTCTCAACTACCAGAAAATCCAACGCGAAATTGGAAGTTGATTATGATAACATTCTAATAGGTAAAATACGTAAATACCCTTTTATTGTAGTCAAGAGTTGCCGTGGACTGTGTGCTTTCAGACAATAATTTTGACGACAAGTCCATGTGACGTGCACGGCAAGTCCTTGTGATTGTAGCAGTCTACATCACAACCCAACTTCTTCAAAGCATCACAAGAAACACAATATTAATTGGTGACTAAGACTTAGTTTTAATCAGTGATATCAATTATTTGATAAATCATTTTCATATCAATTTGTACAGGTTACCTTAGGGTGACAACGTTCCATGTGAGTTTCACCCCGTTTGCAAATATTTTTCACATGAATGCACAGTGGCCACAACGAATTTATTATATTCATCTGTTAATTTTGCTTCATTGATTTACTTCGAAACTCATATGATGCATCAATCAAATAAAAAATATTTCTATGTTAAAGAGTGATTTTCTTATGTTATACACAACATCCCTAGTGACGCAGGGCTTGTACTTGTGCATACACATATGAGTTAACAGAAGAAAAAAGAACAGATAATTTAAACAAAGTTCAATAATGTTCTCATTGAGATGATTTTTTCTCCACTTGAGAGGAAACAAGAAGATATAATGAAAAGAAAAGCCTGCTGTACAAGGTTGTCTCAACTAGTCTATGTTATGATTAAGATCTTTTGTAGTATAGATCATAGCCGGTTCAAGCGAGAGGTTATATCTAAGAACTCATCTTCCTTGCATGGTATTGTAAGACCACCCATAGGATGAGAGTAACCAAACTCCTCTTCAGCTTGGCTAAGCAATTCTTGAAATAAAAGGTCATTCAAGAATGATACTGGAATCAAGAACCTCTTCATGTTCTCTCCAACATACACTGCAAGATACCCTTTTGGGACTTCCATCACCTTGCAAGAAGATTGTTGGTTTGAACTAGAGAATGATCGTCTAATACCAGGTAAGCGAAAACCCATTGTTTCTTCACACAAAGAATGATCTCAAAGAAGTAGTAGAAGAAAGCAGTGGAATTGAATTTGGATAACTTAGTGTGAGAATGAATTATGATGCCTGTGAACCCAATGAAGGATATATATAGAGGGTGGGAACCATTCTCTAAAGAAGTGGATGGTGAATGAGTTGTTTGATTAGGTTTAGTGGGAGACAGGGTTCTTTACGGATCACATGGTATTGTCTTGAAGGCTTTCGTAAGAGAATTACATGACACTGGGATTACATGTTCCACCTTTTGAAATATGGCCTAAGAAAGAGACCTGCGATTACTTGTTTCAGACACGTCTAAACATATCAAATCTTTTGTTCTTGATTTTATAAGACAACTGATAGCTATTGGTACTTGAAATTCAACTTATAAACCGTGAAATCTACTTGGAAGCTGTTACATCATTGTTTTTGGAGGCAACCTCTTTCAATGACATTGTTCTAATTGTTATTTCCTGTAGTTGTATCAGATTTAATTACAGTACCCATGAAGTGAGCCAAACATTTCAATGAAAAGTAAAACAGTAAAAATGTCTACTATGTCGAGTGATTACAAAGTTTTTTCATGCTCTCCCTTTATCCAAAGGAAAAGAGTATGACGATCACTTCCCACCCTCATCAAAGCCTGGGATGTCACATGAAAATTCATTCTAGCTATGCTATTCTATAAAAGTCTGATCATGCTTAGAAATTTGCAAATTTATATTGTGAAGAAAAAATATCATTTGAGAAAATATATTTGCCAAGTTCACAGATTTTGAAGATGCTTGCCAACTTCCCTTGGTTATTGAGGATCTTTAGTCTCAACCTGCCCAATTACTAACTAATTCAGGCTAAGGAACTAATATATTTTAACCAACTACTGATGGATCCCTAAATATATCATAGCTAACTACTAATGGAGGTTTTACTCAACACAATCAAGCTAGATTTTGCTCATAGCAGCTACTGTTCAGTCATAATTTAACAATCAGGGAAAAGACAGCCTTGCTTCTTGGTATCTTTCTGTTGAGGAATTTCCAATTTTGTAACTCATAAAAAGAAGCACAAAGAAACCAATAAATTGTGCCATAGTGATCAGACAAAAAAAGACAGGATATTGGAAGTAATTTGTTCTTGAATTTGTCATTCAGATGGACAATTTTTACCCATTCCCAAGAAAGGGAAGGAAAGAATCTTTACAAGTCTAAAAGCTGCCTGTTGTACAAAATGTCTCTATAAATCTATATCAGTTCCCTACAGTGTAAGATTTATTGTTCATTCAAACCAGAAGTAATATGCAGGAAGATGTCTTCTGTGCAAGGAATTGTAAGACCACCCATTGGATGATCATATCCAAATTCTTCCTCTGCTTGAATCAGCAAGCCTTGAAATGAAGTTTGGTTCAAGTATGACATGGGGATAACAAACCGCTTCATTTTTTCTCCTACATACACTGCAAGGTATCCCTTTGGCACATTCACGGATTTTGAAGATGCTTGGCTACCAGTAAATGAAACCCGTCTAATAGCAGGTAAACGGAAGCCCATTTCAAATATTTTGAAGAACAAGCTGAAGTTCTCAAATTTAAGAAGAATGTGTCTTTGTTTTGAACTGAGTGTGGAAATGAGTTGAGTTGGTTTCCAAGTAAGAAGATGTATTTTTAGTTTTAAGAGTTTCTTGAAATCCATTTCCTAGAGAAATGACTGTTAACAGATGGGGTCCATGAAATGAGAGATCACATGGTGTTGTCTTAGATGACTCTGTCAATGATCAATAATTTCAATTAGAGTTGAAGTCCCTCCATTGAATGAAAGGCTAATAGAGTACCCATTTGAAATCAAATGAACTGTACTCAGGTTAAATTTATTGCTTGTTCAAACGATACTTGATTGCCTGCTTTGTCACAACAACTTTGATGACAAGTGCATGTAACAGCACAGGAAGTTTCTTGTGATTGACCTCCATCACTACCAAACTTTTTCAAACATGACAAGAAAAATGCAACTTCAAATTAATTGGTGACTGAGACCAGTTTTGATCTGTGATCAATTATTGGTGTATCAAGATACATTATGTAAGTTTCACCCCTGGTTGTAAATATTTTCACATGCATTACCAGGAGCCCGACAATGAATTTTTCATATTAATAAGTTGATTTTGCTTTTACTTCTTTACTTCGAATTTAAGCATATGCCAATCAAATTGAAAATATTTTAGGCGCCTGGTTAGGCATTATGCCAGTTGGTGTGTGATTTGCATACGGAGCATTAGAAAAACAAGACCCCAAGAAGACAGTGCCTTAGAAAAATTCAACGTTGCCGTCAACTGAATAAAATCGTTTCCACAAGTTTCAGCTCAGCTTAAATTCTAGATTTGACTTTGTTTGTGTGGTCTCACAATATTTTCAAAAGTTACTTATCTTGCATCCAATTCGCTATGTAATACACAATGTCGCTAAAACTGGCACACGGCTTGTATTTGTGGCTTTGTGCATGCCTATATTTGAGATGGCAAAAAAAAAAACAACTGACAAATTTGCAAAAATATAGGTTGATTCATAAGCTTTTCATTCAGAGAACTGTTTTTCCTCTTGAGGAGATAACAAAAAACAAAAGAAAAAAGCCTGTTGTACAAAATTGTGTCAGCTCTCAACTGATCTATGTTAGGATCATGATCTTCTGCAGTATGAATCATAGCTGGTTCAAGCGAGAAGTTATATCTAAGAATTCATCTTCCTTGCAGGGAATTGTGAGACCACCCATTGGATGAGAGTAACCAAATTCCTCTTCAGCTTGGCTCAGCAATTCTTGAAATAAAGGTTCATTCAAGAACGATACTGGAATCAAGAACCTCTTCATCTTCTCTCCAACATACACCGCAAGATATCCTTTGGGGACTTCCATCACCTTGCAAGAAGATTGTTGACTTGCACTAGATGTTGATCGTCTAATACCAGGTAAGCGAAAACCCATTGTTTTATGTTTATTCACACACTGACTGAAAAGAATGATCTCAAAGGAGTAGAAGAAAGCAGTGAACTTGTAGTATTCTAATGCTTCAGTGCTAGAATGATTTGCGTTTGTGAATCCAAAGACGGATATATATAGAGAGGGTGGGAACCATTTTCTGAATAATTGGATGGTGAATGAGTTGTTTGATGGGATTTAGAGGGAGACAGGGTTCATTAAATATCACATGGTATTGTCTTGAAGGCATTCATCGAGGATTATATGAGACGTGAAATTACATCCCATCTTTTGTAAATTAGGCCTATGAAAGAGACCCGTAATGGTTTGCTTCACATGTTTCAGACAACTCTAAGCATGTTAAATATTTTGTTCTTATTTTCATAAGGCAACTGATAGCTATTGGTACTTGAAATTCAACCTATAAACCATGAAATATACTTGGAAGCTGTTACATCATTGTGTTCGGAGGCAACCTCATGAAATCCATTGCCTAGAGAAACAATTGTTAAAAGATGGGGTTCATGAGATAAGAGATCACATGGTGTTATCTTGGATGTCTCGATCAAGGATCAATAACCTCAGTAAGGGTGCAAGCCCCAACTTCTAAACGGAAGGTCAATAGAGTATCCCACTACCCCATTTGAAATCAAATGAAACATAAGTTCAGGCGAAAAAATATAAAAGAATACAAAACAATTCTTTAGGCATGTCACATGTTTTCTTAATATTGATAATGCTGCTAAATGCTGATATATGACTACCAAAATCTCCCTTGCTGGTGAATATGAGGCACTTAATGTGTGTACTAGTAGGAGGAAACGGTACTTTTTCAAGGTAATGCTCACTTGTCATTGTGATCTGAAGATTTTAAGTTACTAAAATTGTGAGACAACACTCTTGAGGAATGGTTGTTGCTGGCAATCTTCTACCAGAGCTCCGATGAGCAAAAAGGGGACGTGTTCATGACTTCAAACAAAGTCTGAGATAATGATAATGGTGGAATAAATAGGCTCTTCCTGGACCTGTCCCATCAATCAGCATGGCTCGAGCACCTAACCATGATTATCAGGAGGTTCAGGCACCTAAAAAAGGTCTAAGAAAGACAACTTTTCCTAATAACCTGTTGCTACACAATACTAATCATACAACTAAGTGTTAGAGGCAATTAATGAAGATTCAAACCCATAAGAAGCCAACCCTATATAAAGGAGAGATTCATGACCTCAAGTACGTTTTCCTCCTCCCTTGTCTCACCATCATTCTTGCTAGATTCTCTCTAACTTGGATGTCAAATTGTTTCCTATAGGAACACTCCGTCCCTCCTTTTCCCCCCTCCTTTTACTCACTGGAGCTTCACTGAAAGATCATCAGCAAAATATTCTTCTATGTTCAAGGCACCTTGCCCGTCATAATAGCTATCTAACCCTTAATCTATTAACCGAAGGTAAATACTAACCAATGAAAAAGGCCTCAAAACTTAGGCATGAAGAACACCAAAAAAAAGGCCTCAAAACTTAGAGTGAAGAGCGCTAAGAACTGTTAGAAATTTTCAAGAGAAAAAAAAAAAGAAAAAAAAAAGCATGCTTAACAGAGAACAAAACGTATATTAAAGGAGAAATACTGAATTTAGTTTAAAGGAGAACAAAACAGATCTGTCAGCTGATTTTCAGACTTGGTTTAGCCTTGCAGTAAACCAAGGTTATAAATTCTTCTTTTTGCACTTCTCTTAGAAAAATAACTTGATGTTTTCCCACAAAACACGGGATTATGGAAAATAGGAATAGCAGATCGGTTGTCAACAAAAATCTTGGTGCTTTCTTTCTATTCCGGATTTAGATCCCATTAAAATTTTCCTTAGCCACAAAGCTTGATTGGCAGCAGTTGTTGTCAATAAATTCTGCTTAAGCAGTGGATTGAGCCACAGTTTCGTGCTTTTTTTATCTCCAAGAGAAAACACTAGATCCAAGAGTAAAACAATAGCCTGAAGTACTTCTCGTATCAACAATGGAACCTCCCTAGTTACTGTTAAAGAAACTGACCAGCTTAAACTCTTTGCTCCTTGTGAACTTAATACCAAAATTACTTGTGTCTTTGACATATTGAATTACTCTCTTGACAGCTTTCAGATGTAACTCACTTACACAATGCATAACCCTGGACAAAATACTTACAACATTTAAAATATCAAGACGTGATGTAGTAAGATACATCAAGCAATCAATCAAACTTCTGAAGTGTCTCTCATTAACTTTATCAACTCCATCTTCCTTACACAATTTCTTTTGATTCATAGGAGTGTTTGCTTCCTTGCAATCTTCAAACTTAAACTTCTTCAAACTCTCCTTGGTGCGCTTTTTCTGGCAAATGAAGACTTCACTAATCCATTTCATCCAACCAAGTTAAAAACCCCAATAAGGACCTAATGCAGATGAAACTCAAACCACATAGCCACCATTCTCTGGGAACATAGTCCCCATTTCAGCAGTTATCAGTGCCTCTGGAACACTCCATATGAATGGGAAAACCATGAAACCAAGCAGAGCCAACAATGGACCAGCTGCCCTGACAGTGTCTTCCACACCAAAAGGTCCTCCTGAGACCGAATAAAAGATCAAGAATATTAGAGGTATAATTGAAACTTTCTGAATCTTCTCTAACTCTACACTAGAACCTTCTCCCAGTGCCACGTATTCAGCATCATTGGACTCCATTTCACCTGACATTTGCTACATAATTCTCAGAATCTGCATTTTAACAACTTCATAGAAACCAATCAATAGTATAACAAAAGTCAATGTTGTATATATATATATATATATATACGTTGACCTTTTAGATAAATTCATATAAAAGAAAAAAAACCAAAATACTCTTCATAACATTTTGGTTCGACTTCATTTAAAAATATAAAATATGTAATACTCGTTAGATAAAAAAGGAAATGTACATGTTTTAGGGCTCATGTCTTACTTTCATGTATACGGGTGAAATATGATGTGGCATCACGTTCACTATGGTGGTCACAATGTAATGAATAGGATTGGTCTCCAAAAATAATTGTCAGACAAAACCAAAGTGTTACGTATGTGATTTTTTTTAATTTAAAAAAATTTGATGATTAAATTATTTTTTAGAATACAATCAAAAATTAAAAATTATATTGTTTTTCAGAAATTTAACTAAAATTAAAAATTATATCTCGTGAATTTGGAATTTCTCAAAGAACAGACAAATAAGGATATCTCTTCTTTCATTATAAAATGTAATTACTATTGAGTTGACCAATTAGTTTTTGTCCAACAAAGATGAATAACTCCTCATTCAACTAGCAGTAAAATAAAAATATTATTACCAAAATAAATGTTAAACGAAATGAAACCAAACTCATAATAGAAAAATATTCCGATAATCTTATATTGAATGAATTCTATGTTAGAGTACATCTTTCTCTTTCCGGGGAAGAACAAAATGGAAAGAAGAAAGGGTATACATGGTCAGACTTTCTCATTTCTACAAAATTTATGATATCTGTTTCAAGCTCCTTAATCCTTATCGCCTATGCAAGCGAGAAGTGACATCTAGGAAAACATCTTCTCTGCATGGAATTGTGAGGCCACCCATTGGATGATCAAATCCAAATTCTTGTTCAGCTTGACTCAGCAACTCCTGAAATGAAGGTTGGTTCAAGTATGATATGGGAACCACAAAGCGCTTCTTCTGGTTTTCTCCTACGTACACTGCTAGACAACCCTTTGGGACATCCACACGCCTTTGAAGACCACGCAAGCTGAAACCCATTATGATGAATTTTTCTTTGGTGTGAAAAACAAGGAAATAAAGATTATTTAAAAAGGAGATGAGTTGAAAGTATTGGGTGCTTAGAGAATGCTTGGACTGGACTTGCTGGAAACTACAACCATGACTCTATATATATATATATAGCTAAATAGAGGACTTTGGCATGACATTTGGTACAGAAATTATTCGTGAAGGACTATCCAAATGGGGTCTAGTAGAGACATTGGCCCAAAGGATCACATGATACTGTCTTAAACGTCTTCATCAAAATTCAATATACAGACCAAACTGTGGCATTGGGGTCTATTGAGAGAGACATTGGCATGAAGGATCACATGATGCTTTCTTAATCGTCTTTATCAAAGATCAAGAAACAGCCAAGGCCATTCCCATTTGAAACCTATGCCTGTCTAAATATTTTTAAATGTGACTTATTTTTCTCTTGACATGTCTAAGACATCTAAGATGTTCCCTTCTTCATATTGATCAGGCAACATTTAATAACATGTACCAGAATCATTTCGATGAGGCTGGTAATTATACAGCATTTTATGTCTCTGAAAATGATCTTTGAAATTGTTCTCTTACAGAAATAAATGTTGTGAAGCAATCGGATATAATTGGAATATACATGCTTCTTAAGATCTGGTTAATTTGTTAGCCGGAGTAATTGTTTGTAACGCACAACATATAGTTATGAATGCTACTACTTATGCGGAATAGGGTCGTAGAGACCTATTAGACCTCCAAAACAAAGTGAAAGTGAAAATGAGCTAGACTCAACTCGACTCTTGCAGCGTTACGTTATTAAACTATATAGGCATTTTTATTAAATATGAGATAATCGAAATGAAATTGATGGCGAAGAGATACGGGTAATTTGATTAACATTACAGGTCTTTGTTTGAAAATTACTTTTCAGTTCTCATAAACTATCAATCAAGACAATGATATTGAGGGTAATTTGTTTTTGTGTTAGTGTGTCAAAAAGGAGAGTGTTAAAGTAGTTGATCTATGAGAGCATTACATAATAATGTGCCTTTTGTAAATGCAGAACACGACTTTATGTTCAATCAAAATGTACCATCCTCTTCGGATTTTTATTTTCTCACCTATGTTGGTCGTTATTACTACAACGTGGACAGTTGGGCACTAGAAGCAAATTACAAATAAAACAATCCAGGTAAATTACAAAAGTAACCACGAGGTGTGTGATTTAATCATGTGCTACCAACATAACTTATCCAATCAACAAATTCATATTTGTTGACTATGAAAATTAAAAAGAAAATGTTATGTTTATTCTCTCTATAAAATCAATATGAAGAAGAAAGCACGAGTATAGTACAATGGGAGAGCTCCGGAAGGGGTCATTAACCAGTTTCGTGTATTTGCTAAAATATGATTGCACAACTAGCTACAGTTTACAATAGAAATAGATAATTCGTCCACCTAACAAGTTAGAATAAATGGTCATGAGAAAGTTTTGAGAAAACCAAGCCAAAACTAAGGAGAGAAAATTGCACGGATCTTTTGCTTGTAAATTTCTCAGTCAGAGAACACCTTTCCATTTCTCTGGGAAGATGAAAATACTATGTACAAAAATGTTCACAATGTTAAACTATGTGTCTTAGACAAAATTCAATCTGTCAATCGAATTGATATCTGCAAGTCGTAGAGTAGTCTAGTAGCTGACAGTGCCTGTAGTAGTAGCTTATTTTCCGTGAAAGAAGTTTGGTGCTTTCTTTTCTCATTCCTTTCCTCCCAGAGTCCAGGGTTGCCCCTATGTCCCGCTTTTAGCCCTATACTAACTATACTCTATTTGAGCCAAAGCAAAGAAAGAGGAGCGGAACCTAGTCTTATTCTGAGAGGAACTACACAAAGGCCTACACCCTATCTACAATTCAATCTTCTCTTTTATTCTATGGCCTATGCAAGCGAGAAGTGATATCTAGGAAGACATCTTCTCTACAATGGATTGTGATGCCACCCATTGGATGATTAAATCCAAATTCCTCTTCAGCTTGGCTCATCAATTCTTGAATTGCAGGTTGATTCAAGAATGCTATAGGAATCACAAAGCGCTTCTTTTGGTTTTCTCCTACATAAACTGCAAGATAACCCTTTGGGACATCACTGCGCCTTTGAAGACCAGGCAAACGGAAACCCAATGCAGAACAAGGGACTTGTGTAAGAAGTATTTTATGCTTAAAAATTGTAAAAGACTTGACTTGTTTGTACCTACAGTCATGACCATATCTTTACCTATATATAGATAAAATAATAAAGAGGGAGCACCATATAGTAATAAATTATTGATGATGCATGAAGTATCGCATGGTACTGTCTTGGAGATCTTCATCAAAGACCCGGAAATTATGTGAGGTTGTCACTTTTTTTAAAAAATATTTTGAAGAGAACCCTAGACGATAGGTACATGCTTGAAAGTTCAAAAATGAGGCAAAACCTAATGCTTGTCTTAACAATTTAATAGCAGACATTGTGTTCTAGACACGCTCTCAAGACATCTTACGTTCTTGTATCGTATTGAACAGGCAATTGATACCAATTACCTTTACCATGTACCAGATAAGATAAGGCTTACAAATTCTTGGCACCTAACTGCTGTTCTGAAAGTGTAGTTTTTTGAATTGTTGGGTTGTAGAAATATCTGTAATCAAGTTCTGATCGGTCAAAATGTTAGAATTGGAAAAGGCATGCTTATTAGCTGCAGTCAGAATAAAAAAAAAAAATCAATGTAAATAACCATGAGCGAATAATTGGCACCTGAGGCACCCTTCTTGAGAATTGAGTAGTTAACTGGGAATTTGATACGTTATGCATAGAGGTGGGTTAACTTAGGCAAGACTATATATGGTTTTATTTATTTTTAAAATTTAAGGTCTGGATCTGTTTACTCAACATAGACAATTTTTTAAGACTTTATTTCATTTTATAAATAACCTAACTTAAGAGATTCTTTAAAAATCATTTTAGAGATTACCATTAAATTAATAAATTAGTGTAAACATATATACAAGCGAAAGTTAAATACACCTTGAAGTATATGATTTGTCAACAATGTACTAAAAGTTTATTACAACAATAATATAGTATAACGACGATAATGAAAATAATAGTAATAATAATAATAATATATTTGTAACGGTTTAAATAAATTATACTTTTTAACTAAAAAAACCTTCTTAATTAACTTAAAAGGTAAATTTTTAATTTAAATATATTTTTAAAAAAGTTCTTGTCTAACTTGAAATTGACTGTGTCATAAGCTTAGACATGAGACATGATATATAATGAATTCTCTAATATGTTTTTAATATTTTAAATTATTGGTCAAATTTTATTTTAAAAAATACAAAAAAAATATGAATATCACTCTTAATTTAATTATTCTCACTCTTAATTGTTTTATTTTAAATAAAATATAGTCAGTAATTAAAAATATATTAAAAAACTGTTAGATAATTTTTTATTAATTAACATGTTAAAGTATGCTTTTTAGGTTACAAGAAAAGAAGTTAAAAAGTATGTTACACACACTTCTTATGACCAATTTCTTTGCATGTTCTAAAAAAATGAGTAACACATCAGCCGCTACACATTGCAAGGAGGAGGCCCAACCCATTTGGTCTATAGTCCATTTTCACATAGCATGTGATGATAAAAAGAGTGTTTTTTGAATTTTCCAAATGATTATTGATATTTGAAATTTTTTCAAATTTTTAATTTGAAAATAAAAAAGTCAATAATTACATTAATTTCTTTTAGAGATTAGCCTCTCTCTCTTCTTTTTTTTTGGTCAATAGAGGTTAGCCTCTTAATGGATTCACGACGTCCCATTTTGGGCCCAATGAACAAATTTTGACCAAAAATATGCTGGAACTGGATAGAACAGAAAGGTATATTTTATAACTTATAATATTAATCCATCTCTACAAGACCAAAAACAACCATCACACTATATTAGTAAAAAAGATCCAAGTTCATATGCGACACCACAAGATTAAAAAAGCCGTTTTCATGTTTTAATAATTTGTTTGGATAAAAAAAAATATAGTTTATTATTTCAATTTAAATTTAAAATTATTTCTTCCTTCGTTTTCTTTTCTCTAAAATAAATAGATTTTTAATATTAATTTTCTTGTAATGTAATATACAAAAGAAGAAGAACTATACCCCTTTATTTTTATTTTTAGTTTTATTTTTGCTTTAGAAACTATACCCCTTTATTGAAATTTATTAATTTAATAATAGTATTAACAGCTTAGATGTAGATTGAATAATATAGTAGAAAAAATAACCTACGATTGTGCATTTGAGAAAATAGTTTAATTAAATATTTATTTAATAAGATATCACACAAGAATTTAAAGCATAAATTTGGTCATGAAATTTATTAAAATAAGTGAAAAATATATATGAATTATAAAATTTTATAAACGCTTTTTTTTAAATAGTGGCATTGCTATTTTTAAAAAAATTTCAAATTTATTAATAATGATAGATAATCAAATATTTAATTTAACCGGAAATGAGTAAAAATTTTAATAAGAAGTTATTGTAAAATTATTTCTATCAACTATAGTTAAATAAACAAGGAATATTTTAAATAAATTAATGTACACAAATTAAACCAAATTTTAATTGGGGAAAAAAAAAAAAACAGAGCTATTGATGCCGCCAGCTAGGTTCCACTTAAAAAATAACTTTCATCGGTTTCTATAAAATAAATATATCACTTGACAGCGTATATCGTGTAACGAGTATTTTTAAATTTAGATAAAATTGAAAAAAAAAACTTAAAAATATTATAATTATGAAAAATGTGTATAATTAATTTAGCATTTTTATATATTCAAAAAATAAAGAAAATATAAGCTTATTTTTTATTAAATACGTTAAATGGAAATAATATTTTATTATTATTTTGTCCATAATCAATTTTTATTTCTTCACAAACATACTCTTAGAATGATCAG